CTCGTGCTGCGTCTGCCCTGAGCCCGGACGGCCATTCATCGTGCCTGCGGAACCGGCCAGCATGCCGCGCTCCGCCAAGACCCGGTTCTTCACGAGTCCGCGCCGCACTCTCAGCCTCGACGCTGGATAGAAGCCATCGGCAACCTGGTTCCCGTTCGTGCGGCGCGTCTCACGCCGTTCCTCATGCAGCCGACCGTGGTCCTGGCCCGCATTCTTCAAGGGCCGAGCCGGGGCCCAGCCCGCCTTCATTGGCCCCGTGGGATCCAGCTCTTTGTTTTCTCACCACCTTGCCTACCTGTCTCACTTTGGATTTGCTGGCACTTTTGGCAGCCTTCGATCCTTTCCCCCAACATCCTTGCCACCGCGAGCCTTACCGTGGCTGCCGTCCACCACACGTCGACTCCCTGTGCCACTTTCACGCCCGGTTTTGTTCTTTCTGCACCTCTTTCCGGTGCTACTTCGCAGCCATGCTCCCTGCCATGGCTTTCCAGGAGATGCTCCGCTTATGACCGCTCGAGGCTCCCTTTGCCTAGCGCCCTGAGCCTCGCCCCACTCGCTTCGTGCCGTTGGATGGGCACTGCGTGCTTCAGCTTCTTGCATGCAGCAGCCCACTACCACGTCTTCCTGAAGGAAACGACACAGCCCGTCTGGCTTCCTGCATGCGCCGCACAATGATCAGCAATGGCCAGAACTCCGCTGCCGGACTCGAGGACAGCATAAAGTCGGTCCAGAGACGACCGTCTGCTTCGCCAGCCCATTTGCATTCTCCTTCATCACAGCTCACTCCTCGAATACTTTGTCGACCTCCCCAATGAGTGCTGCTGGTCAAGGACAAAGCGGAACGGCAGCCAGTGGATCCGGAGCCAAGTCTGGAGACCAGGCGAGCAGCAAGGGGGGAACCAGCGGTGCCCCTGATCAAGGAGGCTCTGGCGGCAGCGGTGAGGGCTACTATCGCCACCCGTGCTGCTGGCGCTTTCAGCGGTCTTGCCCGGAATGGGTCTTTCAAAACGGCGACGCCTGCTGGGTATGTCAGGTATGAGAGGCCAGTCCTGCAGTCATGGAAGGCGCGGCTGACGCCACGCAGTCGAAGGGATTTGGCTCCAAGAGAGATCAACCTCAAGACCCTTCCCCCCGGCAGCCCTGAGAGGCTCAGCTGCCGGCGCGTCCGATTACGATCGAGCAGCATGCGCCATACCGGGCGTATGTGACGCATCGAGCAAGATTGCCTGAGGAGAGGCCCAACTGGAGCCTGGCCTTGATGGTCTCTGGAGGGACGACGGCAGACGGTCGAGGTGCGATCTGTCACACCTCGTAGCATCCGGGGACTATTGGAATTTGTGTCTTCCCACGCATTTCCTTTTTCTTTTGGTCTGGGGTTCTCATGGGAGGCTAGCGCTCGAGCCCGACACACGGCTGCACAGTCATTACCGCCTCGTTCTGGTCCTAGTCAGCTCATCAAATCCTTTTCCCAGACAGATCCATGCGCACGCTCATTGCTCTCTCTCTCTCTCTCTGTCTCTCTGTCTCTCGCTCTCTCAACACACATGCCGGCCGGCCGGCGCTTGCAGTCGCGTGAAGTCGCGCGCGGCGCCGCACCTATCGGATGACAGGTTGGGCTCCGTTTGCCGCGGTGCCGCAGGGCTTGCCGCTCGCTAACGTCGGTTGGCCATGCAAATCCTGCCGCCTCCGTCTAGCGCCCTCCGCGCCCCAAGGACCCTGCGATCCGCGTTTCCTCGGGGCGTCCAGCCGCCAGCGCAGCAAATGCGGTCATCGAGCGTTTCTGCACAGATCTGGCGTCTGCGGCGTGCGGCGTGTCCGGCCATCTTGATCTGATGGCTCTTGGGCAGGGACCGTGTGCTGAGCAGCCGCGAGCGGGCAGCCCTGCACTTGCATGCGCTGCTGAGCAGAACACGCGACTTCTCCGCACCTTTTTGACGTCAAGCTCGGCGATCCGACCAAGAGAGTCTCTCGTCCGGCTTCAGCGGCGGCTGCCCGCCTGGACTGCCGCGTGTTCTCGCGCCGCGACCCCAGGGCACATGGCAATATTGGTTTGTATGTAAGTATGTACATACGTGATGGCGCCTGTGGCCGGCGGAGGGACAGCTCGGCACGCAGCCAATCACCACGGCCTCTTCTGGCAGCTCCGACCAGGATCGGCTGGCGTCGGGTGGGCCAACGGGCGCTCCGTGGCCCGAGGCCAAAGCTTATCTAGCAATCGAATGAAATCATTCCGCATGCCCATCTGAGATCTCTCATCTTCGACTCGGGCGCGCAGTGCTGCTGGATGTCTGTCTGATGTCTGTCTGCCCCGCCTTCAGCCCAGGCCGAAACCCGCGATAGGGCGGACGGGCTGGCCTGCGCACGCCCGTCACATATCCTGTGCAGGACTGCCTGCCTATGGCGACGGTGCAGGCCGCCGCAGCTGGACCTGGCCTGTGCGACCTGAGGTTGTAGGTAGGCTTGGCCAGCCGCCGTTTGCTCGAGCAGGAGCCACGGTGGAGGCCGGGCTCGGAGCGCTGCAAGCACGCAATCTAGCTCCTTGGGCGCTGTTCCACGAGGCCGCGCGGCCAATGTGCTCCTTGAAAACTCGCAGCCTCCCAGAACTCTCCCCTCCACCTCGCCGTCACGATGCCCTCGAGTGCGAATCGCTCAACTGGCCGACCACATCAGACCACCTTCGACATCGGCAGCGCTTGCAGACCTGGCGCTCGCACCAGCGCGCGCCGAAGCCGGGATGCCCTAGCATGCGCTAGCATGCCTTCTCTGACTCCGGGCTCTAGCTTTCTGTGCTGGAACTTCTCAAGAATGGCGAATGTGAAGGGTGCCTGGCGCTAATTAACAGGACGTGCCGGAACTTTGGACTTGACTTGCCACGGCCGAGGGCACGGCTTGGCCAGGCGGAGCACACCGACACCGCCTTATCGCCCGCAGCTTTCCATGACATACTGGAATTGGGAATGTCCAGCCTCGGAAAAGTCTTTCTCGCCCGGTTGCTAGGCCCTGAGCTCATCACTCTGGACGGATTCCATCCATCGCCTCACTACTACGACGCCCCGTCAAACAATACTCCTATAGGCCGCGGCCCCGAAACAACCCAAGCGGTGCGCCGTTCAAGCGCGGTCCCATTCGAGCGGCTCTCAACTCTCAACTTGGCAGCCGTCCAACACGAACGAGCCGTATCGACCCCTCTCATCTGCTCGCTTGAGCGCGTCGTTCCGGCTACACTTCTGACAGTCGTGCGTTGGAACGTGCGGACGAAGGGCTTCGATGCCCTTGGGAAGAGGCACTTGTGTCGTTTTGCAGCATTCGCAAGCGAATAATCTGCAAGCTACCTTATCTGGACGGAGAAGCGTGGGCCCCCTCCTCGGTGGAAGACGTCTCCAAGCCTGGCGCCAGCTACCATGGCTTCCAATTTGGGTGCTGAAACAGCCCAAAGCAGACGCATGGACGCATAAATCAACATGCTTTCGACGGCTTATCGCGACTGTCCGCTGGACTACGGCCGGCGTGGTGGTGGTGGTGGTGGTGCAGCTTTGGTGGGCCTTGCATCGCCATGTGGCGGCTGTGCAGGAGCAAAAAGGACGACGATAACAACGCAGCAGAGCTTGCAGGAGTCGCACGTCCCCATGCCGCTGGACGGCGGCCGTTTCGGGGGCATGAGCCGACGAGGGTGCAGGCAGGGCCCATACGAGGCCGAACAAACCCTCGTCAGGTGTAGGCGATTACCTGCCCAATGCGGTTGAGGCTCCCGCGCGCGCCAGCAGGGGGGCGGCTGGCCGGGGCGCCCAGCAGAGGCCTGGCTGGAAGCAAGGAACGAAGATCAAACCAAGGTCGGCGGATCATCTGGGGAAAGGGACAAATGGGCTACGGACGCAAAAGGTGCCTGGCCCCTTTGATCGGCGCTGCTTCTTCAGACGTGTACGCGAGCACACATGTCCTGCTGCCGAGTCCCTGCACGGCTTCAGCCTCGCAGCCCTGCCAGCCCTGATCTTCGTCGCCGTGCACAATCAGTGCCTGGACGGTAAGTGGCGGACTCCGCCGGTCCTGCTGCGCTGCGAGTCGGTCCGCTGCCCAGACTCTTGCGGCAAGGCTGAGCCCAAACAGTATAGCAGGGTCGTGTATTTCTAATGCCCCGGGCATTTCGGAGCTTAGGTGCGCTTCGTCTAGGAAACCCCTCCTGGTTGGCTCCGATGCACGAGATTATCCTCCGAGACGGCACCACCGAGCAGCCAACAGCTGGCCGCCGCAATTCCTCCAACCACAACGACGTCAGACCGTCCCTTGGCACGAGCTCTCCTTTTCCGCTCCGTCGACCTATCGCGTCAACAGCGCATCCGCCAAAGCACACACAGACCCTGCCGTTATGGCCTTGGGTCTCGCTGTCTGGCGCCGCCGCTCCGGTACACACCTGCATAATCTCACGGGCATGGCAACGGGCAAAATTGTCCCCACGTCTCGATGGATCAGATGGCTGAGGTCTCGTCATGTGCGGCGGCCCGTCGCTCGGGAGTGGACGGATGCGAAACAGGTCCATGGCCCGCCGGTGTGCACAGTCGCGAAACTTTTTCCTCATTCGAATACGCGACGGATGATCGACAGCAACGCTGCCGCCAGCATCGGAGATGAGCGAGGGCGTTGCCGAGAATCAGCGAAGCTCCACAGCGCGCCTTGCCGCTCGTTTCAGGAACCAGACCAGATGCTCAAACCGCCGGCGGGAGATAAGTCTTTCTCCACCATTATTGTCGCTCGTGAGCACGACGTCGGACGTTGCATTACAGTCTCCACGGCTGTGGGTACGGCCGTAGCTGGTGGTCCACACGCACAGTGTGTGAGAGACGGGCACGTTATTCTTCTTCTTCTTGTTCTCCTTCTTCTCCTAGAATCCTTCTGCTAGTTGTTGCTAATTAAAGATGCAAACGCCCAATCTGATATGCCGTGCACCCCTCTCTTATTAGCTGGGACCAATGCTCTGCCAGGCACGGCACAGGCGAGACGGCCGTCTATTGGGGCTTGCTGTTCAAGATCAGGTTCTCTTCGCTCGCCAGCCTCTCGGCGGTTGTCTTGAAGAGGCGGGGGATGCCGGTCTGCTCAAAGGGAACGGCATGGAGAATCATGCTAGCGAGACCCTTGGACGACAGGAAGATCAGCGGCATGCCGTGCCCGTTGAAGCCGGCCATTACAAACTGGCCGGGCTTCGAGGGCACCTCGCCAATGTGCGGCATCATGTCGGCGGTGTACTGGGCGCGCACGGCGGGTCAGTGGGCGACGATGGCGTTGGGGGGGGATTGCGACTCACGCCCATGATGCCGGTCCAGAGCATGTCGAGCTCGGCGTGGCTGTGCTCCCAGCCGCGATAGTTGCGCTGCATGAAGCCCGGGAAGTGGTGCTCTGCGGGCGCGATGAGCGAGGCGTCGTCGGTGACGCCGTACCAGTGGCTGCGGTCGTGCCAGAACCACTGCTTGGCGCCGCCGATGACGATGCTGCCGTCGGGGCGGGTGATCTGGTAGTCGTAGATGCCCGGGGCGTAGCGCAGCTGGCAGCAGGTCAGGGCTGTCAAGGCTGTCGGGGACGCTGCAGGGGTGCGGGGGGGGTGCGGATGACGCGATTGGCCTTACGTACGCTGTAGGTGTTGGGCAGATGCGGGACGGCGGCGCCCGGGGGCACGCTGAGCCTGCTGCAGATGCCCTTGACGGGGATGATCTTGTCGCGGTACTGCGGGGCGACGCCGGCGGTGTAGGCGTTGGTGCAGAAGACGACCTGTCTGGCGCGCAGGCGGCCGCGCGGGGTGTCGACGCTCCACCAGCCCTCGTCGTCGCGCGCCTCGGCCACGCTGGTGACGGGCGTGTGCGTCTGCAGGTTGGCGCCGCGGCCGACGGCCAGCCCCAGGAGGTGCATGACCAGCTTGTACGGCCTGCCGAGTGGTTCGCGTCAGTGCCAGTCTGCCAGTCTAGCCGCAATCGCCCCTCTTCTCCGCGACGCCACCACGCCCGCCGCCGCCGCCGATCCCCGGTGCTCTAGTCGTCGTCTCGCTGGCTCGCTGGCTCGCTGGCTGCACACCCTCTCATTTGCATCCTTCGCCGCCCTCACCAGCGCCCCGTCCCACGCCGTCGACCGCTGCTGCTGCTGCTACTGCTGCCGATGCTGCTGCGCGTGCTGCCCCTTGCATGCTGCAGCGAGAGCACGCAACCGGAGCAGCCCACCGGAGCCAGAAGCTTATTTCCCCGCGCTGCTCCTCCTCCTCCTCCTCCATGGATTGCAATCTATCGGCCAGCACCGGAGGAGGGGGGAGGAGGGGAGAGGAGGGGAGAGGAGGGGAGAGGAGGGTAGGGCAGGAGCGGGAAGAGTCGACTCACCAGACGTGGCCGGCAGTGAAGGTGAAGGCGCATTTTGCGCCCTTGACTCCGGAAACCATCTCGGCGGTGGCGCCCTCGGAGAAGAAGACGTCGCGCACCGAGGGCCGGCCGCGGGCCTGCAGCTCGAGGAAGTCGGCCTTGCACTTGGCGGCGTGGTCGGCGTCGAGGCAGACGTCGACGGCCCGGGTCAGGCCAAAGTCGCAGTCGATGCCCTCGCGCTCCACCAGCTCCTTGACCGCCAGCACCTGCGACGACTCGAACGCCGCCAGCTCGTCGGCCGCCTCGGCCCCGAACAGCGCCGTGTACCGCGGCACCTGGAAGTACACGTCCGGCTTGAGGTGCCCGCCTGTTTGTTTGTGTTTGCTGCGTCAACCCCGTGTGCCCTGCTGCCCATATTGACTGGGAGGTTGGTGCTGCGATGTGTCCGTACCATTCCTTCCTGTTGCGCCTGAGCACGCCTCGCGCGCCTCCAGTATCGTGATCCTGGGCGGATTCGGGTTGTCTTTCTGCAGGTGATACGCCGTCGACGCGCCCGCGTAGCCCGCCCCGATGATGAGGACGTCCGTCTCGGCGGGCAGGTCGGGCGTCGTGCGCGCGCTGTCCAGCGGGTGCAGCTGCGTGCGCCAGAAGGGCGTCAGCGGGTTCGGCACGGGGTACGGATACGGCGCGTGCTCGGTCGACGGCTCGGTCGAGTATATCGAGTCCGACGACGGCGGCGTGAACGAGCCGTCGATTTGCGAGAGGCGTGCTTGGGCGGTCTTGGACGACATGCTGGTGTTTTGGCCGCAATGATATCGTGGCTGGGCAACAGTGCTTGCGGGCGAGTGCAAACCATCACGGGGGGCACGGGAGAGCTGGATATAAGAAGCTCAATGTTCAGACGCGTGTACCTAGATAGAGAGACCGCTCGACCGGCATGAATGCGTCGATTGCACCTAGTGAGGGTGAGGCAGCGGTTGCGCAACGGTGGGACCACTGCGGCCCGCCCTCGTATCAGACCGGCCAACGGCAGACAGGGATCGGAGAAGCGCGAGCCTGCCTATCGATACAGGAGTCGAGTCACATGGAGCTATGGCCACCGGAGCTTGCAGTGTGCATCTTTGTTTGTTTGCTTTTGCGCCGTTGCTCGGCTCTGCTAGGACGATGCCGCGATGATCTTGTCTGCCATCTCCAGCGGCGTCTCCGCCATCACGTCCATCTCGCCAAAGATCTCAACACACGGCTCCTTCTCCCACACGCTGGTGTATGCGCCCTTGAACCTGTGCCGCGCCAGGGGGGTCAGCAATCGAGATGCAAGTGACGTGGCTGAGGCACGCGCAGCAAACTTACCCGACTGTTCGCGCAGCAGACACGTCCCACATGTGCGCCGCCGCAAACCACTTCTCGCCGTCGCCAAGAGCCTTGATGGCCGGCTCGTATGCCTTGGGGTCCGGCTTGCCGATGCCGCTGGAGTCGCAGCTCATCAGGTTCTCCGACGGCATGGGAACGCCTGCCTTCTCAAAGTATCCTCCCACGCGCTTCCTGTCGCCGGCAGACAGGCACCAGCAGGTAAAGCCCGCGGAGCGCAGCTTGGCGAACATCTCGGGGACGCCGTCCCGCATCTTGAGGTTGTTGTAAGCTTCCGTGATGACCTTTAGGTCTTCATCCGTCGCGAACTGACGCGGCTCGTCGACGCCAGCTTGGTAGAGCATGCGGTAGAACAGCGCCGCCTGGAGCTTGGAGAAAACGGTGTAGCGACCAGAGAGGGACAGGTAGGTGTACTCGCGCTCGGCAGCCTCCATCCATGCGAAGGCAAACAGTCGTGGCGAGATGCCCAGCTTGGCAAACCGCTCGCCCAGCTGCGAGGCAATTGCATCGAACCAGACATCGTAGCCGACGCAGGTGCCGACGACGTCGAACACAACGTGCTTTTTCGTGGGGGTGGTCATTTCGGATGTTGCGATGAAGAACTGGTTGATCTAAAGGGAGCGATCGGTATGAGATGAATTGAGATGCGGAAGGACAGTCTTCGCCATCTAAAATGCACATGGCTCCGACCTCGCTCGCACCTTCGGACCCTCGACGTCTTGGTGTGCAGGATCTCCAGGCCCTTGCACGCTGCGGCTGAACCCCACCTTTGGCCCCAAAGCGCCCCCGCACCCTCGGCTGCTGGCCGAGACACCGCGTGTCGGGTGAGTGCGAGGGTGCCTCGCATCTGCGCGCTGTCGTCCGATCGGCCTCGATGATAGGAAACAGCTCAAGCTCTGCCGAGCCCAGCCAACTCACTTGGTGAAAGCTTTGCGCGTCGACCTTCCTTGGTTCTTGGCCGTACCGCTATCGGATGAATTGGGTCGGCCGCCCTGGCATCTATGGCAAATAGCACGTCGGGGCATATCTCGACGGAGGGCTGCTGGCACAAGTGGCTGAAGGTTGCGCATGCCAGGCGATACAGCCATGACGGGCCTCGCAGTTACTGTATCGAGTATCGGCGTCTTGGAGATAGTGAGATAGCGAACAGGTAGATGAAAGTGCGACGCTCCTGCACATCTGAGCGTACCACTGCTGCCCCCTTCTTCATCTACCTTCCACTGTGGCTGCAATGGCCCAACATACGGACGAGCCCACTTCTACGTCGTCGCAAAACGATGGCTATGATGTCGAGAAAAAAGACGCGGCCGATGTTGCGGTGGTGCCTTCCACGGACGCTGGCGAAGGGCATGTTGGCACAGTCGACTTGGTCGAGGTCGGATATGAGCGGTCGCTAAAGAGGCGTCAGATCATGATGATGGCATTCGGTGCTGGCATTGGGACTGGTTTGTGGGTCGGCACGGGAAGTGCGCTGTCCAAAGGTCAGTAGTCGAAGAAGTCAAATGCGATGCCTGGATGCACTCTGCTAACGCTGCGGTCTGTAGCCGGCCCGGGCGGAATCGCCGTTTCCTACACCATCATGGCGTAAGTGAGTCGGCGCATATGATCGGATGACGGAACGCTGAGCATGGTCGACAGAGCCATTGTGTACATCATGTACACGTCCATTGGAGAGATGACAGCGTACAAGCCGGTTCACGGCGGCTTTACTCGTCAAGCAGGAGAATACGTTGATCCTGCCCTAGGATTCGCCATTGGGATCAACTTCTGGTTCAATGTAAGCAACGCCCGCAAAGACGGCGAGACTGCTCTCTGCTAACAGACTCAAGTGGGTCATGTAAGGTGTAGCCGCCGCCGCAGAGGCGTATCCATCACTGACGAGGTTGAAGGATCATCCCGGCCGAGATTACGGCCTGCATCTCCGTCCTCCACTACTGGGAAAGCTCGTACAAGGTGCCGCTGGCGGCATGGATCACAATCTTCTTGGTCATCATCGTCTTTGTGAACATCTGGCCGGTGAAGCTGTACGGAGAGGTTGAGTTCTGGTTTTCCTTCCTGAAGTGTCTTGCGCTCGTGGCCATCATCTTCTTCATGATCGTCATGACGAGTGGAGGGATTCCGGCCACACGTGGCCCAATTGAGTTCAAGTATTGGAAGGATCCAGGCGCGTTTGTGAACGGCATCCGCGGGATTGCGGCTGCGTTTGTCCAGGCTGGCTTCAGCTTCGGCGGCGGTAAGTGTGGCGCTCCGCTCCGCTCCTCGCCTTGCGTCGGCTTTACCTTTACTGATGACGGGAAGGCGAGCACATTGCCGTCATGGCTGGCGAAGCCAAGGACCCGCGCGAGACGGTCAAGCGGTCGGTGCAGCCCCTGTTCTGGCGCATGTTTGCGTTTTTTGTGGTCAATATCTGTAAGTGAAGCAGCGTCCCCGTGTCGGGGGGCCGGCCTCATCCGGAGACAGGGCTCGTGGGAATGTGTATTCCATACAACGAACCGAACCTCGTGAACGCATCCGGGACGCTCGCATCGCCGTTCGTGCTGGCGATCCGGGCATGCGATCTGTTCGGGCTCGCGCACGCGCTCAACGCCTTCATCCTGATCACGGTCATCTCGTGCGGCATCACGTCGGCGTACATTGCGTCGCGCACGCTCTGCGCCCTCGCGGACCTGCACTGGGTGCACCCGGTGTTTGGGCGCAAGGACAGGCAGGGGCGGCCATACATTGCCATGACCATCAGCATGGTGCTGGGCGGCGGGCTCTGCTACCTGAACTGCAACTCGACGGCGGAGGAGGTGTACAATTGGTTCTCGTCTCTGGTCAGCGCTCCTGCCGGATCGAGCAAGACACAGGCTAACTTGGAGTGGCGCAGGTGGGCATCAGCGGCTTCCTGCAGTGGGCAACCATCTACTGGATGCACATCCGGTTCCGCAAAGGGCTCCGGGCCCAGGGCATCGAGCACAGGACGCTGCCGTTCCACGACGTGCTTGCGCCGTGGAGCCAGTACGCGGGCCTCGTCGTCATCTTCCTGATCCTGGTGGCCGAGTTCTACCTGGCCATCTTCCCCTTCGACGCAAAGCCCAGCGCGGAGAACTTCTTCGCCACGTACATTGCGGCGCCGCTGTTCGTGCTCGACTACTTTGCCTACAAGTGGTGGTACAAGACGAAGATAGTGCGGCCCAAAGACATGGACTTCAGCGAGGCCTTTGTCTTCGACGAGATGGAGCGGCGCCAGAAGGCCGAGGCGGCGGCGCAGGCCCAGGAGCAGGCGGGGCTGGGCGTGGCGGGCGCTGCCCGGCGCGTGTGGTCTGCGCTGGTGGGATGATAGCGCGAGGGCGGTGGAGTCGGGGATATTGTGTCATGGCGGGCGAAGGATTTGTGGGGTTGAGATTGGAGTGTTTCTTTTGCTGCTGCGCCAACTGCAAGCGGGCGCGGATCCGAGGCTGGCGGCGCCCGGTCAATAGCTATACCTACTACTGCTGCGCAGAGCCGGGGGCACTATAAAAAGAACGAGGCGAGATGAGCAGAGGCACGGAGGGGCGGGCGCCAGTGCATGCCGGGGCCGAGCCGAGGGAGACCTAGGGATCTTCGATGTATCACTTGGGCGGGAGGCTGCCCGTTGGCACCGGCCGCGCTGAGGCCGCGCTGCGGCCCGGCCAGGACTTCCTGACGTTGCAATCCCACAGCATCGTATTCTTATCACTCCTGCCGCCGTGCCGCCGCCGCCGCCATGCCATGCCCTGCCACGCCCTGCCACGCCCTGCCCGCCCTGCCTCGCCCGGGTAAACAGTGAGCCACGAGCTTACTCGCGCGTCCTGCAATAGCTGCTCGACCCGGCCGCCCTGCCCGTCGCCGTTTCTCCGGTTTCACCGCGGTGGGGGAGCCTTCAGCTGTCGCAACCGGTAACACGCCCGCGCCCGCGTCGCCTGCCCTTTCCCCTCGCCCAGCGACGGCCGGCAGCACTGCTGTTCTAGAACTTCTAGAACCTCGGGTGGAATGTCTTCTGGGGGGAGCGTCCTGCGTCTGCCTGGCTGTATAGCTGGGATTATCAACACTCGCCAGCACCCCCGGCTCATGCACCCCTCGGCCTCCAAACGCACCGCACGCCCCGCCCCGGCCGCAGAGCACCAACCCTGCGTCCGACACGGCTGTCCAGAGCCCTGCGGCCACAGTGGTGGTAATATGGCCAAGTGGATCCTCTCCGCCCGCCGCGAGTCAATGCTTCAACCCTGCTTCCTCTGCTTCTGTTGCCCGCCCAGCCGCCTTGGCAGAGCCATCCGCACGACTACCACCGCCTGAAGCCGAAGCGAACCGCCCGATAAACTCAATCGTGCATCTCCCGCCTGCGCCCTCGAGCCTCGGTGCGAGAGGGGACCATGGCATGGACCACGCCCTGCCACCTCCAGCCAGGGCCTGGCCGCTCAACGGCCGTGTGCCAGAAGGGGATTAGGAGCCTGGCGAAAAAATCTCTGCCACCACGCGAAGGAGACGGCCGGCACCGTTCGACGAGCGCGACTGACGTGCTGCCATCGGTGTGGCGGAGCATGTCTGAGCAGTGCCTGACCCACTGCTCGTTTGGACGAGCTGTGCGAGCCCGCCATGTTCCTGGAGCTTCAACAGCTGACAACTAGACCCACCAACTGCCTGCAGCTCGGTGATGGGCACCGGCTACTATCGTCTGTGACAGAGGGTATTTCCTCCGACTTCCCCGTGTTCCTCGTATCCTCACCATGTCCCGCACAATCCATTCCCCCTCTTCTTCTTCTTCATCACCTTCATCATCTTCATCTTCTGGTCTCCCCTCCTGGATCAGCAACCAGCCGTGATGTCATGGAGCTGTCGATCTCCTTCGTCCGCTAAAAGCTGTTGACTGGGCTCCATTTTTGCCAAGTGGCCTCTTCCTCTTCATTGGATCCAGGTGAACCTAGTCTCTGCCGTCTCCAGTGTGCCTCTCTGCTTCAAGCGTTCTTATCTTCCTGTTTGCCGATATCTCCCACGGGCAGCCGAATGCTGCGGTCCGGCGATGATCCATTGTGCAAGGATGGATTTGTCAAACCCCGAAAGCTCTATGCCAAGGCCCAATGGCTCAATCGGTTCCTCTAGGCGCTCCGGTTGTTCGAGAAGGTGCCGTGGCTATCATGACGTCCAGTCCTTGAGGTTTGGCATTTCCGTTTCCATTTGGGCCCGGGGAGAGAGGTCTGTCGCTGCGGGCTCCAGGGCTTCCGTCGCACTTCAGAACAATTCGCCCAAAGCAGGACTCTCTCTTTAATACTTTGCTTCGTGCACCTTGCTGGCACAGTGGCGTCCTCGTAAAGCACTCTCGAATACGCGTCTGCGGTCCAAACACCTGTCCTTTCCGCGGCTAAACGCGGCTCGCAGCCCTTGGTGGCGACATGTTTTCCCTGCGCACTTCCACTTTCTAGGCTTTTTACCGCATCGGTACCATTGTGCGTGGCATAAGCCACCCTACGGTACCTTGGCCCTTGTGTTCTGCAGCGCTATTGGCTTGTGCCTCCTTCCTCTTTGGGGTTACACTTTGCTTCGCTACTAGGTCGAGCACCGTGGTGGAGCAGATGCTCGTGCTTCTGCGGCGAGCTGGCCATTGGGATGCTCAAAGGCTGCTACGTTGAGGCCCTGGTGGCTCGTCATCGCTTGGCTAGCTCGGCAAGCTGGGGGGGTTTTTTTTTGCACTCATGTGGAGAAGTCATCGTCCTTCCCGATTCGGCCTACCTTTGGTCGGCCGCCCCGGATTTTGCTTCCCGCCCTTTGTTTTCGCCTTGTAGCCTCCACAGCTGTGTCTGTGAGCATCGACTTGCGACCTGTGCTTGGATTTCCAAAGCTCCGTCTCGTAGTGGTCGTCGAGCTTCATTCTCCAGCTTCGCTCGCGCACCGATGTGTGTGTGTCGTTTCGACAGAACTGGTGGCCCGGCTTGGAATTGTTTAACTGAAACCCGATCTGCGATCGTGTCCAGGATCGAGGAGGAAAGTGGTAGTCGAGGCGTATTTCCTACGAGGAAGGCCCTCAGCGGACATTAGGCTGTCTGGTTTTGTCGGTGCCCGTGATTTTGACCCTAAAGTTTCAATGAGTACTCTGTCGAACGTATTGCAATGCAGCGAATGAGCCGAATCAGGCTTGCCCGAACCGGAGCTCGAGTCCTTACCAAACACTACTTCGAACAAAACCTCTCCAGGTCACAAGCAAAGGAACCTTTGAGATGTATATCGCCATAGCTCGGCTCGCACGCACTTGAAGTGACTCGTCCATTTGTTGTAGTCGCCCAGAGCTCAGTGTTTCTCGTCGGATTGGCATTCCTGCCATTTTTCCTGCATTGAAAGGTCAATGCCTATCAAAAGACCGCAGTGCCTTGGTACTGCTGATGTCCACCCAGTGGCTGACCAGAAAGGAGCCCTGCTGACAACTTTGATATCGAGCGTTTGGGCAGTCTGACGACTGGCGCTTGGATATGTCCCGCCAATTGTTTTCCGGCTTTCACTTCATCGCCTTGTTCCTCGAAGTATTCGTGGGGGTTTTCGCTGTAAGATCTCGCCGGGACTCAAAGCCAGCGCTCTCTATCAGTGACCGGAAAGATGAGCATCGGCACTGTAGCGCTGTCTCTGTTTATCTATAAGGTTGCAAGCGTCCAGCATTTCGTCCGATAAATCATCAGAAGGTCACTTACCTCTCCGTTTGTCTCACCATCCAACTGCGCACCTTACGCTACATGTTGCTTTCCCCAAAGCACCAAAAGAGCCTGCAGAGGCGGATCTGCTCCAAACTATCGCATGCGCCGTCGTCGGTGCAAGGGGGATGAAGGGAAGAGGGCCGGCAGCTTCTGCGACGCCTGTGCCCTCGGCCGCTGGACGAGTGACGTGTTGGAATGTTCGTCTCTGCGCATGATTGTTCGCTTCATGTAATGGCATGCTTGTGCCTCCGGCGCGGAACGTCGGCGTGGAAGTGTACTATACTGTCAGCTACCTGGGCAGATCAGGTCGCTCGCCGCTGTGATGGCGAGCCGCCATAGGGCTGCAGAAACTGTCGCGAAGAGCGAGCTGGAGGATCGAGTGTGTGAGACAGACCTCGAAGGTGAGGTGGGAGGGGCTTCCACGTTGCGATGAGGTCAAAGGAGTGCCGAGGAGGCCGTCGTGCGGCGTGTTGCTCGCCATGGCGCTTTGCTTGACGCTGGTAGTACTTGCGAGCTGTGGTGGCATGGTGAGGGGACATTGATGAGTGGGTAATGGAGCCTGCGACCGTATCGTCACTGGCATCAACACACCCGCCCTGAGCGCAAGCGCTTGTCGCAATGTCGCAGACGGCGGATAACTGCATCGCACGAAGACAAATCACCAAGAAGCTCCTCGATTGCTCTTCACTATGTTTGAACACTCGTAAGGCGGCTGCTAGACCGCCTTAACTCAGCGCAGATTCAGCAGGCGGCGGCTTGGGCGCAGAAAGTCAACACCAATGCCGGCGTACAGAACCGCCGGGAACCACGCGCAACACTTTCGAATGTTCGATGGCCTGAGGCGAAGCAACTCTGGGACAGGCAAGCGAAGCTTCTTCCTCAAGTACCTAGTTGTGCTGGCTGGCTTAACGGAAAAGCGCGAGCAGGCACTGCATGTAACCCAGCCCAAGAGAGTGAGCTTAAATTAAGAGGCTCCCGTAACGCTTCCTCGAAGCCCTGCGCAAGGCAGAGCGTTCAACGAAACCCACGTTGCTGGAAACTCCATGAAGTTAGGAGAAAAAACCAGCGGGTACCTAACACGGAACGAATCAGTAGGCACAGTTGTTAAAATGGGGGGAGGAAACATCTTGGCCTTGGGCTTTGGTGAAGAAGAAAAGAAGAAGAAGAGGTTCTGGAGGGAAGTTCGGGGCTTTTTATGTTGGAGCGGGCGGTAGCGAGCGGTGCTCATCACGGGGGCTGATAGTGGGTCTGGCACCTGATGCACGGGCTTGATGGCCGCTCGCAGCCCAGTAAAGCAGGAGCCATACCTGTGTGTCATCAGAAAGCAGGCGGGAAGAAGAACTTCCTCCTCAAACTGGCAGACTAGACCACGTGTAGCTGCAAATCACCGGCGCGCTGCTCAATCAGGTAACCAGTGTCCATGCAGACTTTCACCAACCTCATTGCTCGTCCCTTCCATGACCAAACGACGGCGAACCAATCACGCTATAGTAGATACCTCAGCAGTGCGGGAACTCCTCCCTGTGACGTTGATATTGTCAAGAAGCAGTGAAGTGTGACAGACACTGTAGGTGCGTGTATGTCCCAACATACGATGCGCAGGTGCGGGGGCGCACAAGCGCTGATGCAGAACGACGTCAGGCATGCTTGCTCTGACTTCCTCACCCCGAGGCTGCTGCTGGCTTTCCTAACCAACTCCCCCGCATCGAAGATCCGAACAAGATCCTACGAGTTGCAAACAGTACGTGCTCATGCCCCTCCGATCCTCACCTAACATCGATGGCCTACTCGCATTGACGGGCATCGCATCTGCCGAACCAGCTGCCAAGTCACCTGTGCTACACTGCTCAGTCAAAGCAAAGACAAAACCCGCCGCAGCTCGTTTGCCCAAGTCAAAACGACCCAGCAAACCACAGGCACCGCAAGCAAAATCCACCACCACCATGGACCCCACCTTCTACCGCACGCCCGCCGACGCCATGGCCGCCCCAGCCGAGCAGCTCGCCTACGTCGCCGGCTTCGATCCCGCGCACAAGCACGAAGACGCCGTCTTCGTCGTCGACCTCGACCGGGCCTCGGCCACCTACGGCCGCGCCGTCCACAAGACCAACGTCCCCGCCGGCAGCGAGCTGCATCACTTCGGCTGGAACGCGTGCTCGAGCGCCCTGAAGCACTGCGGCCACGGCCACGGCCCCGCCGCCGCCTCCCTCCAGCGTCGCTACCTCATCGTGCCTGGCCTGCGCTCCTCCGACATCTTCGTCCTCGACACCGCGCCCGACCCTCGCGCGCCGGTGCTCGTTAAGACCGTGGCCGCCGCCGAGCTCGCCGACAGGGCCGGCTACTCGCGCCCCCATACGGTGCACTGTGGGCCGGCCGGCGTCTTCGTGACGTGCTTGGGGGGCAGTGACAGGGGCAGGGGCGGTGGTGAGGGTGCCACCGATGATGGTAAAGCAGAAGGACAAGAAGCAGAAGAAGAGAAAGAAGCGAAAGAAGCAGCCGGGCAGCCATTGCCAGGAGGCATCGCACTGCTCGACCACGACACGTTCGACGTCTTGCGCGCGTGGGAGACGGCGCGCGGCCCCCAGCGCTTCCATTACGACGCATGGTGGCATCTCAACCGCAACACGCTCGTGTCGAGCGAATGGGGCGCGCCGTCCATGATCGAGGCCGGGCTGGTGCCCGAGCTGCTGCTGGCGAACCGGTACGGCCACGCGCTGCACTTTTGGGACCTGCGCGAGGGGCGGCACGTCCAGCGCGTCGAGCTCGGCGAGGAGCATCAGATGGTGCTGGAGGTCAGGCCGTCGCACGATCCTGAGGCGACGTGGGGGTATGTTGGCGTGGTGGTGTCGACCAAGGACTTGTCTGGGTCGGTGTGGCGGTGGTATCTGGACGAGGGGAAAGAGGACGAGGGGAAGAAATGGAAGGTCGAAAAGGTCATCACCATCCCAGCGCAGAAGGTCGAGGATGCGAGCAAGCTGCCGCCTCTGCTGCAGCCGTTTGGCGGCCCGGTGCCTCCTATCATCACGGATATCGATTTGTCTGTCGACGACCGCTACCTCTACGTGTCTTGCTGGGTCACCGGAGAGCTGAAGCAGTACGATGTCAGTGATCCAAAGCACCCCAAGGAGACTGGTAGCGTTCGCCTGGGCGGGGTCATCGACCCATCGGCGCATCCGTCGCGGCCAAACGAACCACTGGGAGGCGGCCCGCAGATGGTAGAGGTTAGCCGCGATGGGCGTCGTATCTACCTCACCAACTCGTTGTACTCATCCTGGGACGACCAATTCTACCCGGACGGTGTGGGAGCGTGGATGGTAAAGGTAGACGTGCTTCCGGGCGGAGGAATGGAGGTAGACAAGGACTTTTTTCTCGGCGCAGACGCTTTTGAAGGGTTGAGGGTGCATCAAATTCGTCTACAAGGAGGGGACGCTTCAACAGATTCCTACTGCTACCGCTCAGAAGTGCGGGCGAACGCTTGATACACGCTCACTTTCAGAGACCATGGCGCTCAAGTTCGCAATATTACATTCGACTGTTTGAAGCCAAAGAGGCTTCTAGTGTTTTCCAGTGACTCCCATTGCCATGACTGCCTGATGCCTTTCACAGTCCCTTGTACACCTCTCTCGTGTGTTCCGCCTGGCGGATTCTGGATGGTCATGCTGACTGAACGTATACGGTTCTTGGACGATCAAGTTGTCACGGTGCTCATGCGATGCTGTCCACTCGAGATCAATCAGCCTCCGCTCAAGCCAGCGGCTGTCAAGACCGCCAGATATTCTGTGCTGACTTACCACCTAGCGCTTGAGCGCAGCCAATAGCTTCGTCTTTGCCAGACGGCCCACGGCCAACGCCTTCTCGGCCAGACGCGTCACTGTAGCCTTGACACTGCCGCGTCTGGAAGTCAGCTCGCGCTCACGCTGAGCCAGACGACTGTTGATGACCTCCTCAAGGATGGTCGGGCTAGCAGTGCAGCCCTCGTGTTCCTTCTCGGCGATTGTGCGGTTGAAGGCGGGCACGTCAACAATCATGCCTCGATGTTTCAGCTTCTTGATGGTCCTGGGGTAGTCGGAGGCAGACGTCATGGTGGTTGCTGTGGAGGTATGAGACGGATCTGTGGCTGCGAGTTGATGGAGGATGGACGTCTGCAAAGCTTGCGACAAGGAAGTGAGGCAGAGGTTGGTCGGTAGTGGTTGTGAGCGGCTAGGCGAAGCGGGCGCGCGCGCAGACAGTTCATGGAGTGAGGGCCCTGCCGGGCGGTCAGACACCAACTACGGGTCACTAAGGGTCTACATAGTGGAAATTTCGATGCGGCTCATCAGATTGTGCGCTCAGGATGTTGGATAACACGAGATACGTTCGCGACAGTCGCGTTGAGAGCCGGTTCAGCGGGCGCATGTCTGCGCTGCCATAGCTGAGGCATGGCAAGGCCTAGAAGTTTCTTCATACTGCGCTGGACCTCTAGCATGCATTGTCGCAGTCAAATGGCTCACTCCAGACAGCGTGCGTAGGGGGGCGCAATGGATGAAGACCACCCGCGGTCGCGTCTGTGCGGCAAATGGGGCGGGTTCACGCAGCTCAGGCTCAGAATCACGAAGAAACTAATCGCCCAAGGTTGCAAGCACGAAGAATGCGACCGAGGGTGCCGTGGCTAGGTGGAAAACCCAGGCTTGCGGTGTCCGGTCAGCGAGCGACAGCCCACAAACCCCAACACCATGATCTCTGTCGTGAGAAACCTTCTCACTGAAGGAAAGATGATGCAAGGCAGACAGCCACGGCGATGAAATGGCCTCACCGTGCAAAGACCTTAAGATGTCTTCAAGTCCCTCAGATTGAGTTGAAAAAGCCTCTTCCTCGTCCTCCAGCGCATGGCTAGAGAAGAACAACGAAAAGTAAGTTCGCATCAGCCCGAGACAGTGCAATACAGGCGACACTGTGATCAGTGACATAAGCGGAGCTCAGCGGCCACCGATCAGGTTCTAAAAACAAGCAAAGTAGTAGACCCCCGTAGGGGCGTTCTAGAGATTAAACTAAAAAGAACAGTTACTACACTTGATCTAAGCCAAAAGGCAAAGAGAGCTAAAGAAGAAAAGAAGAAAAGAGGATTTGGAGCGGAAGAGGGGGGTTTTTATGGGTTGCTCGGCGGGAGTAGTTGATCCGGAGGCACGGGGTCGGCTGCACCCATTGGCAGGACAACGCTATGTGCTAAACCAAAAATGGAAGGCGCAGCGAATGTGTTCGGCAGACGGGCACCTTCCTTTGACGTAATGCATGCGGCGGAGCCTCCAGAGGACCGAGAACCTTCCATCTGGGCAACAGGTGATTTGAGCGCACTTGTTCACCACGACGAGTGAAGCAGGAAGAGATGGCTCCATAGCTTGTTTGGTAGAGCGCAAAAGACCTCATGGTAGTGTCTCCAAGCATCGGCACGCACCTGGATATTGCAAGACTCGGCAAGCTCGCCGGCAAGCGCACTGCGCAGATAGCCAAGTTTCTGTCCATTTGATCACTGACTCTAAGCTTGCAACAGATGACACGAATCTGTTCCGCATCGCACCATCGAAGACGCGCAGAGGCTGTTACCTCACCACAGCTCGCAAGGTTTCTTTCTTCCCAGCGCCACGCTCTCAGACCAATGAGCAGAGGCAGGCAGCCTCCTCCCAGCGTGGCGCGCACATCTGGAAACGATGAGCCTGGGTGACGATACCATGTGGACAGAGGTACGTGGAGGCGCAGATACGCCGGCTCAACGGCAAAGTTGTGGCTACGTGGGAATGCTTCGCAAGCTATCGTCTTGTAGAGGTAGGATCTCGTCCTCAGACTTGTCCCGGTGACGCCATCACGCAGTGTCATTGTCTGTTGCATTGCGACCCATTGTACGGTTTTGATTGATGCAGCTACGTACTGTGATCGGATGCATAGAACTGTGGCAGTCAGAATGCTCTTCACGACAGCGTCCATGGGATCGCCATTGGCCACGATGATAGCTACACCAGGGTGCTGCCAGAGCCGGCGACACGCGGAAGAGTGACGCGCAAGCAGCAATGTCGAGGACAGTTCCAAAACAGAGTTCACTAAAGACGGCGAATCGACTCATAACGTGGGCGGTTGATGGTGCAACGAAATAGAACTAGATCTAGGCATGGAAACATTGAAGTTCCCACAAGCAATCTCACCAACGGCTGTGATTGTTCGGCCCTGAAGAAGAAAGTCTGGTATGTCGAGCCCAGCTCAAGCATTGAAGCAGTCGATCTGAGCATACCTTCAAAGCTCATCGGCCTAGATGACGGAGAGAGACGGTCGCTAACAAGGCCCGTGGCCGTCAGGGAGTGTATAGAGCTTGGGCAGGTAGAAGAGATGCTAGGAAAAGCATCAACACCGGGAACAATCAGCCCTTCCGAAGATCTAGGCGCCTGATGCAATTAATGGGTGTGCCACTTCCCATGCGAACATATGGCAGGGAAGTGGAATGACTGAGAAATGCATCGTCTTGGCAGCGGGCGTGTTTCCTAGGACCACGCAGTACCGGCCACGACAACGGCCCTACTACACGAAAACCACCCACCGAGACTCCGGGCAGCAGCGCTCGATAGGAAGGAAAGTGAAACTGTGGTGATGGTGAGTGTGGTGTTGGAAGCTCTGACCAGGCGACAGGGAAGACCCACGGCGCATGCCCCGCCCTCAGCTGCCCCACTCCTGCGGCCCATGCCCATGATTTCGCCGCTCCATCTCCCACTGATCCCGCGCTCAATTGTCTGCGTACGTACGCTGTGCAATCCTCGACCGCAATGGCACACTCGCATTCGCACGACGGCGGAGCGTCGCACTCGCACGCCGGCGCCGACCATGGCCACACCCACGAGATCCTCGACGGCCCCGGCTCGTACCTGGGGCGGGAGATGCCCATCATCGAAGGCAGGACCTGGGAGGATCGCGCCTTCACCATTGGCATTGGCGGGTAGGCATGGCTTGGGCGCGCGCAGATGGCCTAGCTGACAGCTTGGATGCAGCCCGGTGGGATCCGGCAAGACGGCCCTCATGCTGGCCCTCTGCCTCGCGCTGCGCGACAGCTACAGCATCGCCGCCGTGACCAACGACATCTTCACCCGCGAAGACTGCGAGTTCCTGACCCGGAACAACGCCCTGCCCGCCGAGCGCATCCGCGCCATTGAGACCGGCGGCTGCCCCCATGCTGCCGTGCGCGAGGACATCTCCACCAACCTGGCCGCCCTGGAGGACCTGCATCGCGAGTTCAACACGGAGCTGCTGCTGATCGAGAGTGGCGGCGACAACCTGGCCGCCAACTACAGCCGCGAGCTGGCCGACTTCATCATCTACGTCATCGACGTGAGCGGCGGCGACAAGATTCCGCGCAAGGGCGGCCCCGGCATCACCCAGAGCGACTTGCTTGTCGTCAACAAGACAGACCTGGCCGAGATTGTGGGCGCCGATCTGGGCGTCATGGAGAGGGACGCGAGGAAGATGCGGTGAGTACTGCCATCGTGCTGGAATGGAATGCTGAAGCTGACCCGTTTGCCAGCGAGGGCGGCCCCACCATCTTTGCCCAGGTCAAGAATGGGAAGAACGTCCAACATATTGTCAACCTCATCCTGAGCGCGTGGAAGGCAAGCGGCGCCAAGAAGGCATGAAGGGAAGGTTGTGAAATAATAATAATGCTGGCATATATCCAATCCGAGACTTCGCCCTGCCAGCTTGTCGTACCGCAGGTCAAGAAAGAGAGACAGAGCCACGGCTGAAGACGGTCCATGTGAAGCCAACTACATGCCTTGGCGTGCGCATTGGCCAGCTGTCTCCCACACGGCTGTGCCTTGCTTGGCTCAGGCACGCAGCGAATCCGATAACCCGTTCCTGGTCCTTTCCCCCTTGCCTTTTTTCTCTCCGACACCCAGGGATGCTCGCATTCTTGGCGTGGGGCGGGACGCCGGAAATTCCTCCGGTTGACCCACCTCTTGGCCTACGCAGCTCGCTCCCGGCTTCAGAACATCAACATCACGTCGCATCCCTGGTGAAGTCAGGCCATGTGTGCATCTTTTGCCAACCCGGCCCCTGTGGTTGCCATGCGCAAACAGTGTTCCTTGGAGGTTGGCACTGGTAGCCTTGCCCATCACCATTATTGATCCGAGAAAGGCTAACATTAGCTTTTGAATTCGCCAAGGCATCTGGGCTGTATTATTGCTTTTGAAACCCCTCACTGTCTGCTCAAAAGAGGTTTGTACGTCTCTACCGCTGGCTGCGCCAAGCCGCGAGCCTTGCGACTTCCATCGTTCTTTACAGCATTCGCCTTTAATCCATGCCATTGGTCCCCGCGCTAAATCGGTTGACTTTCCATTCACTGATCAACGCTTTGGCGCACGTAGCCTGAGACTATTTTCTTGCTTTCATCACATGCTGAACAATCTCAAGTATATACTTTCGAGGAGATTCCCTTCGCAACTTTGCGCAGACTTTACAACAGCTCCAACACGGTCTCTCTATAGAAGGCCAATACGATTCCTGGCATAACTGGCCATGCTGTTACCTGATCGTTCATCGAATTTCCCGGCTGATCGACAGCGCATTCACGTATTGGTGAAGACCGCTTGGTTGTCGCTGCTTAGGGCCTTACTCATTGCGGTCGAGGAAGCTCGGCTTGGTATGCCGAGCTCTCTCCTAGCTTTCCTGCAGAGTTTCCGGCTTGTGGTAGGAAGGTGAGTGACCTGTGACCTGCCGCATACTTGATGCGCGAGTAAGTGGGTGGCAGTCATACATAGCAGACGCTTGTGGGGTGGCACGACTAGCCTGTATCAGCATCTCGTACTGGTAGGCGCGTTTAGCTGTCTTTCCGGCTGCCAAGTGGCCGGCGGAGTCTTGGTGAGAGAAGGGCGGAGAAGCGATAATGTCACAGCTGACCTTCCAAGAAACAACCAAGACCCGCAATCCCCCTCTCCTCCTCTTGGCAAGCCAAGACCACCGTTACCCGCGCAAAGGGCCAAGCAAAGACGGAGAGTATGGAAGACACTCCAGTGAACCCAGATGGATAGCGACATAATGAGATCAAGGATGTATTCCCGGTCATTCTGACCCATCATTTCAATCAAACCCTGACGGTCGAAGAGAAAGCAAAAGTGCGAGAAGATAGGCAACACCATCAGACAAGTCCGTGACGTAGGAAAACGGGAAATAAGGATATCGTCTGCGCAAGCGCCCCTCTCTGTGAGTAAAACTTCCGCCAACCCCGCTCTCTCCCTCCAATCTTCCATCTCGCCCTACCCGCATGGACGATCCCTCCTCCCTTCATCCCGTTCTGACTCGAGCTACCCGCATATCCGTGCACCCGTCTTGCCTGAAGCAAGTGTTCAACTGCAAAGCCATGGCACATTATTACCAAAGCCGATATTGACCGCATACTTGCGGCATCCGCAAGTGTCGTCCCATTCTCGCAGCGCCGAGCAAACCCACCCCAACGAGTCCCAAGCACACGAACATCACAAACGGCCCGGCTGCGGTGTATGTGTGATGCGGCCAGCACATCACATGCACACTTATACACACACGCACACACACACACACGCCCGTCCGCCGCGCTGCCGAGACTGGGGAGTCAGACCGCGAATGCCCCAGTCCTGCAGCGCGTTGCTCCTCTCGCGTGCCATGCCATGCCACTGACGCAGTCTGGAGCTCGCAAGGGTGCCCCATTCGCCTCTAGTAACCATTCTCCTGCTCCAACAGCGTATGCCTCGGTTCCTTTCCAAGCCAAGTACACTACTGAAAAGCACAAGGGGGGAAAAAGAAGAAGAAGAAGAGGCGGCGCTTGGTAGCCAAGCGAAACAGTCATCTTCCCGTCCGGCCGGCTGAATGCTCTCTTTTTTTTCTCTTCTCCGGCTGCAGCCAAGGAGGAGGATTTTTGCCCTAATCTTTTCTTTAGGCGGTCTGGGGCCGAGAGAGAGGAAGAAAGGACGCATTCTCGGCCCCAGACCATGTGCTTCGGAACAAACTCCCCTCCCCCCCAATCCCGAGATGCGTCGAATCGGAAAAGGGAGAGATGCGATCGCTCAGCAGCCAAAGTCCAGCTTATTGAACAATTACGTCGTCTAGGACGGAAAGTGGGAGGTGCGAGCCAAGGGCTCGGTATTTCCGAGCATCTAAGACTGTGCCAAGATATTTTCTTGGTATGTACATACATACTATGATCCAGAGTGGAGCCGATCCGGGCTGCCACCATGCGCGCTTTCTGCGCCACCCTTGCTCAAGTGATGGTGGAACACAAAATTCGAGAACTTTTGAGGGAGGTAGTATTTCGCTCTGCCATCTGTAGGCTATGATATCTCAAAAACAAAAAATAAACATATCCTTACACCTTTTTTCTCCGTTGTTGCAAGTACAGTGCGTACAAAATGGTCGGATGCACAAAAAAAAATCTCGACATGCACACAAGTTTGGGTATAAACCGGTTCCCACACACCGCCGTTCCTTAGTCCGCCTAGAGTTCCCGTCCACAAGTAAAAATCAAAAACCCTCGCTCCAAGCCGTATTGAAAAGATGAAAAGGTTGGTATCGAAAAAGGTTGCCGCCAGAATGGATTGGTATGGTTCAGATGGCTTCCCAGCGGCTGTTTCGCGGCCGCTCAACCCCGTGAAAGGCTGCAGGCTCCAGTGGTGACCGCGGCCGCTTTGCCCAAAAACGGACCAATCCACCTGTCAAACTCAACAAACGCCGGATCCCATACTCCACTGGCTATGCATCGTCGAAAGAAGGTACACCTGTAGTACAACAGCCCCGTGTGCAGTGTCCGGTAGGACGAAACGAGGCTCAATGCTCCTTGATATCACTCAAGTCACACCGGTCTCTGTGAATGTAGAGTTGCGCGTCTTTATGTTCGTCATGTCGTGGTCGCGGCGATGTATTTCAAGCGCCGTGCTGATAAGGTAGGATTGAAAGATGCACCCATGGCCATCATCTCAGGGCCCGGAGAAGCCAGGATTCCCAGTACGCGCGAACGGTGAGAACAGCCTCACGGCCATCGTTGTGGTCGTCCATGGGGCCTGGGTCGCCGATGATGGCAGCGAAAATCCAGAACGAGGCGGAGATCCAGGCGGCAATGGCAACGCCGATGGCGACGAAAGGTGATAGGAGACAGACGATTAATAGTAGAGGGGTGTTGTACATGGACGACAGGGGAGCGCTGTAGATGAGACGGAACTGCAGGCGCAGCGAGGGGCTGAGGAAGTCGACGAGTTGCTCCCGGTAGTTGGGACGCATGCTGCAGAAGCGCAGCGGCTGCAGCAGGGCAGCAATGACGACGGCGAACAGAGTCCAGAGCGAGATGGCGAACGAGACGAGGCAGGCAAAGCCGGAGAGATGGAGCTGCGAGACGGGTTAGCGCGGCGGCGGACGGGGGCACCGGCTTCGGCAAAGACGTACGAGGATCTTGAAGGCTTTGTCCTCCAGATCGACCTCGTCCGCATCGGCGGGAGGGTAGGGGTCCGGGGCACCGCTCGCGGACAGGTGGTTCCTGACGGAGCGGCGGTTGTTGGACTGAGGGGCGTAGCTCTGCTTCTCCAGGTCTAGCACCATGCTGCGGGGCGGGCTGGCGCGCACGACGGGCTGGACGGGCAGCGACAGGGCGGCCTTCTCGTCGTCGTCGGCGGCGAGGGGCAGCGACTGGGCGAGGCTATGGCGGGCATCGCGGGCATCGCGGGCATCGCGGCTGGTATTTGAGCTGGACGAGGCGCTCTGCGAGTAGAGTTGGCCGGGCGAGCTGGGCGTGGAGATGACAGAGTCGTGGCCGGAGGGTGGGTACGCGGCGGGCGCGGGTTTTGGCGAGGAATGCGGCGAGCCAGGGCGGCGGGGCGCAGGGGCGTGCGAGGGCGGTTTGGGCACGCGCTGCGTCGCGGCGACGACGACGCTGGGAATGGCGTCGCATGGCGACGAGAGGCGGCGGGTCTGGCGGACGGGCCTGCTGGGCTCGCGGTGCAGCAGGGCGGCCGGGGCCGGGCAGGCGATGGGCGTCGCCATGGGGGGCAGTGGGAGGTCTTGGCAGCGCTCAGAGGGCCGGCATGGGCGGAGGCGGGGAGCTTCTTGTACGGCGGTCGAGGGGCGCGCGGGTGGGTGGTGTGTAACGTGGTGCCATGACATATAAGAGGAAGGGGAGGTCCCCTTCGGGAGGAGAGCGAGGACGTGGACTACATTGATGATTGATGTGCTTGGGGTTGCGGTCTTGGAGACTTGGCTGTCCACACAGTCGGCTTGGCGCCGCGCCTGGCCCAATCAGCGCCCGCGCCCGCACGCTGCGTCCGCCGCCCAGCGCTGCTGAGACGCTGCCTCTGGCTCGGTCCAAGGCGGAAGATGCGGCACCAACTGGACCACACGCCCCTATGCCACTCGACGCTCCCAAGCTCTTGTCGCTCGCGCCGCCTGATTTTCGCGTGCGGCCCGCCAAGCACCCAGCCGCGCTAGCACCCGGCGTCGTCGTCGTCGTCGCCTCCGTCGGCTCTGTCGTCTCCGTCGTCGCCGGCGCCGCTCCACTCGCCGGCTGCGCGGCACGCTGGCTGCATCACGGATGCGACGCAGGGGCGGGGGCCGATCTGTTTGCGTGCTTGCGTGCTGGGTGAAACGGCGCCGCCGTGCCGCCCGCTTTGTGCTGCTGCTGAGGGCGGCCGGCGACTGCCTTGCCCATCGCCCTCACGTGCGCCTTGGCGCAGCCCAGCCCAGCGACCGAGCGACCGCGCGCACACGACTCCGCCGATCGCCGTGTCGCCGGGAAATCACCATGCCGTCACCAAGCCCACGAGCACCGCGCCCAGCACCGCGCCCGTTTGCGTTGCACCCGCTGCTGCGCGCGGCCAGCTCGTACTGCAGCTCCACGGCTCCACCGCCGCGTCGCTGTGGCGGGCCCGGCCAGCCATCGGGCCCGGCGCCCACGAGAGCCAAGGCGCGTGTCCGTGGGAAACAGCGCACGCCGCCAGCTGGGCTCTCACCTGGCCGGCCTTCCTGGAGAGGAGGGGGCGGAGGCCCGACTTGCTGAAACCACTGCCAAGCCGCGCCGGCCGCCCGTCTGCTCGACGCGGCTCGCCCAGCACTGGCCGCCGTACCTGCTGCATGGCCTGCATCCTGCGCGCAGCCCTGTGTTGTTTGTTTGCCGCTGCCGCCGGCCCAGGCCGAGCACATGGGACATGGCCGCCTCGCTTCGTTTGCGCACTGTCGTCGTCGCGAGTTGGCGTTACGTCAAGCACAGGCGCGAGCCGCGCTTGGCCTGCTGCGCCGACTGACTGATGAGCTTTCCGCCGTGACACCAGGCCAAGCTACTCCGTTCCTCCAGCCCGCCTAAGAGCCTGGGCGCTGCAATGCGCTGCTGTACGCTGCGCCGCCATATCCCCGAGCCCGCCGACCATCACCACCCTCCCTGGCTGCCACCCGGAAACAAAGGCTGCTCCAAGCTTTTACATGGTCTTGCACCCCGCCGACTGACCAGATCCCATCGGCTACCCGGCATCGCGCTCAATTTATGCCTTGGAGATGAGGCGTCGTCTAGAAACCGTGGATGATCGACACGCAATCGTGCGACGGGCGAGACGAGGGCATGGGCCTGCCCGCCCGTGTCACGTGGCAACTTGTGGAGATGCTGGTCCTTTGGAAGCCAGCTTTTGGCCGCTGCGTCGGCTCTGTCCACCCTGCTTTTCCCTGCCATCATCTCCACGGCATCTTTCTTCCGTGCGCCATGCTTGCTGTGAAGTTTGATCTGCGCCGTCCCCGAACCGTCGCAGCTGCATTGACGACCGGGATACGAATCCTTCCTCTGCACATCGACTTCTCCGACCATGGCTGTAGCGAATCGAACTTGCCCATGCGTTTCAACCCCGTCAGCAGCCTATTTTCTGAACATTGCCGATCCACGCGGGAATACCCGAACCCCCAGCCCAACACCATCTCCGTCTATCCGACTTTCCTATTCGGGAATCCACTAACGCCAACCCATCAGCCCGACTCCGTCCAACGATACTTCTCCCACAGCGCTTCGCACTTGATGACAGTCCTCTGAAGACCATGGTGGTTAATTGTGAAATCCTTGACACTGCTAAGTTGAACGTATGCACTCAAAAAGTAGCGTCGCTCACCCGTTCCCACGTGTTCTACGTGTGTTCAATTTTCAAAGGATACCAATTGTACATCATGAGGGGACAATCTTCTTTCTACAAGCCACAATTCTGGAACCCACCCAACCAACCTTTTTCATAGAGTGCCCAGCATTCGTCTTCGCTGAAAATTCGCGATAGCCCCTACTGATCTCCTTGACCTTCGAAGCGTTGAGCCCAAAGACCATGAGCAATGAGGATATGTCTCTGCTCAGTGTACTTGACCGTATGAAATGGCTGGCGCATCGATTAGCTCCGCAAAATTTTTCGGAGCTATGAAGCGTAGTGGCAGTGACGACGATCAACGCCGTGCATCCCCGGTTTCCGGCTTTGTCGGAACTGTCGAATTCTTGTTGTTCATCTTAGTTACTTTATCCGACATCAAAATCAGCCGCATCCCCGTCCACCTAAGCTTCGTGATCACGAAGCAACTGTTCTCGACGATCCGATGGCAGGCACCACGGTCCATGACCGAGCCCGCATATGGACATCAGTATGGCAACAGCCTACTCCTCTTCGGTGAGCGTTTGCATTGCATCAGACGATACCTTGCAGTCCGGCCCCGTCAAGTCCAAGTGCGAGTCTGCTGTCTTCTGTTCCGCATGCCTCAGTTCCAACTCAGCATTCGTTTCGGGCTTCGACATACCTTCTGTCCGTAGTAGAGAGTCCGGCTTCTCAAGTATGACGTTTGACTTTGCGGCTGTTTTTCAAGCCTTATGCCGTTTTCCTAATGCCTTGCTTAACATCAAAGCGTAGTCATCAACTGGCTTCCTCGTCAAAGATTCCTCAGATCCGTGGTCTAGCACTTATTTCGTTAGTGATATTGTTGCTCATGGCGAGAGGCAATTGGCTTGATGTTTGAGGGTCTTGCTTGTTCTCGGACATTATAGGCCTACTCCTAAGGTTGCGAGGAGCCTTACTTAGTGTTTCGGTTCTATATTAAATTGGTAAAACGTAGATGTGTCGATTAGCTAAATACCGTTTGGAACTACTCGGTACTGAACAAGTCAATATACGTCGTAGCCGTTTCCTTATATCTACCAAAAGCCTTCAAATATTTGAAAGGAGAGAAGGAGGGCGAGAGAATATAAAGAAACCTATTTTCTAACGAGTTACGAGATTAAATTTTTGACAAGATGAGAAGCTGAATATCCAAGCAGGTTGATAGGGGTCTAGTGATTCTTATAGTAGCGGGGCATCGCACTTTCGGTAGTCACCCATGGGTACACTCCCGGGGCAGAATCCTTAAACGAATCAAGATTCATGTTCCGCTGGAACTTTACATCAATGATCGGGAGCATGCATTTAATAATATCATTTACGGGGCCGTTTATTGAGCGTGGTACACAGACCAAAACTAGCTAGCACACACTACTATTAGTAAGAGGGCTGCACATCGTGTAAATCGTAGAAGCTCTAGCTGATCACCTATTTTTAGTCATCTCTCTGTCTTATCCGTATCTTTAGCGGACTAAAACCCTTCAGGTTTCTAGTGTTGCGTACTACAGCATGTCATCAGTTCTCACTGCGAGGCCCATGCTATGGTATTTAGCTACTTTAGGTTTTTTAACAGAGAAATAAAGAGGTGTATCTAATTAAATGTTGTCAGATTCATCCGTTGTGACTCGCGATCAAGCAGTTTGTGGAACAGACAAACTTCAATCTGACCGGCTAGTAAACCAACGGCGAAAGGCTCGTGAAGATTCTGGTATTTTCGGCCGTAGATGGGAGAGCTTGATAGAGTACCAACGAAAGTAGAGCAAGCGAGCCGTGCTTCTTTCTGAAGTCTGATTATGATTCCTCTCAAGTTGCCTGTAACATACATTGATCTTGAAGTAATCCAGGGAAATAAACTCAACTACGAATTTACGAAGGCTGCTCTAACGCTAAGAAGTACGTAAAGGTGGAGCCTGCCAGGATGAAATCTGTATCTATTGCCAATGACCTGCAAATAATGCTAAATTCGTACACCTTTCCGACGAAGTCTCGCCCACGGAAAGTTTTTTATTACCAAATCCCGCAACGGGGCAGTGGCCGCAAAATCATTTCACATGTACCGCTCCTCGTGCCACAAAACGCACCGCTTTCTTCACTACGACGCGAAAGTAGACCTCCGTTGTTACAATAAAATATCACCCAGATTCCTCGACCCGCAGGATTACTCCAAAAGCGGCAATCGGCGAGCAATGACGTCACACAATTCTCGTACTGCTTTGAAGGCCAACCATCACCATCGGTTAAATTGTTCCTCCTCCCCCACCCATCTCGCGTCGCTTTCCTCCGACCACACCCACCGTCCTGCATCCGATCACGTCCCCCGTTCTCGCTCGACCCGATCTAGACACCGATCACGTAATGCATGACACATGTGAACAACGATGAGTCCCCGTTTTTTTCGCACATCAGTTTTGTTGTCGAAGAGCGGCGGCGGGGAACATCGGCGAAGCAGGTTCTCGACCCCGGCTCGAGAAGAGGCCCTTTTCTTCTTCGCTCTTTCTCTAACCCGCCTGCCGATGTCGGCTGGGTAATAGCGCGGAAATAACCTCTCCCTCGCATGGACGCTTGATCGCTACGATAACGGTCTTGTATGTCGTGAAAAGAATAAGGGAAATGAAGAAAGTGATGGAATGTAGCGGAGAACGAATTGCGACGGTGATTGGTTGTACGTAAGAGGGCCCTAATCACGTGTAGACCACTTCGTCTGTGCAGAAGAGGTCTTGGTGACAGCGAAGCGAGGACTATAGGAGGGGGTAAAAGTTTGACTTCTCTTTTCTCTAGCATCCATGCAAGCCTCCTCATAGTCCGGCATGCAATACGTAATGATGGAGTAATAGTAGAGGCTGGCCCTTCCCCGCTCGTCGTATACTTTCAACCAAATCCTTCCCACAGTCCGTGTTGGTAACCTTTTGGCAGATCCGATTTGATTGGATACAGTTCTTTCGACCAATGATGATACTGGTCCAGCTCCTGTAACTGGTGAAGAGAAAAGCCTCCCTACGTGATCTGCGTTTGTCCATAAAAAAATGCTTGTCTGCCTGTCTGTCCTATTGTATCCCATAGTTAAACCCAAGCTTGCATTACCCCAAGAAAGAGAAAAAGAAAGGGAAACCTCGGGCACCGGCCACATGCAATTTTTTTCTCTTCCAGTTATGCTTCAAAGCCGACCGGAAGCCAACCATCCAGCCTTATATCCATAAAATTTCACGGTCCTCCTTTCCTGCTACCGTGATCCCTGTAGCATCCCATCATCAAGTGCTCCCCACTTCCGACATGCCAACCAAAAGAGAGTTGAAGGGTACATGACATCGCCCTCCGATTAAGCTTGAACGCCTCCAGACCATGGGCCTTGGAATGAAAAAGAGTGCTGCTCCGTTGCGCGCATGTGCTGCGATCGATGATGCTCTAAAAACGTGTAACCTTCAAGACCGTATATGCCAAGAGAAAAAACGTCGAAGAGAAGAAAACAGGGGTAGGTAAACGGGAAAGATATCAGAGGAATAATATGCCAACCTTGCGATATACAGAGGGGTACCTCATATCTTCATGAGACAACCAAACCGAGCATTGCGTTGGACACTTGAGAAAACGTCAAGAGGTCAAGGCCCAATCGTGGCCGTCATTACGCGGGATTCGACTCGGGCGTTCCAGGAGCATCCGAAGCCTCCTGATGCTTTGCGCTGCTGCCCTTCGATCTGAACGTGCTGACAGCAGGGATATCCGCCTTTAGCCTCTGCTCCTGAGTCGAGTATGCCTTGGGCGTGAGCTTGATGAGCGTGTGCAGCGGAACCTCCATCCAAGGGCTGCGCTCCTGGGGGACGTTCATGAAGTAGGCGTAGATGCAGCGAAGGATGGCCTGGTGGGTGACGATGAGAATGTTCTCCGAGCGCTCCAGCTCCATGATGATGGGCTCGAGACGAATGACGACGTCACGGTAGCTCTCACCGCCAAGGTAGCGGTAGTTGTACTTGTCCTCGTCGCGCTGCTTGAAGTCGTCCGGATACCGCTCCTCGATGTCAGCGTACGTCAGACCGTCGCACACACCCGAATCAAGCTCATCCAGCGCCTTCCACTCCAGCTTCTCAAACTCCAGGAACCGCGCCGTCTGGATGGTGCGCTTCAGTGTCGATGTCCAGACAGTAAGCTTCCGCCCGTCGCCCACGGATTGTTTGACCAGCTCAGGGAGCTTCCGCGCGTATAGCTCGCCGCGTTCCGAGATGTCGGCATCGCCTCCGATTTTGCCGGAAAGGTTGTATTTCGACTCGCCGTGCTGTGAAGGTGTCAGAAAGGCAATTGGTAGACATGGACGCGTGAATGACGTACGCGTGACAGCCAGATCGACCGCGGCTTGATGTGGAGATTCATTAGGTAGTACACAACACGACTCTGCAGGTAATCCTGGATCTTGTTGATAATGACCTGTTTACCGACGTCGATGAGCTTGACGTAGGTCAGACTGTACTCGTCCTCGTCAATCGTCTCGTAGACTTTCTCGTAGTTGCGGATGCGATTGCGGAAGTCTTGAGCGGCGAGCTCGGGGTCCTGATCCTTGTAATCCGGGCTGGTGGTCTTGACCTCCAGGATGTTCTGCATTATGAGCTCCTCATCGTCACATTTCGACTCGACGAACAAGGTGTGAATGTTTTCTTCATCACAGCGCTGCTGGATCCAGCGACGGCGGCTCTTGGTGCTGTTGGTGGCATCGAGGATGGCAACGACGCCCAGGCCCTGCTTGAACCATTTGACCATGTCACTGACGGCCGCCTCGGCGGCGGCCTTGCGCAGGCGCTCGCCCTCCGGATTTCCCGTGTCGAAGAAGTCGGCCGAGGGTGTGGGCGTGGCGGTGCGGCGGTACTGACCGACATTGAAGGTCTTGGCGCCGATGGAGAGCCAGTGGAGGTATCGCACGACTAGGCCGCAAGACAATTGCCCCTGTTAGCCAATGTTCCACGCAAGTCTCGCGACATGGGCTGAGGCCCCCACATCTCATGCCACCCCCAGCGCCTCCCCCACCCGGCTCACGAGAGGCGCTGGTGGGCCCCGCGAACCCCAGGCTCTCCAGTCTCCAGACCCCAGGAACTCACCTTTGGTGGCAATCAGGCTCTTGCCGCGCGCGGGCAAGCCGACCATGACGACGCAGATTCTGGTGTCCTCGGCCTGAACGCCGGAGCCGTTAGTTTTTCTGTTTGGGCGCGCGAACTCGCCCGGAGGCACTCTGCGCATTTCCTGTCTGAAGACGCCGTTTGTCTCTGCCATGGTGGGCGGTGCGGGGGGCGGGAAATAGAGGGACGAAGGGTGCGAGGAATTCAGAAGAGGACAGCGCGGCAGCGAGCTTAAGAAGGCGCGGCGGCGGGGAGAGAGCGGCGGATCGATGTGTAATCAGGAGACGGCGAAAGGAGAGGTGCGGCGGGCCGAGCTGGGTGCGGCTGATGGTCCTGGGGTGCGTAGGGCAGTTGCTCGACCCGAGACGTTCACGAGGGCCAATTGAGGCGTGCGCTCGCGGGGGGGTCGCTCTGGCGGCCGGCGGGCTTGATTCGAGCGGGATTGCGGGCAGGCGTGCGGACCGGCGGCGGCGGGCTCGACTATTTGGGGAGTGCGGTGGCGGCGGAGGTGCTGGCGGCGCGGGGGCAGGCGCGATCGTGAAAGGCGGTAGGAGGGAGAGGCGAGGTGGAGCGAGAGGGAGAAGGTCGGGTGGACGAAGGCGCCTCTACGTGGAGCTGGTGACGGCGTTTGTGGGAGATCGATCTAGCTCGGCATTACAGGCGGCGGGCGGAGACTCGCGTGTGGGCGGCGTGCAGGTTGATCGTCCCCTTCCACATGCTCGCGCCCTTACTGCTTGCAACGCGCCGCCCAGGTGCGCATCCGCCTGACCGCCTGGTGCCCCCGGCCCCCGCATCCCCGGTCCAGCGCCGCACTCACGCCTCCAGCGCCGGCCCTGTGCGGCGCGACATGCGCCCGGCGCGGCTGAGTCAGCGGGGCGGGCAGGCGCGGTGACGCACGCGGGCGACGTCGCAGCAGTTCCTGGACCCTTCCCGCGGTGCTCTCGACCGCCGGCACGGGCTGAAGGCGTGGTGGGGTGCTGCATCATTTCTGTGGGCCTGCGTGCGCGCCGCTGCCCCCTGGCCAGGCCTGCGCGCCCATAGCCGGCCGTCGATGATTTTTCTTCCCTTCGACGTGTCGTGTGCCTCGAAAGCTTTGACCGGCGACGAGCGCTCCCGGGCGCCCGGCCAAAGTTCGCCGATTCTCGGGAGCCAAGGGCAGGTGCGGCAGGTGCGGCAGGTGCGGCAGGTGCAGCAGGTGCAGCCCACCGCAACCCTGACGCTTCCGGCCGGCCAGATTGTTGTTCGTTGGTCCAGCAGAGAGGGAGCCGTCCACGCCACGGCGATCGCCATGCCCAAAACGAAAATAGCAGAGACGGTCACTGGAAAAGCACTTACCATGCTGATGCTGTAGTTTATCGCCCCCGAGTAGCCGCTGCTGCCCGGCCGTGCCGTGGCCATCGTGCCCGCCATTCTCTCGTGATGCTGGTGTTTTTCCGCGCCGCGCGACTCGTTTTCCGGGCTCGTTCGTGTCGACCGCAGTTTCAGGGCTGAAGAAGGTTCTCCAGCGGGTCAAAGCTCTCCCGCCGGATGGCGCCTGGGTGTGCGGCTCGTGTCGTCCCTTCCGCAGTAGTTGCTCTTCCGCCCGGCGCGCCGGCTTCTGCTGCCAGGTGATGCCGTCGTAAGTGCCGCTTCCTTCCTGTCAGCACACGAGGACGGTCTGGGCCTGGATGCGCGGTTGGAGATAGGGGCTGCTGCGGGCAAACGGGCAAACGGGACAACTCAACGCTCAGTCCACCGCCTTTTCCTCGCCGTAGCAATGCGCCGCTGCCGTCGAGTCCAGGTAATCGCACACTCGTTGCAATTCAGAGCGCGCGTGTCGGTCACGGAGTGCGCTGGGGATCGAGTGAAGGGCTGTCTCTCGGGCTGAAGGCTGGCGGGTCGTCGCTGGCGGTTTATCTGAAGAATCTGATCTCCGTGACGCATTGCGCAACCCAATGAACTGTCCACGCTGCGTGTCTTCTCGCTTCCGCTGCCTCTTATCGCCCAGCCCACCACGACGTATCAAGCTTGCAGAATGCCTGACGCCATGGCCAATGAGAGCCATGCCATGCCCGCCCGTGTCACGACCAGCAGTCAGCCCGAACATTCTTGTGCAATGCCCTCAGTCTGCCCACTTTTCACTCTGATCACACCTTGTCCGCTATGGTGTGCCCAAAAGTCCATGGGTGTTTAGCTATGCTATTTACAGAATATCTTGTTGATGCCCCACGCTAAAGGAGCAGGCAAACTACTACCCACCAAGCAAAGGAGGGATAAGAAGAATAGAGGGAAATGACTAATTCAGATCATACATCGTGATCCCGCCTTACTAGCGCCTAAAGAAGATACTAAGCAATACCATTACCTTTTCGTCTTGGCCGTGGCTTTGCCGTTATCATGGTCTCGTCCAAGTAGTGATGAAAACATATCGCACGGTAAACCATCCGTCAACCGCAGCTTTTTGTCGTCAATACTCCAGCTCACCGCTCCCTCACGCGACCGCCTGTGCATGTCCCATCCTTATCCCTTGCGACTGGGAGACGTCGCCATCCGTCCCGTTGCCTTGTCTCCCTCCACCACTAGTCAACAAAGCCACCAAACTCTGAGCAGCCGCCAACCTTTCTCTTCTCGCTGCTCCGTTGCGCTCTTCGCCTCTTTTCGTCATTTCATCATCCACCCACTCCACTCTGCTGACTTTGTAGCTACATCCCTCGTGCTGTCTCCGCGTGTGACTCTTGATGCCGTAACACACACTGCCCTTGTACTCAGTCAGGCATGGTAGAATTGTAACCGTCACATGCGCGTCGAGTCCGGCTGGCGGAGGCGCCGGCTGACTGGGTTTTGACACCAACACTTGAGACGGATCCGCTTCAGACAGTGGCTCGCTGCCACCATTGATGCGTGGGTCGAGCATGTTGACATCGACATCCTCAGGCCAAGCGCCACGGATCCAGCCCGAGTGGATCGCTGCGGCGACCACGTCTGAGTCGTGCGTGTAGATCTCCGATCCCCACACTTGTCGACTCATCACTATCACGTCTCGTTGCCGTTCACTCAAGTAGTACCGCGGAATACGGACGGTGAGTGTGCAGTTCTCCTTGCCGGAATAATCCGGTAACGCCGAGGGGATCGATCGGAACCCATATCGGTCATCGATGCTGGTATTCTTGGACGGCGGCGGCGCTGTCGTTGCTTCGTACACAACACTGCCAAGATGATAACGAGGTAAATCCTTGACCTTGTCGAGGACAGCTTGGCTATTGACCTCGATGATCGGCTTGGTAGCTGGGATCGGTGGGACACTGCTGGTCACTCTTGGAGCGTGGTGGTGATGATGATGATGATGCGCGGGATGAGGAGCATGGTGGTGATGGTGATGGTGATGTGCTGGCGGCACAATGGACGGCATGTTTTGACCTTGTACCCCATTCATTTTACTGAAAGAAGTCGGTGTGGTGCTCGCCTGCTGATGTGCAATTACCATATTCTGCTCCTCCTCAGCACGGTGATGGTGACTGTAACTTGTTAGCTGGGAAACTTCTCGTCAAACGCACAATTTAACATACTGATGGCTGTAAAGGTGGTGATGGTGATGGCCTGGGTGGTTGTGTTTCGGACGCTTTGTGTTCCTCTGTCCAGTAAGACTTGGAGTTATCCTGCCATCGTTGCTATCGCTCTCAAGTCTGCCGTCTTCATCCTTCACCTTTCGGCTTCTTCTCGCCCCACGAGACCCAGTTCGGCCAAGCGGGTCCAAGTCACCAGCTTCTCCGTGGGTCATTGCGTCCCTGTTTTGAGGGAAAGGGCTGCCGCGTGTTGGTGTAGCAGACCCATGGGGCGCGCTAACCAAACCACTGCCCAATCCCGAGAACATGCGTCCGAATTCGTTCTTGATGGTGGGATCTCCGCCGGGAACGACTGGTTGAGCTTGTGCTCCCTGCACGGCCTGAGGTAAAGGCGACGCACGTCCAGTACGTCTTGCCTCAGGACTTACTCCCAGGAAGGATCTAGACTTCTGCATCTCCTCACCCTGCGGCTTCGGGTGATACTCGTAGGATGACGACCTTGGCGCGTAACCATTGTGAGCCTGTTGATGGCCAATCTGATCGGCTCGCCTCCGATCCATGCTGCTTGGATCTGACGTTGGTGGGCTTTGATATTGTTCCGCTACGCGCCTGGCGGAGTCGTGGCCAAGAGTATACCTCTGGTGATTGTCAGCGGCTGGGACATGGACTCCCATCGCTCCCCGATTGAAGCCCATCATCGGGCCGGAAGTAGCGCCGGGCGTGCCACGAGTTCCGTGCTGGAACGGATCGCGGTGCTCCTCCAAAGGATGTTGAGTGGTATCCCCTGCAGCATGTGATCTGGGCTGCGGATGCCAGAACAAGCTTCTTGGCGGCTGGCTACTGGCTTGTTGAGATTGTGCGATATTATTTCGTTGTCTGTCCGGGGCATCGAAAAGTGAATGGGACAGAGGCTGCACTGTAGAAGGTCGCTCCCTTCCACCGGTTTCCAATCGAGAAGTATCGCCGGCATTCAAGCTTCCATGTCGTCCATGATATGGATGATCTTGAGCGACTCTACGCTCTTCCTCGGACTGTCCAAAAAAGGCCCTCCTCGCGGCAGCCGGGTCATAGGCATCCCTAGGTTCGCCTTGAATGGCAGGTGGGGGATGACTGGGTTGGCTGTTAGGCCTCGGTGGTGCAGAAGAGGCACCTGGACGAGGATCCGCACTGCTCGGCTCGCTTCGAGATGGTTGATGGCGGTAAGGACCGCCCGTCTGTAATGGCGCTGGCTTGTAGGGCTGTGACGATGGAGGTAATCCTTGGCGCTGCAGCTCAGGAGAAGCCGTCGATGGCCCCGCAAACGACCGAGGAGGAGAACCGGAGACATACACAGGGCGATCCGACGGCCTGCTAGCTTGGGGATACTCAGGGGTCTCTGGCCGTCGATACTGGGAATAATCCATCCTGGTACCGCTGACAAGACTTCTGCGAGGGGAAGGCGGGTGCATGGAGTTCAGGCTCGGAGATGGTGCAGTGGCGGACGATGGGGGAGAGTAGTGTGATTGCGACTGGCGTGACGCGGCGGCTGATTCAAACCCACCCATCAGGGAGGAGATGGACATGTTACTGCTGGATCGCGGCGGCCCCACCAAGCCAGGCAAATCACGACTGGTGGAGAAAGGTGGTGGGGGTGGACCTCGTTGAGAAGCATAGTGCGGCAGCGAAGCGCTCTGCTGAGGAGATGAGGGTGGCGGCATGTGCCGATTGCTGAACGAGGGGGGCGGTGGAGGCGGATCACGTGCTGTAGCTGTGGTGAGGATCAACGTCGAGTCGAGGAGCTGGGGTGGATCAGGGGCTGTGCGACAGGACACCTACCAGCGTAATATTGCGGAGGACTGCCGCCGCCAAGCGATCGCCGGCGTTGAGCGTCGAAGGCGTAGGGGACGTGCCCGGAGCCATTTGAGCCCTGGGTGAGGTTTGGCGGCGGGGGCGGCGGTGCAGAATTCTGATGCGGGCGCGTGGAGTTGGCAGGCGTCTGTTGCAGCTGCTGGGCGCTCTGCTGATGCTGGATTTGGGCGTCGTGGGCGTGGGGCGTTCCTGTTGCGTCCGAACTTAGCGCAAGATCTCATCCGGCGGAAGCATGCCTAGCGTGCGCAGGGGTCGGGGCCTAGCGTGCCGCGCCCGCGGGTGTGGGAGCACAGGAGCGAGCGAGCTACGCACGCTGCTCGCAGCGCCAAAATCGCCGCCACCGACACTGTTGCGCCCTCGTCCGCGACTGACAGGTACGTGCAAGGAGCCAATGTCTGCATGGTGCGGCATGCTGGGCTGCGGCAGGGCAGGGAAGCCAGGGGCGTGCGCAGACAGTTGGGTCCCGGTGCTTGCAGGCCTGCAGCAGTGAGCATCACCCACCGCGACGTGCATGCAGTGGAGCTCCGTGCCAGCGCAAGCTGCAGCCTAACACCACGCGACCCCAGGGCCGAAATGAGCTGTCTGTTGGGCCGTTTGAGGCGCGCCGGGCCGCCGCAAGGCATTCGGATGTTTTCTCGCGATGCTTGGCGGCTCGTACCCCGAGTTCTCAGCGCCAAAACAGGGCCCGTTCACGACCGCAGGCGTCCCATTGTCGACCTTGAGCCCGCCAGGCCTGTGGCGAGGCCTGCTGCATCCTGTCACTCCCGCGGTGGCGCGCACTTCGGACGTGTTGTGTCCACACCTCAAGTCCAGGAAATCAAGGAAGCCCTACCGTTGTTGCTCCCCCATCCTCCTCCTGCACTGTCTCTGCTCGACATGCCGTAGCTTCCTCGACGCTGCGTTGCAGCAGGCAAGAACGGGTCGCGGCGCTGGAACGGATCGGAGAAAGGCACGTGGACGGGCGGCTGCGAGGCCTGCGGTGGTTGGTACTGCGGATACGACGGATGCGGCGGCGGTGCGGAGGTGGTAGGCGGGTGGTGGTTCGGGTTTTGGATGAGTTGAGGCCGCTGGGGAGGACCTGGCTGTCGCGCGTCCATGATGAGTTGGACGGTGGAGCTGGGCGGTGGGCGTGGCGAGAGGACGTGTACGTTGGCTCAACGAGGGGCGTGCTGCATCGCGGCAGCAGACGACAGGCGGGGCGGCGGTCGCAGGCTCGCGGCCGTTTTGGTGGTGAGGTTATGGTTTGGGTTGACGCAGCAGTGTGGGCGCGCTTCCTGAGGAGAGAGCTTTGCAGGGCAGCCGCTAGCATGTAAACGCCTTGGATGGGTCCGTGTTCCCCACACCCTGGCTGGCTGGCCCGCCCGCTGCATGCTGGGCCAAGACCGCGCTCTGCCCGTCGCCCGCGCGCCAGAGCAAAGGTTTGTTGTGACATCGACGGCACCCCTGGTCGCTGTGCCTGTTGATCGCGCCCGGCCAGCTGCCCGCCGCTGTCGACGCCTTGGCGGCCCGGCCGCGTCTCTGCGCACCGTTTTGCTGCGAGCGCAGCCGCCAGCGCCTGAGACGGATCGCCGTGCGCTCCTTCACCGGCGCCCGCTGAAGTGCGCGACGCGGCGCGTGGCCCGAAGCCCACACACCGACCACCTGCACGACTCAGGCGGTCAGCCCCGATAACAAAACAACGGTCCTTCCGCTCTCAACTGGCTTCCCCATAGCCCCTCCCGAATAAATAGCTAGCCACGCGCCTGACCGTCCGCCCATACGCTCTGCCGCGTCGCACCATTCCCAACCCCCGATGAATTGGCAGCCCAGCCCGCAACTCCCGCGCAACACGTCCCCGCTGCCCAACAACAAGCTTTCGCAGTCCGCCTAGATCTCACCGCATCGCGTTCGCAAATGCTCCCCATGCCCGGCACCCCAGCTGCATCATGGGCCGTGTACAGGGCGAAGCTCGGCACTGTCTTTGAAGGCGCCGACCCACGCGTCTGCGCCGCGTTCTGGCTCTTCGGTATGCCGCGGCACCACTGCCAAAACCACGCTCATCTCTTGCTTCTGCCCTTGCCGCCCCTCCCCGCGCACCGGCTGTCCGGGCTGACTCTGCAGGCCTTATCAACAATGTCCTTTACGTGATCATCCTCTCGGCCGCTGTCGATCTGGTCGGCCCCGCCGTCCCCAAGGGCGCTGTCCTGCTCGCCGACGTCATCCCGTCTTTCATCACCAAGCTGATCGCCCCGTACTTTATCCACCAAGTCCCATACTCGGTCCGCATCTTCGTCTTTGTAGGCCTCTCCACGGCCGGCATGCTGTTGATCGCTCTCACGCCCGCGAGCCGTGATGGCGGCGCTATTGGCATACGGATGTTGGGCATCATCTTTGCGAGTCTAAGCTCTGGCGGCGGCGAGTTGAGTTTCCTGGGCCTGACACACTACTACGGTCATTTCAGCCTTGCTGCCTGGGGCAGCGGAACTGGAGGTGCCGGTCTTGTGGGAGCTGGGGCGTACGTGCTTGCCACCACCACCATTGGCTTGCCCGTGCGCACCAGCCTGCTTGCCTTTTCGTTCTTGCCCGTGATCATGCTTGTTAGTTTCTTCTTGATTCTGCCAAGAGGCCCCTTGCAGTCGTCCGCCCGACAGGCTGAATATGAGCGACTGGGAGGTGACGAGGACGCGGAAGATGATCTTCGTGATCCGCTCGAAGACAACGATGGCCTTCTGAGCGCCTCCATGATGTCTGTTTCCGGACGGAGCTTTACCTCTCTCCAGTCAAGGCGAAGCCAGATCTGGAGGAGTCTGCAGGCTAATCTGAACCGCTCTAGGCACCTGGTCATTCCCTAGTAAGTGCTCTCTCTTTATGGTCATACCTCCCTGTTATGCCTCTAGCACTGTGTGTTTCGCTGCCGGATGTGAACTGTGACGTTTTGCGATCGTCGTACCTTGCCGGTAAAGCCAAGGTATCCCCTTGCTGATACAGCCCTACGCAACATAGCATGCTCCCACTCCTCCTTGTCTACATCGCCGAATACACAATCAACCAAGGCGTTGCGCCGACTCTCCTGTTCCCGCTTCCATCGAGCCCCTTCTCCGAGTACCGCGCCTTCTATCCGACGTACAACGCAATTTACCAAGTGGGTGTCTTCCTCTCCCGAAGCTCGACACCCTTTGTCCGCATCCACCACCTCTACGTCCCTTCTTTCCTACAGATTGTCAACCTGGCACTCCTGACCGCGCATGCTGTCTGGAATTTTATCCCTTCGGTCTGGATCATTTTCGTAATAGTCTTCTGGGAAGGATTGCTGGGAGGACTGGTGTATGTGAGCACGTTCGCCGAGATCACAGACAACGTCCCCAAAGCCGAGCGCGAGTTCAGCCTCAGCGCGACGAGCGTCAGTGACTCGGCCGGTATCTGTGCAGCAGGGTTTCTGGGCATGGCCTTTGAAGTATGGCTGTGTGACTGGCAAGTTTCACATGGAAGGGACTACTGCCGAAGGTCTTGAACGCATCTGCCACCTTTGTAGAGATACATTTGTTGAATATTGACTTTTCGCACTTTTTTTTTTGTCTAAGCTGCTCAAAGGATATTGTAACATGCCGTGTTTCGCAGTATATTAGCTGGAACGAAGTCGACCAGCTGTTTGTTGTCTTGAGGTTCGCGAGTCAGTTTCTCGATGGACAGGCGACGGAGATGTACGTAAGTGGAAGGTCTCTCGAAATGCTGATGTGCCAGATGATCGTCGGATTCGCCGCTACCCAGCGGCTTCCGACCCCTTGTCGGAGATCGGCAGTGAATGAGATCACATGAACCAATCGGAAGATAGAAAATTCTTAGCAGGTCAAGTGCGTGCAGCCCCATTGGGCGAGGTGGGAGCCAAGGCCCAGAGCCCCGAGACACTTTGTATGGAGAAATTACCCAAACGACCATACTTGCCTATTTGATGGCTTGCAAGCTTTGTGCAGCCATACAGATATCCTGCGAAAACGGGCAACTCTATATTGCGACTTGTGACTTTGTTAGCAGTGGATCACGACGGAGGCTGAGACCTGTCGGAACTAGAAATGTAAGAAACTATGCTGGTCTAGGTGACGTCCAATCGTGCTCATTGTGTCTGAATCAGCGTTGAACGACTTTTGCTAAATACCGATATGCTATGCTCAAGAGGTACACTGGCCTTGGACCGTTGATGCTAGAATCTTGATTCGATAAGTGGCATTTTCATGTCTTGTGTGATTTCAAAAAGACTGCAGGCTGTTGTTGTAGTTTGACAAACGTGGTGGGCCAATATACGATAGCTTGTTGTTCGGACTCGATTGGCACTCATGACTAGGAGCGTACCATCAAACGAAAAAGTCCCCAGCACCTTCGCTAGTATCTGGGTATGTCCAAGCCACAGACTGTGACTGCCATGAAAGCCAAATGGGCAATTGGAGCGGGAGTTTAGTGAAAGCAGTTGAAGCAAACAACACTGACGTGACCAGTGCTGAGTTCTCATCACCAGTCACGACAGTGGCAAGTATGTGGATGGCAATGTGCTGTCAGTGAGAGAGGTTGAGTGCCTTTGGCGTGGACACGATGATGCAAGCTGAGGTTGGATGACAGGCTCGGTGGCCAGCCTTGGCGCGGGGTGAAGCACAGCGAGCTGGAAAGAGTTGACCGGCAGCAGCGGCTTTCGAGCATGGTGTCGGTCGGGGAGCTGTGAGGGGAGAGCAGTCTCATGTCTCGCGGCAGCAAAGTCGAAGACAAGGCTATGCTGGGCAGCAAGCAGAGGAGAGGCGGACTAGGGGCACGGAGGCAACGAGGCGAGATCCGACGTCATAGCGGGTCGACAGCGGTAGAGAAGTGAGCACAGGGCTGAGATATGGCGCCAGGAGACTGCCAGATGCTGGGCGGGCGGGACTGGGGCGCGGGCGACTTGGAGCAGGCAGAGTGGCGGGTGCGGCGCGGATCATCGCTTTGCCCGCCATGACCAGCACCTTGAGACAGCCAGCCCTTCCCCGTGGTGACAGGCCTGCACCGCGTAGTGGAAGCCAGAGACGGCGTGCACGTGCCGCTGGTCACTGAGAGAAGGCTCCCAGTTGCTTGCGCTGACCCGCGCGCGCGACACCCCCGGCCGCGACCATAAATCAACCCCGACACCGCTTGCCCGACCCAGACTCTTCAACTCCGCAACTGACCCCAACCAGCGCCAGCCCGCCGTCACCGCTGCCGCCCCACCCTGCCCCAGCCGAGCTCCTGCTGCAGCCATGCCCTGCGACATCGAGGACCACGCCGGCCACCACAACTGGCCGGAGCAGGGCGACCTGCGCATCTGGCCGTGTGAGCGCGCCTGCGACTACTGCACCTACCAGGCCCGTGACTCGTCTGCTCTGCGCGCCCACGTCCGCGACGTCCACCAGCCGGGCGACTTCCCGCTCATCACCATCCTGCCCGGCCTGAACCGGCCTCCGGTCTTGTAAGCTGCCCACTCGCCATAGACCCCCCCCCTTTTAATTGCTCCCACTTACCGTCTGCATCCCAAGCAACCCTTCGCTCCACAGGACTCCGCCCCGCCCCGCCCGCTCGGTCAGCGCCAGCAACGGCACCCAGCCCGTGCTCAGCTCCCGCGACATTGACGACGTGGTCCAGCAGGCCCAGGACGACGCCGAGGAGCCGCCCCTGGACGAGGCGGCCGAGCAGAAGCTCGCCGAAGACCCGGACGACTACGACTACCAGGACGGGCCCAGCTCGTCGTCGGCCCGCGGCCGCAAGATCCACGTCACTCCCAAGGCCGCCGCCGCTGCCGAGGAGGCCAACGCCCGCAAGCGCAAGCGCGGCAACCAGCGCATCCCGGGCGAGATCTTCCCCGCCCGCCTGCCCAGGTCCGCTCACAAGCCCTCCCCGTACGGCCCGCCGCGCGCCATGCCCGACTCGATCCGCGCCAACCGTGGCGGCCTGCGTCCGCGCAACACGTCGCCCGACGACGACGAGGACCTCGTCTCGTGGTTCAAGAGCAACATCAACGGCATGTTCTACCTCGGCCACGCTGCCGGCCTCACCCGTCGTGAGATCGCCGTTGCCTGTCAGGAAGTCGTCAACCACTGGACCTTCATCGAGATTGAGGAGTGATGGACACTTCCTCGGCAGGGGAGCCGCGACCACCATACGCCTTGGCACCCATCACCCAACTCCCCAATCGGTTGTTCAGTAACTTGGCGTCCGCTTCGGCTGTCTTTACTCGCTACCATTTCCTTTTCCCACCACGGCAACCGGCAGAGAGGTCTCAGACTTCATACATTGGCCTTCGGAAGCAGCATTGCCGGAGATTTGGCGGCGTTTGTATGGTGCACAGAGCAACTCAATTGGCATTCGGGTGCAAAGTCTCAGACGCAGCTATCTCGGATTTTGGCGTTGCAGTCACGAGAAGTTCCTTGATTTTGGGCTCCGCGTATCGACTACACACTGCATTACCGGGCCTTGTTCTGGCCGAATGGTTTCTTTTCTTTCTGAAGGGCGAAAAGGCATGGGGCGTCGATTTTGCATCAACGGGGAAGATATCCTGGCGATTGGGCGATACTGGTTCGGACATTAGATTCTAGACAGCCGAATGTGAAGCACAGCATGAATTGTGCTTCTCAAAACTTTGGTTTCTCCCAGTAGTGATGTGCAATGCCTTGTTGATTACCACTGGCCATGCCGCATCGTCCAGGAAGGCGAGGACAAGGGCATGCGTCAAGCGGGGGCGGTTCTGCCCGTGATGTGCACAGCTTGTTGTTGGTATAAGCACCGTGTTACTATTGGCCATGGGCGAACAAGAGGATTAACGTGTTTCAGGGCTAGTGGATATGCAGCTCTAAAATAAGCCGGCAGCTGCGGCTGTGCTAGCAGCGTCGGGTTCGCAAACTGCGGCTCGCGTTCGCAGCCAACCGCGTATAATTGGCCAACTCCCCATTCCACTCTTCTTTCCCTCCAGTCTCGCAACTTTCGCAGCCTCGGCTACCCCGCATTGGCACCACAGATATCATGCCGCCGACCAGAATAGGCCACAAGAAGTCACGGTTCGGTTGCATCCGGTGCAAGCAACGGCACGTCAAGGTCGGCGGGCCTGAATACACGTCCACTCTGCAGCTCGCTGAATAAGGCCCCCCCCTCCCACAGTGCGATGAACAACGGCCTTGCGGTAACTGTACCCGCCACCAAGCGGAATGCAGTCTCGTGCTGTCCTCGTTCAGTCCGGCCGCTCCCGCTCGAAATCCACCCGCTCAGTTCCCGAGCGCTGCCGGCGCCCGCAACGACGGATCACGGGTTCTACACATCCACAACGCTTCCGGTATGCGGTATCATGTCAGTTCGAGGCTTGACATATTCGCTGACCCTGAGCCAGTAGGACCCTCTATTCAGCCTGGGCATTCCCCCGTAGTCTTCCCCACCCCCGACCAAGCATCATGTGTCCAGTCTCAACGCTCTGCTCCCAGCTTGCCAAATCCGCGAGCTTCTTCAATCAAGGCCAAAGTATCCTCCATAAGACAGGCTTTGCTTGAGTTGACAGGTGACATCGAAGTCCTTGAGCAAAGTCAAAGCAGCGATGTTGCCACCGCCCCGCCGCGTCCCGTGGAGCAAAGCAGCTCAAGCCCACCAGCAAACTCGATATCTACTGCCGACTGGCTGGGGGACATCCAACTCTTTTCTCACTACATGACAAGCGGTTGCTTGGGGCTAACAGAATATGGCCGGGGTGAAATGTGGCGAGAGGTCATACCGCGGCTTGCCTTCACTCGCGTAAGACCTTTGCCCCTCAGCACGCATTCCATCCTGGACCATCTAATGAAACCCACGACCAGGAACCACTGATGCATGGCATCCTCGCACTCTCCGCACTGCACCTGGCCTCCCTGCATCCAGACCGCAAGCGCGAGTACACGACGCAGTCGGCCCGCCACCAAGAAGTCGCCCTCTCCCGCCTCCGCACCGGCCTATTCGACACCACCGAGGAAAATTGCTTCGAGCATTTCCTCCTCGCCTACCTCGTCATCCTCTTCAACTTCTACTCGATCGGCAACCCCCTCCCCGACGACGACGACGACGACGACAGCGGGCGTCCTCCCGCCCCTCTCGACATGCACGAGCTCGGCCAAACGCTCTTCCTTGGCCAGGGCATCATGAACATGATCTCCACCCCCGAGACCTGGTCGTGGATGAAGCGCGGCCCGCTCTCCGCCCTCTTCAACACCCAGCACAAGAACCCCACGCCGTCCAACCTCGCAGGTCACCACCACAACGCAACATCATCATCATCATCATCATCATCGTCATTCCCCCACCGCCTCACCCTCCTCACCGACCTCGTCTCCTCCATCGGCGGCTCCCCCGCCGAGTCCAAAGCCCGCGCCTCCTGCCTCCTCGCCTGCGACGCGCTGCGCCGCGCCTACGGGGCCGCCGTGCTCATCCCCCACAACAAAAGCAATAACAGCAGCAGCACCACCGACGACGACGACCCCACTAACACCCCCACCCCCACTAACACCCCCACCCCCACCACCACCACCACCACCACCACCCAGCAAAAGAGCCGCCCCCGCCGTCCCCGCGCCGAAGCCACCCCCGTCTGGGTCTGGCTCACGCTCCTCCCGGCCGACTTCCGCGCCCACGTCGCGGGCGGGCACCCGGTCGCGCTCGTCGTGCTGGCCCACTACGCGGCGCTGGTGCGGTGCTTCGAGGACCGCTGGTACCTGGCGGGCTGGAGCGGGCGGGTGCTGGAGGCGGTGGAGCGGGCGTTGGTGGGGGTGGCGGGGGCGGCGGGGGCGGGGGATATGGGTGGTGGTGGTGGGGAGGAAGGAGGAGGAGAGGAGGAGGAAGAGGACGAGAAGCGGCGGCGGTGCGGTTGGCGGGAGTGGTTGGAGTTTCCGAAGCGGTTTGGGGCGGCGGAGTTGGATGAGGCGATTAGGGAGGGCTGGGAGAGGGAGAAGCAGAAAGAGAGGGAGAGGGAGGGAGAGAGAGAGGGCGGCGGCTGGGTTCAAACAAATGCGTCATCGTGATGGAATGGAAGCATCGGGCTTTGATTGATGCTTTCGAGTCCAAAAGGACCTTTAGCCTTTCGAAATGCGTCATGGAGCAGCACTTATCATATCACTTCAGCACACTGTAAAAGAAAACAAGACTTGCATTTCCCATCATCCTAGTAAGAGAGGTTCAGAAAAAGTGAATGCGTTGCTGACCTGCACTTGAGGGTGGATTTCCCTTGTTGGTAATTCCGAACAGCAACAGGTTCATCAGATTGACGAATTGATCAAGGTCCAGCACGATTGACGAGTAGATAACCAACTACCTGTTTCCAATCACCTACGGGTATCATGCAGTATACACAATTCTCTTTCCGTCGATTGGTCAGTGCCGGTCGTTGACGCGTCTGCCCACAATGTAATTCATGTACCCAATGGGCCAAGTATGCATCTCTCTGCCGCCCTTGAAGACCCATCCCTCAATCTCGGCCGTGCCAGACTCTTGAAGCACCCTCCGAGCAACTCTGCCCTGGGGACCGTGCAATGCAGACTCCAAACTGGAGTCCACCAAAGCCATGAGTTCGATAAAGGTCCGCGTTCGCAAGCTGCTGACGCATCCGTCAAAGGAAAGCGTAAAGGGGAGTACCGGAATGAGGTAGGTGAAGAGCAGCTGCAGCGGATCATCCCAGAACCAGAAGATGGTGACGACGAACATGAGCCAGAAGTCAAGGAACATTAGGAATAAAGAGGCCAGGCGGCGGTCCTGCAGCTCCAAGATGGCAAATCCGTCAGACGTGTTGGTGGTAGATTCCAACACCTTCCGTGCAAGATCATCTGGGAAGTGGTGAAACGCCAGACAATACAAGCGGAAGACGCGGGCTTTGGAACCGTGCTGCGCATCAACACCGCTGGCAGGGCCCACCGTTGTACTCATGACAGCCGGTGGAGGGTCGGTTGCATCTACTGGTTGGGGAAAGTAGCTGAGATTCGGGCTGCGAGCGCATGCAGTCATCCACGCATCAATGTGAGGTTTGATGTCAGTCATCTTGAACGGAATTGGAGGCTTGTTCCGCTCCGCCCGCTTTTTGTTGACAAGCCTCTCGATGACGGGGACGGGGCCTGAACTTGTAGGTTAACAAGAGTATGCGCTGTAAAATACGAGGCAGGGCATACCTCCGCCGCCGGAACAAAAGTCCACAACGGTGATGCTGGAGCCATCATCCTTGAGCTCGTCGAGGGCCTTGACGATCAGGCTCGCCGCCATGTCAGCCGGAGAGGCATGCTGAATCAAGGGTAGGCGATGGGTCCATTCGGCAGCCAGCATGGCTTGGCAACGGCGCCGGAGAAACGGAGGGTAGCTGCACTGTCATCAGCCGGGTTGCATCGACGTGGGGCAGGGTGGTTGACGGACATGGACTGGTCGCAGATCTCAAAGAGCCGCTTGGGCGTGGTGGTGACAATAGGGTTCACACGGTCCACGGCGGCCAGTAGGCGGCGGTTGAGGCGCGCCAGGCGTGACGAGGGAGCGGCCCTTGCTCCCGGGGCAACAAGCGGTGTTCCTTCGTCTGCCATGTCATCTGAATACGACCGGGTCCGGGTGATCGGTTGGTGTGACTTGCCGGCGTTTCTGAGCCTTTTGTTCACACGATCGGCGGCTGCAAAGCCGGATGGGGGACGTCGGAGGAGCTGGGACTTTTCTGGGGCGAGAGAAAGCAGGTGGCAGCTGCCAAAGAGCCCTTAGCGGTCAGGGCATGGTGCGGCGTGACAGGCGCCCGGCTGCAGTGTCTGTGGGCTGGGTTGGGGTCGGTGGTTTCCTCGTACCTGCGTTGTCTGGAGGGGCTCGTGTCAGCAGGCGCCCGTGTCGGGGGCCATGGAAGCGCTGCGATTCGCCGACGAGAAGTTGAAGGGTTGAGCCGAAGGGCGGCATGTGGGCACGCCGTTGGAACGTTGGAACGTTGGAACCCACACTTCTGACTCGCTTTGCTGGTGACGTCACCCGGCAGCCTGACTAACCCACCCGCGCTCCCACCTCCCACCTATTCCAATCCGAACCTCGCGAGGTGGCCCTTTCCCAGCCACTCGCCCGTCGGCTCCATGCCCCAGAACGTCGCCATGATCAGGACGCCAAGCTCGTCGAGGTCGCTCGGCGCTGCTTTCAGAACGTCGTCGTTCCAGTGCGCCAGGCGGACCTCGAGCCTCTCGCGCTCGCTGCATGCCGTCCGCCATCCGTACTCCGACTGCGCCTCCCAGAGCGCTCTTTGTGCAGTGAAGCTCAGCCTGTGGTCTGATGCCTTGTCCCAGCCAAACTTCAAAAACTCATACACGCCTTGCAATATGGCAGAAGACAGCACCGTCCGTCGTGTGCTCTCTTCAACAAGCCACCGCTGCCAGTCTTGCGCCCGAGTTTGTGTGGGGAGCAGCGCTCCTGCTGAGGCGGGCAATGAGGGCACCAGCTGATGCATCCGCGCTCTCAACTGGTTCGTCCAGGCAGCGAGCACTGGCTCGTCCGCCTCGGCCTGCGCCCTCAGTCTGATATCCCCGTCGAAGTATCTGATGGTCTGGTACAAAACAAGCGCCTGCAGCGCCGCAAGCAGCTCGGCTTTGGACGCCATGAGGGGGTCCGTGCTAGCGATGAGCTGCTGCGCTTTATGCTGCAAGTTGGCAAACACCAGGCCCTGGTTCTCTGGACTCTTCAGGCAATACAGCGCACAAGCGCTGAGCGCGTCCTGCAAAGCCGGGAGGCTCTTCTCTTGGAACAGCTGCCGGTGGATGAACATGGTCTGTGCCTGTTCAGCGAACGTCTTGGGAACGGCCGCCAACCGCTTCGCCGCATACTCGACGCGAGCCTGGTACATTGCGCCGGACATGATCTGCTCCACGTCGCCTGGGTCCTGCTGGGCCATGATGTCCTCGATGATACCGGGGCTGAAGTTGTCCTCGCCGGGCAGAATTGGGAGGTTGAAGGGATCGTCTCCAAAATTGAGGAATGCATCGTTGATGTAGGGCGACAGTGTCGCAGCCGCCATTGCTGGACTCAGTTGTAGCTCTAAGCCACTACTGTGCGACGTGCCCTCGGCCATCAAATCCACAAGGCCAGAGTCCGAACCGCCATTGGCCAATGCCTCCTGTGGCGCCCTGCTGGAGTTTGGACCAGTGTATTCGCAGTCGACTTTCCTCGCAATACAGCGCCGGCATTTCGGGAACCTCTGGTCGCATTTCCGCTTGGAGCGGACACATGCGTGGCAGGACTTTTGGCGTGACGAAGACATGCTGTCGGTTCGTTTCCGCAATGCCGCAGCTCAGCACAAGAAGTCCGCAGTCATGTAGCTGAAAGTCCGCAGGTGTGAGGTGATGATGTTGCGGAGTTCCGCCCCCGTGCGGAGTTTCCTCGCTAAGTTGCCCTCCAACGTACTAGGGCTTACGTCCCCCGGACTGTGCGAGGAAGTGAGCTGCAGTCTGCTTGTCTGGTGACTAAAGTCCGCACTTCTGTGACGATGCTTTGCGGACTGATGCGGACAGCTTTGCTGGGGGATATGGACCACATCTTTGCTCACCTCGGTGGGGGAAGATGATATAAAGCGAGCCAGATGCCTTGGAAACTCCAGCAGCAACTACCAGATCATCATTCATCCAATCCAACAACATGTCCGCTCAACTGAAGCCTCTCGGCGACTGGGTGAACCAGCTCTTCGACACCATCTTCTTCGACTCGGACGACAACAATGCCATCAAAGCCTTTACCGAAGGCTTCGATCCGAGCTTTTCCGTCAAGTAAGCAGCTTCAAACCCCGGAGCCCTAACACATACTTACGGAAATGCACGATCAGAATCAACCACGATAGCCTCAGCTACGACCAGTACAAGGAGGCTATCCATAAGACTCGTGCTCAGAGTGAAATCACCCTGCAAGACAGCTCCGAGATTCTCAAATGGGACGACGCGGAACAGAAGGGCGGCACAGTAGCCCACCTCTTCAAGTTCGTAGTCAAGGACAAGACGACGGGCAAGGAAACCAACAGCACCAACCTACTTCTCACTGCGGTCAAGTGGATCGACGGTAAGAGGGTGATTACGGAGATTACGGAGATCGCTGTATGAAACGGCGGGACTGCGTAGTCTGGCAAGCGGACTGGCATCTCCACCGGCCAGCCCCTTCAATAAGAGGCTCTGTCGTCGCACAATCGTTTATCTATGAAAATCAGACAGTTTGCAAATACGATAGACATTCTCAAGATGCATCCTCATTGGCCGGTTTGGCAGACGCACAGGGATTGACAGGGTCGATACGACGTCAGGCTTACTGATCTCCGCCCGCAACATGCGGAAGGCAAGGATGCACCGCGACGTAGCATGCTTAGACTGCAGATTCCTGCTGTTACTGCGATGGCACCTTCAATCAGCGATCGAGCCCTCCAGTTATTTCACGTCCAGCTCCAGACTCCCAGCGCAGCCTGCCTCATCTCCGCATGATCTGCATCTCGAACCCGGAAACAGCAAGCGGCATGCATGAGCCGCTCTGCTTCTTTCCCAAAGCGGTATGCAGCCATGGACCTGGCGCATGGAACCAAGGCATCTATCCAGGGTCGATCCGGATGAATATCGGCCTCGGCCAATGGCATTATGCAAAAGAAAGACACGGGCGTGGGACACGAGCTACTCCGGAGACAGCGGCAGCCGCCATATTAGGCACATGAAAGCATCCAGGCCCGCCCGGCAGCGGACTGTCTCGTAAGATGAGGCAAGGCTCCCCACGTGGCCCGTCGGGCGTCATGCCAGCCGACAAGCCTCGGCGCGGGCCCCCCCAGGCACAATGCAAAAGAGAAGGTCTGCCAGATCCTCGGGTGAACGTAAAGAAGGTTGCTACCACGCGCTGCAACCGGTGCTCAGTCCACGCCCGCTATCGCCGGAACGGACCCCTTGCTCCGGGATGGAGACGAAGCAAAAAGAGAGACACGAACCACCCTGCGCGCTTGGATCCCGCTCGTCTCTCGCTTCCGAAGAAACGAGCGATCGTCTAGTCGAGCCGCCACAGGTGGGGGATCCTCGTGAGCACCTGATGCGTGAGCTCTAATACGAGGCAGACGAGCCTAAAAAAAAAAAACCTTAGCTGTGGGCTTCGGGATGCGAAACACCCTTCGTAATCGTCCACGCCGTCGTCACGAGAGGCGGCAGGCGAAGGAGAGAGGAAAAAACACTTGTTCAAAAATTTTCTGAGATTGCTCGTATTCCGGGACAAGTGTGTTTCCGCCCAACGAGGCGCCAGCTAAACCCGCGGCTTGGTATAGTACCTGACCCGGAAATTCGTCTGCCGGCTGCCTGTCAAACCCACGTGGCCGGCTTGCGAAGCTTGTCTGGCCTTTCCCCAAGTGGCGCAAGGGGCACACCTATCTCCGATCCGCGAGCACCCGCGCGGCGTGAGCCACCGTACCGGAAAAGAGAACGAGCGAGAGAGAGAGAGAGAGAGAGTCAGGCTGGTGTCAATCTCTGACCGAAAGTAAAACGCGGCACGTCGTGGAGGAAAGAAGGTAGAACTCCGGATGGCGGGCGATATTGCGTAGCCAAGCTGAGACACTTCACACGATGGGGGCTCGATGTGTTGGGGAACGGCCAACTCTAAACCACATGTGCGCGTTTTGCATCAGAAGGTGATGAAACGAGCGATCAGCGCGTCATGAGCGGCATATAGCAGGGCAGGCAATAGTGTGCAGAGGCCAACCACGTCCACCACCAACAACAATACTCACTCATCACCACCGAACGACGCGGGCGCAACCGCGAAGGATGGCGAGAGCGCAGCAGGGAAGCTCCCGGGAACGAGTGCCGGCCCATCGGCCGAGGCTAAAATAGGAAATAACCTATACGCACCCGCGCGGCGCCAATGGCTTATTCGTGCATCTGCCGGGCCTTCGCCTGTTCCTCTCGCGCCTGCCAGGGCCCGCCGAAGGGCGGCACACGCAGCTGAGAGGGAGCGGTCCATGGCTTCAACGCTAGACCAGCGCCGGTCCCGACGGAGAGCGCCCGCGGCTGATTGCCGGAACCAGAGCGTGCAGAAGTCGGTGAGTCGTGCGTGCGCGCGCGCGTGGTGGTGCCGGTGGTGCTTGGGTGCCTGCCCGCACGGGAAAAAAATGAGGAGACGATATACGAGAGGGGCCGCCGCCGCCTGCCGCCCCGCACTGGCAAAGCAAAGGCATCGATATAATAATAATGGATGCGAGCGCCATGGTTGCACCCGAGGGTGGGGGAGAAAAGAAGGGAGCCGCGGAGCATGTGGAATATGCGACGCCCTGCTCGCAGCAGCAGCAGCAGCGGGCAGAAAGCCAGCAGCCCACCACATGGCGGCTCCCTTGGCGCTGACGAGCAGACGACAGGAACGGCAGGCAGGGTGCTGGGCAGGGTGCTGGGCAGGGGAGAGCAGAGGGGGGGCGCGCGTGGGCGGGCGGGCGATCCGTGCGCGGTGCGCAAAGCCCGCACCACCCCCCAAAAATGAAACGAAAGACGGCGGCTTTGCCGCTTGCGGCTGGCGTTTCCGCACGGCTCAGTGTCGCAAGGCGGCTTCCCAGCACGTCCCAGTGGCCCGCCCTCCGAAAGCGGGCGCTGCGCACCACGGCCGCTCGCCAAATGGTCCAGCAGCAAGCAAGGCCCAAGGGTTTGCGAAGAAACCACGCATATGCACTGGTGAAATTGCAAGAATAGACGCGCAGGCCGCGCTCCTGGCCGCAGCGCGCACTGCAGCAGCCATCGAGCATGATGCATGCACGCTTCGTATCCGCACATCGCCAAGTTCGAAATTTTCCTCCAACTCCACCCCAATTTCACCGCGTGTACGCACGCTGCCACCAGATCTAGATCGCGATAAGGCTGACGGGTACGAGGTTCTCGCCCAGTCTGCCTGCTGCCTAGGTCCGCGGCAGTAGGTAGTGTCACGCCCTCGCTTCCACCCGCTCGTCTCTGCTGCTGTCATCACACAGGTGGCGCTGCATCCAGGTCCGCAACCCTCTGGTATTATTACATGTCTAGCTCATACTGTGTCTGCCTCTATTGGCCGCCAAACAAGATTCAAACCACAGCCGCCCAAGAAGATTCCCAGCCGAATACAAAGATGGCCCCGTCCCGGAGCCGTGGTATCATACGAATATGAAACAGGAAAGCAAGGGATTAAAAAGGAAATACCAAATAATAATATGACGCCCGTGATGATGCATGTGAGAAAAGGGACGTGACGTTGGTCGTGGATAACGTCAGTCATGCGCGCCAAACCCCGTGATAGAACGCCCGGTAAAACACCACATGTAGATGCGTCGCTAAATGTGTCAAGTATGCCGTTTTCGTGTGTCTTTGTCGATCTCGTCCGACCGAGACCCCTGTCATCTGCGCTCGCCCTCGACGCTGCTGGTCGGGCTGCTCACGCTGCCCTCCTCGCTGGCGTCGCTCTGCCGCCTCCCTGCGTACTGCGCGAAGCGTTGCTGGCACGTCAGCCGGTCCTGGTCGGGATCGCTGTCGTCCATCATCTCGTCTTCCTCGCGGACGAGCTTGGCGTCCACCTGCTGGCCGTCAATCGGCCCGAGCGTCCACTTCCACTCGCGCCTGCGCTTGCGACGGCCGGCCACGGGCGTCGCCGGGCACGTGTCGCTGTCCGACTCGGAGTCGGAAGGCGACTCTCGTTTTTGGCAGCGCGGGCGCTCCGTCGAGTGGTGCTGCGCAGTGGCTAGGAGCACGGGGGCGGGCGCGGGGGCGGGCGCAGGCTTTGCGAGCTGCAGGTCCAGCTTGGCGGCAGTGCGCGAAGGCAGGGTGGTGGTAGCAGCAGCGGCGGCGGTGGGGCCAGGCACGGGTCCGGTGACGTCGGAATCTGCCTCGCTCGTGTTCGAGTCAGAGGCTAGCGAGGAAATGGTCGACGACGACGACTCAATGTCCGAGTGAGCCATGGTGAACTTGGTGGTGACAATGTCCTCGGTGAGGTTGGCGCGGAAGCTCACGCGCTTGGTGGCGGGGAACATGCGGCGGGCGGCCATGGTGCGGTGCCTGTGGACGGGCGGGAGCGGGCTGTTGGCGAGGATGCTCTGCACGTTGTGCGGCAGCTTGTACGGGATCTTGGCCGACTCGCCGCCCAGCGACGAGGCCAGAGACGAGCAGGACGAGGCCGAGGTGGACGAGCTGAAGGTGGAGGCGGAGCTGGGGGTGTCGGCCTTGGACTCGGCCGAGAGGGTCTGCGGCTCGTAGCCGTTGCTGAAGGTGTTGCGGGCGGTGGGCGAGACGGCGGAGAGGGTCTCGAGACGCAGGCTGGAGCCCTTGCCAAAGGTGCGGACCTGGGCGGTCGAGGTGTTGAGCGAGAGCTTGGGTCGGCGCGGGGCAGCGTGGGCGGGCTGGGGCGGCTGCACGGCGGGCGAGGGCTGCTGCGGGTGGGCAGGTAATAAGGCCAGAGAGGTGGTCATGCTGGGCGGATGCAGGGCGATCATGGGACTGGTGGTGGTTGCTCAGGTGCAGTGTCGGCGGGCGATAAGGCGGGGGGGGTGATCGATAGGATATATGGCTGGGCTTGGGCGGCGTCAGGTGACGGGGCGGAGCGGGGAAGAGAGAGACTGGACTCTGTGCGCAGGCTGGAGCAGACAGGGCCGTTTTGACGCTCCAACGTCTGCGGGCGGGCGCGAAAGTTAATGAATAATGGAGGGCGGGCGGGCACTGGTGACGCGGCGCGTAAACCCTGCGCGCCGAGCCAATCCGCCGTTTGTGCCTATAAATAAAATAGCAGCCATGGCCACGGGCGGCGATCCGTTGGAACAAGGAGCGCCAATCGCAGCCCTGCCTCGGGCTGGGCCCCGCCGCGACTCGCGCGCGCAGTGGCAACGCATCCTGCGCGCCCGTTTTGGCACACCATGCGCCCCCGGCACCCACTCGCCCACGACCCTCGCTCTCAACACCGCATCTTCGCGATAGCCGCTCCCCGCCTAACACGAGACCTCCACGGCCAATGACGTCGCCATGCAAGCGCCCCGGCCTGCGCTGAGCGCCCCGCGCCGCCGCGACCAGCGCGTCGTGCTCCATCTCGTGCGTGCTCCCACCACCTGCCCCTCGCGCCCGCGCCGCCTGTTGGTGGCTGAGGCTGTTCGTACCGCGCCCTCGCCGCATCCAGCCCGCCGCCCGTCGCCGCCCGTCGTCAGGCCGGCCGCAAACGCGCAACGCGCAACACTCAACACCCGCCCCGACACTGACCCGGCACTGACCCGGCACTGACCCGGCACTGACCGCCCGCCAGGACTACGACGCCTTCTACTGCGCCGTCGTCGAGCAGGAGCACCCGCCGCTCAGCAGGCTGCCGCTGGCTGTGCAACGCAAGTCCCCGCGCCGCCCGCTGCGCCAACACGAGCGCTGACCCGCGCAGAGAAGCAGCTCATAGTCACGTGCGTGCCCGTTCCCGGTCAGCCTGCCCGCCTGCCCGCCCCGGCTGATGGCTGTATGTAGATGCAATTACGAGGCCCGCCGCCGGGTAAGCGCGTCCTGGGGCAGCCTCTGTCGGAGCCGCGCCGCTGATGCTCCCCTCAGGGCTTGCATAAGCTGCAACTCGTCAAAGAAGCAAAACGCCTCTGTCCGGACCTGGTGCCCTCTCCCGTCCTGCAGCGCGGCCCGCCTATCTCGCTGACGCGCGTGTCTCAGGTCATCGTGCTTGGAGAGGATCTGACCCGTTTCCGCAACGCCTCCAAGCTCCTCCATCGCTTCCTGCGCCAGTTCTCGTGGAACGGCCGGGTCGAGCGTGGGTTTCTGCCCAGTGGCCCCGACCAGCTTCACGCGCTGACCCTTGATGAAACAGGACTTGGTTTCGACGAGGTCGGCAAAGACTTCTTCCCCGCGCCCTTCTATGAATAGCCGTCCCAAGGTTCGTTGCTGACAGGCATCAATTGCCGGCAGGTATGGCTTGACGTGACGGATCAAGTCGAATATAACGTCAATCTCCTAAACCCAAACGACCTCACCAACGCCTACTTTTGCTTGTCCAAGGACGATCCGACCCACGGGTTCGCCTTCGACGCTACCCGCTTTGCCGGCAACACATATCCCGCCTCGGGCGAGCTGAGTAATGCCACCAACCACGACTCGCTGCGCCTGCGCCTTCTGCTTGGCTCCCACCTGGCCCGCCATCTCCGAGCCGAACTGGAAAACCAAAAAGGCTATACCGCCACCGCCGGCATCTCTACCAACAAGATCCTGTCCAAGCTCGTCGGCAATGTGAAGAAGCCCAACGGCCAGACAACCTTGCTGCCGCCCTACGACACTAATGCCACTAACTTCATAGATGACCACGACATCGGCAAGCTTCCCGGCATTGGCTTCAAGCTCGCCCAGAGGCTGCGCGGGTTCGTGCTCCAGCGTGCCGCCGCCGTCTCCGACGGGCTCGTCTTCGGCGGCACGCAGGAACGAGTGACTGCGGTTGACGTAAGGAAGCACGTGGGTGTAAGCGCCGATAGTCTCGAAAGAATTTTGGCAGGCCCCGGATCGCCTCATGGGATCGGCGCCAAAGTTTGGGGGCTGCTTCATGGCGTTGACGACTCGGAAGTTGGCCAGGTACGCGACGTGCCGAGGCAAATCAGTATTGAGGACAGCTACATGCGGCTAGACACGCTGGACGAGGTGGTCAAAGAGCTGCGGATGCTGGCTGTCAGCCTCTTGAAGAGGATGCACCTCGACTTGCTGGAGGATGAGGAAGGTGACGACAAAGCTGAGCAAATGCCCAACGCCGTGGGCGCAGAGATGCGCAGTCCTAGTCTTCTTCCATCGGGCGCAGAGGCACTTGCAGGCACATCAGCTTCGGTCAGATCTCGTGCACCTCAGCCAGCCAAGCAACGCTGGATCGCACACCCCCGCACCATACGCCTGTCTACGCGTCCGCGTCCACCCGTCGACCCCGCCACAAACACCCGGCCGCGCGCCTTTGGGCGCATTTCGAGGTCGGCTCTGCTTCCCAGTTTTGTTTTCAGTCTCACCGCGCCCGTTGACTCACTCGGCGAGCGTCTCGTCCAAGAGGCACTGCTCCCGCTTTTTCGCAGGCTGCACCCGGAGAAGAGCGGGTGGAATCTAAGTCTGGTGAACGTCGCAGTGACCAACCTGGCAGACTCTGCAGGCGACGCAAGGACCAGCAGCGGGCGAGACATCGGCGCAATGTTCAAGACGCAAAACAGGGTGCTTAGCCAGTGGAGGGTGACGGAGGGCGCAGTTGCACCAGACCCCAGCGGCGATCATGTCACCATCGGAGAGGCCGAAGGCGGTGGACACGGCTTTGTCCCCGAGGCTGCTGCGTCTTGCCATGAGGCTGATGTATCTCGCAACCCTGGCACAAAATGTGTTGCACCGCGATCCCCATTGCCCTCACACGAGCGGAGCGTTATAGATAGATCCGGCGCCGCCGTAGACGCCCGGCGCGTCGGCTCGGAAGACCTTCTCATGGCCGGGGTGTCGTCTCAAGACAGCCGCGAAGGCGAAGAAAGCTGGGCAGACCAGGCCGAGAGGAGTGCTTGCTGGGACGAGGACGAGGACGAGGGTGGCATGCACTCAAGCTGCGACTTTTGCGGGGCGCTCATGCCGGCATTTGCTATGGCGGCTCATGCGAGGTTCCATGCATTGGAAGATTAAGAAGCAGATGGCGCCCGCATGCAGAGCCAAGCCCGTCTGGGATGCTAACAGCCGAGGGCCTCGACACGGAACCCAGGCGTGGAGTATAGTTGACGCGGACTGGATTGCATGCGGAAGGAAAGTCTAATCCCTTTGCAGCGTCGCAGTACCTACCATTCAAATGGTTCCCGTCTGCAGGGATTCAAAGGCAGCCACTGACTGGGCTTGGATTCTGCTGTGGTGTGTCGGGGTTGCGCTATTTTTCCTTTTGCTGAGCCACGCTGCCGTGTCTGACTGCCAAGTGATTATGCAGCTCAGAGACAAGTAGTACTACTGTGTAGACAGTGCCTACCTATACATACATGCGACCTATCAGCCGGAATCCATCACGCCTACTGCGACTGGTACGCAGCCCTCGAAGCGCATGCCGATCCGCTCGGGTCATCCCAGGTTTGATGGGTGCAGAGGCAAAAGTCGCCGTGTTCCACGCCATCACGTGGGATGTTTGCATGTCTCGGATTTTCCAAGAATAAGACGCATGACAGGGCGAAACGCGTCACCCGACAGCCAGGCGCGGGCAAGGGCTGAAATCAGACGAAACGACTAAGAAAGCAGCTTCCCGGGTGACGTCGATACGTCACTCTTACACGTCCGGCCTCGTTGCCATCAGCACAACCTCCGGGCGCAGCCACGGCTGCGTCAGAATGCCAACCTCACTGACAAAGACCAGAAGGCGGCTGCTGATGCAAAGCGGAAACGCGAGGGTTGGAAGCGTTGACTCGTCGGCATGACATGACACGATGTGGTGCCCTCCTCCGCTCCTCTTTCGCCTCGGCTTACGAGCGACGGGACTCACGGGAGCGAGCACGCCTTGGGACGCCTGGCTCGGTGGGAAAAGTAGTTGCCTGTGCCTCCCCCTTCTCTCTCTGCATCCATCGCATCCCTGTGGCTGTGCAGCCAGCCAACCAGCACAGTACCTACAGCCAACAGCAACGCACAACCCTTCTCGACTCTCGATTCGCCCATCGCCCATCGCCCATCGCCCCCCTGCCCCACACGCCATCCATCAGACACTAACTTGTTCAGGCAAAATCCAAATCCGCGCCCCACAAAATCCTTCCACCCCTGGCGTCCGTCCGCCGCGTCCCCGTCTCAAGAGAACCACAGCTTCTGTTGAACGATTCTTTGATGTGGCTCGCCCTAACCCATCAGAAAAAGCGGAGCGAACAGCCTTCGCTCGTCCTTCCTTCAAAGAAAAGAAGCACCGACACTGTTACTATCTTTGTCGTCGATCCGGAGCAGTCCCCGGAGAACAAAGATAGATTCCAGTCAACCGACAGATTACCCCTCTTTTTTCCTTTCCATCTCTTGTCCTCGGCCCGTCTGCCATCAGGGTCTTTGTTCTTTCTGCTGACTTGCATTGCGTGGTTGGGCTGCGCCCGTCGGAGAAAGATTCGAGAATAGCTTCACCGCTTTCCGACGACCCAAGTAAAAGGAAAAAAAAAGCAGGGGTAAGCGGGGAACACTGCGCCACACGGGCCTTACGACCGCTTTTCAGCTCGCGAAGTCGAGCAAGGGTTTTTGCTTTGCCACCTCTCTTCTCTTTCTCGCACTCTCATCATCTCGGGCCTTCCGTCGCCGTCGTCATCCTCTTGAGGCTGGCCGCTACGTGGACCCTAAACCCCTACTTCCATTTTTAACCTTTGCCCTAGTGGTGCGCCCGATGGAAAGCTTGATCTCAGCCTTTCCCGACGCATGTGAATCCCTGTCGGGGGGCCTTTCGTGGCGCTCGATGCACAACACGTGTCATTCCCATCCTCCGCGCCTCTGCACTTCCGAGAATCAGGCGAAAGCACGGGAGAACCTCCACGATGTGACAAGTGGCCCGCAAGATGGACGGACTATGGGCGTGCCTCGGCCTTTGCGGGAGGGGGAGGTGCTTGCATGATGGTACGATCGATCGGGGGTTAGCGGGAGAAGGTCGTTCTATTTCTGCCCGTGGCGAGATCTTGCTTCCAAGCATTGGCGCCGACGTGTAGGCGTGGCCATACTGCCTTCCCAATCGAGCTCCGAAGCTTGCCGGGAATCTTACTAGCGCATACGACATTGGATCCTTGCGGGTTTTTGGTAAAATGCGGAATCGCGGCGTGACCAGCTGTGCGCAAAGGACCTGGTATACCGGCCGACTTCCTCTCCTCAACCGCTGGTGACAAGCGCCATATGCCGTCACGAATACACCAACACGCATAGTCCTTGAAATTTAAGCGGTCATGGACTTCTACGATCACAGTGGGTGACGAACGGAAGAATTTAATCCACCTACGTAGACAGCAGAATCCGACACGTGGATGCATTTATATTGGTTTAATATTCGCATCTGTATCTGGATATCTGGATATCCACTTCAGCTATTGATGAAGAAAGGTTGTCTAGACCTGCGTTTACATTGGTACACTTACTCCAACTACTTACGCAAAAGATCGCCGTACTTTGATCTCTTCCGTCACCAACTACGCAGTCATCATAGTTGCGGTAGGTGTCTCCCACTCTTCCGAATAGCACGAGGATCTCAATGCAGCGCCATAGGTACAGTACCAGTCCAACAGACCTCCTTGAGGCACACCGCAGCCAAGGTAAAATTATTACTGGCATCGAGGAGTCACGAATGCACGAGTTCACTCTTCCAAAAAGGGGAAGACGGGGTGGTAGTGGAGTTCAAAAGATGTAAGAAAAAAACAAAAAAAAATCCCCATTTGCTAATCTGTCAAATATGTCGCTTGGTACGAAAAACATTGATTCACACGGACCATCGGTCTATCAGGGTATCTTTGAATCATCATCAGTCACCGACAACAACAATCATCACTCACCTCACGGCCCGCTAACGCCACCACTCTCTCAGAGAGGGGAAAAACAAGCAATAATCTCACTGTGCACACAACCAGTCAACTCCCTTCACCCAAACCCCTTGTGAGCTCGAGCACGCCTCGTCCCCCCTCACCCTCCCTCCTTCCCCCGCGGACCGCAGAAAAAGGGGGTTGGTTATGAAGGGGAAGACATGAATGGCGATGAGGGGGGTGTGGTTCCCGGGCCCCCACCCGATCATCTAAAACCAGCCCTCCGGGACCCGATCCCGCGGCGTGTTCGGCGCCGGCGCGCTCACCAGCGGCGGGTGGCGGCGCTCGGGGATCGGCGGAGGCGCTGGCGGATCACCATCATCACCACCGGGGAGGAGAGGGCGGCCCGAGTCGGCGTCGTCGTCGTCGTCGTCCTTCGGCGGGACCGGCGGCTTCGACGGCGCGGGGGGGAGGGGGTGGTTATTGTTAGCCCTGGTGGTGGTGGTGGTGGTGGTGGTGGTGGTGGTGGTGGTGGTGGTATTGCTGGACGACGACGTCGGGACCGGGCGTCTGCGGATGGTGGTGGTGGTGGTGTTGCTGGATGACGAAGACGTCGGGACCGGGCGTCTGCGGATGGTGGTGACTCGCAGGGGCAGGGTGACTTGCAGGGGCAGGGGCGGGAGCGGCTTGTCGCAATGCGGCGGCGGGGGAGGCGGGGTGGGCGGCGGGGGGCGCGGCCTGCGGACGGCGCTGGAGCGCTGTGGTGGGTTTGCCGGGTTCGGGCCGGTGTGGTGGTGGTGCTCGTCGCTCAGGCTCGATTGCTCCGCCGCGGCACGCTGCTGGACGAACCAGCGGGTCCACATGTCATAGGCAGGGCTGTCGGGGTGGTGCGAGGCGCGGCCCTCGAGAGAGGCGAGGGTGAGGTCGCGTTGGAGGCTGATGGCCTCCTCCTCGGGGGTCATGGCGGGTTTGTGGTCAGTGTTGAAAGCAGGGCGGAGACGAGCTACGCAGCCGAAGGAGCTGTTAGTTGTGCTGTTGCTGTCGTCGTTGTTGCCGTTGTTCTTCTTGCGTTTGGATAGAGTGATGGCAAAGGCCAAAGTCTCTTCGTCCAGGTAGCAGAGATTCTCGTGTGTTGATGCCGTGATAATTCTATGTACTTTTGCATGCTTATATTCCAGTCCTTACGACGGTGTTGACTTTGAAGATTGTCATGATTTGCAGACAAGGGAGTTGTTCAAGGACGGTTCTTTGTGTCCCATCAAGCGTGGTGCATGTACAATGCCAACAAACATTATTCTGCCATGCGCATCACCACAACTCCATCGAAAACAATGTTAGAAAAAAGTAGTAAGCAAAAGATCGAGAGACCACTCCGACAAAATTTAATATGCCTCGTCCAATTCTGCGCATGTTTATTACCCGGGCATACGATACACTTCGAGTGTCAAATTCAAGACGAAAGAGATTGACCCACATACACAGGCAGCGGAATTTATATCTGGATGTAGTTGTATAGTTCCAAGGCTTACATTAACATCCGGAAATCTGCTCCAATTACTGATGAGGAAAGGTCATTTGAACCTACAGCTACGTTGACACATTTGCTTCAAGAGACCACACAAAGGAGCTGTGTGCTATCTCGCATGCCTACCGAACACGCACGATCTGCCGTCCTTTAAAGCACATGAGGTCTCAAATTGCTGCTTTAAAAAGGCTTCAATGAAAATCCTGAAGAGAACGCAAGGCTTTAAGCCGTGAATCACATGTTTTGGTTCTACCTTGGCAAGCCCGACTTGTTATTCTCATCGACGTTTGACTCCCCCAGGTATCGCGCATAAAATGCCAGCAACGACACCCCGCATTCGTTTTGTTTTCCCGTAAACCCATGCCATTTCATGGCGCTCATTTGGCCATTGTCCTTGTCCTAGTATTAGTACTGTCTTTGTGCAGGGTAGTAATTATCACTATCGAACCACGCCGGAAGGTTCAACAGGCGCAGCTAAGCCTTAGAATTTTCAGGCACCAACACCAACCATCATGTTGGAAGCCTGTTCGAGAGGCTCCATCAACGACGCTGCCAGTGCCATGTCGAATTCGGCAATGCCGGCTTGTTCAATCGAGTCCAGAGCTTTCGGAACCCCGATGAGTACGACTCCCTTGGGTACCACCACGCCTTCGACGTTGAAATTGCCGAAGCTGACTAGACGCTCAAGCTTGGGGCATGACTTGAAGATGCCGGCAACGACGACGGTATCGACATGGTTACAGAAGGAGATGTCGATGGTCTTCAGTTCCGGATAAATCTTCTGGCCATCAAACACGTTCATGAAGGCCTCATGCGAGATATGACGGCAGGATGCAATGTTCAAAGACCTGAGCTTTTGGCCAGAGTGCTTCATGAGCGCTTGAATGCCATCTGACGCAAGACCGATGGCCTGCTCAGGCCCCTTGGGGTTCTGATTGTCGACGTCCCGGGTGCTGTTCAAGTGGGCAATGTGGAGCGGCGGATTAGCCCAGTCCGTGAATAGATCAGCGAAAGCTGCATCGGAGCAGTAGTCGTTCTCAGAAAAGCGAAACTTGCGCAGATTTCTGCACTGCGAATGGATGGCGTCGAGAACGTCGTCGTTCGCATCCAGGAAGTGCTCAAGTGATAGCGTTTCCAGCTCGGCACCAACGCAGCCAACTAGGTCCACAACACGTTCACTCGGGACCTCTGCAGACGTCTGGAGTGAGAGGTGACGGAGATGCTTGAGCTCGGCAATCAAATCGATGGACCGCGAGGTGATTCGTCGGCAAAGCTTGAGTTTGAGGCGGACAAGGTTGGGGGCGTTAGCGACCAAGGTATCGACAACGTCGTCATCGAATGCCGCATCGAGCCATTGGAGCTTGAGATCCTGCAGCTTGCTTCCATGACGCATGAACAGTTGGTGCCACATCTCGTCCGTGACCAAGTTCGCGGCGTACAGTTGCAGATACTGTACGTCCTTGCACTTGTCAAGCATGTACTCAACGTTTTCGTCCTTGAACTGGGTCGCATTCCGCAGGACGACCTTCTTCAGGTGCGGAGCATTGGCGAAGAGCTCAGTGTAGTCTTCTGTCTCGAGGTAGGCCGCGTCATGGACAGCAACGCTGTCGAGGTCGGAGCGAAGAAAGAGCTTCAGAGTGCGCGGGTTAAGAACACGCTTCTTGGAGAAGATCTCAGCGATCCTGTCCAGCACATTCTCGGGAAGGTCGCCGAACTCGTCGATATCGCTGTGGTGCTTCGCAACCTTTTCGATGCAGAGTTGTTCAAGAGTCTTGGCTCCCTGAGGCTTGTATGTGGCGTCCATGCGATCACTCTCGAGCTTGCGTCGACGGGTCTGGCCAACAGGTTTCTTTTGCTTCTTTGAAGGACCAGCCTCAGCAGCAAGCTCTTTACCACAGGGTGTGCACACCAGGCCTCCGTCGGGACCGGTCTTGCTGTATGACGTTACGGTAAACCTCTTGTTGCAGATCTCGCAGTTCTCCAACTGACCAGGGGGAGGCTGTACTTTCTTGTACATATCCCGTGCAAGGGCATCGTCGTAGTCCGAGTCGCTATCTCCAGCCTCGGCCTTGCGTTGGGCTTTTTTCTTTTGGAAAGCCTTGCTCTTCTTGATCTTGGCCAAGTTCTTTGCCTCGGCAGTAATCTCGCCCGCCTTGCGCTTCCTGGTGGCAGGGGCAGCTGGGCCTGCCTCGGCTTCCTCAGGCTGTGCATCGTTGTTGGAGCTGGAAGTGGCGTCGGGTGTCTGCGAGGCGGAGTTCTCGGCATGTACCGTGGCTTGTTGGCGGCGGCGTTCATAGTTGTCGCGAATCTCAGCAGCGGAAATGTTGTTTGCCTGAGTAACAGATGTCGTTAGTATTGTGACCGTCGCCCATACAGGCACCATGCGAAGTCAAAGAACTTACAGCCAAGAAATCGGTCAAAGCCGAGTTCCTGCACGACGAGGTGAGACATGGTCCTTGGACGAGAATGGTGCTTACGATATGCGGCAGTCAGAGGGAGTTTGCACGTACGGGCCGCGGATGCGATTTCCATTCGCGCGTCTGTTTGACCTGGTGCATGTCAGTTGGTGTTTGGCGGGTACGATTCAGGCTGTCTTGCATTGTAAGAACGAAGCGCGAGGGCTTGTGGGGCAAGCAGAGGGGCTGCGCGGACGAAGTCTTGACTAGAAGCTGGCGTCGGATGAGAAGGTGAAGCCAACAGGCGTGGCACGGAAGAAAGGTGCAGTGAAAGGGCAGGTGGGCAGGTGGGCAGGTTGTCAAGCTGCGGCGGAGGCGATTGAGTCGATAAGACGCGCTAGCGCCTACGCGAAGTCAGGTGGCAAATCAGGCACGCGCTTTCCACTTTGACAAAAGAGGTAATCTATCCGCCGATCTATTCCAAACACGTTGTAAGGTTATGGGATCAAGATAGACAATATGAATCGTATCAGAGTCAGAACAGAGACGAATCGTTATCGATTCGTCCTTACGTTCCTCTGGCATTCTTATAGCTAGCTAGTTCTATGTCATGTGCGTGATTGACTAGCCTTGCTTTCCTATGCTTGGCATTGAGCTTCAATGGGTCCCAATGTCTGCCAGTGAGGCTAGCAGTCCGTCTCTTGACACACGGGCTACGTACTGTAAGATGGTTGGTTTAAGATATGCAATATGAAGTAGTTAAGAGTCAAATCAAAGACGAATCATTGGGAACTCCTTCATCTTCTAGAAAAAACGCTGGATCCTTGTTTCATCCAGCCTTAGCATAGACTTTTCCCCCTTCAATCTACTCGTAAGCTTTTTGTTCCCCCCACCATCGTCCTCACCGGCGCAGCCTGAACTGAGGAAGGCCCTCGCATCTGCAATCGCCGCTGGAATATCAGACCCGTTCCCAGCCGAAGTAGAAAATGCAGCCCATCAAATCAATATCTGTTGGAATAAGAAAATCAATGCTGTGGCCTCCCCTACAATCATATGTCGCCGGTTGGAGAGCAAAAGTAGAAGCAGCTTCAACCGTGACGTCCCGAGCCCTTGACGAACTTGTACTCATCGTCTGAGTCATCTTCGTCACTTGATGAATCTTCTTCTTCCGCCTCCCCCCAAGGGCACTCGTCCTCGTCCTCGTCCTTGTCCTTTGGCTCTGGTTCCTGCTCTGCTTTCTAAGGAGGTCTGTCAGTGTCTGACCTGGGAGAAACGAGGAGCGAGACTTACGAATGCCTTGATCTTAGCCCAGCCTGAATTCTTGCTGCTCCCGGGACGGTTCGTCTCCATCGAGTCTGCAACTGAAGACGAGCGAGGATGGCCGTAGCCCATTGGGTTGAAGCTACTACCCCAAGTGGAGCTGCCGTCTTTTTTGACGGTCGAAGTCGACGAGACTGAAGCCGCATAACTCATGGCGCGGGCTCCAGTACCACTACCCGAACCACTAGCCTTACTTCCACCAGCTGCAGGGCGGTCATGGGGAGGGGTCCAGAAGCCGCCAGTGGTTGTGGAGCGAGAGTCGCTGAGGGAAAGGTCATCAAAGTCGCCAATGAGATTGCCAGTGGCTGTTCCCGTGCCGGACTGTGCGTAATTCGAGTCGGCATCATCGAAGTAGTGCTCCGGATCGGAGTCATCATCATCGTCATCGTCTGAATCCGAGTTCGTGATGACTTCGCCATGGTAGGTGAGCTTATCCTCGATCGCTTCAAGCTCCAGCTGCTCTTTCATGCAGGGATTACACTTCTGTTTCCATGTGTCAGCTACATGGGCCCACATGGTGAGCCTGGGTGAGTACTATACCGCGTGGTCTGGGTTCTTCCTCTGGGCCTTTGAAAACTCATCCAGACCCTTCACCTTGGCGCACATTTTACATTTCAGCTCCATCACCTGCTGAGGAGTGCACAAGGTGCATTGGGTGGTGAATGGGTGCCTGTCGTCGCGGATTCTTTCGCGGAGCTCGTTGAGGCGCTTCCGGGCGAAGTTTGTCTGACCCTTCCATTTGTTGCATGTCGAACACCTAATCCTGTTGCCATCTTTGTTAGCGTGCAATTGAATCATCAGGGTGAAGACTTACTTCTCTGGAAGTGGAGTGTTCCTGAGGCTAAAATGTCGATACTGTAAGCGACTGTAACTGAAGTTGGAGCAGGTTATGCGATAACGGACCTTGGATCTGTGACGTCGGAGTTCCTGTAGTAGCCGCCCATGTTGCACTGAAGTGAAGATTCCGATGTGGGCGCCCTTGACGGCCTGTGGTATTTCGCGTCGAGGTTTGTAGAGTGAGACTGAGCCCTATGAATTGGCCAATGAGTGATGCGTGGATTTATGATTGAAGGGAGTCCTGCGACTGGTGACGGGTTGGGCATTGGAGACCGGAGGAGAAGAGACTCACTTACGTTTGAACGGACGTTTCCTAAGTGAATGAGGCGGTTGTGCAGACGAGGCCGTCTGGGCGAGTTGAAGAAGAAAGGAATGAAGAAGCATAGAGTTTGCTGATGAGCCTTCCAGTCTTGCCAGCCGATAGGGCCTAGCGCGTGCAAGAGAGGCAGGCAGGGTCCGCGGTGGGTCCTGCCGTCTGGTGCAGTCAATGGAGAAGGAAGGCACGCGCGCCGCAGAGCATGCACCTCAACATTGTCATCTGCGGCACGAGCTGGGAGCGCATATTGAGCATTCATGTGAGTGCCTTGGATGCGACATCTTTCGGCCGGTATCCCTGCCGACTGATTGATTGTTGTCGATGCAGGATCTGCTGTACTTGACGCAGGAAACCATCACGTGGCTTATCTGTCAGTCCGTTGTATGGGACGGAGACTCTGTAAAGGCACTGTGAGGTACCTTGGAATCCGAATAGACTCGAAAGGTGAGGTGGCTGTCGAAGTGCCTGCCAAGGATCGTGGGTTTCCCGAAAGGTAAGACAATTCGAACCCGTTTTCTCCCCGGTTCCAATCGCACTTACATTAGCCCCTCCGTTCAACTTCAATTGCCTGTTTTGTCTGACTCCAGAGCAGCGAAGGCAACGACCAGCTTGGCTGCGCGTCAGTGTCCATCCGGGGAAGGATCGGCGCTGCGGAGCGCCCAAGAACTTCCCCGCAAAAACTCCACTCGACGCCACACGCAACCCCGCGAGCGCATTTGACGCCTTGCGTGTCTGACTCTTACTGCCCGGATGGAGCTACGCTCGGCGCCATCGGCCCGCTTTCTCCCTCCGCCGCACTGCATCTGCCGCATCTACCAAAGACCCCACCATACCCCGTGCGACCCCGCCATCCTGCTTGGCGCAGAGATACCCGGCACTGTGTAGATAAATTGAACGCCGCTGCCTCCATGCACCACGGCTCCTTTGCTCCCTTGCTCTCCACCTTTCTGCTCAGCTTCTCTGCCCCACGGCTTTTGATTCCCCACGCACCCAATCCACCACCCAACCCTCCAGGACTTCAACAACAGCACCATGGCGGCTCCCGAAATCCCCAAGAAATACAAGGCCATCATCTACGACAAGCCCGGCAAAGTTTCCACCAAGGTTGTCGAGCTCGATACGCCAGAGCCCGGCCCGGGCGAGGTCCTAATCAACCTGTACGTGATGACCCCGCATGTTGATCACACAGCCCCTCTTCTTACTCATCACCCGCGTAGGTCCCACTCTGGCGTCTGCCATTCCGATTTTGGCATCATGATGAACAAGTGAGCCCCGGCCCCGACATGTGCCGCATCGTCACCATGTCTCTGACTCTTCCGCCTCTGGTAGCTGGACGCAACTTCCGTTCCCAACCAAAGAGGGCCAAGTTGGTGGCCATGAAGGCATGACTCCTGGTCGTGGAATCAAACCGGACCTCACTGACCCTTGCAGGTGTCGGCAAGATCGTCAAGATGGGCCCAGGTGCGGATGCCGCAGCCGTCAAGGTGAGCAACACGCCCACACACCGGCTACTGGGCTAAGCATCGTGCAGGTCGGAGATCGCGTAGGCATTAAGTGGGTCAGCGGCATCTGTGGCTCCTGCGGTGCGTATAATGATTGCTCTTTGCTGCGTGAGGCCTGTTCTGATGCCCTTGATCGCAGTTGCGTGCCTTGCTGGTATGGACGGCCAGTGCACGAACCAGGTACGTGCCTTCCCAGACAAAGGACGACGTAAGTGTATGCTGACCGTGCGGTGCAGAAAGTCAGCGGCTATTATACCCCGGGCACATTCCAGGTTGGTTCCTCATTCGTGTCCATCACGAGGATATTATTTGACAGCAACAGCAATACGTCCTGGCTCCTGCAAACTACGTCACTCCTGTAAGTATACATCACATGAATATGCTCCGTGCTTGAACATGCTCATGTCCATGTCCTTCGCCAGATCCCAGATGGGCTCGACAGTGCAGAAGCAGCTCCCATGCTCTGTGCCGGTGTGACGACATACTCAGCTCTCCGCAAGTCCAATGCCCAGAGCGGTGATTGGGTTGTACTGCTCGGTAAGCTTCCACTTCTCGTAAATACATTTGCGAACCACGTTCAACATTCCCTCACCGCTCCCCATCAAATCTCCCTTTGCAAGTTTGGGTCCACTCCGTCTGAAACCCCCACCACGTCTACCTTTCCATCTCCTCAAGAAAAAAAAAAGAGAAAAGCCCACCCAGAAATCCACCATCTAACCCCTTCTCCACCCCGACCAACAGGCGCCGGCGGCGGCCTCGGACACATCGCAGTCCAACTCGGCGCGCGAGGCATGTCCTACCGGATCATCGGCATCGACCACGACAGCAAAGAAGACCTCGTGCTCTCCTCGGGCGCGGAGCACTTCCTGCCCATCTCCCACGGCAAGGACCTGCCCACCAAGGTGCAAGAGCTCACGGGCGGGCTGGGCGCGTCGGCCGTCGTCGTGCTCACCGCGGCCAACGCGGCCTACGCGCAGGCGGCCGACATGCTGCGCATCGGCGGCACGCTCGTGTGCGTGGGCATCCCCGAGGGCGAGCCCGTGCCCATCGCGGGCGCGATGCCGCAGTTCCTGGTCGCAAAGGCGCTCAAGATCGTGGGCGTCGCCGTGGGCGACCGCCGCGAGGCCATCGAGACCATGGACTTTGCGCGGCGCGGCATCGTGAAGACGCACTTCAGGACGGAGAAGATGGACGCGCTGACGGGCGTCTTCAATGAGATGGAGGCTGGGAGGGTGAAAGGGAGGGTGGTGTTGGATCTGTCTTGAGGTCTGAGAACGGCTGGTTCCTGCTGTTGGGAAGAGAGGGAAGGGGAGATTCTTTGTATGGCGAGACCGTGGGTAGGAGTTTTGGGTGTTGGTGTTGGAGAAAGGTTGCACGTGTCTGTCTGAGGGTGGTTGTGTAGTACATGAGATATGACTCTCTTAGCATCTACGGACGCCGTAGTTACCTTTGAATGCATCAATAAGATTGCAACAGGTTTGAGAATATGGCTGTTCTAGTCGGCGTGACAGATTGACCTACGGTGACCCTTTGCGTGGGCAGTTGAAACAAGTATACCAACTTGGATGTAGATTTCAATGACCTTTCTTCATAGGTAGCTGAAGCGGATGTTCGGATGTGGATGCGAGTATCAAAATTGTACATACAAATGCACCCAGATATACGATTCCGCTACCCCATTAGGTAGGTAAATTCCTCTCTTCGTCACGCACTGTGACATGAGTACTCAAATCATGGGACAGTTGACAATAGAATAAGTTTCCTGTATCTCAACGGTAAGAAATTCCCTTGCACGTCTTCACGCACTCTATAGTACACAGAAGACTCCCAATATTTTCCGACGTTTTGCCCATCCTCAAGACCCTAAGGGTCCACAAGCAAAACCTGTTTGTCAATCTGGCAGTTGAATGAGAGAGGAAGCAAAGAGGTACCCAGTAAGTGAACAGAAGAAGAAGAGCGCCGAATGAAGACAGAGGAATTCCCCATTCTCTCCCCGTTCAATCCGACCAAAAAAGTTCTGTTGGTATCTCAGTCATCGATCAAGTACATGATCCCGATCAAAAATTGCCTTGTCGGTCCAAAAGACGTGCCGTTCGAGAGTAGTCAAGAGTTCAGTGGGCCGTTCCATCGTAACCTCGTGAAAGATAGAAATGCAAAATGTATAGGAGAACGGCCATGCTCCGAGGCCAAGTACAATCTGCTCAGGGGCGTCGACGATCAAGAAAAAGGTGAGGATACGGAAGAAGAGGATGTAAGGATATGGGAGCGGGTATATTTTGTTTGTATGCGTTGTATAATTTTGAAGGTGCATCGCTGACAGAATGTAGGATAAAGCGAATCTAAGATGATGGGGGTTGGACGAGATCCAGCTCGCCATTCTCGAGATGTGCAGGCGAGCGAGTGGTAGGGTTGATTGGCCATCCAGAGAAACCAGGCTGCGATCATGTGTACCTTGGCGGAGGCGGAGGGTAACCACTGTATGCGCCGGTACCATATGCTGCAGCAGATGCTCCACTGCCACGTCGATAGTAGTCTCCCTCATCATACAAGCTGTTGTGTCTTGCCTGAGAGTTGGGAACGTAGTTGTTGCGGTGGCTGTTCATATCGAATTGCGCTCGCGATGCAGAACGCGGCGCTCCATTGTCGTCCTCGCCTGGGTCGCTGTAAATGTTGCTCGTGTAATACGATGTGGGAATATCGCCAACGTTTCCGGGCTCCGAGCGGGTACCATATCCATCGTTCCTGGGAGTACTGAACGACGGGCTACGCCGTCTTGAGCCATTCATGTGGGATCCAGTGCGGTACTGTCTGGTTTGTGTGGTACTAGGCGGGTACTCTGAGTGACTGCTTGTCCGATAGAGACCAGTGGTACCGCTTGCACTCGAAGAGGCATTGGAGTAGGTGCGAGGAACCCGCGATGACGCACCAGCGTCGGGAGGTGCGCTTTCGCTGGTTAGCCCAACGACGGGAGCGGAGCTGTTCATTGGGTTGTTTGGAAAGTGTTCGTAGAGTTTGCCGGTGCCTTCGCGCGCAATATACGGCTTACGCTCCCGCTCAATTGGGATCGTCACAGGCTCGTTGTCAGAATCTGATGATGCTACCGCTGTCTCCCTGGTATCTGCCGGATAGCTCGGGTAAGAAGCGGAAGACGTTTGCATCGGAGGTTGTGTTGGGGGTGGGGGTGGGAAAGTGGGGGCCCGGATGGTAATCTTTCCGCTGGAGCAGATGGCCGCAGCGCATCGCTGGCGCGCTGGGAGATTTTCAAATTTCGGGAAAAGTCGCCGGGGAAGCTCCTTGGGGAAGCGCTCCTTGATGTCATCGGAATTGCTGATTGGCATGTGCATCACAGCCTTTGCTAGGCGAGCAAATTCAATCTCAGGATGTCCCTGGATCATGAGCGTCATCCAGGTATCGAAGCCCAAGGGCGTCAACGACGGAATGTTCGGAACCTCGTCAACCCTCTCCTGGACCAAGTGATGGAGGCAGCGGAGATCTCTGTACATTTTCGAGATTGCCGAATTGGACAAAGTTCCGAAGATGGCTGCGCGGGTCAGCCTTGATTACTCAAACACAATTCATCTGACTTACTGCTCCACGGATAGATTTCATCCTGAACCCGGGTTTCCTCATAGAACTTGCGCATCTTCGCTGGCGTGACAACCAATGTCCCCTTTGGCTCGTAATCCTGCATCTATCACGGAACATGTCAGCGATAGCGCAGGGGCGCGTCTGCGTTGGCACATACTAAGTGGAGCGCAAGGCCACGTAAGAACTGGCTCAGCCTCGGAGTAGGCTGGCCATCTGCATCGAACAGCGGACGCCATGTCTTCTCGATCGCCGTCTCCTCGACGTCCGTGAAATGTCGCTGGACCGGGGGACGCGGCGGATATTGGGCAGTAGCGCTGGTGTTGCTGTGCTGTGTCGCGCCGTACTGCGAACCGTGATCCGACGTAATCGATGACGTCGCACGTGTTCCACCAAACTGCGGTGTTGGGCCCTCGCGCTCTCTAGCGTCAGACTTGAAGTAAGGGTCCTGGGCCGGTGGTTCAGGCGAATTTGAGCTGTTGGTTGAGTGAATGCTGTCGTGCCTGGTCGGAGAGGGTGGGGTGTAGACGCGCGGTGGGCAGGATCCGGCCACAGAGGTGGTGGATGACTCCGGTAGGACCACCTTCTTCTCGCGAGGCTTGCTCTGCGAAGAGGAAAGCTGACCCGACGACTTCAAAGTATCGAGGACCTGCTTCCTCACCTCTTCCGTTATCTGCGCTACTAGATCCCGGTCGAGCTGGCTTGCGGCATTCGACTTGTCGAAGGCGCTGTTGACGGCCTCGTACACCGGCTGGCCCTGCTGAGAGCTCTGCGAGCCATCCGCCGACGACGAGCGCGAGGTACGTCGGGGTGGAGGGGCCGAGTAGGATGAGGTTGATGACGGATGGTCTGAAGACTCGAGGTAAGCTCCGTGAGGGGGTAGCGGCGGGTCGGAACTGCGGTAGTCGTAGGCCATGGCGGACCGTTTCGGCACCGGTAGCGGGCTGCTTATGTCGCTCTTCGTGCAGGAGTAATCGCCAGATGCGGCACGGAGTCGTGGCTGGTGTGGATGACGGCGGCTGTCACATCACATCGCTCGCATGAAGTGTATGCACGGCGAGGCTGAACGGGAAACTGGGTGACGGGAGAAGAGATGCGCCGAGGCGGGGGTGATTTGGCAGATGTAGTGTCTGCTGGGCTCAGCCTTGCGCCCGACGCGACAGTCACGATTGCGTCTGCCGGGGTTGGTCGGGCTGGTTTGATGGGCCACCGGTCAAGCTGGTGTGTTGGAGGTCGATGTGCAGTGCAGTTTCGCGATGTAGGGCAGCAGCGCAGGCGTGTTGGCGGCAGTTGGGTTTGATGTCTAGAAATAGGGCAGGGTGGCCGTCGAAACGTGGAAGGCTCAGTGGCTCATTCTCCACCAGCCAACCTACCGCGCCAGAGATATGCATCTCAGAATACCTGCTCCCCCAAGGCGGCCGCATGCGTCATCCCCCAGAGCACACGGGAGAGCAGCCACGCCCGGCCCCGTTTCCCCGTCACATCTGCAAATCACCATTCAGTACGGCCTCGCTTGCACGTCCAAGACATGGCAAGGCACGCGCCGCCACCGGGAAGCATGCGCATCGTCATTACCCCCATGCTGCCGGACGCTCCAAGTGACCCGGGAACCGCGCGCGCTCGCTGCTTGTGGCACTAGCCCGACGTCTGCCGGGGCGCCGTTTGACGATAGCAGACGGCATCCTTCCCTGGGTTGGGCAGATCGCCCGCTGCAGGAACCGGCTGTGCGCGATGGCTGGCACGCGAAACTTGTCGCGGTTCCCCGTGGCAGCGTAGCATTCCTCACGTCATAGAAGCTTCGATGGCGAGGTTGGCCTTCCAGAACGTGTGGGTGCTACTGTGCATCGCTGTGCACTGACTCCAAATGAGCGCGTCCCTGCCGTTGCCTGGAGGAGTGCGACTTAACGCAGGGTCTCCGCCCTTAAGAAGCCGCCGCGGGCCGGGGTCGTTGGACCGCTCGGGCACGCATTATATGCACGTCACAACACGGGCATGGTTGGTCGAGAAGGGGAGCGGGCAGACGCGCACGCCGGTGCTGGGCGAGTTTCAAAGGCCCAAGGTGGCGCGCCACTGCCACCGCCCCCGGCTGTACCGACAGCTGCGCTGCGCAACGGACAATTTGAGATGTTTATGAAGAAGAAACAGCCGTCGAAACACACAAACGATAGGCTGCGGAGACTGGAGGCCGTGGCGAGGCCCACCGGCGTGCTGCCGGTACACGGTAGCCTGCGCCAGCCGCCGTGCCGCCGCCCTGCGTCGTCGCTCTCACAGTGCCGCCCGTCGCATCCGAGATCTGACGAGTGCATCCTGGGGCTGTTATTTCAACCAACATCGCAAAGTGTCCCTGCACGCCTGCGCCGCACCGCTCGTGGCCGCACAGTGATTTTCCAGGATGCGGAGCTGCGGTCGCCCTGCGTGAGCCCACGGCCGGCGCGTACGGAGGGACCGCACGGACGTAGGCTGCCTCAGCGGGTGTTTCAGCTTTGCAGGGCCCACGAATCGCAGCGCGCCGCGCCTGGCTGCGCACTTCTCAGCTGTCTGGACGTTGAGAAACAAAGCCGCCGCTCCGTCCTGCGGCCTCTTGCGTTGTGGGCGTTGCCTCCTCTCGACCCTTTGTCCGCCGCTGCGTTGTTCGGCGTGCCCGTTTGTGCCCACCGCGAAACGCCTAGCATCTCCCTGTCTCACTTCTAAAATCCACAGCGTATCCCGCAACGCAACCTCTGCGCGCCCTCTCTCGTCCTTTGCTGAATCGCGCCGGTCCGCGATCCTTGTGCGAGCGTCTGCCCCAGCGTGCTCACAGACCTCAAGCCGACTCCGACTCCCGTCGAGCTGCTCCTCATCCTCAGGCACACCGCACATCGCGACGCCTCCGTGCATCTTTACTCCCGTCTGCTGCGCCGCAGCCCTGCTCCGATCGTATCGCTGCCCTTACAAGCTCGCATCATCGCTGTCCGCCGTCGAGCACTGCTCCTGGTCCCTCGCATCGATCGCCAGCGAACAATAGGATCGACCGCAACCGCCATGCTCTTATGACGCTGTTTAATTAGGAGGAAATAGCACTTACAACTTCTCCTCGAGCCTGCCGACTCCATAATACACCCTGCCGCCCATCTGTAATCAAGGGACCACACACCACTATGGCCATGCTCGCGTCGAAGTCGCAGTATGTCGCTCCCATGGGCAACTCGGCCCCGACATCATCTCACTACCCCCCGAGTTCCGCCAGTCACCGCCATCCGCACGCCTCGGCCACCGCCCACCATGGCACCCGGTTCGCCAGCCCGACCGAGTCCGAGTTCTCCGAGACGTACGATGCGCCCGACTCGGTAAAGTATGGCACAGAAGACGCTGCGGGGGGCATTTGGCGCAGATGCTGACCAGGCCGTGCAGGAACTGGGATGAAGATCGTGTCGGAGAGTGGCTGAAGACCATCAACTGCGCTCAATACATACAGCTCTTCAAAGGTCCGTGGAATCTGCTGTTCGGCAGGGATGGTTTCTTACTAACCCAACCACAGAGAACAACATCAACGGCGAGGTGTTGATGGAGATGGATCAAAGCCAGTTGAAGGAGATGGGAATCAAGAAGATCGGTGACCGCGTTCGCATTGGCTCGCAGGCGAAGCTTTTCAGGAACAAGGAATACCGCAAGTCGAAGCGCAACTCGAATAGGGTCAGCTTTGTCCTCCCGTGGACAGTCCATGTCGGATATGGCTAACGTCTGACCAGGAGTCGCTCGCCATCCTCGACAGCGCAAGCTATACTCCTCCGTCATCCGGCTCTCCCAGACCCCTTCATTCAGCAAGAGGTGCACCTACAACTTCCCGCCCCGACAAAAGGATGTCACGACAAATCGGCGGTGCTGACTGGAGCTATACCCCAGGCCTTTCGGCTCGGAAGCAACCGTCACGTCCAGGATCACCCCTCGTCGACCAAGAGAACCGTGGTCTCCGTCCCCCGACGTCCGGCACCATGTACAGCCCCAAACACTCTGCCAGAAAGGATGATTCGTACTTCGGCCAGCCTTTGAGCGCCAACTCTACTTCAGGCCGCGGTCCCAGGTCCGCCACCACTCCCGTTGAGACGCCGCAAACTGCCCGTTTTGCTAACCATGTACGCGCAAGTCCCAGCCAGGACGCTTCGACCAATAGCAGCGCTCTGCCCACCGACAAGGCCTTGATTCGGGTCATCTATGACAACGGCAGGTCCTCCGTCATCGATGTCAAAGGATTCAGATCGGCCGAAGACATCATGCTTCAGGTGTTGAGGAAAGGCACGCTTAACGAGGCGCATGTCAAGAACTATTGTTTCTACGTGCTTGACGGCGCTGAACCCAACCCAGCTCTCTGCCGTAAGCTTAGCGACGTTGAACTGATGCGTGTTTGTAACGATCGGTCAAGGATGGAGCGGAACCGCCTCATCCTTCGAAAGGTCCACGCCGGCGAGCCCGAGGACGACCAACTGAAGGCCGCCGCGAACATTGCCGCACAACAACACAGTCAGCTAAACCCCACAATATTACCTTCTACGGCTCGAGGCCAGCTCAAGATTGAAAAGCTTACCGGCGAATCCTTGGCTGCAGTAAGTTATCCGCTTTCTCCGGCATCGCAAAAGGAGCGCGAACGGCACATCAACTCGACTGCCAAGGACCTGGAGCGCGCAGACACCAGCCGCTCAGCCAGCAGGACTCCAGACAAACCCATGAAGCAGTTTTACGGCGGCCGCCCACCGAGCAACCTCATCACCTCCGATCTGGCCTCGTACTTCCCGGATGTCGAAAAAGACGAGATGGACAAAACCATCCGCATGTCTGTCAGACGCTCTCGCCGGCTGAGCAAAGCAGCCAGCCGTCTGAGTACGCTAAGCAACTTCAGTGTTGCATCAAGTCTGAAGGATGCTCCACCGCTTCCCTCGATTGCGGACCAGTGGCTTAACAACAACGGCGGTCAGGTGAAGCCGCTACGACCACTCTCAGTAATGCGCTTGGGACTTCCGTCTCTGGGGCAGACACAGTACCGCGATTCGATAACGTCTTCCGTCCTCGAACCCCTGGAAGAAGAATCCCCCACCGATGGTTCGTCGGTTCGCAAGTCCTACGTCTCATTTGGCGGGGATAGTGGATCTGACACCGTGGCCGTCACCGATCCAGACGGGCACACAACCATGCACAGCTATTTCGATGATGGCGGCAGTAGCTTCGCCGGCAGCAGCCAGGGCACCGAGGCCGGCGACTCGTTTAACAAGCGTTTGAGCTCCGCCCTGGCCGAAGACGGCGAGGAGTACGATGAAGAGCTTGAGGAATATCTTGAAACCGATTCGTGGGAGAACGTCAAATACATGAAGGGAGCACTGATCGGCCAGGGCTCTTTCGGCAGCGTGTATCTTGCACTGCATGCCGTCACGGGTGAGCTTATGGCCGTGAAGCAAGTGGCGCTGCCAACTGGTGGCACTGTTGACCCCAGGAAGGCGAGCATGCTCGACGCGCTGAAGCGCGAAATTGGCCTGCTGCGCGAGCTGAAGCACCCCAACATCGTACAGTACCTCGGCTCTAACAGCGATGAAACGCACCTCAACATTTTCTTGGAATACGTCCCTGGTGGATCGGTTGCTACGATGCTTGTCAACTACGGACCACTTCTGGAACCGCTGGTTGCAAACTTCGTGCGCCAGATCTTGACCGGTCTCGCGTACCTGCACAGCAAGGAGATCATCCATCGCGATATCAAGGGCGCTAACATCCTTGTCGACAACAAGGGTCGGGTCAAGATTTCCGATTTCGGCATCAGCAAGCGAGTTGAGGCCTCTACGCTGCTTTCTCCCACGAGCGGCAAGAAGGGAGCCAACCGCGTGTCGCTACAGGGATCCGTCTTCTGGATGGCGCCTGAGGTTGTCAAACAGACAGCATACACGCGCAAGGCCGACATCTGGTCGCTCGGCTGCCTGATAGTCGAGATGTTGACGGGCTCGCATCCACACGCCGACTGTTCACAGCTCCAAGCCATTTTCCGCATCGGTGCTGCAGGCGGCAACGCAAGTCCAAACATACCTGAAAATGCCAGCGAGGACCTTCAGGTCTTCCTCGGCCGCACATTCGAAATTGAGCACGAGAAGCGCCCGAGCGCGGACGAGTTGCTGGAAAGCGAATTTTGCGCGGTCAAGGCATAAACTTTCGCTCCGAATATGGAGCTAATTCTGTTCTTGTTCCTTTTTCTGTTTTCATTTTATCACCACCTTCAGAAGCTTAATTCTGCGCCTTTGCTTGTCTTTCACAAGAGGCGCATTTGAATATTTTGGCCCTGACATTCGACATACGACTTCACGTTTTTCAAAGAAGCGACGAAAAACAAGATGGACGGGGGAAGAGAGGAAGATGTTTGAGACGTCTTGTCATGACGAATGGCCACACCTCCTGTTTTTAACCACCAATGAACGGATCACCGAATCGGGAGGCATTGTTGCATTCTCCTAACGAAAAGCTGCTTCGCACCCACCTGACGGCTTGCATGCTGTTCTTGTACTATATCTTTGCTGGGCCAGAAGGCCGTTGATTATAGCTATGCATAGCTTTTGTGTCGGGTGGTATTTACAAATGGGCGGTGGGTGGGAGGACAGGATAGTCCAGGGGAAATCCGGAAAGATGATACTTATTCTCATCAAATGCATATGACTATGCTTTTAAGTGACGTTGCGCTTTGAGGTTGTAAGATGGCGCGCCGCGGGCTTCATGTGATCTCATAGGCCGGGCGCGTTAAAGTGACACGCGCGACGCGTCGCCCGAAGCGCGCCTGCACATACCTTCTTTCCGTCGTCACCGCACACTCAACTACACAACAATCCTCCAATACCCACCATTGAGACGCTCGCACCATGGCGTTGCTCGTAGACAAGCATCGGCCGCGTTCGCTCGACGCGCTGACCTACCACCACGAGCTCTCCGACCGTCTCCGCGCCCTCGTAAGGCCCCCGCCGAAAGGCAGCACTTTTGCCGCCACCGTCACGACCCCACACATTTCCCTGCCTCGATGAAATCTTTCAGACCATACGTTCGCACTCACTGACGCGCGCGCGCATTTGCGCCTCTCCACTCCAACAGGCACAAAGCGGCGACTTCCCCCACCTGCTCGTATACGGACCGTCCGGCGCGGGCAAGAAGACGCGCATCGTAGCAACGCTCAAAGAACTGTACGGCGCAGGCGTGGAGAAGATCAAAATCGACAGCCGCGTCTTCCAAACGTCGTCGAACCGCAAGCTCGAGTTCAACATCGTCGCGTCCAACTACCACCTGGAGATCACGCCGTCGGATGTGGGCAACTACGATCGCGTCGTCGTGCAGGATCTGCTGAAGGAGGTCGCGCAGACGCAGCAGGTCGACCTGGCGGCGAAACAACGGTTCAAGGTCGTCGTCGTCAATGAGGCGGACCATTTGACGAGGGATGCGCAGGCCGCGCTGAGGAGGACGATGGAGAAGTACAGCCCGAACCTGAGGTTGATCCTCTTGGCGGAGAGTACGAGCAACATCATTGCACCCATCAGGAGTAGGACGCTTCTTGTGAGAGTGGCGGCGCCGGCGGAAGAGGATATTGTGGACGCGTTGAAGGTGGCAGGGAAGAAGGAAGGTTGGAAGGAGAATGAGGAACTGAACAAGAAGATTGCGAGGGAGTGCGGTAGGAACTTGAGGAAAGCGTTGCTGATGTTTGAGGCGGTTCATGCGCAGAAGTGAGTGTCGCTCTCCTCTCCTGAAGCTAAGGGAAGAGAAGAGATTACTGACCAATTGGTAGCGAAAACGTCACGGAGAACACACCGATCCCTCCGCCAGACTGGGAAGTACTCATTGGTGAGATTGCGAAAGATATTGTTGAGGAGCGCTCGCCCGCACGTATTATGCAGGTTCGCGCGAAACTTTACGACCTGCTTACCCACTGCATCCCGCCAACTACAATCATCAAGGTATGGATGTGCAGCTTTCGTCAGCTCACTACTTTTGTTGATCCAAGCTGATCCGTTCTGGCAGACACTTACGTGGAAGCTGATCCCCCTTTGCGACGACGAGCTGCGGGCGGACGTGGTCAAGTGGAGCGCGTTCTACGAGCACAGGATAAAAATGGGAAGCGTAAGTCTTCGTCTACAATGATATGTGTGAGAAAGAACTGTCAATATGTTGATACCAATAACAGAAAGTCATATTCCATCTGGAGGGATTTGTTGCTAAGTTCATGCGTTTATACGAAAGGTCAGCTTCTACTCGACATCTCTTGACTTTCATCAACTGACCTCCTTGTAGCCACCTCATGGGTATTGATATCGACTTTTAAGCCGTATCAATTCACAAACTGTTTCAGTACGACTAAATTTCAGTAGAGAAGCATGGGTTCCTGCACAAAATGGCTGGGCACTCGGGGGATGGCGTTACACATGGGCATCACATCATCATGGATAGGAATCACTACTACTTTGCTGCCGTTGACCCTTCGAAGCGAATCTTCCTTATCCAGAGCACCGACATCCTGTGTTATATCACCATAAGGAAACCACCGCAGACACAACTTGATGGCGAGACGATCACAAAATTTGAGCCCTACCATGGAGAGTCAGATATGGCCTGATACAATGGCCTCATCAAGCAGATTCTCCCAGCAACACACTACTCCCTACTCTTCACAAAACCCCCCGCTCCCCACAACACCCCCCTCCTCCCTCCCCTCCTCCTCACACAACCACATTCCCACAAATCTTGACCGCCAACCCCCTCAACGCCTCCTCCATCGCCGCCCCATCACGACCCAGCCCGAACTGCCCCGCGGCCACGTCCTCCCCGCTCTCGAACAAGTTGAGCACCTCTTCCCCTTCGACCACGCCTCCGTACTTGGCCAGCCGCTCGCACGCACGACGCATGTCGCTCATATCACCGCCAGCGCCGCCATTATTCTTTCGATCCGTCCGGCAATGCCTCCAGTACCACGTCGGCAGCGCCAGCGCGCCCGCGGCGGCGGCGGCTTCGGCGCGGTCGAGGAAGCGGCGGTAGTCGTGGAGGGGGTTGCCGTGGGGGGAGAGGAGGGTGTCGGTGGGTGGTTTGGGTTGGGGTTGGGGTTGGGGTTGGAGGTGGTTGTTGTGGTGGAGGCGTTTGGAGAGGTTGTGTTCGTCGTGCAGGCGGAGGAGGTAGGTTTTGAGGAGGATGGAGGGGAGGGTGGTGCGCGTGGCGAAGGGGAAGTCGTTGTGGTCTGCGTTGGGGTTGGGGTTGTTGTTGTCGTCGTGGGTGGGATTAGGATTGGGACTGGGAGTGTTCTTGTTGTTATTGCGAGCGGCAGCCCTGTTCTTGTCGCAGGTCTTCTTGTGGGACTTCCAGTCGGCGTGTTGGCAGGTGCGGGAGCAGTAGAGGGTTTGCTTGCACCTGGTGCAGTGGAAGAGAGGGCAGGGGAGGACGAACTCGGAGACGTGGCAGCTGTGGCAGAGGCGGGTTGCAGCGGTCGGGGAGGGGCCTGCGGGTGGGGGAGGTGAAAAGGTCAGCTTCAAATCATCATTAGTATTTGAGAGGGGAGGGTATGGGAGAGTATACTGGGGTCGTCGATGTCCATGGGTGTGGGCTCGGTACTCTTGTCCATGGCGTCGGTCTGGCTAGCTTTGTCGGTAACTATTTCGTAGTTCCGCTGCTTTCCTGTCGAGGTTTTGGAAGGGTTTTGACCTTAAGAGCGATCTTGTTTTAGAGGTCTGGGACTTTCGCAGGAGCAGGAAGGCCCTCGCGTTTGTTGGACCGTTGTAGATAGCCATGAGGAATTGGATGCGGGAGCAGCAACAAACGCATTACTGTGCATGGAAAGGCATCTTTGTTGTCTCAGGCAACAGCAAACTCAGTGGATGTATTGGTTTCGACATACAGACCTTGTCTCATAGCCTCAAGAGAATAAGCTAGCACCTAAAGGTATACTATACACTTGGTTATGCCGACACTTGATTCGTGATGGGGTAAAGTGACATCACGAAAACCTCCCATGTACGAAGCCATGGACTTCAAGGCTGGTCCAATAACATCCCCTCTTTTGTTGCTAGTCAAGCTCTACATGGATATGGTGGTTATATTAAATATGTTTGCAAATGTTTCTACCGTCTACGGCGGTGAACGATTAGTGTTCACCACCAAAGGACTCGTGGTTGTGGAATCTGGGGCTGAGCATTTGAGGAGCTCTACTGTCGCAACTAAACATGACCGTTAAATCTAATACTTAACCCGTCCAATAACAACAGGACAATGCGCGGAGGCGTGTGGTTTTGCAACCCCGCAGAGTCTGGCGAGAATCTTAGTGGGGCTGCATGGTCAGCCGGCAAAGCAAGGCGAAGGCTGGTGTTGATTCGAGCGAGATCCCAGACAGCAGGTCATGCAAGCATGCAGAAAAGCAGCCACCGTTGATCTGGCGCGCCGGTGACACCCGGAGTAGTATCATGTGAGAGAGGAAGAGCGGGATGGTGGTAGAGCTGCAGGCCCAGAGCCCCGCGTCGATCGCAAGCCAGGCCGCCCCTGCCACTTCCCCAGACAAATCATGTTCCTACGGCTCGCGCGACATGCACTCGGGATTGAGATAGCTACGTCGCCTCCCCTTGCACTGGACCGCATGTGCCAATTCAGCAAGAGCCGAGCGACGAATCATGTCCATCGGCCTACCCCGCTGCAACGGCGCAGGTGCGGGCATGATCATCGACTCATGACGCTGTGCCCGCATTAGCTCATTCTTGCTTTAGGAGCCGATATCCGCTCCAATGTACGTACTACTACCTTTTATTGTAGATGATATCCTGGACACTTCACTTATTTTCCAATCTCTGAGCTCTCTCCCCATCATGGCCTGGCCGAATCCGTTCAGACGACGCACCGAAAACACTCGATCGTACGTGTCCGCCCAACTGCACCCAAAGACGTGCCGTTGACCCAGATGCAGAGCATGGGGACTCACCATCGAACTGACTCCTGAGCACCTCACGGAGGAGCAAACACTTCCGCTAAAGCATTCTTACGACGTTCTGGGGGAGCAGTGTCTCCAACGCTTGAACGAAATCTCGCCACCACCGCAGAATGCACTTCCCCGGCAAAGCGGCCGACCTGTGGCAGCCAAGATGGACCAAACGGCCGAAGCGCCAGAAGAGAAGGATCGATCGCTAGGCGACGACAAGAATCCGCAGAAGCCAGAGGGTCCGCCGCACCGAGATCTGTACGCCTTACTGCGCGACAACGCCGATAAAGACGAGAAGCTGGGCGAGCTGTGGAAAGAAGTCAACACAGTCCCGGATTGGGTCGACTGGGAGCAGATCAAGCGCGGGCAAGACGTCTTCTACAGATACGGCAGTGCCGCTCTGACCGGGCTGGCGTACCAGTCGCTGCTCGGCGGCATGGGCGCGGCGCGCGTGGTCGAGACTCTGGCGCGCACAGGAGGCTTTAGCACCAAGGTGGCGCGCAGGCGGCTGTTCGAGACGACGCAGCATATCCTGCAGTGCACCCGGACGCTGGAAGGCATACAGCCGGGGGGAGAGGGCTGGGCGAGCAGCATCCGCGTGCGGCTGCTGCACGCGGCGGTGCGGCAGCGCATCCTGAAGCTCGCCGAGACGCGGCCCGAGTACTACAGCGTCGAGGAGTACGGAGTCCCGATCAACGACCTCGACAGCATGGCCACCATCTCCGTCTTCTCCGGGACGCTGATCTGGTTGAGCTGGCCGCGGCAGGGCATCTTCGTGCGCGAGCAGGAGGCGGCCGACTACATCGCGCTGTGGCGGTACATCGGACACGTCGTCGGCTCTCCGACCGACGCCTTCGCCACGCCGTCCAAGGCGAAGGCGCTGATGGAGACGCTGTACCTCAACGAGATCCGGCCGTCAGACGTGTCCAAGATCCTGGCCAACAACATCATCCGCAGCCTGCAGGACCAGCCGCCGGCCTACGCGAGCGCCGACATGCTCGTGGCCGGGGCGCGCTGGCTCAACGGCAACGAGCTCGGCGACGCCCTCGGTCTGCCGCGGCCGTCGCTGTACTACTGGGCGCTGATGGCGGGCCAGTGCGTCTTCTTCATGGCCATGAACTACACGTACCGCTCCATCCCCAGCTGGGACCGGTACAAGAACGCCGTCACGCGCGACATCTTCTGGAAGTACATCATCGAGAGCAAGTGGGGGCTCGACGGCAAGACGACGCACTTCGACTTCAAGTACGTGCCTGAGTATGCCATCATGACCCAGCTGGGCCAGACGGAGCTCGCAACCCTCGACCAGGAGTATGATGTCGAGTTCAGGAACCTCCGGTGGCTGCTGTACGCGGGCGTTGTCGTTGCGGGAGGCATGTACCTGTCGTTCAAGGCTGTGAGCGGCGTCGTTGGCTTGTTCCTGTAGTCGTTACTCTCCCTGTTCTTCCTTTTTCGCCGATAGTCTCCTTGCGCTTTGGTGGCTGCGTACACGAGTCTGGCAACAGGCTGTCAGCCAAGACGGGCGGTAGAGGCGGAAATTCAATAGACGTCATGGCAAGCTTGATGTATGTGCAAGGGTGGCAAGGCTCCGCAGGCCACGCGAGTCATGCGCCCGAAAATCATCGAGCACTTTTGCTGGCGCAAAGCGGCTTGCATCACCACCTACCAACACCCGTTGTCATCGACACCACAACCTCCAATGGCTTGCCCTGCATGCTCGCGTCGGGCTCTCAGCCTCTTTGTTGAGAGTGTGGGTGGCCTCAACTCCGCAAACACCCTCCTCCTGCGTCCTCGCCGCTTGCCTCCCACCAGCGCACCGCCACCGCTGCGCCAGCACGCCCGCCCGAGAGCTCTCAGCACACGGCCCGCGCTTCGAGCTCCCGACCCCTCCTTCCGCTTGCCCGACATCAGGCATGGCGATGGCGCTGCGGCCGAGAATCACAGCTCGCGAGACGCTATCGTGCCGTCGAACCTGAGCCCCGAGCCGAGCGTCACGACGCCGCACCAGCACGGCGAGGTGGACGCCATCACTACAAGCGACGAAAGCCATGTTGTCGGAAGTGCGGACGTGGCCGCGGATCCCGATCTGGCCGAGTTGCGCGCGGATTTGGGATTGACCCAAGGCCCGCGCGAAGAGGATTTGCAGGCTAAGATATGGAAGTTGACTGGAGGCCTGTCTGGGACGCCGGCGGAGAAAGAAGCGAAGCCGGGGAGGAAGGCGAGGAAGGAGAGGAAAAAGCTGGAGAGAGCGCTGGAGAGAGCGCAGAAGAGAGAGCAGGGGGGCAGTGAGGAGGCTGGTGCCAGCTCAGGCGAGCATTCGGAGAAGAAGACGGTCGCTCCGAAAGCCGTTGCGGAGATCGTGGTGAAAGGCGGCTACCCCAGGGTCACCGCGTACGACGAGGTAAAAAGGAAAAGTTCCATCAAGCTGGAACCTTGGAGGATTCAGAAGGAAGCGCTGAAGGAGAAGTTTGGGGAGGAGGGCTGGCAGCCACGCAAGAAGCTGTCGCCAGATGCGATGGAAGGCATCAGGACGCTGCACAAATCAGATCCCGGGAGGTTCTCGACTCCAGTACTGGCCGACGAATTCAAGGTCAGCCCCGAGGCGATACGGAGGATCCTCAGGTCCAAATGGCGGCCGAGCGAGGAGCAGGAGGAGGAGCGGATGAAACGCTGGGAGAAGCGTGGCGAGAAGATCTGGGAGGCACAAGTGGCGAAGGGCATGAAGCCTCCCAAGAAGTGGAGGGTGAAGGGCGTGGGCAGCGTGCACTCCAAGGAAGATATGCCGGCTTGGAAGAAGAAGAAGGCACTGAAGCGAAGCGACTGGCGCGAGCAGTCTGATGAGCCGAGCGGCTCAGTGTCGGACTTCTCGCGACCAAGGGGCGCTGGGGTCGACTACGGCGACGTCGGCGGCTGGAGCGACCGAATTTTGTAGATAGCAGTGATATAGTGTACTTGTAGGCCGGCAATGGCGCCACGGCTGGCGGCGCGGTCACCAGTGCCGTCGGAAGGGGAAGGCTCCTTGGCATACGCATAGCGCGCGCTCGTCCAGCCAGGTCGCTCGAGCTCCGCAACACCTCCGTCGCCTGGCCATCCGCACTGGACAGCCGCGCGCCCTGTGCTCGAAGCCTTGTCGACGTCCCAGTTCTGGCTTCGCATGGCCGCTCAGCATGACTTCTCAGCACGGCCGATCATCGCCCGTACTCTCATGACCTAGAGCTCCCGTGCGCGGAGGAGCTCCCTCATCTCCGCAATGTCCACCACCAGCACCAAGACGACCCCGATACGCGTGTCGGTCAGCTTCAAGGAACCCTCCGTTTTCGCCGGCGAAGACGTCCAGTGCACCATCACCTTCAAGAACGTCGCCTCGACCAAGCCCGCCGCCGAGCGCACCCCTCAGCACCCGTCCAGCCGCGACCCCCGCCTCCTGCATCCTGAGCGCTCGCGCCCAAAGCCCCTCCCGGTGCGCGCTCCCTCCGTCGCCCAGTCCGTCGCTCCCTCCATCGCCCCGAGCATTCCGTCGTCAGTCCAGCCGTCCGCGAGCAAGAACTCGTCGCTACACGATGTCGCCTTCAGCTCGCAAGGGGCTCAGAGCGCCGCGCCACCAGGGAGAGCCCGCGGTCACCGTCCAGCTCTCAGCTTGACCACTCCGCATTTTCCGGCCGTCCCGCCGTCGCCGTCCGCCGCCAGCAATGCCCCCAATGGCACCACTACGCCCGTCCACACCCACGGCAGGTCCCTGTCGATAATGTCTATTCACAGTGATGCCATTAACGGTACAATCACCAATTCCGGAAGCGCCGCCGCGCCCAAACGCCCGGCCAGAGGACATGGACGGAGCACGAGTCTGCAAGTTGTTTCGCCCCGCGGCGGAAGTTCAGGCGGCCCCAACAGTAAGTCCGCCCTCTCGGTGCATCGCAGAGACGCGTCGGTGCTGACTATCCCCTCAACTAGATACTCGTTCGCTGCAACCCTCGCCGTTTTTTAGCACATCGCCGCCCCCTCTGGGCCGATCACAGACGGATTTCAATGTCCCGACACGGCCAAGACCGAGCAGACGGACATCGAAGCACAGTACTGCGCCGGGCACGCCAGTGGCCAACGAAACCAGGAAACCGTCGCTGGGAAACTTCAAGTTCCCTCCAACGTCGCCTGAGCCCAGCTCGGCTCTTGGGGAGATGAGCCCTGCTTTGGAGATATCTCCGGCGGATGACACGTTCAGCATCCCTCGAACAAGGAATGCGTCGTTGATTCCGTCTTCAGGGAACTCCCTAACGAGGAGTCCGGAAGAGATTGCGCCGCCACGGGAAAAACTGCAGCCATCACCGGTCACTAGGATAATATCAGGTGCGAGCATGAACGGAGGCAGCTCTCGGAGCAGCGGCGAGTTTTACACCGTCAGCAACAACTCCACCGAAACATTGGCGTCCGAGTACATATCACGCCCAACCGCTCGCCTTCTTCCCAAGTTGATGCAGGATCGCAAACCTTCCAATCTCGCCCCAGTACACCCACGCTTACAAGACAAACCCGAAGTGTTAATGATGGGCTATGCCCAAGTCATGGGCTCATTTACCCTCGATGGATCTCTCATCAACCAGGGACCATTCGAGGAAGTCAAACGGAAAGGGGTAATGGGAGGCCAAGGAGGCGGCGGTGTTGTCGGCATCGAACGAACAAAGCGCGACAGCGGCCTGTTCGGTGCGCTTGGCTGGTCTAATCTTGGAGAGTCGATCGGAGGTCTCCTGGGCGGTGCCGAGCCCAGCAGCATCCGTGAGATGCGATCCGTCGCAAGTGCAAAGACGGTTCCGCTGCTGAGCACACCGCAAAGCATTCTCTTTGTCGATTTGAAGCTGGCGCCAGGTGAGGAAAAGAGTTACACGTACACATTCACACTACCGAGAGGACTACCGCCGACACACAAGGGAAGGGCAATGAAGGTGAATTACCATCTAAACATCGGAACGCAAAGACCCGGCAGCTCGGCAAGAGCGGTAAGGAGCGTGACCGTGCCTTTCCGGGTCTTTGGAAGCGTTACCAGTAAGTGTGCCATGGTTCAAGGCACAGGACTCTGGATGCTGATTCTGCGCAGACCACGGCGAGATCCTCGGACACGATTTGATGTCTCCATATATACTACTGCGCGACCAGGCTACGACCAGCATCGTCGAGGACTCCAAAGCTCAGTTAATACCGAACACTCCAGTCAGCAGGAGGACAAACGGTGAGGCGAGCCAAGCCCAGGCCGAATTCGAAAACTATGTGCGGAATCTGCTCGAGACGGCGAAACGCGATCCGAACGGAAGCCTTCTTTCGCCGACGGAAGCGCCCAAAGAATACCGCCGCCGCCGCTCCACCGTAGAAGAGATGCCGGTCAACTCGATGAAGGAGGCGATCGACTTTGCCATCCTCCGCTCAAACACCAGCTCCTCGTCGAGCGCGTCGACCAACCGCTTCGAGATCGCGCGCAACGGGCGGCGGGTGGCGGTCATCAGGCTGGCGCGGCCGGCGTTCCGGCTCGGCGAGACCATCTCGGCCGTCATCGAGTTCGACAGCGCCGAGGTGCCCGTGTACGGGATCGCGGTGACGCTCGAGTCGAGCGAGAGGGTCGACCCGGCCATCGCGCTGCGCAGCGGCGCGAGCATCCACCGCGTCACGCGGAAAGTGCACGCCAGCTTCGCCGAGAACGCGCTGTTCGCGCGGCGCGTCTGCTTCGCGCCGACGGTGCCGCCCAACGCCACGCCCGAGTTCATCACCAGCGGCGTCAGCCTCGAGTGGAAGCTGAGGGTCGAGTTCGTCACGCCGAGGGTCGCCGCCGCCGCCGCCCATGGTCGCGGCAGCACCGCCGCCAGCGCTTACAATAGCCGCAACAACAGCCGTAACAACAGCGTTGCGAGCACCCCCGTCATGGAGAAGCAGCAGCAGCATCATCATCATCAGCAGCAGCAGCAGCAGCTCGCAGAATTATGGGGAGGGGCGGGCGCATTGCTGGAGGAGATGGCGAGCGATGATCGTGGCACGGTGCTGGCGGCGGTGGAGAGGCTGAACTGCGAGAGCTTCGAGGTTGCCGTGCCGATTAGGGTGTACGGGGCCTCGACGGGCTCGGATGGCTCGATGGGCGCGGGGGAGCAGGAGGAGGGTGGATATGCTATCTAGGCGCAAAGAAGAAGAAGAAGAAGAAGAAGAAGAAGAAGAAGAAGAAGAAGAAGAAGAAGAAGAAGAAGAAGAAGAAGAAGAAGAAGAAGAAGAAGAAGAAGAAGAAGAGAAGGACAGAGAAGGGCATGGGAAAGGAAGAATATATTTATGTATTTTGGATGACTGATTAATACGGCAGTGAGGGGGGCATTGCAGAGGTATTGTGCAACTAGGGAGGATGGGTAGGTGGGATCACACAGGAGTAAGTACGGTTCACGCGGCATCTATTGTTCAAAGAGAGAAAAAGGCCAGCATGGGGCGATGTAGAAATGAAAGTTTTTCTTTTATTGCTGTCTCGGCCTGCTCGTTCTGTTTGCTGATGGTGGCGTTTTGTCTTGGGCTTCGGAATGGCGCAGAACAAAACCGAACAGGGCTGGATGGATCACCTCGTGGACATGGGCACTGATCAAGAGGAACAGGCTAGAGGGAAGTCAGAGGCAGAGAAATATGCTGATCTCAACCCCATTAGTGGAGCAAAAGGCGCCGCCCGTTCCGGAAGGATTCAGCTCGTTTGCCTCGGACGACTACTACTGCCGACGATGTGATGGAAGTTACCGCCAGGCTTCTTCTTCGCTCGGTCTGCCGAATGGCGATCTGCCAGGTCGTGACGGACGTGGTTCGGGTTCGGGACGAGAGCGATGAGTGGTGATCGCCGTCGTATCTGCGGGCTGCAGGGGGCAGAGACAGGGGCGTGGTTGCTGCTGGGTAAGCTTATTCCATAAGCTTTTTTTTTTCCTATGGGCCTGCTCCGTAAGTTCCTCGTCCACATCACCCTCGTCGTCGTGTCCACCCGGCACCAACGCACGCGCATCAGTCTACATGACCATCGCATCTTCGGCGTCGCTTCTTTGCAGGCCTCGAGGTTCGTTCGCTTCGGGGTATGTTTCGCGATATAGCCGGAGCGATGGAGCAGCGGTGCTAGCGCGGGTGCGTCTATTGGCGTTTCGGCCCCCGGCACGCCACAGACAGCATCCAGGCGTGGCCAGGAACGGTTTTTCCCCTGAGCCATTAATCCGGCTCTCTCCCGCGGCGCCTCAATGCTTGGAATGGCCTCTCTCTCTTCGCTTTCGCGAGCCTCTCGGGCCGTGGCGTGGTTCGCCGTGCCGGGCCAAGACGAGCTGGAAATTGGACACGGCGCTGCGGGCTGGACGTGAGCCTCTCACATCACCGGCGCATGGAGAAGGATGGCTGTGGCGCGTCTGTGTCGAAGCTTATGTGCAGCCGCGGCCTCGTCTTTGGCTGCCGGCCTTTGCCGCCGTCGCGAGAGGAGCGGTGGTGGCGTTTGCCGCATTGGCGTGGGCCGAGATGAGCATGCGGAGAAGCAGGGCGGAATGGAGGCGAGTTGGTGGCTGCTGCCTTGTCACCAGACCACAAGCGCGCGCGAAGGATTCAGCCGGCCGGTCGACGAGTAGGTTGGTCTTGTATATAAAAGACTGAGACGGTTGCTCTGCTGGGGTCTCTTTTTTCGAAGCACCACACGTCTTTCGTTCCGGTCGTCGACGGTCTTTGAGCTCTCTCATCACTCCAGTCCTTCTTTGAATCATATATACAGCAACCTTGCTGACACCCACATTCGTTGCCCAACAACCTCCAACAACCAACAAACCACAACAAAAACCACCAAGCAAGATGCGCACCACCAGCACCACCCTCCTCGCCACGGCCCTCCTGGCCGCCAGCGGCGCCCTCGGCCGCACCGACCTGGCCGGCTGCGTCTCGTCGGCCACGGTCGCGTACGGCGGCGCGTCGCTGATCTGGTACGTGCCCGGCAGCGGCGAGATCTGCTCCTTCCTCGACTGCGGCGGCGGCCGCGCCCCGCCCAAGACGACCGTCCCCGGCTGCGCCGCCTACGCCGGCACCGCCACCTACTCGCCCGACTACCTCCCCGGCTACGGCCCGGACGCCACGCCCACCTCGGCCGCCGCCGCGTCGTCGTCCGCCGCCGCCTACGCCAGCCCCAGCGTCACTGCTGCCCCCAGCATTTCCAGCGCCGCCGTCGTCGTCAGCAGCAGCAGCAGCAGCAGCAGCGCCGCGGCGGCTTCGTCTTCTGCGGCCATGAGCTCCGCCAAGGACATGTCTTCTTCGTCTTCTTCGTCCTCTTCCACGGCGCACGCTTCTTCGTCGACCATGGCTGCCATCACCACCCCCAAGGGCGTCATGACCCCCGTTGCTGGCACTCCCACTGCGGCCGCCACCCCCTCCAGCTACACCGGTGCTGCCGGCAGGATCGAGGCCGCTGCCGGCGTTGCCGTTGGCGGCGTCGTTGCTGCGCTCGCCTGGTTGTAAGCGATGGGAACGGAGTGCTGCTGCTGGATGAGTGAGGGAGATGTGTTAAGGGAGGATGGGAGTGCCCTAGATGAGAGATGGAAGACGGGATGGGTAGGGGATCGAATGGATGAGATGGCATAATGTGTTATTGATAATAAATACTTCACACTACGACGAATCAAATAAAGAACTATTCGGTCAATGTCGATTGTTATGTTTTTTTTCCTGCAGTTGATGTGTGACCGTTTACGTCTCTTTGGTTTTCAGCACACGCTCTTCATAGCTTTGCCTTTGATGGAGAATCGAGTAAAAACTCGTCTACCATCTCGCTTACGACTTCTCCCAGCCCGAAGCTGTAGCCATAGCCACTGCCCGAGACACCTAGCACAGTCCTCAGTTTAGCTCGAACACGAAAAAGCAAAAACAAAGAAACAGAACAATCAAAACTCACCATAAGCATGCACGACCTTCAACCCAGTGTCCCCCACCACCTCCCTCTCCACCCTCGGCCCGCCCTCCCTCCCCGGCCTGAAACCCACATTGTCCCTCACGACGTCAAAGTCGGCGGGAAAAGCCGCAAAGACGTGCGGCAGGTTGTCGCCGACGCGGCCGAAGATGTCGGTCCGCTGGTCCTCGCTGACGCGCGGGTCGACGTCGTCGGCGCCGGCGCCCTTGACGCCGCCGACGACGGCCGTGCCGTCCAGCCGCGGGATGCAGTACGTGTACTGCGACCCCTGCCGCATGAAGACGCGGTCCCAGCCCGTGCGCACCACGTGCGTCTGCCCGCGGACGGGCTGCATCTTTGCCTTTTCACCGCCGTTGCCATCTCCGGCAGGAAACGTCGAGCTGCTGGGCAGCAGCAGGTCCCTCGCCCCGTTCCCCGCCGCGTTAACCAGCACGTCGCACGGCGCCGCACCCACCGCACCCACCGCCTCCTCCAAACTGCGCACCTCCCGCCGAACAAACCTCACCGGCCTGCCACCCAACTCCCCCCCCTCCTCCTCCAGCCTCGCCCTCAGCCACGGCAGCAGCACCGCCGGCTGCAGCACCACCGTCTGCCAGCGCACGCCGAGCGTGCAGCCGGCCGGCAGCTCCGCGGCGGGCATGGCCGCGAAGCCCGGCACGTGCGCCGCGTACCAGACGTCGGCGAGTCGGGCGCCGTCGTCGCGCATGTCGTCGATGGGGATGCGGCGGATGCTGCTGCTGCTGCTGTTGTTGATGCTGTTCGTGGATGATGATGCGGCATCGGCGTCGGCGAGGCGCAAGAGGTGCGGGAGGGTGAGGGCTTGCATGCGGCGCTGCTGCGGGGTGGTGTTGATGTCGGGCATGTAGAAGGCGCCGGCCCAGCTGTTTTGGTGGGTGGCGCCCCGGGCGAAGTGGTTAGTTGGTTTGGTTTTTATTGTGACATGTTTTTTTTTTTTTAAATTTCTTTCTTTTCCTTTGCTGCTTCTTTGTTTTCTTGGTGGATGTGCGCAGGAGATGGTAGGTGGGGACGGTGGAGATGGGTCGTTAAACGGTTAGAGAATGACTTACGGAGATGCCCAGTCCTTGGAAGCGGTGTCGAGGTCTATGGGCTGACCGTCTTTGGGTGGGAGATCCCGGGCGATGATGGTGACGGTGTGGCCTTTTGAGCGGAGGATCCATGCCGTGGCGAGACCGGTGATGCTGGACTAAAGTGTCAATATACAGAGTCCTTGCATGGAATTTAATTCATGGCGAAATGAGGAAGTGGGGAAGTGTGAGTTGCGGGGTATCACGTAGTGAAGGAGTACTTACCCGGCGCCGAGGATTGTAATATTTCCCATTTTAGCAGGCTATGGTTTGTGAAATCGCCGCTTGACTGGTGTGTTCGCAACTGGGAAGGCTAGGGGACTTGTATATGTAGTTGGTGGTTGCGGCATCGCATGTCATGCCGTCGCTTATCGTCGGCTATCGGGTCTGCCGCTTGGGGGGAGACTACAGGTCGGTCGACCAAACGCCTTATCGCCGAGGTCGGGGGTATCTTTACCACCGCCACCCACGATCTAATACCAACACCCCCTAACACTCAACACCCACAACACCTAAAAATGGAGATTCCTAAAGCTAACCCTAATCCTCCTAACCCTGACCCTCCTAACCCTAATCACTAACTAATAACTAAGGAATCAACTTCTATTCGATTTTGAATTGATTTAGAATCAACCCAGAATCGATTTGGGATTGACTACCCCCCTAGCATAATACGAGATTTACCGAGAAAGGAGAGAATCTCCGATCGCCCCGGAAAATCTCCTTTGGTCGACCGACCTGCGACCTCGCTTGGGGGCCTATCACCTTGATGGCGAATCGTGAGGGACGACTGCTGCGCTTGCTGTAAGAGCACAATGATGTTTGCCCAACTTTGAGCACCACAGCAAGGGAATCGATTCGATATTTTTTCCCGACCTATAACCCAAGAAGCAAAAAAAATCTCCAGTCCTGTGCTCAAGCGGTTGTTACATTCGCAAAACCTCAAATCTCAAACCTGAAAAACAGAAACACAAAAGCGCCGGTTGCGGGTATCTCTCGGCATCATCAGCGCAGCTGCAACAGCAGTAATAACACCAAAAAATGAAAAAGATAACAACCCCTTCCATCCACTTACACATCCTCTCCCTCACTCGACGCACAGCGCGAGCCTCTTCACCCACATCATCTCCAAAACCCACCCCTGGACCCATTCACTCTCCCTCCCCAACCCTCACCAGCGTCCCTAAACTCGTCCCCTTCCTCCCAACAAAGCCCCTCCTATTCCTACCCGTCCGCCCTCTGCCGAACCAGTTGTACTTGAGCTCCGCCGCTAGCCTTTCCATCTTTGTCTGGGCGTCGTCGCCGCTCCGAATGCTGATGAGAATGCTAACGCACTGGAGCATGCGCGCAACCGTCTCCATGACCTTGGCCGTGTCCATCGGCTGCGGTGGCACTGGCGAAGCGGGTGGGGGTGCCAGCTGATGGTTGTAGAAGTTCTGCGGGTTCGAATGGCTACGCCCGTGGCCCGCCAGGTGCACGTTGGTCGGCAGGCTGTGGAAGGAACCCGCAGACGTGTTGGACGTGGCACGGCTGCGCGAATTCGATGAAGTGAAGGGGTTCGAAAAGGATGACGCGGTGCTTTCGAGGATGTTGGAGGCCGAATTGTGGCTATGCGAAATGCTGTGGCTGGCCGGCCAGCCCGTGTCACCGAGGCTGGTCGAAGTTCCAGGACGGGCAGGGTATGTCGCTGGTGACGTTTGGTGCGATACCTGGCTCGTCGCGTCGGGCGAGGGATGCGAGTCCACGATACCAGCGTTGATGTTCTCAAGAGACAAGCGAGAGAAGATGGCCATAAGCGCGTCGTTACGAGGGAGGATGATGATGTCACGGAAAGTGATGAGCGTCAAGCGCCGAACGTCAAGCTCCTCGCCGATGGTGGGGAGTTGCTTCGACCTCGACTGGTCAGAATCTGCACGGCTCCTGTTGGGAAGAGAGGCTCCCCAAAACCCTGCCGCTTCCTTCGGATTCATGATACCTCTACCCTTGAATTCCATGTCGAGAGGCAGAAAGACAGCTTGTACAAAGGGCAGAATCGTGTACAGAATGATAGTCCACATATCCACCAGCTTCGGTACGAGCCGGTCATCCGGACAGTGTCGCAACGTCTGGTCGAGGGAGAGAAAGCCCGTCTGCAGCAACTCAGCGAGATCCTCTATGATAATCGTCGGCGCCTGCCGCTGTATGCAGCGTCGGAGATGGACCGAGACGAGGGCATTGAAATCCTCTATTGGCGGTCGAGGGTCCTCGCCCTCGAAAATCAGAAGAACGCGCGCCTTGATAAGGGGCCAGGCATCGTCTGGTGTCATTTGTGGCACACCGAATATGGCACCAAGGGTTGCTACAGATGTCTGTGGTGTTTCTAGAGCAAGCCCAGCCGAAAGCAAAGATGCAGAAGGTGCGGATGTGCTCAGACCCGCAGTACCCGGCCATTCGGGACGCTCCAACTGAAGCGAGGGATCGCGCTCGCGGTACGTTGTTTCTATGTTCTCAAGAGATGCAGCGTGAGCGTTTGCAGCCTTTTCTTCCTTCTTCTTCTGACGCAAGGCTCGGCCGCCGTGTCTCAGGTCCAGACCGCTCATTGACTGAGCAAAGGTGCTTGAATGGCCAGGCGAGTTGGGAGCGGCAAAGTTGTAGAGCGGCTGGGGCGCGCTTGGATCCGTGGGCTTGGAATTGCTAGATGCAGAAGAAAGCGGGAGGATGTGATCATCATGCTTGAGCTTGTGCTTTTGACGCGACAGGAAATGGCGATGGTGTTTTTCCTTTTCCTTTTCTTTTTCTTTTTCGGGCAACATGGGCAAGCGATCCGACGGAACAAGGGTCGAGGTTGAGGCATTCGCGAGAGAATACAAGGACGGAGCAGGCATCTTGTGGTCGATCAAGCTGGTGGTTGACTGGTTCATCGACAGGGCACTCGAGCTGTACATGCCGGGGCGACTGGGCGAAGGGAGGGCAGGCAGCCCTTTGGTGATGTCCTTTTCTCTGGAGATGCCTATGCTCTTGGGCTTGGAGAACAGCTTCATCTTGGACTTTTCTTTGACGGGCTTCGCTTCCTTCTCGGGCATCACTTGGGGCGACATGGGGCGGGCATTGAATTCGGGACTGGGCGATGCAAGCGGGCTTCTGGGGAACACGGTATTTGCCGCGGCGGTCGCGGCACTCTTCTGGCCCCCAAGAACACCGTTCTGATACTGGCTGGGCACGCTCAGACCTGGATTTATGTTCAGCGGCGGCACGACGGGCGACGGGCTCGAAGGCTTCCGGCGGGCGGGGAGGTTCTGGCCCGGCTCGGGTATGGTGGTGGAGCGCTTTCGGTGCAGCTGGTGGTCGTGTTGCTGGGCGTGCATCGCAGCCTGGGCTGCGATCTGCGAGGCGGACAAATTGGACATGCTCGGCGAGTTGGAGTGCGAGGCGGTGGGCAGCGAGGGCTCGAAGAAGCCCTGCGAGTGCTGGCGGGGGCGATGGCCGGGATGCGACGGCGGAGTCTGCACGCCGGGCGGGCGTTGGTCGCGCGACAGCTCGTTTATGGCGCTCTGCACATTGCTCGACACGTGGGCGACGGTGGGCCGCTGCAGCTGCGGGCTGTAGCTCGGGGTGCTCTGGGGGTAGTTTGTGTTGGGCGAGTGCGTGTGCTGCTTGCGGATGGAGAGGGCGGTGATGCGCGAGGAGTCGCTGTCCGTGTCGGACTGGTCGTCGTTGGAGGTGGATTGGCCGCGGGGGCGGTGTTGCGAGGTGGGCGTCTGGCTGCTGCGGGGCTGCGAGTGCTGCGGCGGCGAGCGCTGGACGGTGCGGGCGGGTGAAGAGGCCATGCTGAGAGCTGCCGCTGGGCGTCGGCGCTGTGCGACTTGGGCGCTGGCTGGGTATCGATAGGTAGGTGCCGCGGGCAGCTCAGGCCATGTCCGGCACAGCCAAGAGCGGAGCGCGCGAGCGGAGAGAGGGCGCAGAGGTGCGGGAGGGCGGCACAGGATCTGGAGCAGTGAGAGGCAATGCGTGCGGCGGAGATGAAGCAGCGAGAGGCGCGGTACGTCGTCGTAGGGCTGAGGCCGGCCCTGGCGAAAGCAGTAAGATCGGCGCCCCAGGCGCCGCGCTTTTTCTCTCACCACCATGCCCCGCATCCCCAGCCCACCGCATCCGCCACCTCCGCCTCCAGCCACCCCAAAAATGCCCTCCCTGAGCGCCGTCTATTCCTCGCCCGCCCACGGCACCGCCGTCTTTTCCCGCGACCTACCGCCCGTGAGCGCCGCGCCCGCCACCGACGAAAAGACAGCCTTCCTCTCTGCCCTGCGCCAGTCCGTGTCCGAGCTCCAGAGCGAGGTCAATGCCCATGTCACCCAGAACATGGAGCAGGAGAAGAAGGATGCTGGCATAGACGAAAGCAAAGAGGCTGCCTTGGAAGCCAATTACGGCGAAGAAGTCGTCGAAGAGGACGAATGATTCGACACCACCATTGTCGACCTCTCCGTCCTGGTTCAGATGCCCCCGCAGTGTTGCCAGCCACTGGCCCAGTCGGTCAAGTCATTCCAGCCTTTCGCGAGAGCTCCTCAGCAACCGCAAACCTGGCAGCCGCCGTCTCCGGATCTATGAAATTCCTTGTTCTAGCGCTTCGAGACATCTCGAGGTCCAGCCAATCTCGAGCAGTGGATGCATACTTTCTTCCGGCCGCTGGACTTCCCTGGCTTCCACACTGAAATGAGGGACCAAGCATTGCCCGGCGTATGTCCTGGCTGGCAGTCGCTCGTGTCCTACAATGTAATGAACATGGAGGCGAATGCTTCATTATCGCTTCTATGTTGTCTTATGCGGCTTGACCTAAGGGTTCCTGATGAAGTCCATCATCCAAAGTACCAGTTTTGGCCAAAACTGCCAGGATGGTGTAGCCTGGATCGGCCTGCTTCCTGGAAGTGATTGGCGGTATATATCAGCATCACACTGAGCTAGAGAACCGCTGGTCGATCAGTGGCTTTAAGAAAGCGACCTAATTTTTCACCTTATCCTATCTCGTGATGACGCTATTCGGTTGGTCAAGTACAGAGTAGGATGGGAACATCGAAGGAGGTGTTGAGAACATCGATGCCATGCCGCTTCTTGGACAAGGTCTGTCCAAGTGACCCGATTATGTGCACTTCGTTATCGCTCAGTTTCATCCCTTCGTGTGACGGGTGTGTTGAAGCTCGCAATCAGTTGTGGTTAAAAGACCCCCATATGACAACAGAAGGCTTCTCAATGTAGCCAAGCTACCTGTGCTTTCTGTCTGCCGGTAATCTGGCTCTTTCAGTCTGGCTTCCGAACACGTTGAAAATCAAACACTTCGCAAATTAATCTTGGTGCGCTGTTTCCAGATTGTTCAACTCTTCATTCTTGCTTCTCCGCTACCCATCTTATGATTCCATACAATCACGAACTTGAAAGCACATATGAGCCATTTCGAACCTGTTAACTAACCGTGTATTTACATACGCGTCGCGCTTCTCTCGCGTGGATGCCGTGGCAACATTCAGATATTGCAAGCACCGTCTGGAGCCTTCGTGTCTGCACCAAACACTCTGAATCGACGCTCATTCATTGCTTACCTCGCCATATTTAACCATGGCCTCCCACGTCCAACCCACACCTGAACCAAACAGACAGCTCGCGGCATCCACTTTGACTCGTGGCACTGGAACCAATAATCATTTGTTGTACCCGATCGCCTCCGACTCCCCATACACGGGTGATCAACCCATCTACAGGTTGGTGCCTGCCGACTCCGTGCACGCAGGCAAGAATCCCATCTACAAGCTGGAGTCCACAGTGTCCACCAGTTCTCCATACACGGGCAACAACCCCATGTACAGAGGAGTGTCATACGCGTACAACAACCCAGCCAACTCTCCTTACCGGTCGCCATATCCGATTCCCACCAGCTCTCCATACGCGCGCAGCAACCCAGCCATGCCGCGCCCACCGGCTCCGGAGATCGACACCTCCCGTGCCGACCCCAAGGACAAGAGCTCCGCACGAACTGCGTCTGCCAAGGAACCTACACCCACCAAAGCAGCCCGTGGCACGGCACCTTCGAGAGACAACGTGGCGGGACAGTGGTACGCATGGTACACGAAGTGGATCAACCGCTTCTGGCCACGACTGCGGCAAGAAGGCATCGAGCTGGGCATCCTCCCAACCAACTGCCGCAAGCTCATCTCCGCCGACCTGATCGCCTCGGACAACGTCTCAGACCCGGTCGTCGCGTTGCTCCACTACTTGGTAAGCCCCCTCCGCCGCGCAGCACCAGTCATTCGTCCCTCGCAACCCCAGTGACGCACACCTAGATGTAACTCCATGCCCACACACGCACGTCTCCCCATGCCGCACACCCGCGGCCGAGCCCCAACCACAGCTAAGATCCCCACGCCCCCTCGGGGCCTCTCGCCTCCGCAGATCGAATCCCACACCTACATCACGGAGACCTACGACGACAACCTCGCCGCGCCCATGGGCTACCCCGTCGCCGAATGGTCGTACCCCGAATTCGCCCTGGAGGACCGCAGCAGCATCCCCCACACGACGGACGACGACGACGACGACGACGACAACAACAACAACAACAACACCACCACCACCACAGCCACCACAACCACAACAATCATCATCCTGCACCACCACCTCCGCGACCCCGGCCCCCTCCTCCGCAAGCGCCGCCGCGTGCACCACCACCCCACGCACAACCCGCTCCAATGGGACTACGGCGTCTGCCGCCCGCCGGTGCCGCGCTACTGGCGCCATCTGCCGCAGGTGCGCGTCAACATCAGCGGCGTCAGCAGCGGCGGTGGCCGCGGTAGCGGTGGCCGCGGTAGCGGTGGCAGTGGCGTGCTCGGCGCGCTGCGTGCGCGGGAGGAGAGAGAGGTGGAGAGCGGGGCGCGCGAGGCGGAGGAGTGGTGGGTCGGGGTGGAGGGGTGGGAGCGCGAGGGCGACGGCGAGGGCAGGACGCGGCTCGGGTTGTTGGACTTGCGGTATGAGAGGTGGGGGAGGTGGAAGGGGAGGAGGCGGAGGAGGCGGGCGGGGGAGAATGGGGAAGACGGGGAGGACGGGGAGGAGGAAGAGGAGGAAGAGGAGGACGAGGAGGAGGACGAGGAGGAGGACGAGGAGGATGAGGAGGGAGATCGGGGTGGTGGGGGGCATGGTGGAGATTGGGAGAGCGGGGATGATGATGATGAGGAGGAGGAAGGAGAAGAGGGAGAGGAGGGAGAAGGAGAGGAGGGAGAAGGAGAGGAGGGAGAAGGAGAGGAGGGAGAGGGAGAGGAGGAAGGTGAGGATGAAGAGGATGAAGAGGATGAAGAGGACTCGTCGGACGAGGACTACAAGGATGGTAACAAAGACGTGGAGATGGTAGAGGCCCCTAGCTCGGATGAAGCTTCCGGTGAAGCTTCACCAGAGGAAGAAAGCGATCACGAGGCGCTGCAAGAGCGCCGCTCTTCCCGCCTCCGCAAGCGCCCACGCCTTCACTATGCTCGATAGTTGCAAGGACCCGCAAGAAGTATGGAGAAGGCGTTTGCATCTCTGCAAGGGGCACAGTTTCGATCATTCTCCTTTTTCCTCTTTCCCCTAGGGGGTAGTAAAGAGACGATAGTTGGCCTGACTTGATTCTGGAAACTTGTTTAAGACGGTGTTTGTATTCCTCTTCCCCACCTAAGAAAAAATCAAATAGAAAACAAAACGAAATGGTTGCTTTGCACTCACATTCTATTGAGGGGTCCTATCCCAACTCTTGCAAACCCTATTCTACGCTTCTCTTTTAATCTCACGCCTTGTTATACTCCAGGTCCAGGTCCACCACCACGGGCGCATTACTCGGTGTGTACGACAGATCCATGATACTGGCGTTAACCATGACCGTTTCCTCTGCTAGCCTCAACGGAGCATCTGCACCCCCGCTGACGTCCACAAACGCGGCGCGGTCCTTGATTAGGTCGGCCCCGGCGAACGCGTATTTCTCAGCCTTCTTCACTAATTGGTCAATCCCGGCGTCGGTCTTGCTCCCCCGGTCCGCTGGCCACTCGACTCTCTCAACGCCCCAAGCCTCGTGGATGTGGCCCCACGCATGAAGCCTTGGTCGCGTCCTCTCTATGGCGCGCAGCATGTGCGGACACCCGACCGCGAGCCTGGAGCTCGTGAGATCCAGCCGGTTCTTGGGCGGACCGTGCGTCATTACGACATCGATCTCGCCGGGCTGGCAGTGCTCAGGCAGCGGGTTGACGGCGACGTTGACGGCGTCTGGAGCGGAGAGGTGCGGCGGGTTCCAGCGGTCATTGTCGTGGTCGTAGTTGAAGCCCCACTGGAAGAACTCGGGCTGCCACGGGGACGCGTAGACCTGGAGAAGATTCCTCGTTATAAGCCAAACGCGGAGGAACCCAAAGAGATAGCAAACAGAGTAAATGGCAAATATCACGTGAGAGCAGAGCAGGATGGACTAGACGTACATTCAGCCTCGCGCCGTTCTGCAGCACGAAATGGTGCGTGCCTTCGTCGAGGTACGTTACGCCTTTCGCCTTCGCTTTCTCGCCCTTCCACATCTCCTTCGCCTTCCGCGGCATGTCCGGGTCGTATTTCTTGCGATGCATGCGCTGGCCGTTGGTGAAGGCCGACGGTACGCCGCGGCTCTGGCCCAGGTAGAATTCCTCGTCCAGGCTGAGGTCGTGGTTGCCGGCAATGACGAGTTTGAGCGGGGCGTCGATGGCGCCGAGCATGTCGAGCGCGGCCTCGTACTCGTCCAGGTGGCCCATCATGGTGATGTCGCCGCAGTGCAGCAGCACGTCGGCAGCAGGCAGCGGCGCCCGGAACGCCCTGTCGCGCGCCCGCTCATTCTGGCTGGAGTCGACGAGGGGTGCGGTGTGCGTGTCGGAGATGATTAGGAAGCGGGTCTTGACCGTTTTAGAGGGGGGTTGCAGTCCAGCCATGGTCTTTGGTGTGGTCCCGCGTGTGGTGACGTCGTTGATGCTTGCGGGGCTTCCGTTCGGGCGAGCTGAAGCTCTGCTGATGCTGCGCGTGCTGAGTACCCGGAGATGTATCGCCTGATGCGGCAATAAGGCACGCCCGCCAATCCAGTGATATCATCGGGAAGCAAAAGGACAGCGAGAATTGACCACCCCGTCACAGGATTAATTGTCCCTACCCCTACGACAGTGATCCTTACTCGACCTACTTCCTTGGGATCCGTGCGAAACGGAGTGCACAAAAATCGGAACAGTGACTATATCAACGGCCGTTGGACTTGGTGATCGAGGTAGGGCGACGAGCTTCGTGCGAAACAGAAATGGCGGGATGAGAACGTGTAAGAAAGCTGGCAGGCTTGAAGATGTCGATGCGAATGATAACGAAAGGAGTGAGAGACTTAACGGACTAAACTGATGAGCAAAGCATCAAACGTCAAAGGCACATACGACCAGACGCAATAGACCGAGACCCAGATATAGGAAATGCCTGATGGTTTTCCTCAACATTTGCGTTTACCATGGTCCAGCAGCCAATAGCACACGTAATCTGCCTCTTTAAGGCCCCGATGCATTAAATCTCCTCCGTCATGATATTAAGAGGCCAGAATGCCTTGTTTCGCCGAGACAAGAGAAAGAAGGCTATATCCAAGTCGCTTGCATCCTCCGATGCTGTTGGAAAAGAAAGCTAACCAGTGCCGTCATTGATGGGTATGAAGAGTGCAGTGGTTCGAGGAAGATAAAGAGGGAAAGTGGGTAGGTGATCGGTATGGAAGAAAAATGTACGAAGCCAGCGCCTCTCTCGCCGAGCACCGCTTAACGCTCCTTTGTGTAAACTCCTGTCCGTAGGTTTGTACATGCCTTCTTATATTCAATTCGTTGGTGGATGTCCGTCCTGAGCCAACCCCGCGCCTGGATTCGAATGGCCGTGATGGCCTCCGCTCAGCCTGAACACCTTCTTGACGCTCTCAACGCCTTTCTGCAGATGCGGATGATGCGCTAGAAACTCGCCGTGATGACCGACAGCACCGCTTCCCGACGCCCCTTTTGCGCCGCCATCGCCACCACCCAGCACCGCAGCTAACGTGCCGACCCTTCCGCCAGCCGCCGCAACTTTCTTTCTGCCCATCAGGGGATCAGCCGGTCCCGGCCGCGGCGGCCACTCTCCGTCGTCTTTCCAGCCCTGCACCAGGGCACGCGTCATGTGCGACAGGTTGATGGGAACCTTGGGCGTCTGGCCGCTGATGACGATCTTGGCGTAGATGTCCGAGTACACCTTGGGCGTGACCGACTGGCGGATGGCGTTGTTGGGCAGAAGCGGCGGTGCGAGAGGCACAAGTGGTTCCTCAGACGCCGGGATGTTGATGTTGATCACACTCTTCCTCCTCACCACCTTTCCCTTGCCCTCTTGCTCGCCTCCCTCCTGCGCCGCCTGCGCCCCATTGCCGTTCTCCCCATCCGCCGCCGCCGCCGCAGCCGTTTCCTCGCCATTGGGCGCCAGAGCATCATCTCCCGATTGCCCATGTTCCACCCCACCATTCTCCCCGTGCGGCACGTCCTCCCCCTCCCCCACCACCGCGTCCACCACCTCCTCCTCCCTCTCCTCCACGACCGCCGTCTCCTCCAGCATCCTCACAACCACCTTCCGCGCCTCCACCTCCACGGGGTCCATGTCCTCGCTCGCGCGGCTCCGCCTCCGCGCGTACTTGCGCACGCTCGCCGCCCCCGTCCAGCGGTCCCGCCTGCGCACAAACACCGCCATCCCCTCGTTCCACCGCATCTCCTCCTCGAGCGCGCGCCTGCGCCTGCGCTTGCGCCGCGCCGCCCGCTCCGCCGCCACCCGCGGCCCCACGTGCTCCGGCGAGTCGAACCTATACTCCTTGCCGCCGCTGCCGCTGCCTTCCCTGGCCCGCACGCCCGGTGTGACAACAGCATCGTCGTGTCCGGCTACCGCCGCCGCCGCCGCCGCCGCCGCCGCCGCCGCATCTTCGCCCCTCCGCCCCTCCTCTCCCTCTTCCTCGTCCTCATCCGACGGCGCGTCGTCGTTGTCGTCGTCCGTGCTGCCGTAGTACCGCTCGCGAAACTCCGTCACCCCGCGCAGCTCGTCCTCGGACGCGCCCGTCGCGGAGCAGTACTCGGCGTCGGCGGCGGCGGCGGCCGCTGCCGCGGCGTGCTCGGCGGGCGGCACCACCGCGTTGGCGGGCGGCGGCGGCAGCGGCAGCGGCGGCCAGTCCCAGTCGTTGCGCACGCGCTCGGCCAGGTAGCGGCGCGCGTCGCGCGCGGCGGATAGGTTGGTGTCCATGGTTGTTGTGTGTTGTCTCCTCTTTTGTGGCCCTGAATGACAATCCTCGGTTGTCCCTTTTCGTTTGTTTGTGGTTTGCCCGCTTCTCGCGTGCGTTTTTGGCGGTAGCGAGTGGGTGTGTGTGAGTGGGTGTGTGTGTGTGTGTGTGTGTGTGTGTGTGTGTGTGTGTGTGTTGCGTAGTTTATTCGGAAAGCACGAGTGCTAGGTAGTTGATTGCGGCCGGAGCCAATTTTTCCCTAATTTTTTTCCCCTGGTCTTTTTCGTTGGTCAAAGAATCACCGTGCGATGCTGCAGTGATGCCATTCGGTGGGGTACGCAGGTGAGCTAGCTGGCGATGGAGCTGTCGCGCGTGAGGAGGACGCGAGCAAGAGGTGCACCTGCTGCGTGGGCGCACGGGATAGAACGAGGATATATGCGGGAGAGGTTCGCCGGTGCCTACGCCGTTGAGGGCGACTGCTGTCGGCGGTGCGGGCGGCGCTGTCCGCTTGGTTGTCAGGTCTTCGCTGGGCTGGCCAGGGCGAAAAGCAAGAAGTAGGAAAGCTTGACTACCTCCGGGGGCTGGGACTGGCACCAGCGCTAGCGCATACCCGATAGTCGGGGTAAGAAACGGTCGCGGTCACGAGAAAAGAATGCTGGGGAAGGTTGACCGGGATATGAGCAAGCCTGGGGCCACGGCCTGATGTTGATGTCACGAGGCGCTCTTAAATGCCGCTTCGAGCCGCCTGGTTGCGCCCATCACTATATCCTGCTTCCGATGCACACGCCGCTGGTCTTGTCGTTGAGTCATTGTTCTATCTATCAACTACGCAGTAGAACGCCGGATATCATGAGTCTCGCAATCAATTGGAAATTCCCTTTTTGTTAACCCCTGGAAAATGCCCTTCGCCATAGCCGAGAATAACCCCAGTCTTTTCCTTGCATCACAGCGCCTCCCCCGCCTTGAGTGCACGCGCCTCCCGGGGCCACACACGCTTGTACAAGCTGACGCCCACTGCGTCCTGCGGGTTGATCCGCCCGTCGAACGTCGCCTTGAAGTAACCGTGCGTGCCCAGGCTCTCCTTGATAAACCCGCTACGCCCGCGCTTCGTCCACAGCTGCAGCGCCTTGAACCACTGCACGTCCTCCGAATTGAAGAACATGTACCGCACCGTCACCACACGCTTGTGGATCTTGTACGGGTGGCCAGTGAGGATGATGCGCTTGGCAATGACACGTGACGTCGACGGAGGCAGCGAAGTGCCAGTGCCAATGAGCTGCACTTCGCCCTCACTGGTCTGGTCAGCCTCAGCATCCATCGCCGTGTCCTCGCCGTCTGCGCTTCCCTCATCTTCTGGAACAACCCGCTTAAAGAAAAGTGCGGGAACAGAGCCCCAAGTGATTGGCGCGATGAACGTAGCAATTGCGCTACGCCCAGGATGCAAAAATCTATCGCACTTGTGAACGTCGTTCGGTGTGTTTCCAGAAGCCGAGTACACCGGGTTGATTCTGAACCGTCTCGGACCGCATTGTAGGACAAGCTCCTCTTTGGCCTTGAGCGGCTCCTCGAGCTCGGAGCTGAGCGTGATGCTGTAGTTGACAGCGGTCCGTTTGTGCTCGTGGCGCAGGAGCGAGAAAAGAGACAAGGTGTTGGCTGAGTTGTACTTGTTGTGAAGTGCAAGGGGCACGTTGCGAAGGTGCACATTGACTCTGGTGCCCGGCTGAACACCACCCACGAGGGCTTCTCTTGTCACACGCGCCTTGGCGCCCTTGTAGTCGGAGATCTCCAGAAGGCGCCTCCAGCACTCCGGCTCGTATGGTCTGTCCTCCTCCGTCTCCCAGTGACTCGATCTCAAACTCTTCAAGCCTCTGTACTTTGCCAGACGCTCTCGTGCTTGCACGTGCGGGTGCAATTCGATTTCGTCAGGGAATTCGAGGTCATCTTCCGCCTCCTGCTTGCGCTCGGCGCGGTACGCTTCGATCTGCTCAGCCTCATCCTCGGGCGACGGGTCCATGAACATTTCGGACTGCGGATATTCTGAAGGTGCAGCTTCAGTCGGCTCCCTTCCGTTGATATCAAGGCCCTCCATGCCATCGGCTGGGTTGGCAGACCCCTCCATCTCCTCATCGTCCTCGTCCTCTCCAGCAACGCTCTCAAGATCGGACCCAGAATCGGACATGTCTCCAAGATACCATGCTGCCTGATACTTGGACGTTCCTCTAGGCATTCTCTTGGGCCGCATCGCCTCCTCATCCTCATCTTCCGAGAAATAATGATGGTCGTCCAGGAGGACACCCTTGCGTTCGGAGGGCGCTACAGACACCGGATAGTCGTCAATATCCTCCATGACCGCCTCTTCTGGCGCAAGATCGGCCAAGTTGTCTTGATCCTCGGTAGGTTGGTCCAAAACGGTATCCTGGCCCTCCAGATCGACGGCCATATCATCGCCCTTGCCCTTCTTACGCGTTTCAAGGGGAGCCGCGGTGATCTTCTCGATCTGGAAAGTCCCCCAGTCTCCCACCTCCACCAACCTGTCGGCCTTCAATCCCTTGCCTCGCACAACACCAGTAATAACAACCTCTCCCTTCGCCTCCTCATCGGTCACGGCGGCCTTGCCGCTCGGCCATCTCACATCCTCCGCAACCATCCAGCTGCGCTCCTCCCTCCATCTTATGCCCTTCGGCATACTCGTGCAGAGCGACCTCATGAGGTTCAAGCACTCCTGCCTGTTGTCGAGCGAGTGCACCTTCTCCTGTGCCGGGAAGAAGTGCGTGATGAAGCTCTTGAGCGACCCAAGAATCTGGGGGCGACGCTTCGCAGGCTCGGCCGACTCGAGTCCCTGCACGGCAGCCAAAACGTTCGAAACGCCCTGACTCTCGACGCTCCTCAGCATCAGCTCCCCCAGGTGGTCGACCTCCTGCTCCGCCGACAGGACGAAGACGACGAAGTCCGCCACGCGGCACGCGTCCAGCGCGGCGAGCAGGTCCCTGCCGACGAGCAGGTACTGGACCTTCTGCTTGAAGCGCTCGACGGTGACGCGCACCGCGCCGCGCTCGGGCACGTCGACGTCGGTCGCCAGGTCGAGCGCGCCGCTGAGGCTGCGCACCGCCAGCCTGGCCGAGCCGTCGTCGGTCAGCGGCACCACGGCCACGACGCGCGGCGCGCCGTCGCGCCCCGCGAACACTTTGGTCGCCTCGACGTGCTCCGCATGCTTGCCCACCCGCTTCTGCTTCGCCTGGTTGCGCCGGTCGAACTTGGACATGACCTGCTGGTGCGGCGTGCGCCGGACGCCGCGGTCGCCGTTGTCGATTTTGCCTGTTGATTTGCGCGGCAAAGGTCAGCACCTGGCGTACTTTGGAAGCAAAAAAGAAAAATAACCAGAACGGGAGGGGAAATGCGCACCCTTGCTCTTTTCTTTCAGCGCGCTCTTGCTGGCATGGCGGGATTTGTAGGGCTTTTGCGACACCTTGGTGGTGCTACGATGGTGGTGGCCTTCCATGGGCGCCATCTTGCTCCCGTTGGCTCCGGCTTTGAAGCGGAAGGGGATGCTCGCCAGATTGGGTGTGTGGGCGCAGGCCTGGCTGGTCGAGTCGGGTTCACTTTTGCGGCGGTGACTACTGTTGTAGGCGCGGAAATTTTGGCGATGTGGGACGGCCGATAAGGCGTTGGCTCGTTATCGGGGCTGCAGGGATCTTACCTTGGCCCAAATGTGATCATCACGTGGACTCCGAGACCGTGGCAATCAATCGCGCATATCCATGGCAGCGATGAAAAGATGTACTTTCTACATAAAGAGACACATGTGCTCGAGATCTACAGACCAGGAAGACTTTTTGTCCCCCGCTTTCAACTCCGGACGCCAAACAAGCCCGCGGGCAGCAGGTATATTGCCTCAAAGTCTAGCTTTGGGCTTCGCAACTCCGACTTCTACTCTTCCAAGTCTCCGTTCACTTCCTGAGCACAGCATTCATGGCGTCTTCCAAGATGCCCATGCCCTGCTCAATTTCCGCCTCGCTGATGATCAGCGGAGGAACGAACCTGAGCGTGTTCGTGCCGCAGGTGATGATCAGCAAGCCCCTCTCACGAGCAGCAGTCACAATAGGCGTGGGGTCCTGGTTCAACTGCAGACCGAGAATCAGGCCCTTACCCCTGATCTCACTGATGACATCAGGGAAGCTCTTCTGGAGCTTCTGAAAGTGCTTGCGGAAGATCTGCTCCTTCTGAAGGACCGACTGCTGCAGCTCGGGATCCGCCAGCCTGCCAACGATGTGGTGCGCGAGTCTGGAAGCAAGAGGGTTGCCACCAAATGTAGTTCCGTGGTCACCGGGCTTGATCTTCGACACGACGAAGTCGTTGACAACAGTGGCACCGATAGGGAAACCGTTGCCCAGAGCCTTTGCGGTGGTGAGGATGTCGGGATGCGCCTCCTTGGGAAGCGAGGCGTGAGCCCAGATCTGACCGGTACGGCCAAGGCCGCTTTGGATCTCGTCGTAGATCAGCACAGCGCCAACCTCAGTGCAGCGCTTGCGGAGAGCAAGGAGGAACTCGGGCGTCGCGACATTGACACCGCCCTCTCCCTGGATCGGCTCAATGATGACACCGCAAGTGCTTTCGGTGACCAGGGAGGGAATGGCCGCAACGTCGTTGTAGGTGCCGTATCTGAAGCCAGGGACCATAGGCGCGAACGGTTTCTGGTACTTGGGGTTCGGCGTCGCCGAGAGGGAGCCCATGGTGCGGCCGTGGAAGGAGTTGTGGAAGGACACGAGCTCATGCTTCGCACCTGAGGGGTCAAGCTCCTTGCCGACCTTGCGGGCGAACTTGATGGCCGCCTCGTTGGCCTCGGAACCGGAGTTGCAGATGAAGGTCTTCTCGGCAGTGTGCATGCCGCCGCCAGCAACCGTCGTCTCAACCAGCAGCTTGGACAGAGCGCCAGTCCAAGGGTTGTGGTACAGGTTGGAGGTATGGATCAGGGTTTTCGCCTGCTCGGCCATCAACTGAACCATCTGCGGGTCGCAATGGCCCAGCGCATTCACGGCGATGCCTGCCGTGAAGTCGAGGTACTTGCGGTTCTCGACATCCCACATGTAGCAGCCCTCTCCCTTGTGGAACATTGGCATAGGACGAACATAGGTAGGGACCATGTACGGCAACGAATCGTTGACCAGGCGCGCGGTTTGCGAGTCTGCGGCAGGATCGGGGTTTGCGAGAGCGGCCGCCTTCTACGTGCAGCTGGTCAGCGAATGGAGTCGCCGGACAAGGTCCTCAGAGAATCTGACTCACCTCAATGGACTCCTTCACATCGTTGGGCAAGCTTGAAGCTGCCGTCGCGGCGCTGGACGCATAGCGCTGGGCGTAGACGGGCGCGATGGCGAAAGGCCTGGAGGTGCGCAGAGCAGCGCAAACGCGCTTGGAACCGAGTCTCAATGCCATTGCGAAGGGAACGACGAAGCGAGAAGAATCAGAAAGGAAGCCCAGAAAGAGGATATCTGCAGGAGAAGCAGCAAAGCGTTGGCGACGTAGGTGATGAGTCGACAGATGCAAAAATGCCGCTATCGATAGAGCGCCCGCGCCGATTTCGCAATTGCGGAGGCCCTGCACTCCAGGTGCTTCTCCGCGCCATTTCTTGCATGGCAAAATCCCCGTTACCCCTGTCGAACTCGGCAGCAAACCAAAACCTCTTTCGATGTTTCTTCGACAATCTCATATCGGTTGCCGAACAACAATGGTCCGTCGCTGCCCCTCGTTGATGGGCTGGCACTCTGATTGATCCCCAGACATCAAGGTGCAACAGATCATCGCTACCGAAGCCTAGCTGTACTGCGCTGTACTGCAAGCGCCAATCAAACTGGTCATTATCTAATAGACATCGCAGACAAAGAATCAGTTTTTATATGCTCTGATAAGGGTCTCAAGCCGCCATTTCATCTTGTACGCCTGCAGCGCTTAACGCCCCATGCTAGAGTCATGCTGTCCGAAGCTTTGACCAGGGTGGCTGTTTATGGCTCTTTGACATGCTTTTATGGTGTCTCCGTTAGAACACATGCAACACAACCCGTCGCATGACTTGCTTTCTACGTTAGCTCTTCAGCTGCTGCAGGTTCTGAGTTAATCTGTTCGAATTTAGCAACACTTGTAAACTCTATTGTAGCGCTTAGTAAGCGTCGGATTTCCATATCAGGCCTTGGACGCTTACTGTGCCAGCTGAGGCTGACAGCAACTAAAGGCCCCATCAGCCATAAAGCCTCCTGGTTGCCCTGTCACTGACTTAGTTGCCAATCTGACTGATACCCTGACCCTGCCACCTTGTCTTTGCACCATGGAGAACATGGACTTGGCGGAGGCTTCGAAGCCTCACCCAGAACTTCGACAGGTCGGTTGGCACTGCATTGTGCAATTTACACCCAGCTAAAACATCCGGCAGTATTTCGCGCAAGGTGGCCCAAACCCCTTCCCTAAGATGGGCGACCTCGACGCCACAAGGAAGGGCCTGGCTGACGGTCTCCGGTCTGTCCTATCCTCCATGCCCCCAACTTACATGGAAGGCGTCGAAAAGGGCCAGATCGAGATCCCGATGCGAGACGGAGCCACAATGTCGGCGCTATTGTACAAGCCTGCAGGCGGCAGCTCCGCACCGCTGGCCGTCCTGTACCACGGCGGAGGTCATGCCATGGGCATCCCTGAAATGGAAGAAAGCAACGCCATGATCTTGGTCCGCAACCACGGCTGCGTCGTTGTTAGCGTGGACTACAGACTCGCCCCAGAGCACAACTTCCCGGTGCCGATCGATGACTCTTGGGACGCGTTCAAATGGGTAAGCGACTTCACAGTCACACGGCGGATTTGTCGACAAAGAGTATCTCATGTGGTTACAGGTGGTCGCGCATGCGTTTCAGCTCGGAGCGGATCCGTCCAAAGGGTTCGTTGTGGGGGGATCGTCAGCGGGCGCCAACATTGCAGCAGTTGTGTCGCATCTGGCGCGCGACGAGAAAGTGAGCCCACCGCTCACGGGGGTTTTCCTAGCCGTCCCATTCACGCTGCCAGAAGGAGCTGTACCGGAAAAGTACAAGGACAGATACAGGAGCAGAGAAGAGAGCAAGAGGTTTGAAATGTCGGATCCGACGGCCATGCTCGAAGCCATGAGTGAGTACATGCAAGCTTGGCTGTACCTCGGGCTGATACAAACCAACGCAGGTCTCTATCAGGGTGACAATGCCTCTCCGCTATACGTGCCCTTCAATTGGCCCAGCGGGCACGCCGGGCTGCCACGGACCTATCTTGTCGTGTGCGGGATGGATCCACTGCGCGATGACGGGCTGCTGTACGAGTACGTGTTGCGGACGGAGAGCGGGGTGGAAACGAAACTGGACTTCTATCCGGGCATGCCTCATGGTTTCTGGGCCGTATACCCGCAATTCGAGGCGTCGAAGAAAGCAACGGCCGACGTCGTTGCAGGATGGGCCTGGCTGATGAGCTGAGGACACCTGGCCAGAGTCATATCAAGGTTATGTGTAAGTTTGCTATCCAGGAGATAATCAATCTGTACCACAGTTGCCAGGGTGAGGCGCTGGGCTGCAGAGCACTCCTCGTACCTAAGTGCTCCGAGGAGGGTCAGCATCAGCCACGCGGGGTCTGATTGGACTGTGCTTGGCGAGCGTTGCGCAAAGCCGGAGATGAGGGGCTGTGCCGTGGGCTCCTGCAGCAGGGCGGGAGTCATTTGACGATGGAAAGATGGTCGGCGTCGGGCCCTAAGTCCGAAAATCATGGCCGGCCTGCGCTCAATTGCCGACGCGGCGGCCGACGCATTGCACGACAAAGGAGTCACGGAGTCGCTGGGCTCGAGTCGAGACGGCTAGCCGGGTGGCTAGCACGACAGGCCGATTCGTGGAGGATTCGGCCCCTTCACCGCACGAAAGGCGGGCTTTTCCAGATTGCAGCTGGCTGCGTCGCGGCTGCACACTTCGCACGCGGCAGGATCTCGTGTCGCAGAAGCCGCAGCCACTGGCCACGGCAGGCTAGCGACCAAGCTTTGCGGCTTCTCCACCTTCACGGCCGCTTCGCCAGGCCGGAAGCCGGCAGCCAAGCGTTCGCCGGGGCGCGCTCTCACCTGCTCTCACCTGCTCTCACCTGCTCTCACCCATCCTCTGCATCCTGCATCCTGGTGCGAGCTGCGGTGCATCCTCTGCCGAGGCGCCAGGAACACAGTAAGCTGCCGACAGCCCAGTCGGTGGCGGGTCGCACCGGCCCACCCCTGCGTTGGCTGGGCCGAGAAGAGCTTACGGCGGACGTACGTAGTAGTGGCATACGCAAGCTGCTCTCCGGCCTACATGCCAGGGCTGACGCGCGGCGGATGGTCCACGCCAGTCCACGCCATGCTGAGCCGCAATCGCGGCCCGCCTCTGCACCCAGTCCTCTATTTACTCGCCCAGCCTCGCTCTTCCGCAAATGCCCCCATCCTCTCCGCCTGCCGCGTAAAGTCGACCCCGGCCGCCGCCTCTCCGTTCCCGTGCCGCCTCCAGCCATGAGGACCATCACTCGCTTCCACGTCCTCGTGTTTTGCGCCGTCTGCACCGTCGTGTACATCGGCTGGGTCTTGCCGTCGCTGCAGGTCCAGAGCCGCGTGCAGAAGGCCTTCTCCGGCTCGCAACGGCGCCTTGTTGTCTTTGGCGACAGCTGGTCAGACGTCGGCACCTACCACGTCGACATTCCGGCCTTGAACCCGCAGCACAACGTCAGTCGCCCTTTGTGGACCCAGGCCTTGTGCAAAGAGGTAATTCCGTCGTCCCTGCTGCATCTGCACTAGGCTGACCCGCCAGCTCCTGTGCGACGACATCAACAATTTCGCCCGCTCGTCGGGCGCGGCCAACTTCATTGACCACCCGGATGCTGTCTTGGACACGGACATCCTGGCCAATGTGACGAACCAGCATCCCGAGGACCAAAAGTTCCTTGCCGACCTGAAGAAACAGGTCCAGCAGTGGATCAGCTTCGAGAAGCAGAGTGGTCTGATCTCGCGCCGCGCCCAAAGGAAGGAATGGACCGTTTTCACCGTCTTTTTTGGCATCAGCGACATCTGGCAGTACACCTTCCAGGACAACAAAGCCCGCGACGACGACATCACGGAGACCATAGCCGCCTTGTTCGCTCAGCTTGACGTCATCGCACAGCACACCCAGACTCGCCCGCACATCGTGCTGCCCAAGGTCATAGACATCTCCTTCTTGCCTGCATTCGCACGGCAACCCCTGGAGTTTCCGGACCGCCAGCAGTCGGCCGTGTCGCTGACGGCGACATGGAACAACGCGCTGGAGAAGGCGGCGCGCGAGTGGACCGGCGGCTACATCCACCTGCTGCCGACTGACAAGTGGCTGCTGAAGCTGATCCGCGAGCAGCAGATGCACAAGATTGGCATCACCGACGAGCGCGGCGAGGGCAAGGGCAATCCCAGATTCTCTGAAGTCAGGAGCCCATGCGTGCCGTTGCCGCGTGTCGGCGCCCAGTTTCCGTTTGACATGGACGACGCCAGCAGCAACCGGACCGAGCCCTGCGAGGACGAGTCTCACTACCTGTTTTGGTCAGCATTTTCTTCTTCTCCGCGCTCGGCTGTGGTTGGAGGCCTACTGACACCGTGTTCCAGGGACGGCATGCACCTGTCCGGCAGGGCGCACAAGCTGCTGGCCATCGAAGCCGCCGATCTCGTCGCCACCAACTACACCTTCAACCTCAACGCCCTGCGCAAGCACGATCTCGAGCGCGAAGAGGCCGCGCACCGGGCCACGCCCGAGAATGAGACGGGTCCGACCGAGTCCCCCCAGTGAGCGTGTCGTCGGAAAGCACGAGGAGCGGTGCATTACTTAGGAGTTTGGGGGACCCTTCCTGTTGCGGTTGTCTGAGATACCCATTCACGTTTCAGCATTTTATGGCGTTGACGCGGAAGTGCACGGCTTGCATTCCAGAGGGGCGGGCACAATTCCCCGGTGGGCGGGCGTTTGTATGCATTGTCTCAAATCAAGTTTTCTTTGTATTCACGCTTCCTTGCATCGCGCTCCTGCAAAGGAATGTCTCGGGTGTGGGCGCGCTCCCTACAGACCCCGCCGCATCTGGGAATCTCGCTGGGCTGGGGAGAAAGAATTTGCAGTTGCGAACAGCGCTTCTCCCGCACCTGTCTAGGACAATTACATGCACGCGCTGCCACAGCTCGCGCCGCGAACAAAGAACATGGACTCCCGGCATAATAGACACAAAGCCCGCTGCCCGGCTATGTCTTTGACTAGCGCCGCCCTATTGACCATTCAGCACCCCGGGCCTCCCAGAGCCCTCTGAGCGGCCTGTCCGTCAAAGCTGGCCTCACCGTCTTGATATTCGACCGCCAGAGCCCTGCGAGAGCGAGAAAAAGAGCGGCGGCGCATGTTGAGCCTCGTCGCGACACGATAGCAACCTTGACCGTTTTGCCATGATGGACGTGGAAATGTCGGAGCCCGGCGCAGGAAAGGGAGAGAAGAGCGCGAGCAGCTCACGCAAGGCGTCTACGACAGTTTCTACCCGCTCTTCCCGCCGCACCGCCAGTCCTTCTCGCAGCTCGAAACAGGACGACGCGGCCCCGCCAACGCCAGAGTCGCCACCGTTCCGCCTCACGCGGAAGCGGGCTGCGTCGCTGGCCGATAAAGGGGACAGGGAGGAAGACGACGTCGTCGAGGATATTACGCCGACCACCACGCACTCTCGCATGAGCTCCGGCGGCGCGTCTGTGGGGTCTGTAGCCTCTCCGGCAAATCACGTCTGCTTGTGTCAACCCGACCCCAAGATCCCACGACCAAGAAACGGTCAGTTGCGCCCCTCCCCTTCTTTTATTGCTTGTCGTCATTTTCTATACACGCTCTCTCTTTATCCCATTCAGCTTCTTCAAAAGCAATGTTGCTGCTGCAAGTTTGTTCTTCGCGCCACATGCTGCAGTGGAGTAACCCATGTCCTTTATCGGCACCTTTGTCGTTGCCATGTGGCTGACGGCTTTGACATGCAGCCTTCATACTATATCGGCAGCACCATCAGGCCGCCATCGTGGCCCAGCATCCCGGGTTAGCCAATCCCGAAATTTCCAAGATCATCGGCGAACAGTGGAAATCGCAACCCGAAGCAGTGCGCAACGAGTGGAAGGCTCTGGCCGAAGAGGAGAAGCTGCGTCACCAGCAGCAGTACCCGGAATACCGCTACCAGCCTCGCCGCGGCGGACGTCGGGGAAGCCTGACTGCGCTCAACACCGCCACCGACAAGCACCTCTGCGCCAAGTGCGGCGGCCGAAGCATCACGACTCCAACGACGCCCTTCCCGTCCCACCATCACGGCCACAACGCCGCCGCCGCCACGACGGCGTCAGCATCCTCCCCTTCCTCCAACGTCCCCATGCTGCCCCCTCCGACGCCATCGTCGGCCCTGACACCCACGTCCCGCTACCTCCCGCCGATGATGTCCAGCCTCGCCATCAACACCGGCGCCTCCGGCAGCAGCAACAACACGAACAACACCAACGCCCTCCCCCGCCGCACGAGCAGCACCGCGCGCCCCAGCCCCCTCACCAACCTGCACGCCGCCCGCGCCAACAGCCGCGACGAGCACCCCATGGACATGCAAATGCTCTCGCCGCTCTCCCCCGACGCCAAGCGCCGCCGCCTCCACCAGACATACGTGCCCCCGCCCTCGGCGTCCTCCACGCCCCGCTCCGCCTCCCTCTCGCAGCAGCAGCAACAGCAGCCGGGCACCCCTTACCCCTTCCCCTCGGCCGACCCCCGCCGACAGTCGCTGCCGCGGCCGGACATGCTGCGCGGTGGCGGCGGTAGCATCTCCTCGCCCCGCCACAATAACAACGGTAACAACAATAACAGCGGGAGCACCTACCACCTCCAACGCGACGGCAGTAACAACCTCACCCTCCCGCCGCTGCAGACCGCCGCCAATAGCAGCCATCATAACCACCACCATCACCACCACCACCCCTACCCGGCAGGGGCGGCCGCCGCCGCCTCCGCCATCGCCGCACGCCATGCTGGTAGCAGCAGTGGTGGTGGCGGCCCTGGCACTCCTGTTTCTAGTGAGGCGCTGCTCCCCGCCGCCGCCGCCGTCGCCGCCACCAGGAAAGTAGGGCCCGAAGCCACGATCTGGAGCAAGATTTTGATTCTGGGCAAGATCGCGCCGCCGTACCGCGGGGTCGGGACGGCGGCGGCGGCAGGGGCGGGTCCGTCGTCGTCGTCGGCGGTCTCGTCGCGGTCATCGTCGTTGTCGTCGCCTTCGTCGTCGTCGCAGCAGCAGCAGCAGAATAGGGGGGAGGAGAAGAGCGAGAATAAGAAGGGGAAGAAGGGGAAGGGGGAGAAGGTGCGGGGGGCGATTGTGGCGGTCGAGGGCGATGACGTGGCGGCGGCGAGGGCGATGGGGAAGTGGTTGGAGGAGAGCTTCAACAAGTCGGGGGAGGTGTGGGCGAGGGTGGCGGAGGCGCCGAGGGGGCCGGACGAGGCGGTGGTGGTGGGGAGGGGGGCGGGGACGGGGACGGGTGGGGATGGCGAGGCCGGCGATGGGGATGTTGAGGGTGCGGGTGGGAATGGTGGTGGTGGTGGTGGCGTCGTCGTCGGCATTGGGGACTACATCCAGGTCATTGCTGAGTGGCACGGCAAGACGAAGGAAATGGTCGAGTTCATCACCAGTCCGCCCAGCGGTGGTACGCCAGCGGACGGCGGGGAGAGTAATGGTGAGGCGGTGGCGGACAGGAGGACGCCCGTCCTCATCATGCCGACGTACAGCCTGCGGGCCACGGACGCGTGGGCCAGCCGTCTCCATGTCGGCGACAACTACGCCCGGTCGGATCACTGGCAGTGGTCGGCGACGCTGTGGCGCGGCATCGTCGGGCCGGACATCACCGTCTATGTTAGAGACGTGTCGGAGCTGGACTTGCCAGTCGGCAAGCCCGTCGATGTGCTTGAGCAAGGGGCGTCAAAGTGCCTGATGGTGAAGCGCGTGGTCGGCAAGGAGATTGAGGAGAGCGCATTGAGGAGGCTCGGGTTTGAGATCGGCGAGCTGATTAGGAGCGTGAGCCAGGTAAATGGGAAGTAGGTGTTTCTTCGAATTAGCGTGTGGGTTGGCGTGGCGCATCGGGTTCTACAGCGACGTCTGATGTTTCTCTGTGTAGATGTTTTGGCTGGTGGCATGGCGGTGACATATAGTGGTTCTTTGTGCTTCTGCAGAGATAAGATATCTTGACGTACCGAGTAAAGCTGAAGCTATTTCTCGCGAGTGTCCAAGGCTGACATAACGAGAGCGTCCAGTTGGCTCGGGTCGCTTACAATGCGGGATTTGCACGTGGGAGGGCTCTCTCACGTAAGAGTCAGGTGGTGGTGTGGGGATGCATGCACGACAGGGGTTTGCCGAGAACAAAGCTACAGGTCGTTTTGGCAGGTCCAGCAGGGGGAGGACGTGCTGAGGAATCAGGTGGGCGTTGCGAGTCAGTCATGGGTGAAGGAAGGACGAGAGGATTGCAAAGTGGCCGGAGAAAGCAAGCGGTCGCAAAAGGAGACGACGGCCAGCAGCAAGCGCGGAGTGGAGCCGCGGGGAGCCTCCGCAATGTGGGGGTGGTTGCCGCATGCCGCCGCCGCGTCTCTCGCGGGCAGCATGCATCAGCCCCAAAACAAACAACACCATCACGAGCCGCGGCCATGTACATCAGCTGCCATCGGAGCCAGCCGCTCGCCGCGCGACACGATTGCCGTGCGACCTCCGGCAGGACGCGGCTGCGAATTGGCGGGCGTTGTCTCGGCTGGGACGTCATTCGGCTTCTGCCCGCTAGCCGCCTTTCACATGTCAGCACCTGCGCCCGCCTTGACTAGTTCACCAGGCACTTCGGACAATGCGACCCACTGCTCAGCCTCTGCTCCACGACTCCTTTTGCGCCTACATAGGCTCCGCTTCCACATGCCAGCCCGGTGCATGAGCTGAGCGAACAACAATGATAGGTATCCTGCCCGAGCCCCGACCTCTCACACACCTACAGCCCACTGATGCCTACTCCCGCAGACCATGTGCTGGGACGTCCGTCCGTCAAGTTCCGGAGAGTCCAGGTCCTCGCCGTTGTCTCCTTCTGGTGCGCCTATCTGTATAGGTTCGTCCGCTCCGCCGCTGATTCTGACTCCGCCGCCCACAACTGCTCACGCTTCGCAGGGGAAATCGCCATGGCCCGCCCTTTCTCAAACGCCTCTCGTCCCTCGCCTCCTCTCGCCTCACTGCCTGGCAAACCGTCGTCATAACCTTGCTCTGGCTCTACATCTCCCGCAACTTCGGCAAGCTGGTCGGCCTCGAGTGCCCCGAGCCTCTCGCAAACCTATACACGCGTTCGTACTTCAGAGCAACATGGGTTACCACTGCCCTGGACGCTGGCTTTTGGTCCGCCATGCCCATCAAGAGGAAGTGGGCCCGGGACATCTGCTCCATCGTCTTCACGCTATACTATCTCATATGCGCCGAGCAAGCCGACGAAAAAGTCAGAAAGATCCGGTCGACCCTGACAGTCGACCATCTGAGAGTGAGCTGGGACAAAGGAACCACTCCATACCTGAAATTGATCACCGGTCTCATGCGCCCACGCTTGATGCGCTATCCTCCCCGCGCCATCCGCATAGCCCGCCCGCCCGAATCCTCATACAAGGAGCCGGTTCAAGGTTGGTTGTATTTTGATGGCCCCATCTCCGCGTTGAAAGAGCACAACAAGATCGTCTTGGATATCCCAGGTGGCGGCTTTGTGGCCATGGACCCACGTAACCACGATGATAAACTCCTTGGCTGGGCTGGAACCACTGGATTGCCCGTCCTTGCTCTGGACTATAAGAAGGCACCCGAATACCCATACCCGTATGCTTTGAATGAATGCTATGACGTCTACCACACAATCATGGCGAGTAAGGGGCGTTGCGTCGGCCTTTCTGGAACCAGTCGCCCGGAGATCATCGTTTCTGGAGACAGCGCTGGAGGCAATCTGGCGGTTGGAATGGTGCTCATGATCCTGCAGAGCGGAAGCACAGACACTCGACGCTACATGGGTGAAGAGGCGATGCCTCCGCCCGCGGGACTCGTCCTGATATACCCAGCACTTGACTTCAACATCGGTAATTGGATGACGGATGAGCAGATGGCACTCATCCGGGACCGAAAGACCCGCAAGACCAACGAGGGACTTCTCAAGAGGAAGAGTGAAGACTACAGGAAGCTCACCCCCTCCACCCCTCACCACTCGGACGATGAAGACGACGACGATGTAACGCCACCGGCGGAGAACGGAGACTCCGCAGCAACAATCACAGAGAAGTCAATGGCCACTTCGCCGTCCACTTCCGTACGAATGTCAGCGGCACACACAGGAGTCGATGCCCATCACCTCGAATCCAGGCTATCAGAATCAGCACTTCCAAATTCCCAACCCAAATCCACGGCCATCAAAACCCGCCTGGCCATGTCATCAATGATCTCCTACTTCAACGACCGCATCCTCACGCCCGAGATGATGCGCGCCATGATCATCCTGTACATCGGCCCGCACAACCGCCCGGACTTCTCCACCGACTACTTCCTCTCGCCGCTCCTCGCGCCCGAGTCGCTCCTGGCCAAGATGCCCAAGACGTACTTCCTCACGGGCGAGCGCGACCCGCTCGTCGACGACACGGCCATCTTCGCGGGCCGCATCCGCCAGGCCAAGGCGGCGGCGTGGCGCGAGCGCCGCGAGCTCGGCCTCGCCGTCGAGAGCAGCAGCCACGACGGCACCGCCTTCGTCGACACGGACCACGTCGAGGTCGTCATGATCCCCGGCATCAGCCACGGCTTCCTGCAGTTCGTCAGCGTCTTCCCCGAGGGCTGGAAGTACATCTTCAAGTGCGCGCGCTGGATGCGCGACATCGCCGAGCGCGTCGACGCCGACGCGCTGGCGGCAGAGGAGGGCGGTCGTCACAACCACCGCCATCACCACGGCAGGCCCAAACAGCACAGGCGGAGGCACACGCTCGAGAGCAGCGGCGACGAGGACCACCCGCTCGAGATGACGGTCGTTTCGAGCAACAGGGGCGATGGCGCCAAGGCCAACGGGCACGGGCACGGGCACGGCGGCGGCGATGCCGGATCGGTCAGGAGGGGCGCGGCGGCGAGGCGCAACAGCGGGAGGGAATCCGAGACGGACTATTACACTCATCCGTCTGGCGGCAGGGGCCGGGGCCGGGGCGTCGGAGGCGGCACGAAGTCGAGGAGGAGGAAGAGCCTGGTCAGCCTGGCGAGCGAGGACGACTTGTTGGGGAGGAGGATGAGGGGCTTGACCGGGTCGTTGATGCGGGCGCCGGATGAGGAGTGGGAACCGTCGAGTCCGTGAGAGAGGGGGAGAGAGAGAGAGATGGGAGGCGGAGAGGGAGGGAGGGAGAGAAATGGGAACGGAGAGGCGCGGAAAGGGAATTGGAATGAGTAAAGAGTGACGATGATATGGTGATGATGGTGATGATGGGAATAACATTTGTATGTAGGGTTGGGGTTTTGGTTGGACTCGTTCTTGTTCTTTTTTTTTTCCCCTCGATGAGATAGCGTACATGCGTGTGTATGTGAAAAGGGTGTCTAGGTATGTGTGAATGTGTTTGAAGGGCAATATGTAGATATATATACACATGACGATAGACTTCCTCGTGGATACAAGAATATATGACGTGCCAACGTATCCACCCAACAACCTATCGTCGTAGTCGTTGTCGTCGTTGTCGTCGTCATCGCCATCTCCTTCATCCCATACACCATGCGTTCTTTTTTATTTTATTTTTTGCATCCATGGCAGTAAGTTGCTCTTCACACATAGCTACCTACAAGCTTCCCTGCTGCCCTCATGCTGCTTGTCGGTCGTCGATCTGATACATATCATTTTTTGTCTTTTTTTTTGGGAGCTTGGGTCAAGAAGCAAGTTGGAGAACCCGTGGATGGATGGATGGACTGTAAGGCGCCCATCACAACACAACATGACAAGGAGCAGGAAACCTTCAGTTACTCAGCTGGGAAATGATTTTTTCTGTTTTTGTACGACACGTGGGTATTTTCGACAGAATATGGCAGTAGACACATCGTGACACTCGTGACCCATTCATCCGTTCCCTTCAGCACCCAAAAAAAAAAAAAAGGAAAAGCCACCCCCTGTAAGCGGATCGATCGCTGATGTGATAAACTTTTTTATATTCGGGTTTTCTCCTCATCCCCCAACCCCCCATCCTCCAATGCTCTCATTCACACCTTCTTCTCGCTGCCGCGATCGTCAGACTCGTCGGCTCCAGTGCTGTTACTGGCCGAAGCCGCCTCGCTCCCGTCCTCGTACGTCATAAACTCATCGTTATCGATGTGCTTGTACCTGAACCAAAAGACGACGGTCTGCGCGAACAGGGCGATGGCGAGGCCGGCCCACACCCAGATGAGATGGGGGTCGACGATGGCGGGGGTCAGGATCTCGCCGAGGGCGGAGGACAGGGCGGTCATGAAGAGGAAGATGGCCATGACGAGGGACTTCATGCCCTGGGGGCTGCGCGAGTAGGCCATCTCGTAGGCGGTGACGTTGCAGAAGCACTCGGACAGGGCGCCGAGGGCGACGTTGGGGATCTGCAGCCAGATGCTGAGCGGGCTCACGCGGCCGTCCTCGGCGCAGGTGGTGGCGTGGTAGCCGCACGGGTTCGTCTCGTACACGCGCCACTGCACGATGGCGCCGATGACGCCCGAGATGCACGCGAGCGTGAAGCCGAAGGTGATGCGCGAGATGCGGCCGAAGCGGATGTTGTACTTGCGCAGTGCTGGGTAGATGACGTGGCTGAGCAGCGGGACCGTGACGATGATGACGATGGGGTTGAAGTTGCTGAGGAGGTCGTTGGGCGCGCCGTTGGTGGTCATGGTGGAGCCTAAAAGGGGAGAAGGGAAGTGAGAATGTTGCACGTGTATACGAAGACTTGTGGTTATCTACTGACCTTGGTTCGACAGGATGCTTCCAACACCACCGTCGTTGAGGTTGTAGATGGGGAAGTACAGGAAGATCTTGCAGGAGTCGATAGTACGGACGACGTCCCCGACGAATTTGTCGCTCCAGTCGATAGGCTTGCCGGCAAACGTGGTGATGCCCTTCTCGGCCAAAACCGAGGGCTTGGCTGCATCCCAGAAGCCCTTTCTCCAGAATTTGCCGCCATTCTGCTTGACCGCGATGGCCCAGATCTTGGACACTTGAGTGAGTTCGGAACCATTTGGAGGATTCTTGATCAGCCTTTTGTACAGGAAGGCGAGGAGGAAAGGCAGAAGCATGAAGATGATTGTTGGCAGGAGGAAGGCCAGCCAGAAACCGATGCGCTTCTCAGCATAAGTTGTGGCGATAGCGAAGAAGGCGCCGACATTGATAAGGGCTACATCAGTCAGTATACGGGCCAAAGCTACGAGAGAGGCACAACATCTCACCATAGAAGACTAGCATCAGGCGCTGGATGGTCGATTCGGGGTCGACGATGACCTTTTCGCCCGACTTCAGAACACGAGTGAAGGGCTTCTGGTACTGATACTGGTCCAGGAGAATCGGAGCGACGTTGGGTTTGAAGAGACCTTCTCAAAGTCAGGAAAGTGCGGGCGAGAGTGTTTTGAAAAACATACCAGCACCAATTGCCAGGACAAGCAAGCTGATGATGAAAGGAACCAGGCCCCTTCCGGCCTTCAGGACACTGGGCAGGGCGCCAAAAATCATGATGATGTGGGCGACGAAGCAGACCAGCACACCGATGACGATGGTCTTGAAGCGTCCCCATCTTGTGTCGGCAATCCAGGCTCCAAAGATGGGAACGACGTAAGCCATGAAGCCGAAAAGCAGGACGAAGGCGTTGGCAAACTGAAGGCCTTTGTCAAGCGCACCAGCGGTGCCCTGGGTGCCGGCTGCGGGCGCACCGGCTCCATTTCCTGCAAAGACGGTCAGTTTGAGAGACGCTAAACAGGCACGGCTTGAGCCTTACCGCCCTCGGGCAGCGGGTACTGCATGAAGTTGGAGAAAACCGTCTTGGCGCCGTAGTATGAGGCGCGTTCGGAGAACTCGACAATGCAGAGGAGCCAGATGACCATGGGGATTTTGTCAGAGACTTTGCGGAGAGTCTTCGATTCCTCGTCGGTCGGGGCTGGGTGGAGTCCATCGTCGGTAGACGAAGCGGGCCTGACGTGGACGTCCAGCTGCTTTTCGTCGACCGAGTTCTCGCGCTCGATGGCTCCATCGCCTAGGGCGAGGGAGTTGCGAGCATTGCCATCAACAGCCTGCTTGGGGAGCTGCGACGACAGGACGTCGGTCGTGATGTGTTCTCCTTGACCGGCTGTCCAGCAATTAGCAAGCGGCCAGGAGGCTAGCCGTTCTGGTAGTGGATCAACATACACATTTTGCGGTCCTGGAGGCAGAAATGGGCGGAGCGGGCGATGGTCAACAAGACGTCGCTGGCGAGCGAGAAGTAGGCAACGCAAGCCAGGGCTCTTATTATACTAGTAGCACGACATTATTGGAAAATCTCGTCGGACAAGTCCGCATCGGCGACTGCGAGCTGCGCAAGCCCATGGTTTCGGTTCCGGCGCCGGTTTCAAGCACGCCACTCTTGGGCGTTATCTTGCAACGCAACGATGTTGATTCAGCAACTAGGATGCAACGTTGCGCGGTCAATTGCGCCCCAGACCTGGCTAGAGCCATCAGGGCCGCTCCGTCGCCACCAGGGCCGGGCTGGGATACAATCAGGGCTGGGCGGGCTTGGACAACGGCGGTTGGCGCAGGCTTGAGGGGTGCTTGTCGTGCTTGTCGTGCTTGTCCTGATTGCCGCCGCCTGCTCGGCACTACGGGGAAGGTGCCACGCGCACCATCGATTGCGCGATAACGCCGGAGCCGTGCGCGTCCCAGGCGGACCAACGCCCCGTCCAGGGAAAGGGCGGCCGAGGCGAAGATGAACAGGGCGCCTGCACCTTGGGCTGCCGAAACCGCGTCCGCTGTGTCGCCTCTCAGTCCCCGATCGCACCCACACCGTCGCAGTCCTGATGCCTCGCCGCTGTTGCGCTTCCTGACTCGCCGCCTTCCAGGACTCAGCGCAGGCCCAAGGCTCCCCGAGCAGCTGCCCGTTCGAGATGAGATATCCGCTCCGGCATCCTTCGCTTGGGAGGGTCAAGTAATGGATGCCGCATGGTAGGACAACGAGGCCGTGTCAGGCATCCGATACGAGTCGATCCAGCAGCAATCGAGCCCGTCTTTCTTCTGTCGCCTGAATCCCATGGAAATTGAGCGGCCTGACCCACGGGACTTCGACTTCGAGGACTCCGTCTCCACCCAGCGCATCGGATACGGACCAGGAGGAGGCCTCGCGCTGGTCGTCAGTCTTGGCTCTTGGCTGTGGCTTCGGTCAACCGTCAGGATTCCATCCTCTGGCTCTGCACAATGCCTGTCGAAGGCAGATCGTCAGCTGTATGCTGCTGCATGGCTGCGAGTACGAGCTTGTCAGCATGGGCATCTGAGTGGGGTGTAACGTCAAACGTCTGCCTTGCTGCGCAGCCATCGAGGCAAGCCTTTATAGCCCCGCCGCTGCGAGATGACTCAAAGACACTGATGACTGTTGCCTCAGAAAAGAGAGGCAGAGAGAGGTCGAAAGAAAGAATGCACGTTGGCCAACGGCTTTTGATCCTTCCGCTCCTCTCCGAGAATCAACCGCCCTCGAGGCACCGCAAACGCCACTGCTGACACCGCTGCACTACTCTGGGCGATTCTTGGAAAATCACTATGGAAAAATAGGCCAGATCAATCACCTCCACCAAACAGGCTTGGGCGCGCCGACGCCCTTGTCAAGCCGTCTCCCTCCACCGCCATCCTGCTCTGCCGCTCCTGTGATGGCGAAGCTACCGTCTTCTTCGCACCATCTCGCTCTACCCGTGATGACTGCCCATCCTTCCTCCGTCTCTTTGGCGACGGCGGCGAAAAGCCTCCAAGCTTTCTCAACGCGCCCCTACCCGGCCTACCGAACAGCTGCTCGGGTTTCCTCAGCGGCGCCATCTGATACTCCCCCACCGCCTCCTCCGGGCTCACAGCCATCAACCGCGCGCCTTTGATGATGTCGGTGATCTTCTGGTCGTCCTCCAGCGTCTTCGCCTCCATGTGCTCGTTGCGCGTCATGGCCTTGGACCGCTCGAACATGGCCTCCTCGACGGTGCCGCTCAGGATCAGCGTCTCCACGTGAACCGGCTTCGTCTGGCCGATACGGTGCGCACGCTTCACCGCCTGCGCCTCGATGCTCGGCCGGCAGACCGGGTTGATGAAGTAGACGCGCGACGCCTTGTTGACGTTGAGGCCCAGCGCTCCGAGCCGGACGTCCATCAGGAGCACTCTGAGCGTCGGGTCCTTGTCGAAGTTGACAATGTACTTGGACCGGAGTTCGTTTGAGATACCCTTCGAGTAGATCTCGTGGGCCACCCCAAGCAGGTCAAGGCATTGAGCCATGTAATACGCTGCGTTGTCTCCGTCGTAGAAGACGAGGATCTTCTCGTCTCTATGGTATGTCATGACTTGCCCGAGCAGATACGTCAGCTTGGCCGAAACAGTCCCGATGATCTGCGTCTTGCTCAGGGGTGAGTCGCTCGTGACATCGATGCCACTGTCTCTAGGACGCTTTCGCGGCGTGTCAGCAGAAGCTTTCTTCTCTGTCTTTGCTTTCCTGCTACTTGGTTAGTTCTATGCGGAATCCGTAATGAGACCTCGCACACTCACTTTGAGCTCTTCTTTGCTGGATCAGATGCCTTCTTCCCGCCTTTCCCACCATCTGTTTTCGGAGTCGCCACGTGCTGTTTCGACGGTGCGTGAAGCTTGGAGACGTTGACTTCCACATGCGTACTCGAAGACGGCAATCCCATCTTCACCTCTCCTTCGGCGGCATCGGCTTTCCTGTCGTGCATCTCAGCTGCTTGGTATGCGTCCATAGAGGCAGCAACGCCAGCTCCCTCAAACCCTTCCATCGGATCGTCCCCTAGCCTTTCATTGATGTGCGCCTGAGCCTGCAGTAACTGCGCAACCCCGTAGAGCTCCGGAGGGTCTTTTCCGAGCGCCCAGGCATGCGAGGTGTTGCCAGGCCAGGACTTCACAAATAGGCCCACCTCGTGCGTGGCGCTCATGGCCTTCCAGTTCTCCGACGTAAGGACGAACTGCTCGGCAAACTCTATACAAGCTGTCAAGAGCTTCCTATCCTCATCCGAGCATTTGGCATCCTCCTTTACGAGGTATTTGCATCCATGTTCAATTGCATTTCCGATGTCCTTTTGACTGAATCCCGTCCAGAAGAAATTGCTCTGACGAAGATTGGTAATGAGTTGGTTCCGAGCTTGTTGGCTTCGGGGATGGAATAGGTAGTCGATGTCTGTTCTTTCAGAGGTGACGGCGTTCGCCGTCAAGACAAGGACGAAAAGGTTCGCGGAGATCTTGTCGTACAGACTTGGCTCAAGCTTTACTACCCGGTGAGTAAGAGGTGGTAATATCAAGTCCCTTTCAACGTCGAAGGGTTGCGTCTTGATGATGAGTTGCTCCAAGGACTTCTTCATGCATTGTGAGTATGCGTCGAAAGTACGGCGCTTGTTCCTGTCGGTATGCCTATACACATGGTCCATCCAATCTGCGCGTTCCTCATAAGCCGTCTCCGCCCACGGCCTGACCTGGAGGAAGTGCGTTGCAAGCTGCCCAAGACTCTTTGAGGCCCCAGTGCCGCGAGAATCTTCATCACCATAGCATTTCCGTTGCTGAAGGACAGTGTCTCGCAGTGTTTGAGCATCGTTCTCAACACCCATGCCGGGTGACTCGTTCGATGCGAGGTCCACTTCAACCCCGAGCAGATCATCCTTGGCCGGAGTACCGGAAATTACCCACCGTCGCTCCGCCTTGACCAACTTCTGAGCAACCAGAACAGCGTTTGAGGTTGGCGACGAGAAATTATGCCCTTCGTCGATCATGATTCTTAGCCAATGCAGTCGCTTCAGAGGTGAGTCGTGAAGGTCATCAGGTTTCAGGCAGGTGCAGTTTCTGGTTCTTGTGGCACCGATGTATGGACATTGGCATGGAGGCGGAACGCTGTAAGACATGCGGTACCCTTGGTCGTTGGAGCCGTCGCGGAATTCAGCTTCGAATCGAGTCCGGCTGAAAAGGACGAGGTCATAAGTGATCAGCTCTGGCGGCGGGGGGAGAGGTATCCGGGAATTGTCCATCACTAAAACCTTCAGATGGTCTTCTTCCACGTGCTTCTGTAATTCCGATTGCCACTGGTGAAGCAGGTTCCTGGGGACCACCACAATTGTCCCGCTACACATGGTCATTTTTCGAGGAGGTGGGAGGCTTGTCCTGCGGTTGAAGCGCACGGGCTCGGCGGGAATCTCGTAGCGGGGAGGATTGTAAGTAAGGGCTTTGATGCACTCGGTCAGCTCTTCACCAGTCTCTTCTTCATGGCGAGCCATGGCTGCTCTCCATGGAACCGAATGGCGACCGGTTGCTGCTGCCGCCATCTGAAATAGCGAGCCAACCTCAGATCGCATTAGAGGCCCTGGCTGGTACTCTGGTGGGATCTTAGGGAGGTGATGCTTGGTGGCAAGTATGAGGCTGATGGCTATGATTGTTTTACCTCTGCCCATACCTTCAGCAAGAATTCCTGAGCGGTTGCTCTCATACCAACGAGGACTGCGGAAGAACTCGACATCCCGGGGGCAGTAGTAATATTCTTGTCCATCTGGTGCTTTGCGGATCTCCAGGCGTGGATCGAGATGAAGCTCTTGGGAAGTCTCTCGTTGAAGCATCAGAGCAGTTGATCGTGCTTGAAACGGATAGAGCGTCGCTCTCAAGCCTGAGATGCTCAGGTCCAGTATGTCCTGCATGGCCGTTCTCGCATACGGGTCCTCCACCTTTTCGGGATCCGGGGCCGGCGAAGGAAGAGTGTTAAACAAATAGAACAGCGACGAATCCTCGGCGGTGGCCCAAGGATCGAATTTGTTGCCCGCCAACTGTAAGTCCTCGGAAACATGGCCGGCCCACACGTCCGCAGAGACATCCAGCTCTTGCACAACGTGTGCCAGGGCAACGCGCGCCTTTTTGACATTGCGGTCGATGGATCGCCTGGCAATGTCATGAGGGACAACATAAAGCCTCATAATGGAGGATTCGCATGCAGATGGAGTCCATTGTACGCGGATCCATCTTGCTTCCAGCAAAGTGGTGACCGCGTCTCGGAGAAGAGGGCTTAGGCTAGTGAGGCTTTCTGTTTGGGAAGGGTCCAATTCTTCCCAACATCCAGGAGCACCAGAATCACGTAGTTGGCCGGACGCAATGAGTAAACCAAGCGGGATGTAGTTCCGCAGGTCAGTGGGGAATATTTGCTCTTTGGATGGTTGAGTAGATGTGGCGGCTGGGGTCAACGAACTCGAGGTTGACGTTATCGGAGTCGGAGCAGATGAGGCACAGTTGGATGGAGCGGACAATGTGTCGTCGTCGTTCAGATCGGCTGTGGTGTCCATGGTGTGCATTGGAATGATTAATAGTCCTTTCCGGGCTGCTGCAGTGGGCACGTGCGGATCCCGGCACGGCGGGGTTTCCGCCGGACAAAGAGGTTGAGTGAGCCCTTAGTAGCAAAGAGCATAATACTCAATCATCAGATGGTGAGATTTCGTGAAGTGTGCGCCTGCCTCGGAGGTGACAGGTGGGATGGACGGCCAAGGCAGAAGCGCTTGAATGGCAGCGACGCGCAGGCCACCCTTCCGCCCGTATCAGGCATGGTCTGATCACTGACTAAGCCTCGCGTTATCTCCCACGCCGCTGCCCTGCAACGCCTCCGTCAAAGCTCACACTTCGTCTGCATCCACTAACGTACAAAGTCAGCCTTGGGGACTTTTCAACCCAACTGTCGTCCTAGACCCTGAAGCTCAGAAGAGCAGGTGACTACGGCTTTCTCTCCGAAGCATGGCCCAAACCACGGAAGAAATGCAAAACAAAGGCGAGACCTCCGTAGCTGGGCCATCTATGGATGCTATCTCTATGATAACACTACTGGCTGACATCCTGCGCTTGTAAGTCTCGGGTCTCCAGATGCCGTCACATTTCCCGCTCCCGTTGACTGTTCAAGGCCTGAAGAATGTCTAGCCATGTCGTTTGTGTTCTTGAACAGGTATCAAAAATTCCAACGTCAACAGAAGAGCTCACTTGGGCTCGATAACCATGTTCGTCTCTTGAGGGTGCATTCCATTCCATCATCGAGCCACTGACTCCGAGGCAGATGCTGGCGCTGGCTTGCCTGTCTGTAGCATCCAAGGCGAAGGACGCGCCGCGCAGAGTGAGGGAATTCCTCCGGCCAGCATGGCGATTGATGCACCAAGCGCCAGATTCAGCCGCCCTGGAATGCCCATCGCCCGCTTACGACTCACTCCGGTCTACTCTTGTCCGAAATGAGCTGATCCTTTTGCGAATCCTCAAGTTTGAGTTGCGCGTGTCGACGCCATTTGACTTTCTGCCCGGCTATCTCACCGAGGCAATGCGGGACTTTGGTGTCAACGACGGCGGTGCCGACGCGCTAGTCTATTTTGATGACCGGAGCAAAGAGGACAAGGAGGCAGATCGAATTGCCGATCTTATGGAGACTGGCATAGCGAAAGACTGCAGAGCAAAAGCTCTCGGCGCGTACGTCAGTGGTTCCAGGACGGAGATCGTGCACTAAGTTTCCATCAGATGTAAAGACTACCAGCTCGCCAACTTCTTCCCCGCCAAGGCAGTCACCGCTGCGTGCATCTACATTGTCCTCAGGGATCGGGGGCTGCTTCCTGGAATCGACATGAAGCGCTGGCTGAGAGATAAAGTCAGCCGGAGCATAGAGCTGGAGGATTTTGAAGACGCTGTCTCCAGCATGGATAAACGGTGATAACCTCGTATCTATCTTACAGCGGACGGTCGAAGTTTGTAGCATTGGAGCTTCTTCATCTACATCCTGATGGTTAGTCCAACTGCCCGCATATGAAGAACGCGCCAGTCAAAACCAGCAGCTCCAGCAGCGCATGTCACAAAGACACTATCACCGAACTGACACCTGGCGCTGATATCATCCATGAGGAGATGGTGATTACGACAAATCAGTTTGTGATGCTGTCGAGTCAGGCGTCGAGGGAAGGGTGGTAAGAGAGTGACAGGAGACCGACGGGGATTTCATGTAGCAACAAGTAGTGAGCTTGAAGGTGGTGACGGTGGGTGATGTGCCAGTCTGGCTGAGGGCATAACGTGGGCAACTAATGCTATACCTTCGTCCAACACGCCTGAGACAGCTTCGACAAGGACATCAGGGCATTAGACGTAGGGATGGCACTGCACACTGCCTTGTGTGTTCCGCGTGTTCGTAGGAAGAAAAAGAGAACAACTAGCCGTAGAAAAGACCGCGCCAGTACCTTCACAGCGTAGAAGCCGGAAGGTTGAGTCATGTGATAAGAGACAGAGGGGTAGAATCGAATTGGTGACGTGAATTTTCTAACTTTACCCATCAATCCAGATGCCCAAGGAAGTGACCCCGTTCAAAACTCCCAACGCTCAAACCAAACATGCCCTCCCCGCTGCTCGTCGGCGGACCCTGTACAAAAAACGGCGGTTGCCATAAAGGCTGCCAAAGGGGTGGCCGATTAAACAAGAAAGGCGGATGATTTCATTAAAGATTCTGTAGTATTCATTCACTGTCGTCGGACCAAAAGAAAGATCAAGTCCGTTCGTTAACACATCGTGATCACGCACTATAGTACAGAGGGTTATTATTCTCTACAACCAAGATTACAACAATCAGCCCATAAGAGGCCGTCATATTTTTTTTCTTGGGGAGACGGGGGAGGGGTGACGTAGGGCGGGGTATACGGCGAAATGTAAACTTACAACAGAGACAGCGTGAGGTCGCCACGGATGCTAGCCTTGAGCTCGATCTCAACGTCGAGGTTGGCCTCGAGTTTCAGCTTCAGGCCGTCGGTGTCGTCGAGGGAGGACCCCTGCTTCTCCTGGGGCGGCAGGCGGTAGGGCTGGTTGGGGTTGGTGCCGCGCATGGGGATCTCGCCGCGCAGGGCGCGGGCCTTGGTGACGGGGCCGTCCATGGAGGTGCTGTCGGGGCCTATGCGCTCGAACATCTGCATCTCCTGCAGCTCGCCGTTGGCGTCGGCCTCCTCCAGCGCCTCGAGGCTGTTGGTCTTCATGTATTTGCCCTCGTCCATGGCCTTCTGGATGCGCTGCCGGCGCGCCCGCCGCGACGACGACCGTGACCGCGCCGACTGCTGGCCCGTCTCGCGCTTGTGCTGCTTCATCGCGTTCGTCATCTTCTCCTGCTGTTGCACTGTCCGCATCTGCGGCTGCTCCTCCCTCTCGCGGACGGCCATCTGGCCCTCGTAGTCGGAATCGGCCATGGTAGCGGATTGGGGAGTCTGGCCTTATGTACAGGTGATATGCGGGCGGAAAGGTGATGGAAGTCGGTTCGTGGAAGCGATTTGGATGAGGGTACGGAGGATGGAAGATGGAGGGCGGAGAAAGAGAGCAGGCCAGGTCTAGAGCAGCAGCAGCAAAGACGTTCCGCAAGGCGCAAGGCTCAGAGCAGGAATCGGCAGCTTGCAGACAGGGCCAAATCAAGATTGAGCCGTGGCTGGCGGCATGCACATGCCCAAATCGCGCATGCGGGCCAAGGTGGCTTTGGGCCTGACGTCAACGGCGGCCGGGGGATGGAGTTGCGTCCGCCGCAAGGGCTCCCGGTCAGGCGAAACGGCCGCGTCAAGCTGGCATGGATGATGGCGGCAAGGAAAACGCCACCTCGCGATGATCGAGGCCTGATGCAGGCGTTTCTCGGCAGCCGGAATCGCCCCGCTGCCAAGATTTACGCAACTTAACGCAGCCACACAGCCTTCGGTGGGGACGGGGCCTATCACATCAACCTAAATTCGAGCTCACGCAGCATGACCGCATCAGTACTCACAATTACACATGCCTTGCGGAACCCCGTCAGACCACACACACACACACACACAGCCAATTGCACATTGCGTTTCTGATACACCATTCTTTGATTTCAGAAGTCATTACACCATAGAAAGCCCCCCATGCGCCAGTCGCATACAGCCGTGTCCTCCATAAATCGTGCATTAAACTATTCGGGTAATGAAAGAAAGATTGTGCATTCAGTTCCTGTTCAGCGTCAGTTTTCGTCTGATCCGGAACCAGATGTGGGCGCGGACACTTACAGAAGACCCAGAGTTAGGTCACCGTGGATCTTGGCCTTGAGTTGCACTTCGATGTCCAGGTTGAGTTCCAGGCGGAGCCGGAGCTGCTCGCCCTTTGAGTCTTCCCCTTCTTCCTCTTTCCCGCCGCCGCCGCCGGTCAAGCCGCCCAGGGCTTTGCCGGCCGTGTCGCCGACTTGATTGACAGCGTTGCCTGCTGTGTTCTGAACCATGTCACCTGCGCCGCCGACCAACTCGCCTCCGGGCACGTTCTCGGTGATGTCGTCGAGGGGACCGCCGCCGCCTTGCTTCTGCTGACCCTTCTGCCTCTGGCGCTGGCGGTTGCGGCGGCCACCCGAAGCGGAGACGTCGGAGCGGGTAACGGACTCGGTGTCGCTATCGGGCACGCCCTTGCGGCCACGGCCACGAGACTGACGGCGTCTGGATTGCCTGCGCGCAGGCTCGGGCTCGGGCTCTTGCTCCTCAGCGTCCGCGTCAGAATCGGGCGATTCTTCCGGAGTGGGTTGCTGCTGGGGCTCGGGCTGCTTCTTGCCTAGCTTCTTTGGCGTCTTCTTCTCGGTTTGCTTCTTGCTGGAGCCCTCTGCGCCGATGTTGCCGCTGGCCTGGCCTTCGGCGTTGGCAGAGGCCTGGTTCTCCTCGGTGGTCTTGTCCGCCATTGTAGCTTTCTACTGGTCGTGGTCCGGTGGTGTATGTACAAAGAGAAGTGCGGGAAGAGCTTTGGTCAGAAAATTGTAAAATGGTATGGAGACGAAGTATGCAATCGGAATTGGGGCGGGAGCCGTGAGGGTGAAAAGATGAGGGCATTGGTACCCGAGCAGGTTTGCAGAGACGGGTTCGGGACCCTTGTCGCTGTTGCAACCTCTGACGCAACATGGCGTCCGGGCTACGAAACGTGCGGACAAGACGGCGGCTGGGCACCCCCAAACCTTGCTTAGGGCCCGGCAGCCTTGCCGGGCGCAGTAGTGGGGCGCGATCGCAAGAATCCCACATCCCGATTCTGTCGCAAAACCTGCGGGAGCCCGTGCTTGCTGCCAAGTTTGCGCCGTTTAGTCGTCATCGTCAACGCCCTGCGCCGTCTATGATTTAACATGGCGGCTGGCTGCATTCTGTTGGCCGCAAGGGGTCGACAGGACTGGGGGGCGAGGTCTCGGAAAGCAGCCGATATCCCAAAACGGTGGCGAGGCTTGTGACGTGCATGGCGAAGGGATGAGGACGATGCTGTCGCCTGTTGAGCGCTTGCGGCGCAGAGATTTGCGCGAGACGGGTGCTGGAGCGACGCATCAGGGTCTCCGGCCCTCCTTCAGACACGAGAGGAACCGTAATCCCCTCCGGATAAGCGCTGGTTCTCCACACCGGCACTTACGCGCACACATCCGCTAAAACGCCAATCGCTCCTCCTCGAGTAGTAGCGGGCCGGTGTTGCGCTTTTTAGCAAAGTCGCACGGGAGCTGCGGGAGGAGCGGAGAGATTCGGTCGCGGGGTCGCACTGCATGGGCGGAAGCGGATCGGCGGGAGAGCGCGGGAGAGCTTGAGGCCACTGGCTGCAGGCCGACGACGGGGCGGCGTCTGCCGTGGCGGGCGGAGATGGATCGTGGCCATCTCGCCGGCCATCTCCGCGACATCTCCTGTCTCCTCTTCCACGCCGACACCTTCGCTTCTCGACGCACGCAGAGACGTGGCCGACTGCCAGCCGCAACGAGCCCGCAAAATGGCCGACGCCGCCCGGGAGGCTGCTGCCAAGCAGCGCATCGTGTCGCACATGAATGCCGACCATCAGGACTCGGTAGGCGCGCCCTTACCTCGCCCCTCACCTCTCGCTCGAGCTCATGGGCCAGGTCGCACGATATCTCGAGCACTACTGCAACGTCTCCTCGTTCACTGCTAGAAAAGCGCGCCTGACCGACATGTCCCTGGGGTCCCTGACCATCGAGGCCGGGAGCAGGAAGTTCACGATCCCGCTGGAGCCTCCGATGCAGGCGTGGCGCGAGGCGCGCGAGCGCGTCATCCAGATGGACAGAGACTGTCTCGCTGGGTTGGGCCGAAGCGACATTACAGTCAAACAGTACACCCGCCCGCGAGGAGCACATGCTGTCATCTTCGTCGTCTGTGCGCTTACGGACGTGCTTGTTTCACGTCGGGCCAACGCACTCCCAGGGTCGTTTATCTACACCCACGTGCTCAGCTACTCGCCGGGCTTCGCGAGTTTTGTGGCCCAGGTGCAGCCGGTTGTGCTGGCACTGATGATAGGCATCCACGTTGTCGAGGCATCCATCATGGCGCGTAGGCTGCAGCGGCACAACGTGGCGCAGCTGAGTGGGCTGTGGTGGTTGTGGGTCGCTTCCTGCTTTATCGAAGGCTTCGGGGCGTTGCAGAGGTAAAATTAGTCTCAGCCCCTGACGCATCACGGACTGACGTCGGCTAGGGTTGACGCCCTCGTGCACCAGGGCCGTCGCGAGAAGGACAAGCAGAAGCACTGAGCAGAGAAGGGGGGCTCTCGGATCGGCAGCGTAGGGCTAGATCCACAGGGCGTTACTAGTAGCGACCAGGGTTAGTGTAGTGGACTGGAGCGGCACATCGTGGAGCAGATGGGCAGCGTGCGCGGTCCGTGACGGCAATCAGCCGAGCGGTGAGGTCGCGATGGGTGCTGTGGTGTTGAGCGGAGTGCGTTCGCGCGCGGCAGCGGGTCGAGCCAGCGCATCGCCGTGCCTGGCGGCTGGCGTAGGAGCGCGGAACGCGGGGAGTCTGGCTAGCGCGATTGGCCTAGATGGAAGTCAGGGCGAGCCTTCCGGCCCGGGGTCCCTAGCCAATCTAGCCAATAATAATCGCCGCCCTTTGTCAAATTGGCTGCGACGGGCATTCAATACCGCAGCTTGCAAGCCGTCATTTCGGAAAGAGGCGTCGTAAACATCCCACATTGCTTCCCAATCTCATCTACATCCTCTCACCCACAACACATTACTCCTTTATGTTCACTTGGTCATCACAGCACCCCCTTCGCAACCAGCAATGGCGGCGCGTCCCCCAAGCGCGCTCTCCCTCTCCGCGCCGCTGCTCGAGCGCGCCAGGAGAGACTCCCCCTCGCACTCGCCAACCCGCGATCGGCGCAAAAACATGAGCACATACGAATCCCAGCCTTGGGCCGTCTCCCCCTCCACCACTCTCCAGGCCTTCACCGACGGCATCGACCCATCCGCAACTCCCGAAGCCCAGCAGCTGCTGTCCGGCATCACCAACGCGACGTCTGCAGAAAAGGTCCTCGGCGTCCGCGTCGCCTCCGCCACCAAGAGCGTCAAGGACTGGTGCGCCGAGCTGGAGGCATGGCCGTGGGGCGACTCCTTCGAACCGCCGTTGCATCGCGACCCGTACATTCAGGAGAAGGACACGCAAGGCCAAAACAGGGATGCTGCCTCCACCGGCGCGGGTGACACGGATGACGGCGATGAGTCGGCGTACTGGGGCTCGATGCCGGCGTCGGCGGTAATGGCCTACGGTGTGCGCCTGGATCAGATCAAGGAAGAATTGGAGGATTTGAACATGGACGAGCTCAAAGGACACATCTTGGATATGTATCCCATGGAACGACCCCGGCCCACCTCAGGTTACGGCAACAAACGCGCGGAGCTCCACCTCTTGGACGATTTCTCCTACGTCGTGACCCATACCATGCTGCAAGCTCTTCCGTGCCTGTCCTATCTCAGCCAGCTGACGCGCGTGTGGTCGGTCCGGCTGTTGGTTCTGCACGAAGTACCGCATTTCCTCACCGGCCTGGACGACGTGATGAAGGCTATGCGCTCGGGATGGGACACGTTGGATCTTCCTGATGATCCGCAAAAGTCCACGAAGGAGCTTGACGGCTGGAAGGAGGTCATCGCCGACACCCGCGACAACCTGCAGAGCAAGATCACGAGCCTGGGGCGGAAGCTGGACCGGATGCTGGACGCACTCGAGGGCATGAACGACGTTCTGCCCGACAGCTGGATAGATGATTTCGAGGCGGTTGAGGCGGATTACAGCAAGTGGGCGGCCGACGCACAGAAGCGAATTTTTGAGCTCGACATGTTAATGTCCAGACCGCCGGAGAAATTGACCCGCCCGACCTCTGCGCGCGGTGCAGATCAACCATTCGGCTTCGGTGTGCTCCACACGCCGCGAAAGTCGCTTCTGGCCGCGGACCATGGCGAGCACAGGTTACTTTCCGATGCGGACGGCACTGGCAACAAGCTTGCAGGACCTGTACCTAAATTGAATCGCACAAGCACAACCTTTAGTCCCCAAAAATCGGGCCACATCATTGAGCACGGTCACCAGCGCTCGCGGTCTCGGTCTGAGCCTGATTTCCACGTCTCGCCATTTAAGTTCGCTCAGCGGCTAGAGACGATCGAAGGTACACCGACCAAGACGGATCGCTTCCGTACGTTCGACCTGGATGCCGAACAAGCCGATAGCGATGACTCTGAGGCCATCGCCGAGAGCAGCATCCAAGAGTCCGTTGAGAGACGCGCCTCTGTCACCTCGGTTGAGTCTTTCACGCGCTCGCAGGTGAAGAGCGTGGACGTTAGGCGTGGCAGTAACTCCAGCAGCAAGGAGGATCCGCAATCGAACAACAGCAGCCCCCGCAGGCGTCACTCTCATCCCGGAGGACACTTGGCCACGACTGAAGAAGAGAGCTTCGCTTCTGGCAGCAGCGATGGATATGCCCCGGTTATGGACACCCCTGAGGTTCGGATCGAGGAAGAATACACATCGCCCGCAGAGTCACAGATGTCCAGCCCCGTTGGCAGTCCGAACGACTCCCCCTCGTTCCGGCCGCTTCCTGGCAGGCGCAATGCTAAGATGCCCCGGCCGCCGCTGAACTCTGCCATGCAGAAACGGAGGACCAAGTCCCAACAAATACCGATTGTGATTCCTAGCGACTCGGACTCAGACAACGAAGCCAGAGATGCTCCTGGGCCTAAACCACGAAACTTCAGCGCAGCCAAGGGCAGGTCGCATCGCCGTGTATCGAGCGCAACCGCCGACCTGGAGCAGCAAATCCGCCGCATCATCACCTCGGTTCACGCGCCGATTCGCTTGACCTCTGGAGACGCCGAGGGATCACCCGTGAACGCAAGCTCCAAGCGCGCGTTCTCGGACTCTCGGCCGCCGTCGTCATTGCGAGTTTCGCGCAAGACCAGTGCACAGTCGATCACGATGTCGGCAGTTCTCTCTGAGCAAGACCGTCATCGCAGTGCTTCCCAACGCGACTCGGGCATCAAGCTCTACCATCTCATGCAGCCTGGTCAAGCAAAGCCCATCAAGCTCTTTGTGCGTCGTGTCGGCGAGAACGGCGAGAGACTGATGGTTCGCGTTGGAGGCGGTTGGGCGGACTTGGGCGAGTACCTCCGCCAGTACGCGGATCACCACAGCAGACGAGTTATTTCTGAAGGCAAGGTCGAACACCTCGGTTACAATGACACGCCGGAACCCATTCGGCCGACAAGCTCTCACAGCAACACTGGCGGATCGAAGCGGTTCTTGGGCACGCCGCCAACCAGCAACCCTGCACCACGGTCGCGCCCCAGCAGCGCCATGTCTAACTACAGCTCGTTCGACAGAGAGGAGGGAGGAGCGATGGATTCTGGAGCATCGCAGAAATCATGGGCAGGGAATGAGGTCGGATTGGCCGGTCCGAAGACGAAGAAGTTGGATCTTTCGGGAGAGAAACTGGAATGGATCGAAGGGATGATGAACCAGGCGAAGCTACTGGGTGCCCAAGAGGCGGCTAACACGAGGAAGCTTTACATGAAGCACGCCGGACAGTGAGAGAAGGGGGGGTAGGTTTCCTATTATTGGGCGCGCGCATACTAGAATGCGCGCAGAGTTTGATTTTGATGGGGGCGCGGTTTGAGCAAGAGATATCCTTATTCGTGGTTGGCTTTCGATCGGAATTGGTACATTTGAGAATACCCCTGGGAACATTTTGGCATAGATTGGCGCAGGCATTTGCAGGTATTTGCAGGTATGCTGGCACTGGCTTGAGGGCATAGCGTGAGCGTTACGGGCACTGGGCTTCTGGACGAGGATATGACTTGGTGGTATCACGGCTGGCTCTGGATCTGGTACACGTCTTGGCTTTGTACGTGCATTTCAGTGTATGGCTCGACGCATTTCGAACGAGCATTTTTCAATATTGCATCAACTATCAAACATTTTCTGCCGGAATGTGAAGAAGCCAGACTCCAAGGCCTTGTGCCTCAGGCATCGCACAATGCGCGCACGGACACTCAAGCTTGGCGGGTCCGGCATAGGTAACGTCAAGCACCTGTTGCGCATCGCCCAGCGCCCCTCCCGCACCCTCCACTAGACACACGTTCCGCGTTGTCATGGACTGGCCTTGATCGACACACCCTCTGCATACACACACACACAACAACCCGTCGCGAACATGGAAAATCCCACTTTGAACGACCCTCCACCGCCGCCCCAAGGCGGGCCTGGTCCCGACGCTGGGCAACCGATGCCGCCGCCAGTCGTGCCCCAGCTTCCGCCGCAGATGTTCACCACCGCCGCCCAGCTCCTCGACCTGACCGACAGTCAGTAGCCTTCTGCGTCTCCCTTCCCACACGGATGCCCATTTCCTGGCCCACATTGGCTTTGCGCAAAAATAGAAAAAAAATAGAAAGAACGGAAAGGCTGACACGCGTGCGTCGCTTCGCGCGGTGGTGTTTGCAGAGAAGCTCATGGTCGCCCTGCGCGACGGACGGAAGCTCATCGGTGTGCTGCGAAGCTGGGACCAATTCGGTATGGAACAGCCAATCACCACTTCATACTTTGCTTTTCACAAAGGAGAGCGGCGAGGGGATGCCGGACTGCGGATGGAGGAGTCACATGCGACTGGGGAATGTTTGACAGCCGCTGACGCGTTCTTCACTTCTTCGTTCTGGCAGCAAACCTCGTCCTCCAAGATACCATCGAACGCATCTTCTGCCAAAACCTGTACGCCGACATCAACCGAGGCGTTTTTCTCGTCCGCGGCGAAAACGTGCTGCTCCTAGGTGAAATTGTACGACACAACCCGTCTCTCTTTCCCGCTTACTACTTACCCTTACCCACACCACAACCTTCGAGGCCTCTCTTTCGTCAGGGGTTTTATTTTGCTGAATCTGTTTTGCCCTCGCCATTGGGGGCATGCTTGTGAGAAATAGGATCTCGATAAAGACGACTACATCCCCGAGCCCTTTGAACAAGCACCGATGGAACGGGTCTACGCATTGCAGAAGCAGGAAACCGAAGAGCGCAAGAAGAAGGATAAGCTCAGGCGGAAGCACCTCAAGGGCCACGGCTTCGAGGGCGAGCACACGGGCGAGGCGGTGCTATGATAGGAACGAGATTGATGGAAGGGTATCAAGAGGAGCCTTGTGAGGAAACTTCATGGCGCAATCTGAGGAATGGCTGGACAATGATTTTCCAGGCTTGGGACCACGCTTTTTTGAAAAAGGTCCAGATACAAAGGTGTGAGTGGGCAGAATATTGTGAAATGCCGCTCATGCTGTCAAGCTACACGGCATAGCTGCTAGCTTAAAAGCTCAGAGAATAGAGCTGCGCTATCAATGCAAAGAGGCTCAAACAATGAAGACTCGTACGCATTTCAATACGAACAGCCACTTCATGTTCTGTACCGGAAACAAAGTACGAGCATCCTCGTTTCTGTATATCCCTACATTGGGTGACGAAAGAACTTGACCTACGGCGATCCTTTGTGTGGGCAGTTGAAGCAAGTATGCCGACGTAGACGTAGGTTTTAACGACCTTTCTCAATGAGTAGCTGAAGCAAATACCTGGATGTAGACTCGAGCATTCAGGCTGTATAAATGCATCTAGATATATGACTCCTCCGGCCATTAATGTGGGTTAATTTCTTTCGTCGCCCACTGTGTCCCCACCAGCACATCCGCCGTGAGGCTGTTGAGAGACCGTATCCTTACACGTCACGAGCTCGGCTAAGCTCAGTTGTCCTAATATTGCAGCGTCTATAACTTACTTGTGACGTTGGTCCAGCCCACACGTGAGAATCACCAGCTCAGGTTTGGCCAGCATGCGCTTCTCATTCGCCATAGCTCTCAGACATCCATGCCCATCTCAATCACAGCATAGGCGGTACCTTCTTGGAGATTCTTCCGTCCGAATCAACAGCTACAACACTGAAGACTGGGCTTGGAACCTGATCAAACCGTCCTCTCCAGCGCATCTACATCCTCCTTCTTTTCGCTTCCGAATGCAAAACTGATGTTGCGGCACGAGTCTGGTTTCCAACCAACCATCCCAGCTTTGTCCTACGATCGTCATTATTTTTCTCGGGGGATGCATCCCCATCACCCAGCGCTCGTGCATCCATCCACCGCCCCTCAACCCATCCATTGCTCCCCCCCACCACCACCACCCTCTCCCTCAGCCCCTTCCTCCCCCTCCCCCTCCGCCGCCGCAACCGCCGCCGTCACCAACGCCACAAACTCCCTCATCCCCTCGCCACCCCCCTCCTCCTCCTCCTCCCCGCCCGCCTCCCGCACCCGCATCAACCGCCTCACAGCAAACTTATCCGCCGCCTCCTGCCTCCACGGCCCGCGCGCCTGCTGTCCGTCCAGCCCGAGATCGACCCATCCTCCAGGACCACCACGCCCCCCTCCTCCTCTACCTCGCCCGCCGCGTCCGCCGCGCCCGCCACGACCGCCTCGCCCGCGTCCGCGGAAATTGTTGTTGTAATTATTAAAGCTCCGCTGCTGCTGCTGCGCGTGTCGCTGGCGCTCGGCCCAGTCGTCCGGGTCGGGCTCGAGGGTGGAGGCGTAGATGGAGCGGAGGGTGGAGCGGAGGGAGGGGTGGGTTTGGAAGAGGTGGTGGAGGGCGGGGGAGGAGAGCAGCGTCGTGAGGGGGTCTTCTTCGGGGGTGGTGGCGGCGGTGGCGGCGGCGGTGGCGGCGGGTGGTGGTGGTGGTGGTGCTGGCGCGGAGGATGTCGGGGTTGAGGCTTGAGGCTGTGCGGTCACGCTGGGGGGGTCGGAGGCGGCGGCGGCGGCGGCGGCGGCGGCGGAAGTGGCGGAGGAGGGAGGAGCGTTGTTGGAGTCGTGGCTTGGCTTGTGGGACTTGAAGCAGGGGAGCGAGCAGCTGGTGGGGGCGGAAAGTGGTGAGTAGCGACAAACGGAGAGGATATCAATGCGACGGGGCGAGGAAATGGCGCGGCAGGCGCGTACGTACTACTTGATTGTGCATTTAGGGCATTTGTATTTTGACGGCTGCGCGCCGCAAATGTTGCAGGTAGAATACATGGTAAGCGATCGGTTTGGAAGGACTGTGGTGGAGAGTTTACTTTTTTCTGGTCGCTGACGTCGCGCCCGGAGATAAGAGTTGGTCGGCGGCTCGTCGGCTCGACGCGTCGGAAATTTAGAACAGGACGCGCATTGGGGACGGCCACCAATTTTCTGGACTAGCGTGCCTTCCAGCTGCCTTCCGGCTTCTCGGAAACTTCAAAGTCTGCTTATTATCGAGCTGAACAGTTGCAACACACACAGCAACAAAACGTAGCACATGGACGCGCGGCATTAAGACCAGGATGGCATTCCTTTCAGCCCACTTCTCTGGTTGGGGGCCAATTCGCGGCTCAGGGCGGCCCTCTGCAGATATATCTTGCAACCTACATACAACCAGGTTTCCGCTCACATGTGACCCTTTCGACAGTTCGAGTGACTCATCTTGAGTAGGAATATGGACAAGACGTCGAGGTATGGCACTTTGACCCGCATGGGATCCATGACCTGACCGTGTTATAGAATCCCTTTGAGTACGCTGGCGCCTGCCTACTCTCGTCTGTCCAGCATTGGTACTATGGATGGCGACAATCCCGCTTCCGACATCCGATCGAGTAAAAACCCATGCGAGGACGAGTCACGCTCAGTTCTTCTACAGCCACATGATTCAGATTCATATTCAGATGAACCTCCGGATGGCGACAATCCTCGACATGATGGGTCTTCTCTTTGGCCAAAAGCTTGGCGCTTTGGAGCAACGCTCGCTTCCATTACTGCTGCATGCGTTCTCCTCGTGAACTTCGTTGTCGCCATTTGGGCGTACTTCAAAGCCGGCAAGCAAGGCAATGGCCATGTCTACGAAGGCTCCTGTGATGATGTGGACACGGCCAGCATCGGAATTCATCTTCTCATCAACGTCCTCAGTACACTCCTCCTGGGTGGCAGCCAATACCTCATGCAATGCCTGAGCGCACCAACCCGCACCGAAATCGACCAGGCTCATCGCCGAGGCGTATGGCTGGACATTGGTCAACCAAGTCTGCGGAACCTACGATATATTCGGCGGTGGAAGCTGGCCATGTGGATAGCACTTGTTCTATCGTCCTTGCCACTTCATTTGTTGTGAGTGCCCTTGATTTTCCCATCGGCGCCAAGCTTATCTTGTCAAAGTTACAACTCGGTCTTCTATTCTTCCCTGGCGAACAATGACTACGACGTCTACATCGCCACTGAAAAATACCTGCAGGGTGCTGCGTACAATACTTCGGAATTCCCCTCTCCTGGCTCTGATAGGTATTCGCACTACGACTGTTCTGATGATGGATACAACAACACCTACTGTGGTTCCGCCGACTGGCACACTGATCCAAGCAGTGTGCAGGAAGAGGCCCCTCAATGGGATCGTCTGGAGAATAAAGAGTGCATCCAGGCTTATGCGCAGGATTTTCTCGCCGATCGACGCAACATAGTCCTTGTCGTTGAAGAGGTCAACAATCACACTTCTTCGCTGTATGGTGTGGACCCTTACCGGCTTATTGGAGATGGCTACGATACGATCAATCCCGAACCTTACTACTGGATTTGCTCTCATCAGTATGGGTATTGGAAAGAGGACTATCCTCCCTGCAGCGACACGGTTGGTGACATTGAGGCTGATGCGTCGAACTGGCACTATTATGTGCGTCGCATACGTTATTGCCAAAGCGAGAGGGTAGATCCCAAGTGTAGGTTGAATTTCAATCTTCCGATCCTTGGCATAGTGATCATTTTCAATGCCGTCAAGCTCGTTTGTATGGCATATGTCGCCTACCGAATGCGCGACAAACCTATCATTACGCTGGGAGATGCTATCTCGTCTTTCATCCGGATGCCCGACGCCGCTACAAGAAGCATATGTCTGGCAACACGGACCCACTTCAAGCGTTGCCGGAAGGGTGAGGACTGGTCTCAGGCTATCGAGACACCCATGACATACCGGCCTAAAAAAATGCGCTGGATGCAGACAGCCAGCGCCCAGCACTGGCTGATCACCGTTTCTCTGTGAGTTTTACTGCTGAGCTACAAAGCCTTTCTGACATGTACCAGCTTCGTGTTCGCACTTGGTGCTGTCCTCGGCTTACTCGGATACTCGGTGCCTCATTTGAAAACAAGCAACGGAGTGACCGGCATCTCCTCGTTCTGGAACCTTGGACTTGGCAAAACTCGGTCAGCGACAATGATCATGGGGTGGTCGATTCCAACAAGCGGAGATTCCGCTTTGATATCTGCAATCCTGGTGGCCAACTCACCTCAGCTCATTCTCTCGGTGATCTATGTCTTCTTCAACAGTCTCTGCACACGGATGCTCCTAGCCCGGGAGTGGTCTAGCTTTGCGCGGCATCGGAAGGCATTGCGCGTCTCAAATCCGCGTGGCGAGCAGAGGAGCACATACTTCTTGCAAGTGCCCTACCGCTTTGGCGCACCGCTGATGCTTTACTCCATGCTCCTCCACTGGCTTGTATCACAGAGCATATTCCTTGCGAAAGTCGATACTTGGAGCAGTGTCGGACTCCTCGTTCAGTCGGAGAGCGTCACGACGTGCGGTTTCTCGCCGATGGGTATGATTCTAACGGCGATCGTCGCTGCGTGTTTGGTTTTAACCGGGGTTGGCATGGGTCTTCGGCAGCTGGACTCGGACATGCCATTTGCCGGCGGCTGCAGTGCGGCCATCTCTGCGGCCTGTCACGCTCCAGAGAAAATTTCCGAAAAGCTGCCGTTGCAATGGGGAGTGTTGCCGACAGATGAGACTTCTGGACTGGTTGGGCACTGTTCCTTCTCCAGCGACGACGTGGATGCGCCTGTGCCGGAGACGCCATATGCTTGAAATGGAAAAGAAGAGCACGGGTGGCCATGGATCTGCTACTCCACGCGCAATGCCAGAGTGTACAAGAATATCCAGCGCCGCATTGCGCTGAGTTTGCCACAGGTCAGTGGTTCTATTTCGAGAGAACACCGTGCAGGGTGGCAGAGCACTGGGCCTGTTCCGTTGCGGAAAGATTTAATAAATCCAAGGCTAAGGCCTTAGCAGTTAGGGAAGGTAAACAAGGCAGAGAACCACGGGTAGGGTTGTCTGTATAGGAGATGGGTGCTAATTTCGGATTAGATCTCGGCTGCAGTTGATGATGCGCAGCTTTACCCCTGTCAACGGTTGGCCCTTGTGCCGGGAATGCCGCCTCGCATCTTGGAAAATCGCTGATCATCCCGTTATTCGCATGGGCCATCTTATGCCTATCACAAAACACAGAGCGGACCTATGACCGCAGGAGCAAGCCGGTTTCCAACGTCCAGACGGAAAGATCGTCAGGAGGCGTGGCAAGCGGAAGCCTCGCATCCATCTGGTATGCAACGCCGACCCATGACATCACATGACGGCCAGCACCCTCCAACCATCGCGTCCAACGTCATAATTGCAGTTCCAAGCAGGAAGACACGGCTCAGTCCGAGAACGCAAATGGTAAATCATCTCCTTTTCCCCCCTCCCCTGTCCAGCTGGCGATCTGCGCTGCCCCAGACATATTCTGCCACCCATTCTCCCGTGAGTCTCACGATACGGAAAAGCGGCCTAGCCGCATCCCTCCGACGAATGCCTTCGCGTATCTCGCTCACCGGTGGGGCTTATCCAGGCTGTGAATCTTAAATCGTACCTTTATCGACCGTTTTTTGCTCCACCAAACCGACTAGACGACTTAACTCATCGTGCTAAGAGGCGTGGCTACATGGGTTCACCACCATCATCTCCGCCGCCACATTCAGCCACGCTGGAGCGGTTAGTCCGGTAGCGTTCTATCGTCCCGCCACCAGGGAAGGCCAAGGGGAACGCGCGTAGTAGCAAGGATGGAGAGTGATACCCGGATGACGGATGATGGGACAGGAAAGCGATGAGCCGGGACACGCCTTCCAAGACGAAGAGTATAAGAAGGCGCTCACGCAATTTCAATCGAGCATTAAATTCAGCACCACAATCTGTTCAAACAAACAATCATCACAAGCCACTCTTTCACCACAGTCATAATATCCAACCAAATCTTCACCATGAAGTTCATCGCTGCCATCACCACCATCGCCGCCGTTGCTCTCGCAGCACCCACGCAGCTCGAGGAGCGCCAGAGCACCCTCTGCTCCTCGGGCACGGCGCTTTGCTGCCAGCTCGACGTCCTTGGTGTCGTCGACGCTACGTGCGAGCAGCGTACGTCCCATTACTCCCTGTCACTACCCAATCCCTCCATGTTCCAAACGCTAGTCCATGAACCTTCAATCTCGAGACCATCCTACTGACTCAAGCATACACTCACCAGCCTCCGCAACTCTCACCACGGCCGATGAGTTCCAGGACTACTGCGCTGAGAGCGGCAGAACCGCCGAGTGCTGCACTCTGTCTCTGGTATGTGCAGCTTCTCTTTGCCAGCGTGCCGCGGAATGTTTACTGACGTGCATTTACACAGTCGATTGCTGGTCTGGTCTGCTCTGCCCCTGTCACCACCAAATAGGAGGCGGAACAGCGGTCTCTCCACAACGAGAAAGTGTGTTTTGGGGCATGGACACCGGGCAACACCACCAACTGCGTAATTTTTGGTTTCACTATGCGTACGGAGCTACCCGAGAAGGATTGAAGAACCGTGCATGAGACAGCTCATTTGCTAGGTCTCACCATTATAATGTATTGGTAATGCCAAAGTCACTAGATGAGCGGCTGTTTCTTGCGTCTTATTGGGTTGGTGAATTAGTGAATCATGACCCGCCACCAATGACTTGCATTGGCCGTGGGATGCATACTTTCATCACATGCAGTAGTGAAGTTTTTTTTGTCCCGCTGCGGTGCGGGGTATGAGGCGAATCCGCTGCTCCCAGTGTGTGTCAGCGTATGAAAACTGCCAGGGACCAGCCTGCGCACAACCTTGACGAAGTGTCCGCGTGGCCCCATCGTTCTGATTGCACGACATGCTGCAGTCATTATTAGATATGAAGATTTGTCTTCAGGTGTGTGGTGCCACGCTCCATATCAACAAGTCATATCAGCCTCTCGTTCCGACGGCAGAAAGTTCACTCATCTTGTACAGTGTGGTATCATGTCTTCCCTCGTACATTTGCTCCTTTCTCATTGAGTGTGAAAATCTTCTGAAGCGCTGCATTTGCGGCTCATTGACCTTCGTAAACTCTCTGTAAGAAAAATACATAAATGCCACACATACAAACCGCCAAGTATACCGTAGATCGACCCAAAAAAAAAAAAAAAAGTCTCACGACCAGCCCCCCTTTCGGATCACCACACCCTCCCAGTCTTTCCAAGCCGTGAAAGGACCCCCGTCATCATCACCACCACCACCACCACCACAGCGACAGCGAAGCAGCCACGCTCGCCGCCTTCAAACCCAACCCAATCGACACCGGCACGAACCGAGTCGAGCCGAGCCAGCAAAAAAAAACTCTACCAAAGACAAAAACAGAACAAATGACCACGAACCATGGTTGATAAAGTGTCTGATGATAATCATCTTACTTTGCCCTTTTCCTTTTTATAGTATTAATAATCTGTCGCAAGTGAGTGCCGCAGAAAACAATCCGGATGTATGCAGGATCTCTTGATCTGCCTGCATGCAATCCCGGTCTTCGGGCTGAATCTTGCTTTGCTAATTGTCTGGCGGGGGATCAGACACACTAATGATGATTCACAGATCATGCAGGTTGATCCAGCAGCCACTGGGTCTTGTGATCGGCTGCAGGGAAAAGGCTGGATCCAGCGCGGAAGATATTGTGAAAGCAGCGCTTTAGAGTTTGGCCTTCAGTTGTTGCTTAAATGCTTGACGGGTGGCGGCGGCGGCGGCGGCGGCGGCGGTGGTGAACGTGACGTTGCCATGGACTATCTGGTTGTCGATGGGCGCGCTGATGCGGCGGCCGTTGAGGTGGATGAAGGGGTGGCGTGGGTTAATGGCGGTCCCGAGGTTTGGAGGACTCGTGATGATGGTGGGACGGGGGGTGTCGTCTCGGCGTCGGGCCCATTCTGTTGTACGTGCCATGTCTGTTTTTGGGCGCTGAGGAAGATGACGCACGATCAAGTAGGCTCGATGGGGGAGAGTGGAGAGATGACGAATTTTTGAGTCCGCAGTGCTGTTGGTGGGCGCTTTATAGTGATGCTGGAGAGATTATCCCGATCCCTTAAACGATTGCTTCCTGTGTCGAGACGCTCTGTTGCCTGAAAGATGGCGTTGTGGAGATACCGTTGGGGCTAGAGAGACGAAACCGTTTAGGCAACATTTGCTAGTGCTGCCTCTTCCGGTTAGTGTGGCTGATGGTGGTGCCCGCTAACGATCCACTCCTTCAACCTCATCTCCTCGCCTCCATAGACCGAATACTCGCAACATCTGATGTGGATCGTCGAGATCTCAGAGCACTTTGCTGCAAACATGTCGTGGCAAGATATCGATTTATACACTCCAATATTTCATATCAACAGAGCAGTAATAACGATACAAAAGAAGTAAGTGTCCTCCGGACGCTGCGGCATCTTAAGACCCAGCAGGAAGCAGCCAACACGTATCCGCTCCAAACACTTCCCCAGAGCCTGACAATGATTACAGTCTAATTTTCGTGCCTCTCCTCAAAACTTGCACACTGTTCCCCTTCCAGCGCCGACGGAAGCGCCGACGATTCTCCCCACATAACCTCCTCTTCTTTTTCCGCTCCACTCGCGCGTTTCCCGCATCACTCCTATTTCCTCTCCCTATACACATCCCCGGTCAACCGTATCTCGAACTCGCTATCCCTCCCCCTCCCCTGCTTCTCCAGCCTCCTCACCAACGGCAGCACCGTCTCGCCAAACGCCCTGATCTCCTCCTCGTAATGCAAAAACGCCGTCAGCAAGATATCCACGCCGATGCTCTTCAGCAGCAGGATGCGATCCGCGACCTGCTCCTTGGTGCCGATCAGCTTCGTCTTGAAGCCGTCGTTGTACTGCACGAGGTCCTCGAACGCCGAGTCGGCCCACATGCCGCGGCCCTCCCTGGAGCTGGCGCCCGCGTTGGCGACCTGCTGGCGGAAGCCCTCGACGGCGGCCGGGTCGGCCTTGCCCTGGATGTCGCGCAGGACGGCGACGGCCTCGGCCTCGGAGTCGCGGACGATGACGAAGCCGTTGACGGCGAAGCGGACGCGGGCCTCGCGGCCGTGGCGGCGCGCGCGCTCGCGCACGTCGGCGATCTGGGCGAGGAAGCCCTCGAGCGTGTTGCCGTTCATGAAGTAGACGTCGCTGACGGCGCCGGCGTTCTCGCGCGCGTCGGCGCTGTTGCCGCCCTGGAAGATCTCCGGGTGCGGGCGGCCCGGCAGCGCGACCGGCTTGGGCTTGAGCGGGTAGTCGTGGAAGCGGTAGAAGTCGCCCTTGTAGGTGAAGCTGTCGTGGGTCCAGATGCCGCGCAGGCACTCGATGAACTCGCGCGAGCGGCGGTAGCGCTCGGCGTGGTCGAGCCACCACTGGCCGATGGCGGTGAACTCGGCCTTGAACCAGCCCGACACGATGTTCACGGCGACGCGGCCGTCGGTGTAGTTGTCGAGCGAGGCGAGCTGCTTGGCCGCCACCGCGGGGTTCCACGGGCCGGGGAGGAGGGCGACGATGAGCTTCAGGCGCTCGGTGCTGTGCAGGAGCGCTTGCGAGAAGGTGACGGGCTCGTGCTGGTTCTCGGCGCCGTAGCCCGCCATGAAGCGGATCTGGCTGAGTGCGTACTCGAACCCCACCCGCTCCGCCGTCTGCGCGTACCGCCGGTTCGACTTGAGGTCCCAGTTGGTGCGCTGCGGGATCTTGGAGATGACGAGGCCCTGCCGGAACTGTTGAGCAACATGACGGGATGAGGAAAAGCACTAGAGGGGCAGACTTACCCCCGATACGTTGGGCACCCAGTAGGCGAACTGGATGCGGTTAGGGTCGGAATTGAGCTGGTCGGCGTAGGCAAGATCGTTTGACGGGAGGTCTGCGGGCGCGGTGGCAATGGCAGCGGGGATGCTCGGGCTGGGCGAGGCAGACTCGGTGATGGGCACGACGATGCGCTTGCCGCTGACGGCGCCGCTCCTCATCTTGTCGAGGGCGGCATTGATGCCGGCAAGGCCTCCGTCAGCCACCTCGATGTCTGGAAACTTCAGCGTTTTGGCGACCAGGAGCTCCTCGACCCAGGTCATGATGGCCTCGCCCACGGCGGGTGCGGCGTGGAAGATCTTGATGGGCACCGTGTGCTGCTGCACGTCGATGACCTTGGTCTTGGGGAGGCCGGTGAAGCCGAGCAGGTGGGCGCGCTTCTCGGCGGCCGAGGTATGCAGAACCTCCTGCAGGTGGGTGGCCGACTCGGTGCCGGCGACGTCGATGGCGAAGCGCAGCTGGTTGGCGGTGATGCTGCGGATCACGTCGAGGGCGCGCTGGTGGTCGAATCTGTCCACCAGCATGTCGGCCCCGAAGTCGATGAGGCGTTTTCCGTTCTTGGCCACATCGGCGACGGCGATGACGCGGAGGCCTGCGAGCTTGGCGAGCTGGAGGGCAAATATGCCAGTGGTCGAGGAGCCTGGACACGGTCAGCACATGGAAAGCGAAAGCACGCGGTGAAGCCAGTGGAACCCACCTCCCCAGATGACAATCCAGTCGCCGCGGGTGGGCCGCTCATCGTAAGGGATGCCCTCAAAAACCTCGGCGTGCACGTCGTCGGGAAAGTGGCTGCGATGGACGGAGCGCACGAGTTGGTACAGGTCGGGGCCGAGCGGGGCGTCCCGGGCCAGAGAGCTGAAGTCGAGGCCCAGAGAGGTGCCGAGGCCAATGGCGGCAGCGACGAAGGCGACGCCAATTGCAGCGCCCGTGTGCACCGGCACACCGTGGGGGATGCGGGCAACGTTGTAGTCGGTGGTCACAACGTACTCCTGGTAGGCAGCCTTGCGGACGTCGCGGTAGTCTGTCGAGGGCCCGAAGACGACGTCGCCGCTCTGCACCCGGCTCGGCTTGCGCGGGGCGCGGACCACCAGGCCGGCAAAGTCTCTGCCGTTGACCCACGGGTATGACGGCTGTCCAAAGTTGTAGTCCGGGCCCTTCCAGTCGACGGGGTTCAGGCCAATGGCGAGCACTTGGATGAGGATCTCGTCGTCGCTCTTGAGCGACGGGATGTCCTTGGCCTTCTCGAGCGAGTATTTCTGGCGCGGCCCGTGGAGCAGCAGAACGTCCTGCTGGGGGCTGCCCAGCTTGAGGAAGGCGTCGTCGGACGTGTATTGGGTGGTGCCATTGACGCCATTGACGCCGTTGGTGCCATTGGTGCCGGTGGACGGGCTCTCCCAGTGCGGACGGACATGGGCGTGTGTGTGCGAGTCGTGCGAGGCACTCGGCGGGGCTGCGCGCAACGAGGCGAAGGGGGCGGAAGAGACGGGCGGGCGGTAGGGGAGGGTGTGGGTGTGGCCATGGCCATTGACCGGCTCAGGCTCCCTCTGGCGGCCACAAGAGGGGTCGTGGCGAAGAGACAGGAACGGGCCGCTGGCAAGTGAAGTGGGCATTCTGACGGCGGGGAGGTGGGGATCAGACAGGCAGCGAGGGGAGCGAGGGCTTTGTGCAGCTTAAGAGCGGATTGCACAAGCAACACGACGCATGGCGTAAATGATGCGGATCAGCAGTAGCTGAAGGAGCAGCGGCAGAGAAACGCCAATCGGATGGCGTGCTCCCGGCCATCGTGTTGCAGATGCTCGGCCATTATTGTCTTATAGCTAGACAAAGTCATCAGCAGCTAGTAGACGAACAGTACGTAGTAGCAAGATGGAGGCTTGTTCCCGCCTGTGACGGTGCTGGATTCGACGGGTGCGATGGGTGGAAATGCTTGGCAGCGATGAGCTGGACAGACGACTGGCTGGCGAGTGTGTCATCGAGCATGGGTGGGGAAAGCTACAGGTGGACAGCTCATCGTCGGCGTGGATGTCGTGATGGAGATCGTTGCGGGGTTCGTTCGCCAGAGACCCGACGATGACTCAGCCGGCGCCAGCCCGGTCCTCCCTCAACCAACTCCATCTCTCCATCTCTCCATCTCTCTGCTGTTTGAGCCGCTGCCGCACCACGTTTCGCCCTCAGCTTCTCGCCGCCACCCTGCAGTCTTTGCTCTGGTCCAGCCCGGCCCGCCCCACGCTCCCACGTGCAGAGGATGAAATGAAACCTGGCTGTTGGGGTTTTCCTGCTGGCTCTCGCTGCTGAAGCTGTTACGTCAATGCAACGCGCACATATACATATCGTCAGGCCCAGCATTGTTGTCCCTCCTGTGCCTGAGCCAGCCAACTTATATTTTGTGTTTTGTCTTTTTTTTTTTTTCGCCGGTCGCACGCCGACGTTTAAACACTTACGCCTCTTGCGCTTCTGCTGACGACGACTCGGATCGACGCAGGGTTCCATGAAACATGTTGCTGACTTCTTTGCTTCCGTGCCTTTTGCTACAGGCCTCGCCCGGCTCCGACTGGCTGTGTCAGATTGGACACGCACTGCCATGCCCTGAGTCCCCTAATATGCAGTCTCTCCAAGTCGACGAGAAACTCATGTCTGTCAACGTCGCCCTGATCCACATCAAATTTCTACTCTTGCGGCGCCTCAGTTATTTATTCAGGGAGAGAAAAGGAAACCAGTGTTCCAGGACACCTCCACCCTCGCCGTCAGAGATCTCCCGCGTGGAAACTCCCCTTCGGCTGATGTTCCGGTCGGGAACGTGTGGATCAAACTCCCCGCTTCCAGGCTGCTGATTACCCACTGTTGCCTTGACTGGCCAATCACGCCCCACGTCACGCGCCTATCTGCTTATTACTCCAAGCCTCGTCCCCGAATCGCCATTCCTTAGCCGGCATCGCATAGCGGGAGCCGAGTCCGCGTCAGCAGAATGTCCACCTTTGGCAGAACACCCTTTTCCATGTCTCAGATCTGCAGCCTCCGGAAACTATCCCCTGAATCTCGGGCGCCAGACAATAATCTAGAAGCTCTCTCGTGATGAGCATCCTTTGGAACCTTCTTCCGCCGCCTCAAGCTTAATTCTAAGCACTGGATCCGTCTCGTGACCCATCACTCCTAGCTTCCCTCCGAGCTCCGGCCCTCTTGACGTTTGCATTCAACATGTATGAAAACGGACCCGCCGAGACCTTCGCACGGGAAGACTAAGCTAGAGCCGATATCCCTAGTTGCATCTTGCAGGAATACTACACTAGCTAGGAATCTGACTCGCTCGCTACATCGCACTGAAGCTCTTCCTTGCAGCAGTGTGATATGCCTACCTGCAAGTCATACCGCTTCCCCCATGTATGCTGCTCTACATACAATGTAGAATCTCGCTTGGGTGATTGCTGCGGGCACAAAGATCTTCGCGTGCGGCACATCCTCCACGCACCGCAATACCGCATCCGATCCCATCTGCCCACTTTTCTTCCCGCCGCCTGGCCCTACCACTGCGAGTGAAACAAACGGTCCTGCTTCCCGTCACCCGGGAGGAGCTCGAGCTCCCGGCCGTACGGTTGTCCCTCAGATTCCTGTTCGGACCTCTCCCTGCTTCCGTACCTCGCGCTCCAACTGCTAATTCGCCAACAAATTGCCAGTGTTGCCATTGGCCCTTCGTCTCGCCAACCCCTCCATACCTGGTGCCGAGGTGGCGGCTTTTAATATAGGGGTTGGCGAGCTTTCCTCGTACGGAGCCGATGCCGCCTTGCATACGTCTTTTGCTCCATTATTATTGGCGGGCAGCCGGCGCCCTCGACCTAGTTTTCTCACTTCTCCGCATCCGACCTGTCTATTTTTTCCATCCACGAGGCGGGACCCTCGCAAACATAGCCGGCACACTAGATTTCCTTTTCCTTGCCGCTCTTTTCGATGATCACCTCAGTCAACACCCATTCCTTCAACATCGTGATCCGCCCGGTCTGGTAGCGCGCCATGGGCATCCAAACGCACGTGGAGGACCTCGAACCGGTCAGCTGGGCCTTGATGGCCCTCGCCATTCTCTTGGTCATCGTCAGGTTGACGATCCGCTACACTGCCACACGCGAACTTCGTACTGAGGATATCATGGTCGGCGCTGCTATGGTCAGTATCTATATTCATCCGGAATGAAGCCCTTCATTGCTCATGCTCTTTTCGCAGTTGATGGACATTGGAGCGACTGTAGCCTTGGCACTGGCCGTACAACTCGGTGGACTTGGGAAGCACCGAGCCACCTTGACACAGCAGCAAAACGACGCTAGAACAAAGGTACTTACATCCAGATACGGGAAGGGGGAGGATGGAAATGACGAACACACCTAGGCCAATTACGCCCAACACCTCCTCTACATCGCTGTCATTGCAACCGCCAAGATCTCCATGACCATCTTCTTCCGGCGGCTCGCTGTCAAGAAAGTGAGTCTCCCAATCCTACCTCGCCCGCTTTAAATAACCAACTCTCCCCCAAAGATCCACCACCGCATAACCTGGGCCCTCGCCGTCGTCATCGCCCTCTGGGCCATCAGCGCCGAGCTCGTCGTAGCCTTCCAATGCCCCATGCCGCATCCCTGGGACCCCACAGCGTATCCCGCGGGCTCCTGCCTGCCCGAGAAGATCTGGCTCTACGTGGTCGTCGTCGATTGCCTGACCGAAGCGCTGATCATGGCGCTGCCCTTTTGGATAATCTGGAACGTGCGGATCCCCCGGCGCAAGAAGTGGTTGATACAGACGCTGTTCGCGTTCCGCATCGTGTACGTCCGACCTGCACAATCAAAAACTCCAAAAAAGAGAAAGAGAGAGAGAGAGAGAGAAAATCAAGAACTAACCGTAACCCCACCCGGGCAACCCCCCACAACAGCGTCATCGCCGCCAGTATCACCCGCTACATCGCCTCCCAAGCGCGATCTACATCCCCTTCCTCCTCCACCACCACCTCCTCCACCACCACCACCGCAAGAGCAGCGGCGCCGCCGCCGGCAGCACAGCCCGCCGCCCCCGCCGCCGCCCCCTTCGACACCTCCTACGACCAGACCGGCTACTGGCTGTGGACCGACCTGCACAGCACCATCGCCATCATCGCCGCCTGCATCCCCGCCCTCAAGCCCTTCCTCGAGTGGTCCGCCGGGCGCATCGCGGGCACCATGGCGGCTTCGTCGTCGGCGTCGGCGTCGGCAGCGGCGGCGTCGTCGTCGTTGTCCGGTGGCGGCCGGGCCGGAGGCGGCGGTTCCGGCTACTCCGCTTCGAGGTACGGCGGGTTTCGACGGTCCAAGTCGAAGACGAGGGGGTATGGGTGCGGTGGGGATGCGGGGCGCGATGGTTATGAGGGTGATGATGATGGGGGGAAGGTGTATCGGATGAGAGCGTTCTCGGTGGGAGGGGGAGGAGGGGGAAGAGGAGGGAAAGTTGGGAGGAAGGAGACGAAGGGGTACCATGATGGTGTTGACAGCATGGACAGGGTCGTGGTGGTGCAGGGTGGTGGTGATGATTATCATATGAGGAGGGAATGCAGCTGTGAGAGCGTGGCGGAGACGGAGGCGAGCGAGGCGGGCATCATTGCCGGTGCCGAACGCAAGGCGAAGTGGGAAGCGACGAGCTCCGATGGTTGCCCTCACATGTCGCCGACGAGGACGGCGGCAGATTATGACGTGGGTGGGGAAAGGGGGTTGCATGCTTTGTAGCTGTTGGCATAGCTTGCTCGGGGGAGGGAAAGAAGTACGTAGATTATCTTTTCCTTTTCTTTTCTTTCCTCGTATGTTATGTGATGAATGAAATGTTGAGATCACTTTATTATCTTCTCTAAATACGCTATGCTGGTGTTATACCGTGCTCAATAAGCATATATAGTAAGCGACAAGTATCAAAGCAACATGCACTCGTATGCTTTGATTTTTTTTTATAAAAAAAAATTCAAAATCGAATCGAGCAGAGAAAGGCTACAAGTAATTCCAAACCACTTAATAGATTTGAGCCACCCTTTTCACAACATCTCCCACAATCTTATAGCATCCTGCTCAGCATGTGCAGATTAGCCACCGCTCATCCATCAAGCGACATGCATACTCCGTCTCCCACATGCCACTCCCCCACCACCCAGCAAGCAAACACTCGCAACATTCACAGCACTCACAGCACTCAAACACACTTTCTCTCAATCAAGAAATCATTAAAACACAATCATACACACTACATCACAACCGACCAAAACCACCTACGCCCCAACCCCCTTATCCATATCCCCACTCCCACCATACCCCTGCGCCCTCCTCCGCCGCGCCTCGTCCGCGGCATCCCCATCCCCGCCCTCGACCAGGGCCTCGGTGCCGCCGAAGCCGCCCTCGTGCACAGCGCGCCCCGCGCCCGCCGCCGCCGGCTCCGTGTATCCCGACACGCCGCCTTCTTCGGACATGGCCTGGCCGAAGCGGATCTTCTCGGCGGGGGAGACGTGCGTGTTGCTGCCACCGCCTGTGCCGGCGTCGTCGGCTGTCTTGTTGGTGGGTGGTGCGGCGTCTGTGGTTTGTGGTGGTGGTTCAGTTAGTGTCTCTGATGTTGATGCTGATGCTGCTGCTGCTGCTTGTGAGGAGGGGATGGGTGGGGAGGGGAAGGTTGCAATTGGGTTGGGCTGGCTGGCTGGCTGGTTGGTTGGTTGGTCACGTACGGCCTAGTTGTCCGGGTTCTTTGGCGGTAGGGTTGGTGACTGTCTTGATGGACTCGTACCTATCAATTTGGAATGAATGTGTCAGCGAACAGCTCGGGCAGTGGAGCAGGTGATGTGATGGGTCATGTGGTGAGGAACGGGCAAGCAACCGCTGTGAATGGAGGGAAAGCATACTGCGTGTTGCGTCCACCGGGCTCAGTGTCCATGAGGTTGGAAGACATTATTGATGTTCAGGAGATTTGGAAATTGGGATATTCTGCGAAAAAGGCTTGGAGTGGAATCGAATGTGGCGAGGGAGGCAGCAGTCGGACTTTAAGCAGTGCGGGATGTGGAGGGTAGAAGTGTTGAGAGCAGCGGCAGCTCCCCTCCATAGCTATGACGTAGGCTGCCGGGCCCACCTCGATCCTCCGCATCATGCATTCCCAAATCAGCAAGAGTGCATGCCATTCACGTCGGTCGCAGCCAGGACAAGCAACAGTTTCTAGGACATCGACCTGCATTTCGCTATTCCACACAATGCGTGGTCTCGTGAAATTTTGCGGTGTCATCCGCCCCCTTCGACCTATGCGACCCCGGCAATTTCTGTCACTCGATCGAACACGCTACCGTCCGACCCTACCCATTCCATTTTGATATTTTGTCATGCGAAAGAAAATAACACAACCCGACTAAAACATCCCAAGCCTTTCAACCCGAGACGCCCACCGAGAAAGGACCTTTTTTCCGACCAGGGCGCGCGCAAAACCAGAATGCCCGCCGCCATTTCATCAGCGGCCGAGCAATTCGCCGTGCTCGTGGTCGTCTCAAAAGCGTCGTCCGAGTAGGAACCGCAACCGCGTCCCGCTTACTGGGGAGCGTTGCCAGCGGCGGGGGCACGGCCACGGCCGAAACCACCACGGAACTGGGGCTGGAACTCGCCGGGGGCACCGCCCTCCTTCTCGCCGGCGTCACGGCGGCGGTAGGTGTCACGGTCGCCACGGGGGGCACCGCGGCCACCACCACGGCGCTCGCCGTCGAGCATGCCGCGCGGGGGAGCGTGCGAGCGCTGCTGCTTGATGTGGGTCTGGGGAACGATCTCGGCCGGGAGGTGGAGCCACTCGCGGAGGTAGTCAAGACCCTCGGGGCTGCATGTATGTTAGCAAAGAGTTCGGCTTGATGTGAGAGATTGTGGCGACTAACGTGAGGGTGTAGTAGTAGTACTGCCACGAGAACTGGGTCTTCAGGTAGCCGCGCGAGGTGAGGGACTGGCAAGCCTTGATGACCTATTTGCAAATGATTAGCTTAAGTCCCTGTAATTACAGCTCTTGTCTCCATCGCTTCGCATCGTGCCCGTCGTGCAGATTGGGATCGTGGATTCAGGAGAGAAATTGTTGTGTAGGCGAATGCCCGATTCGCTTTCGAGATTCAGACGGGGGGTGCGAGCTTCTGAGACTGATGATATGGGCAATACGCACATAGAGGTTCTTGGTGTCAATGTCCTGGTGCTTGGGAAGGTTGAAGTCCCTGTGGCGAGCAGGTTAGTCTCCGAATAGCGGTGATAGCCCCAAAATATCGCGAACTCGAATCCCACTACATCCATTGCTTCCTATCTCCACGGGGATAATACTGACTTCTTGGCGACGAGAACACCCTCACGGAAGATGTACTCGTGGATCTTCTTGCGGTCGGCCTTGGGGATGAGCCTATTGGAATTTTCGATCAGCCCCAGTTCGTCCAACAGCGGTGCGTGGTAGCGCAGCGCGCATCCGTCCCCTTCTCGCAGCACAGCATCGCAGGTATGGGAATCGCGTACATGATGGGCGACTGTGGTGATTAGTCCGGAGGGTGTGTTTTGGCGGGTGGGCTGGCTCGTCGTCGTCGGTCGGAGTTCCTTGGTCGTTTTCCAACAGCCGATTATGGATGTGCGCGGAGCTCTCGGTTAACCCGTCCCCGACCAGCGCCAAGACTTCCATTGACCTGGCCCCCGCCGGCCGGCCGCAAGGGCAACGCCAAACGCCGCCGCCGGTTTCGAAGTCGTCCAACATCACATCCACACTCACAACGGTCGGCTAGTCCCCATAGCTGGGCACAACCTCCAAGCCGCGCTGCACACGCGTACCACCTGTACACGGCCTTCCTTCATTACCTCGATCGATAAACCTTTGCGCCACCTCCACACTCGCATCCACCATGGCGCCATCAACCATCAACGTTCTCCTCACTTCCTTCCCGGGCCTGGGTCTGCCGAAAACCCTCTCGCTCCCTCTCCCGGCCGCATCCACCATCGCCGACTTCCACGCGGCGCTGTCCCAGCGCATCCCGGCCCTCGACAACCGGCTGATCCTGACGACCAACTCCAACAAACTTCTGCCATCCGACTCGGCCACCCCGCTGTCGTCGCTGCTTTCCTCTCCCTCCGCCGCCGAGCAAGATGCCCCGGCCTTCCTCCCCTTGCGCCTGACCACGCCCCTCTGTGGCGGCAAGGGCGGCTTCGGCTCGCAGCTGCGCGCGGCGGGCGGGCGCATGCGCAAGAAGCGCGGCGCGGGCGAGAACAACGGCTCGTCGCGCAACCTGGACGGGCGGCGGCTGCGCACCGTCACCGAGGCCAAGGCGCTGGCCGAGTACCTGGCTATCAAGCCCGAGATGGACCAGAAGCAGAAGGAGGAGCGCCGCGAGCGCTGGCAGGAGATCGTCGAGATGGCCGAGCGCAAGGAGGAGGAGATCCTGAAGGGCGGCAAGGGGAGGCTGAATGGCGAGTGGGTCGAGGCGAAGGAGGAGGCCGAGGAGCGGACCCGCTTGGCCGTGCTGGAGGCGATGAAGAAGGGGGACATCAAGGATGTCTTGGGCAAGGAGAGCGACAGCTCGGCGAGCCCGTCTGAGGGAAGTGAAGGGAGCGAGAGTGAGGATGAGATCAAAGCCAGCGCGTCGAAGGCTGGTGCATCGAAACCTGCTACTCCAGCGAGCAGGACGTTCTTCGGCTGGGATGAGGATGAGGATGAGGATATGAGCGATGACGATGAGGACGAGGAGCCGGAGGAGGCTGAAGTCGAGGGCAAGGGCAAGGCAAAGGCCTGAAGGATTTGACAGCACAAGATTGGTGTTTTTGGCGCATAACTGAGGGCAGGGATATCGGCGTTCTGGCACACGAAACTCGATTATACCCGGATTAAAAATAATTCATCACTACTCGTAACAATTTCCTGGCTCCGCGAAGGTTCACCGTGTCTCTCAAGCCCTCCTCTCCTCCTGCGCCCACGTCACCCTCCTGTCCGCCCTCATGCGATCGAACGCCAACACGCTGCCCAAAAGCACCTGCGCTCCGGCCGCACAATCCTCAGGCGCGCAGTACTCGCTCGGATTGTGGCTCACGCCGTCCCTGCACGGCACGAAGATCATGGCCGTGGGGCACCTGCGCGACGCGTACACGCTGTCATGCCCCGCGCCGCTCGTCAGATCCCTGGTCAAGCCGCGGGTGCCGTCGTACCAGGCGCTCGCCCTGCGCACGCACGCCACGGCGTCGTCGTGGAAGACGGCGGCCGGGCTGACGCTGTCCGTCGTCCACTCGAGCTCGCACGGCACGCCCTTGGTGCAGCCCGCCGACACGTCGGTCCCCGCGCCGCCGAGCAGCGACGAGCTGCCCGGCGCGGCGTCGCCCCGCGCGATGGCGGCGAAGTCGGTGCGCAGCGCGTCCTCGAGCGCGTCCAGCACCGCGTCGGACGGGGAGCGGATGTCGAGGCTGAAGCGCACGTGGCCCGGGACCGTGTTCGTGCTGCCCGGCGTGAGCGTCAGGATGCCGGTGCTGGCGAGGGCGGAGGGGTGGGCGGTTGCGAGGCGGTGCGAGTGCAGGATCAGCTTAGAGGCGGTAAGGAGGGCGTCGGAGCGCGTGTGGAAGGGGGTGGTGCCGGTGTGGCAGTCTGGGTGTGGCAATGGTCAGTCTGGTGGGAGGCCCCGAGTGCTGGTGGATGTTTTATTTACCTCGTCCTTTCACGTCGATGGTGAACCAACGGTAGGCTTGCACGCCTTGCACGACGCCGATCTTCTTCTGTTCGGTCTCGAGAATTGGTCCCTGCTCGATGTGCAGCTCGAAATGGGCGCCCATGGGCATAGCACTGTGGCTGGCGGGAGTCGTTCCCAGGTAACCGATTCGCTCCAGCTCGGAGTTCATAGTAGCTGCACCACCGCCCACCTCGCGGAGGTTGTGGGCGCGGTCAAGAGGGATATCGCCGGACCAGACGCCTGATGCAACCATGGAAATGGGGAAACGGGCGCCCTCTTCGCTGTTTGTGATGTCAGGGTGGCGCTATGTTTTCGCAGGGAGGCGTGTTATCGGCACATACTTCGTCCAGTTTACTACTCCAACGGGGAACTCTGTCTCGACCCAGTTTTCACTAAGGACTTTGAGCATCTCAACGCCAGCAGTGACACCGAGAATTCCATCATAACGGCCACCGCTCGGCTGCGTGTCGAGGTGGGAACCGGCGAAAGTAGCGGGGCCTTGCCGTAGGCCAGGACGGACTGCGAAGATATTTCCCATGGCATCGACGGTGGTGTGGCATCCGAGCGCTTGAGTAGTCGCTACGAACCAGTCTCGGGCTTCCTTGTCGGCATCGGAAAGAGTAAGACGGGACATGCCTGTCTCGGTTGAAGCGCTACATCGGTTGTCAATACAATACAGAAATTTATGAGATTGAAAACTGATGTTGGTATCTTCCAAGGCGATAATTGTGACGTTGAGTGCAGCCATTAAAACAGCGAGGAAAGCAGAAATGAACCGAAACTCTAACTTACGTTCCCCACCGCTCTCCCGTTCCCCAAGAACACGTGTAATGGATGTCTTCCATGAGTCTGCTTTGGTTGACTTTCAGACTCGCGAGATCTGCTTCTGTCATCTCCATCGTGTGTAATCCCCTGCGTTCCGAGGCGCTGAAGCACCGGACGCTCTCAGCGCGTAATGTCGGTTTGAGCGACGCCATAGGACGCGCGCATTGCCGGAACGCTCTGCATCCTGCGGTCTGCCGCCGCACACCAGCTGCGATGATTCTTCCTGCTGTAATTGCCATCACTAAATGAGATGTCCGGTGCTAGGTTGAGTTTGCGGAGTTGGATTGAGGGGATGGTCCAGTCTTAAGAGCGCATGGCATGCAGGTGGAGTGAGATGTCGTCGAGACAAAGGTAGGGTGATCCGACCACTGTGCTTGGCTGTCGCGGAGATAAGACCAAGCAGGCGCCACCCATGGGGTTGGCGTCGTGGAACGTGGGGGTGAGAAGCCGTGCCGTCTTCCCCGATTCGGCCATCAGCTGACTGTGCGACCGCCGACGTCACCTCACGAGGTATTCATTGCTCTGAAAGAATTGCGTATGGGCAGAAAAACCGAAAAAAAAATAGATGGCGATAATTGTTAAAGTTTTATACCATGATGTAAAGCTTAAAATGACGACCCGGCCCTGTTCTCGTGGTTTGTCTACATCATATCATGCTTAATATTATTCTTTGCGCGAGCAAGTAGAGAATTAGCTTAAAAAGTATGAGATTCATTTGTTAATTGCTGCGCAAAGCGATTTTTATATCACGGTACGTGTAGGCATCTCTTAGCTTAACAAGAGAACTGCTTCAACCTTCCCTCGCCCTGCAACTAGCAGTTTCTTAACAAAAAGTCCTGTTTGGTCGGATGTTAGAGTTAAAAAAAAAATCACCTTGGGGATGTCAGAACAAGAATGTCACTAGGGGAGCTTCGTGAACGCAATTCTCGAATTTCGAAGCACAGCATATGTAAAAGTACTGGAGGATGCATTGATACGTAAGACAAACGTCTCCTAATCATTGCCATTAGTTGGTATTGATGTGTCATTCACATTAGGATTAAACCCGGCTGACTTGCGCAAAACGAAGTGTTTGCTGTATATCATAGAAGCAAGCGTTCCAATACAACGTTTGGCATCGAGAAACTAACTGAAAGCTTGCGAGGGCGATCGCATGATACAAGATGAAAAAAAAAAAATTCGTGATTGCGCAGCCTACAGTGATGAAAATGTCACTTGCCGGCGGAAGCACAAATAATCGAAGTGAAACAGTATGCCACGCATAGGCGATCGCGCCCACGAGGAAGTCTCTTTAGAACACTCACCCATATGATATATCGCCGCGCCGTAGCATGGGCATGGGAGAAATCTCACCTTCACAGGTGAACACGGTGTCACTTGCACTCAGTGTACGCAGTATTCCACCCCCTCCACCGGTAGAGCATCAAGCCATATATCCAACGCCACAGGATGGCATCTTGTCCAATGGTGTTGTTCACTTGCATGAAAACGTAAAGGGTGAGGAGAATAAGGAAATTGAAGGCAGTTTGCGCAGCATGCACAGCACGCGCCGCAGCCACGCCTTACCTTTCACCGCCCAGCGATCCACACGTAGCCCGTTTGCCGCTATCCCGGCAGACGACCCTCGCCGGAGCGCCGAACCTCACCCAGAAGAAAGCTTCTACGCCCACTACTACAGAGTCCTCTTCTTCACATCCCACCCCCCACCTTTCCTCCTCACCACCAACACCACCGCGATGGACGCACAGCGCACCACCGAGCCCACGCCCGCCTCGGGTGAGCATACCTGTAGCTACCCCTGTTCCACTCCACAGATCCGTCAGATCGACACTCGAAGCTAAATTGATCTTGGCATGGCCAGCCGAGCAACAGCAAAGCCGCCGCGGACCTCCTGTCCGCCGCCCAAGCAACCCGCCTGCGCCCCGCATCGCCCCACAGATTCCTCCAGGCGGCTCACACCCGTCACCTGCCCAGCTGCAGGCCAACAACTTTGACAGTAAGTCTCCCTCGTTTTTCACTTGCGGGCTTGCCCCAAGTATCATATGGCCAGAGAGTAAAGCGGCGCATGCTTATCCTAACTCAGACCCAAGGCAGCAAGCGTACGCTCGACAGCGAGAGGACGAAGGCGATCTGGCGCAAGGTTAAGGCGACCGCTAAGAAGTGGTGGAGCAGGAGCAAGCAACGCAAGATGACAGGCGCGGGTGAGGCGGAGCATGACGGCGGCATCTCATGAACGCTGGTAGTTGATCGGGTGAGGTGAGCTTCGGGGGATGCGCTTCACTTCACTTCGAAGCGGATGGGTTCACTCCATGGACTATCGAGAGCACAGAGGTCCAAAAGGGTAGAGGAGTCTTAGTTCACTGTCTTTTCGCCAAGGGGTCGGCCTAGTCCTACTCTTCGTATCATGTTTGCAATCGAAATGCTACCCTAGACTTACCGTCTTTGTTGCTGGACATTTGCGCGTGCACATTGGCGTAACGCTATGCCGAACCTATGGAATGAAGGCACCGGCTTCTGCCGAATGGGATGGCGGAGTACCTAAGGGTTTGATGTGAAGCAAAGTCGGCCGGCTTCAAGAGAAGGCTATAAATCCAGTCAAACAAAGGATTGCTTCGACCAAGGAAACACAAAAGGGCTCATCCGACTCACTTTTGGAAGGCCTCCAACGCATGTGAGTAAAATGAACGTATCAGATAGCTCTCGATATCGGGATACAAGTTGGGGATGTGAGCGGAGCATAGGACATTCGGTCTGCATGATACTTTAGCATAGCCGTAGCATACTGCAGGACCACAGATATCCCACGCTACGTAAATAGTCCAATGACGTTCACGTCTGTATCGCTGAAGGCTGACGTCGGTCCTGCCTCCGGATCTTGAAAGACCCGGGTGTGTGCAACCCCATTAGCGTCGGCATAGGCAACGAAAACCGCGCGATACAGAGACATGTTGCCGTTATTGACAGGCAGCTGCGTGCCGACGCACAAAAGCCTTACATGTGATCAACCTGCAGCTCGGACCGAAACATAGGTGGCGGACCGGTCAGATACGGCGCAAGGCTTAGCTCTGCAGCCGTTGAGGCCCCAGATATGCCGAGCAAACACGCAGCAGGCTCGACTGCAGTTTGGAGGTTCCCAGACGCGAGCCGGACATGTGCGAGCCCGGCGAGGCGGTGAGGGTGGGGGCTCCGCGAGCAAGCATGCAGCTTGAAGGGTGGAGATGGGGAAAGTCCACTTTTCGATGTAGATCCTGGAGAAGACGGCATGCCGTCATAGTCGGCAGTAGCTGACATGCATACGGCTAGCCAGCAGAGTCATTGGGGTGAGGACGGCTCGAATCTTGATTCAGCCAGCCAGGTTGGTGAGCTGTCGTCCGCTGCAAGGCTAGTCGGGCCGGAGGGGTGGTCCAGATGCGCCGAAGGTCGACGGGCGTGTTGGGGCATTGCGCAAGCAAAAACATGTCGCGCTCGTGAGCGGCATGTCTCTGTGAAAAGCGTATCTGGGGGTGGCCGTTGCGAGGAATCCAACGTGCTCCTTGCAGCACGGGGCTCGGGCGGCCACACAGAGAAAATCGATCGCGAGGGCTGTTTTTGATCGCGCATCTGGGATTTCCGAGGGGTGTCACGGATTGCTCAGCGGCGGGGCAGGAAGGCGAGATTTTGGCGACGATTCTTGATCTGAGCGGTGAAGTCGAGACTCCTTCGGACCCCGGGCAGGCGGCGATGGGCGGCCCATGACGTGGAGCGTCTCGCAGCTCCTGCTCTGGCTCGCGGCCACAAGGCCCGCAACGAACACCAAACCATGCCGTCCGCCCTCCATCGCATTCGCTCACGCCGACACCTCGCACCCCTTTAACTCCCCGCTGGCCCTCGCGCCTGGTTATCAAGCTGGCCCCGAAGCATTTTCGCCGCACGCCCATCGCCCACCGCCCTTCCCTCTCCCCTCTCCGCTTCTTCTTCCCGCACACGCGCCTGCGCGCCCGCCAGCGCCTCGATCACTTCCGCCACGAATTCCTGCCCTTGCTTCGCCACCGCGCCCAGTCGCGCATCTACCGCTACCTCGTCCGCCGACAGGAAAAACGCCTCTCCCGCGCCCAGACCGCGCCCGCCCGCCACCGCGGAAGCCGTATTCTCGCGCTTTTGCGCAGATCGCCCACCACCCTTCGCGACTCCCCCAAGGAAAATGTCCACAGCGACGGAGACGGGTCCGGCAAGATGAGCTCCCTTGGCGCCGGTCGATACTACTCCGGTGCCCCCTACCACGAATCTGACGCTGACGATGGTACTCTATCAGGCTTGCGCACGGAGCGTGAGCCCGGTGCTCGCCGCAAGAAGTTCGCCGGCTACCTGAAGGCTGCCAATGAACTGCGACAGGCGTACCAGCAGAGCTACACTCGAGGATGGGGCAGTGGCGGCGGAGACAGGTTGGACTGGGACCAAGGCGACGACACCCCTGGCGCCTTTCCGGATGCTGCCATAATCAGGAGCGGCGATGAAGAAATGGTTTTGTTCCCCAGCTACGCCCGGAAGCATGTCAAACGGAAGGTCAGTACAAAGCTTCCGGTTCGGGTAGTGAGTGTTGGTGTTGACTCCTGCAGCCACAACCCCCTCCAGCCATCCCCCAGGAGACCCCAAGACGAGACGCTAGAGATAGTGCCGGATCCGGAGAGACCGAGTCTTGGAGGAGGGAATTCGAGAAGCTCGAAGACGACGACAACGCCGTGGTCGACGTGGACGTACGAGGCTGGATTTACTATCCCCATCGAGGCCAGATGACCCGGAAACACAGGCTATTCGTGGGCCTCGCCCGACAATTGGTTGGCCTCCCGGCACCATCGGCGAAGAGCAGCAAGCCCCCCAGCCGCGAACCAAGCCCGCACAGGTCGATGGCCGAGAAGGCTCGTGAAAAGAGTGTCAAGCAAGAGGAAGAGCTAGTCGAGAAGGAGGCAATGTCTATTATGAGGAAAGGAGAGATGGAGATTGCGAACGCCGAGAAGGGAGGCTACAGCGAAGCTCCATCGAAAGGATCGGACACGGACAGCTTGGAGACGATGCGGTCAAGGGACGTGTCGCCAGCAAGAGGACGGACTGGCAGGCTGGCCGAGCTTTCTGCGGAGAACGAAAGCATTCCAAAAACCGGGGTACAGAGGAGAGAAACGTGGACCCAGCCTGCTCACATGAATTCTGCTGAGCTCGACATGGCGAACAAGCATCTGATGTCCCGCTTGCTACCGTTCCTGGCGAATCCCCTGGCGAACACTCCCATCTCCATTTTCTTCTACAACGAAGAGATATCGCGTCAACGCACCATCTACACCGATGCTGCCGGTCATTTCTCCGTCCGAGCTGCTCTGGAATTCGTTCCGACCCACATCAGAGTCATCGTCTCGGAAAACCTCTCCACCACTGCCGAAGTTCGTATTACTGAGCCCAAGGGTATCAGCCTGATCAGTGACATCGATGATACGATCAAACACTCCGCAATCAGTTCCGGCGCTCGCGAGATCTTTCGGAATGCATTCATCCGAGAACTGGGGGACTTGACGATCGAAGGAGTTCAGGAGTGGTATAACACCCTCTACGAAGAGGGGGTCAGGTTCCACTACGTGTCGAACTCCCCGTGGCAGCTTTACCCCGTTATCTCCCAGTATTTCAAATTGGCCGGTCTGCCGCCTGGCTCCTTCCATCTTAAGCAATACAGCGGCATGCTGCAGGGTATCTTCGAACCAGTAGCCGAGCGGAAGAAAGCCACACTGGACCGGCTGGCACGAGACTTCCCGCAGCGCAGTTTCATTCTGGTTGGCGACAGTGGTGAAGCAGACCTCGAGGTCTACACGGACTTCGTATTGGAGAACCCAGGACGCGTGGTGGCTGTCTTCATCAGAGATGTGACCACTCCCGTGAAGAAGGGCTTCTTTGACCCCTCGGCGGGCCCACTTGGGTCCGGTAAGTCGTCCAAGCGGAATTCGAAGGTACTGAGCGGTAGACGCTCTGCTCGATCATCCAAGGCTTCAGAAGACGACGATCCCGAACTGCGAGCTGCGATAGCCGCGTCGCTACGCGACTTCGAAGACGCCAATGCTCGATACCCTGGATTGACTCCGGGACACAGCCCAAGCAGTAGTGAGTTTGATCTCGCGGAGAAGCGCGCATCTCTACCCCCACGCAGACCCACCGAGCCAGCGGCCCCAGAGGGCCACAGGATGAACCCCCCTATGGGGAAATTGATTGATCTGTCTGATGACGAGGACGCCGCGTCGGTCACGTCGACTAGCTCCGCCCCGCCTCTTTCCCGGAATATCTCAGATCCCATATCGGAGACGTTGCTCGAGCCTATTGCGGAAGCTCCATTACAAAGAAGCAATGCTGTCAGGGGGCGCACATCGCCATCGGTTGGAGAGCGGAGGGCGCCTCCTGCGAAGCCAAGTAAACCAATGCGTCTCCGTAGTCCGTCGCAAGAAAACATATCCGCCGCGTTCCGCCAAGAGCCTCCTGCCAAGCCTGCGCCCCCGCCAATTAGGAGGCCATCGACAGAAGTTAGGACGAATTCAGCAAGAGGGCGCAGTCCGGCGGCGGGTTGGCGGCCTCATGCTCCGGACGCGCCCCCCGACGCAAAGACCAGTGCACCTCCACCACCTCCGCCAAGGCGCTCTGAAACGAGCCAGACCAACCAATCTACCTACGCGGGGGCCGCTCGCGACAAATTGACACAGGCCTACAACAGCTTGCCTGCAGCTTCGACCCTGTGGAACGGCACGTCTGCGCCAAGCGAGCCAAGAGCCCCCGGCACGTCATCAGCGTCGGAGAGCAAGAAAATTCCGCCGCCGCCGCCCCCCCGTCGCACCGGCACATCGTTGACGGAGGGTGCAAGGGACACCCCAGCAGGCCGCATGCCCTCCAGCATCCCGGCGAGGTCGCCTGGCGCAAGCAGCATCGCAAGTGATTATTTCGAAAGCCGGCGGCCGTACACGGCAAATGCTGCGAGCGGATCGTCTACGTCGTTGAACTCGAAGCCTTCGTTCGCGTCGGGCATGACAATCACGTCTGCGCCTAACGGCGGGGCAGCGAGCACAGGCAATAAGCGCGAGGACCTCTGGCGGAAACGATTGGCGAGGGCAGAGCAGACGCTCGGGGAGAGAGGAGTCGTGCTGCGGACTTGGCGCGTTGGCAGCGATGTGATGGACGAGGCATTGAAATTGGTTTCAACGACGATGGAGCGACAGACTAGGGAGCGCAGTGACAGCAAGGGGGACGAGCTACGGCTTATCAGTGAGCAGCGGATCAACTCGGGACCAAGACGATAAAGGAGTGGGTAATTTTAAGAACGAGAATCACGATTGGGCACTGTGGAACGAGGTGTGTCGATTGTCGGCAGGGTTGGGCGCTCGTCGAACCCAAGACAGGTGTACACTTGGCAGAAGGAAAGGTGGGTCTTACTGTTACAAGTGACGCCGCGTACATACAACAGACGTTGAAGACTCGGGTCTCTGACTGGCGACGAAAATGGAACGGGCGCAGGCCAAGAATCTGACAGTCTCGAGGCAGGGGGGTGATCGTCGGGTGACTCTTCACGGGTACGGGCCGACACTGGCGATCCAGGCTCTCGCCCCCTGCTGTAACAGGGTTGTGCTTCGGCGTCGTCGCAATAAGCTCCACCGCAGGCTGGCGCGCGCGGCGCCAAGTTGGCTGCGGCTCTGGTAAGATCACGGAACTCTTGGCGGTTGGGATGGGCAGCGATGGTGTGGCGGACGCGAGCACTGCCTCTTCAAATAGGCCGTGGAGTGCCCTCTAGCGCAGCCTCTTCCGCTCACCATCTGAAATTGCGTGTCGACCTCCCTCGCATTGCTAGTCGATTGCCTAGCTCTAGCTCGACGCTTTGCTATCCTACTGCAATCGGATAGCATTATAACCATCATCACTTTCCCACACAATCCAATTCCTCAGACTCCGTCTCGATTCCACTCTTTCTCTCGTCAGTATCACGCGTATGGGCCCCACCCACTGCGCCATATCATACCAGCATGTCGTCGCCTAGATTCGCGGAAGAGCCCTCTTACGGCTCGCGCCCGCCGGTTCCCGATACCGGTGCGAATTTCCATTTCAACCAGCAGAACCTTGAACCCCACAGCGCATACAACGCGGATACCGATGGCACCACCACGCCGGCCTACTACGGAGCGTCGACGAACGGCGCAAACACCCCTCCGGTTCCCGGCCAAGACTGGCCGGATAGGTCTCGGCACGAACTCACTTCCTCAAACACCAGCCAAGTTGCACTCCACCTCTCCCAGCACAAGCTCAGCATCGACGACGACAACGAGAAGCTCAAGATGGGTTCCGATGAAGAGGGCGGAGCGCACGGCAAGGTGTCCCTGAGGGAACGTCTCTCCCACGTCACATGGGCATGGTTCACCACGACCATGAGCACAGGAGGCCTCGCACTCGTGCTTGGGTCGGCGCCCAAGACATTCGACGGGCTCGAGGTCATCGGCAAGACCATCTTCATCTTCAACATCATCCTTTTCGTCTTCCTGTCCATGGCCATTGCAGCGCGTTTCGCCATGTGCCCGCAGGCATTCCGCAACTCGCTCCTCGACGGCCACGAGGGCTTATTCATGCCCTGCTTCTTCCTCACCATTTCCACCATGATCAACAACGTCCAAATATACCTGGTTCCCGGGGTGGAAGAGTTCCTCGAAAAGGTCATGAGAGACGTGTTCTGGGCATACATCGCAGTCACGCTCTCTCTGGCAGTCGGATTCTACTGGCTCATCTGGACGACGCCGGAGATCAACAACAAGCTTCACGCGGACAAGATGGGCCCGGGTTGGATGCTTCCCATCTTCCCCATCATGTTGTCTGGCACCATTTCGCAGGTGGTCGGCCCGGCGCAGCCAGCCAAGGACGCCATGCCGATCATCATAGCTGGCATCGCCTTCCAGGGACTGGGCTGGTTTGTGGCCTCGTGCTGCTCGACCATTTGGATTTACAGGCTGTTCCGCTCGGGACCGCTGCTGCCCAACGTGCGGCCGGCCATGTTCATGTTGGCTGGCCCGCCGTCCTTCACGGCGCTGGCGCTCATCGGCAACGCCAACGCACTCCCCGAAGACTACCACTACTTTGTGTCGCACCCGATGGCCAAGGAGATTCTCGTCATTGTCGGAACGTGGGCGGCCGTCTTCTTGTGGGCTCTGGCCTTCTGGTTCTTCCTCATCGCGGTGGTGGCGTGCCTGACGGCCATCCCGCGCATGTCCTTCGCGGTGCCGTGGTGGGCGTTCGTCTTCCCCAACGTCGGCTTCACGGTTGCGACCATCAAGATCGGCACGGAGCTCGAGAGCGACGCCATCGTCTGGCTCGGCACCGTCATGATTGCCTTCCTGGCTGTCATGTGGCTCTTCGTGGGCGCGGCGCAAATCAGAGCGATTCACCTGCAGCTGGTGCTCTACCCCGGGAAGGATGAGGATGCGCACCAGCCCCAAGTTGCCGGGAAGCACCCGCACTAAAGGAGCTGGAGCGGGGAAGGGAGAGGAGAGAGTAGCTAAGGGGTAGCGGATGTGGGGTGTGGAGCGTGGTTTGGTGTTGTGCTTTTCGCAGCGTTATTCCTATCTTGCCCATTGCGGCCTTTCCTTGACGACCTTCTTATTCTGGCCCTTCGACATTCTTCTTCTCGGCCTGTTTCACTTTCGCTTCTCCATACATCTATTGATGGCAAACAGTCCTATATTCTTTTTCCTCTTCGGATGCATTTACCCTCGATACCGGCATAGACACACACACAGCGCAGGCGCAGGCGTTCCAGGCGAAAAAAAGGGATACGGGAATATGATAGAGAGCATCAGCATTAGCATAGTACAGAAAGGGTTATCAGAGATCTTCAGTTCCATGCTTCCCGGCTTGCTCGTTCACGTTAGGTGGCTTCCGATTGCGGCAGCGCCACAAATTTGCGGACGCATCAGTAATACGGCAGGCGGCAGCTAGACCGTTTGCAGGCAAAAGGAGTGCTCACCGGTTACTCGACGCGTATGATTGCGATCTGCCGTCCCGGCCAAGCAGGCAGCGCGATCTATCGCTTGGGGAGGGTTTGGCGAAGAGCCGCCAAGGACCCTTCTGCTTCCTGATGTGTTTCGCGGCGGCGACGATCGGCACAGGGACGCGTACCACGGTTTTCCAGACCCTTCTCCTGTCGCTCCTCCCTGCTCCGCCGAGCCTCTGTGCCTCTGTGCTCTGACGTCGCGGCCTCGTGTCTGCAGTCTCGACGGGGTCGGAGAGGCGTTCCATGGGCCTTTGCATCATCGTGCGTTGCCGCGCCGGGGCCACGCCGGGCGTGGCGGGTGGCCCAGCATGGCCACAGTGCATCGTCGCCACGATGGTGACGGTCGGCGTCGCGAGGGCAGCATTGTGATTTGTGCGCGGCTGGACGAGGGAGAAAAAGGCGCGCGCTTCGCAACGCTGCCGGCCTGAGGAAGCGAAGCCGCGAAGCCGCGATGCCGCGATGCCGCGATGCCGGCAGTCTGGAACGCGGACGTTCTGGGACGTTCTGGGACTGCCCGAGTCAGGAAGGCTCGAGATCTTATCTCGCAAATGTTTCGCCATCTTCGCTTGGCCTGCAGCGCAGCACCAATCGGCGTCGTGTCGCAGGCCTGCATCAGACACACAAAAAGCACACGCGCGCTCTTGAAACCCACAACACCACGCCAAGCCCTCCAGCACACGGGGCTGTTCGCCCTCCACTCCGCCCACCCACTCGTCCACCCCCGTTGCCTGCGCCAAGAGCCATGGGGGGCCCACAGGGCGGTGCATGGGCGGTGCATGCAGCGGCCGTCCGCCCCGCGGCCAACGCGCACACACACGTCGTTATCTCAACCGTCTGGGGTTGGACTGGAGCGCAGTGGCTGCCTGCTAACCAAGCGCCCTCGCGCAGAGCCCGCAGAGCCCGCGCAGCCACCCACCTGCCAGATTGGCCTGTTCATGCGACAGAGCCGGCGCGCATTGGCACCGCCGCACGGTTGCACGCCGCATTTCCGCCGCCGCTTTGGGATGCAATTGCGCAACCTCCACCAGCAATGATCCCAATATCCCATCCCATCGCATGCGCGCCCATCCCGCCACCACCCGCCCGGTCTCTTTCTCTTCCCTGCCTTCCCGCCGCCCCTTTTTCGCCATGCCCGCCAAGGCCGCCCCGCCCCCGCTACTGTACCACCTCCTCCCCAAACCGGTACCCACAGTCCAACCACCTGCCCTCTACCGCTGTCGATCACTCAACTCTGCGACAGACACCAGTACATGTGTTGACGGACACCTCACGGTCGGACCCGCAATGCTTGCCCAACTCCCGCACGCGGTGCATTCTCTCTATCTCTTCGTGCTACTCTCTCTAGCTCCTCCCGAAGCCGCGTCACTAACCCACCGACACATGCCTGGACCCCCTTTTGGGAGACCTTTCAGTGCCCGCCCGCCCAGCCTCTGGCGCATCTTACTTCAAGCCCGAGTGCGTCCGGCCTCCCAGACACTTTTTTTCAATGCTTGGCGATTTACCGCGCACTGCCTCACTTGGCACACCAGATGAATGAGGGACCCAAAGAAAATAACTTTCATTCGTTTGAAGCTTGAGACGTCCGGACGCTTTGCTGACCCACCCGTTGTATAACGAGGGACACAGCGATCTGCGGCTGCGCAGGCGCGCAAGGTCGGCTGTGCTGCACCTCGTTGGTTTGATGCGCGCCCTCGTTGGTGAAAAAGAGTCTCGCCCGCGCCTCACACTGTTACTTTCTTCTTGCGATCTTTGCTCCTGGCCGATGACCTCTTGATTTTCTTTTTCCCTCCACTAGCACTTTCCGATCATCGGCTGTCTTCTTGCGAATCGCATGTGATGGCCTCGCTCAGAAGCGCTGGCATGAAGTCGGGCACGCAGCTGAGGAGGCCCAACCGGCCCACGCGGTCGAACCGGACCACCTTCATGCATGGATGGAGATGGGGGCCCACGGACGGTTCTTGCTCAGCCGTTGGGACCTGAGCGCGCAACGGCGTCGCTGGCCGCGAGACAACAGGCCAACCCGCCCGTTGGAAGCCGGCAGCCCGACCGTTGGCGTTGGCGTTGGCAGCAGGCCCGAGGACCCGCGCGTTGCGGCCTTTTTTTTTCTTTCTTTCTTTTTCCTCTTTCCTTTTTTTATACCCTGGTTGGTGGACCTCGGTGGATGAGCCACGAAAACGGTCGTCGCGCCGCCGACGACGATGCCCTTGCAGTCGGCTGGCTGCTGGCATCGAGGAAAAGGTGGAAGGGTGTGTTATTTGTGTGCGGGTGCATCATCATGATGCCCTGCTACCAACACAACACAAGAAAGACACACGCCCAGACGCCCAGCCGACTCCTCCTACGCGCCTCTCCACCTTTTTCTTGGCATAGATCTCTGGGCTGAACCTCGAGTGTAGCGCTTGATTTCAGCCAAGATGCGCTTGTCGCACCTTCGAGTCTGGGTGTTACGGTTGATCTCCGTCTTGGTAACCGGCTTGCTAACGAGCCGTCGGGCTGGCGGGACGACACCGCCCCCGAAAATATATCTGAGTTGAGTACGGGAGCTCTTCCCTTTCCCTGTTTTTCCTTTTTCTTTTCTCTCACTCTCCCCTCTTTCGTCTTTTTTCTATTCATGTCGGATCGAAAGAGCATGGGACTTCCGGTGTGCTTACATTCAGTCTTCCTCCCTTCAACTTTGGTGATTCAGGTAGGGCCGGTTTCGCTTTGGCTGCCCTTCGGTTGTTGAGGCCCGCGTATCGGAGTGCGACAATTGCTGGTATCTGCCAGAACTCAGCAACGCGGAGCGCCAAGGACGACACGACGAGTTGATAGCTCGGAGCTGCCGCCTATAGCAGGCATTCAACGGCTGTTTCGATCTACTCCCGTGTGGGGCGTTTCTTACTGTGCTCACTATTTTCATGCACGAGGGAGCTCGCGTGTTGGTTCCGGTTCTCCTTTCAGAAAAGGGTAATTGGAGATAAACACATCGGGCCGCTGTGAGTCCTAATTTTGAGGATCCCCCACGACATTCCTTTGCTCTTGGCTGTCATCTATCTGTATCCCTGTCCGGTCTCGCAAACGGCCGAATGTTGCCGACAGAAGACCCGAGTCTCGTCCTTCATGACACAATGCCGGTACGGCACTCGAAACAAGAAAAAGATCGCCATAGACACCTTTCATTGTTGTTTATAGACGCTTGTATCAATTGAGAGAGTCAGTCTGGCATGGAAGTTTTCCGAGGCGCTGAAACGACCGTTTCACGATACAGTCGCATGCTCGCGATGCCCTTTTTGCATCTTTGCCAATCTCCCAACCGGTCAACGGAACCGCAAAACGCGAAACGTCGAAAAGAAGAAGAAAAAAAAAAAAAAGAACGATAACGAACCACCATGACGTTGGGTCAAGCGACACGCTCCTGGCCACCACCCGACCCGACCCGGCCCGGCCCGCAACTCGTCGGCGCCGGTGACACGTTGACCGAGGGAACCAAGCAAGGGATGATGAGCTTTTTTTTTCTTCTTTTTTTTTCTTTTCCGTCATAACGCGTGAGGTGTCGACCCACCATCTCTCTCATAATCACCCCATCACCATCGAGATCTCGATCTTGACCCAGGGAATAATAATGAACTGACTTCCCTGTGGATTTTCTCGGCTCGGCTCGGACAGCCGCTTTTGGCAATGTAGTGTGACGAGGAGAGACGCGAACCAAAGAAAAACTAGAGAGAAAAAAAAATCAAGAAAATTTAGCATTCGCCGCAGATGACACGCCATTGTGCTTTTTCTTTGTCCATTCTGACTCACCAGCTGTGAGTGAGTCAAATCTTCGAATGCGTTGTCATCCATTCCCACATTTTATTTTATTTTGGTTTTGGTGGGTCGTCGGGAAGGCACGTTAGTCTGCGGACTACGCCGTGCTCTTTTCCAATCCAGCCTTGTCTAACTATGGACGAAGACGCGTCGTACCTCACGTATGTGACTGTTCATGATACGTGGTTCCGCAACGCCGCGTAGCCATTCGGGCGGCGCATGTGGTCTGGCCTGACTGTAGGGCCGCGCGCAGGACTCAAGTGCAATGTCAGAAGGAGAGGGTGGGATCAGGCGTGAGTGGTATTCGGTCGGGCTGAGGAGACAAGACGTGGTTGGCCGCGCGCTCACCGGGTGGAATGGGAAGAGGCTCTTCATGGGGGTGTTGGCGGAGTGCCGCTGAAGTCCAGAATCAAGGTCGTGAAGCTGCGTTGGTCAGACATCGATGCATGGCGGTCGAACAACACCAATCCCAAGCTGAGGGCCGAGCCGATATGCGCCTTGGCTTTTGCACATGTGCTGGATACCCCGCTTTGCTGACAATGCAGGAGGAGCATTCTTGAGTTTGCATCCCGTCGTACCATGCCTTTCTGTCTTTCGTCGTATCCCTCGTGCCCGTGAGTGCCACCAGTAGTGAAAATGAAAGAGCAAGGGGGCAGAAGACAACCACTTCCATCCAGTCCCCCCACGGTTTCGAACGACGTCGAGTACTGTACAACTTTATGTAGTTTGCACAAAATCTGGAACACTCTTTTTCAGTCAGTCAATGCAGCAGTGATTGGACGTCAAAGACTCAGAAGGATCTGGAAATGATACATAAGACAGAAATTATATCCGCAACATGAATACTGTCAAGTCCCCTCAAGTATAGCTATGCCTTTGCATTGACGGTTGGCGAACAAGAGAGCTTAGACAAGGATTCAAACATTCTGCCAATGAGTGACAGTCGAACTATAACCTAATGTCGAATCTCACAATTGAGCATCACCCCTTCTCCCTGTAGCTTTCCCGTCGTGGTGTTGGAATGATCGCATAGAGATTGTATTCATGCTATCTACTAGTCTTTTATAGACCTGGATGCTGATTGCTGGCTTGTTTACCTGCAATCCACTGGAAGTTTGCCTGTGTTCGGCTTGATTTTCCACACTTGGGGGATAATGACTTTCTCCCAGGAAGTTTAATTCAATCTGATAGAAGTAGGCGGCAACATGATGAGCTTCCCCAAAACAAAAAGATGGTAAAAGCTGGTGAAAAAAAGTTGCAGGCATTCAGTGGATATCTTCCCATAGAGCTAAACAAAATTGCTTCCTACGTCTACTTTTATACACGCACGACACATCCCAGAAACGCCGATTCAACCACCCACCAGAATGGGCAGAAAGCAAGACAAAAAAGAAAAGAAAAAGCAACCGAGTCACTTCTCCTCTCAGATGATGCCGAAAAAACTGGATAAAAAAAAACAACAACACACGACCAACCATCACAACTCCACAAACTCCGACCTCAAAAACTCATCCTCCTTCAACCTCCTCAGATACCCCTCCACCTTCGCCGTCATGGCCTCGGTCCCAAAGCCAAAGTGCTCGTACGCGTGCTTGCTCGGCAAGCTCTTCCCGAAGCTCTTCATGCAGATGGCGGCGTCGGCGTAGCGCTCCCAGCCGAAGGCGGCGTACGGCTCGATGACGACGGCGGGCACGCCCGCGTGGCGGCGCAGCGTGGCGCGCCTGTAGTCCGCGGGCTGGCGCTCGAACAGGCGCTGGCACGGAAACGACACGACGCGGGCGCGGACGCGCGACGGGCCGGCCCGCAGCGCGGCGGCGACGTCGAGGGCGAAGCTCAGCTCGGCGCCGACGCCGATGAGGGTGACGTCGGCGTCGGAAACTTCTTCCAGCACGTAGGCGCCGCGGGCGACGGCGTCGCGGCGCGTCTGGGCGAGCTGCGGGATGGCGTGGCGCGAGGTGGAGATGATGGAGGGGGTGCGTTTGGCGTCGATGGCGGCGGCCCAGGCGCCGGCCGTCTCTTCGCTGTCGCCGGGGCGGATGTAGAGGAGGTTGGGCATGGCGCGGTAGAGGGCGGGGAGCTCGATGGGCTGGTGCGTCGGGCCGTCCTCGCCCATGCCGATGGAGTCGTGGGTGGCGGCGTGGATGACCTGGAGCTGCTGGAGGGCGCCCATGCGCACGGCGGGCGCGGCGTACAGGTAGAAGATGAAGAAGGAGCTGGTGACGGGGACGATGGTGTTGGGGGCGAAGGCGGCGAGCCCGTTGGCGACGGCGCACATGGCGTGCTCGCGCACGCCGTAGTGGATGTAGCGGCCGGCGTAGCTGCCGTTGATGCCGCACGCCGTCTTGCGCTCGGGGTGCTGGAAGTCCTCCTTGCCCTCCCAGATCATGTGGACCGAGGGGGAGAGGTCGGCGGTGCCGACCAGGAAGCTGTTGATGCGCTGCGCGATGGGGTTGAAGACCAGGCCGGACGACGCGCGGGAGGGCGTGAGCTTGTTGGGGAACTCGGCCGGGATCAGGTCCTTCCAGTTGGCAGGCAGCTCGCCCCTGACCCGCGCCTTGAACTCGCTGGCCAGCTCGGGGTGCGCCTCGCTGTACCTGGCCACCAGCTCGTCCCACTCCTGGACGTACTTCTCGCCGCGGCTGGGGCACTCGGCGAAGAAGTCGCGGACGGTGTCGGTGATGACGAAGTGCTCTTCCGGGTTGAAGCCGTAGATCTTCTTCATGTTCGCAACGTCGTCCTTGCCGAAAGCAGCTCCGTGAGCGACGGCGTTGCCGGCCACGGCGCTGCCGACACCGATGATGGTCCGCACGTTGATAAAGGTGGGCTTGTCGGTCGACTTCTTGGCCTGCTTGAGCGCGGCGACGATCCCCTCAATGTCGAAGCAGCCGTCCTCGATGTCGATGACGTCCCAGCCACAGGCGCGCATCTTGGCGTTGACGTCCTCGGAGTTGGTCAGATCGACGGAGCCGTCGCAGGTGATCTGGTTGTTGTCGTACATGACGGTCAGGTTGTTCAGCTTCAAGTGGCCAGCCAGCGAGATGGCCTCGAGGCCAACGCCCTCCTGCAAACACGCATCGCCAATCATGCACCAGGTGTGGTTCGAGACAACATCGTAGCCGGGCTTGTTGTAGGTGGCGGCAAGGTGCTTGGTGGCCATGGCCAGGCCGACGGCGTTGGAGATTCCCTGGCCGAGGGGGCCGGTGGTGACCTCGACGCCCTCGTGGTCGATCTCCGGGTGGCCGGGGCAGAGCATGTCGGCGCGGGTGGAGTGGTAGGATTTGAGCTGGTCGAAGGTCATGGCCTTGTAACCAACCAGGTGGTGGAACGTGTATTGGAACAGGCACGTGTGTCCTGTCGAGAGTCAGCATGGCCGGCGGCTGCGGGTTTGGAATCGCACGCACCGTTGGAGAGGACGAAGCGGTCGCGGTTGAAGAAGTCGGGCGAGTGCGGAGCGTATCGCATCACGTACTTCCACAGCGAGATGCCAATGGCAGCCATGCCAATTGCTCCGCTGCGCAAAATTGTCAGCTGCTAGATGGCCACAATATGGTTCTCGGTGAGGGCTGCTGACCCTGGGTGGCCGCCGCCGAATTGCTGGCAGAGATCCGCAATCAGCAAGCGGAAGCACTTCAGAATATGGTCGTGCTCTGTCGACAGCTTTGCGACCGACTTGGCCTCCAGCTTCGCCTCCTTGACGATGCCATCGACGACATTCTTGCCGTACTCGGTGCTGCCGTTGACGCCGTTGGTGACCGCCATCGCTTCACAGGGTATATGCTAAACAGACGGGAAAAAGGAGGAAAGAAGGTGCTGAGACGACGAGGAAAGCCGGAGGGGATCCTGCTGAAATATAGCCATTGAATCAGCGGGGCCCAAGTGTAGGGCGTTGGCTCTTTGGCGCGCGCATTCTCCGGCCCTGGCCTCACACTGCAGTCGGCGGCGCCATGGAGACCAGGCAGACGGCGGCGCCCCTGCCGTGTTTGGACATGGCAGGTGCGCCGGATGCGCGCCGGCCTGCCTTTGCGGGGCAAGCCTGGCGGGTGGCTACACTTGCCTGTTCCGTCTACCCCACATTCCACCCGCCTGTGCCGCGGGGCAGCCGGCGTGGGAACCCATGACCAACTGGGAAATCCGTGCCATCAGTTCCACCCAATTCCACCACGGACAACAAAACTCATCATGGCCGCGCCTGCACCGAAACTCGCCCCTTTTTTCCTCTTCTCTCCATCTCGTTCACCTTTCCCGTTCCCATCACCAGCCGCCAGCTTTCGCCGCCAGCCATGGCGCCTTCTGTAGTCTTGGACAACGGCGACCCCGCGCGCCTCAATGCCAGAACAAGCGTCTCCGGATTCCAGAAATACGGCAACCCATCGCTGAAGGTCACCGCCGACCACCGCATAGAGATGGAAGAAGCCCCGATTCCCGAGCCGGGCCCCGGTGAAGTCCTCATCCACATCAAGGCGACAGGCGTCTGCGGGTCAGTCACCACGTCCACCACGTCCACCACGTCCACCACCACCTTCACCACCACAAAGCCGCCCCCTCCCCCCTCTCCAGGTACTCTAGACTGACACGGCTCCCCCACCGCCTTCGTCTTTGCCCCCTCCACAGCTCCGACATCCACTTCTGGAAGCGCGGCCGCATCGGCGCCCTCACCATCGACGGCGACTGCATCCTCGGCCACGAGGCCGCCGGCGTCGTGCTCGCCGCCCACCCGACCGTCACCACGCTCGCGCCCGGCGACGCCGTCGCGCTCGAGCCGGGCGTCCCCTGCGGCGCCTGCTTCCTCTGCCGCGCGGGCCGCTACAACCTGTGCGCCGCCGTCGCCTTCGCCGGCGTCTACCCCCACCCGGGCACCATCCGCCGCTTCGCCACCCACCCCGCGCGCTGGTGCCACAAGATCCCGGGGTGCTCGCCGGCGTCGTCGCCGCTGTCGTCGCAGTCGTCGTCGTCCGGGTCCGCTTCTTCGTTGTCCTTTGGCGAGGCCGCGCTCCTGGAGCCGCTGAGCGTCGTGCTGCACGGGGTGCGCACCGCGCCGCTGTCGCTGGGCTCGCCCGCGCTGGTGTGCGGCGCGGGGCCGATCGGGCTGCTGGCGCTGGCGGCCGCGCGCGCGAGCGGCGCCCACCCGCTCGTCGTGACGGACCTCGAGCCGCGGCGGCTGGAGTTTGCGCGGAAGTACGTGCCCGGCTGCCGGACGTACCGCGTCGACCCGGCGCTGGGGGCCGAGGGCAACGCGCAGGCGGTGAGGCGGTTGTTTTTGGATGGGGGCGGCGGCAGGGAGGCGGCGGGGCTGAGCGAGGAGGAGAAGGAGTACCTCGCGCCGGATACGGTGCTCGAGTGCACGGGCGTCGAGAGCAGCGTGTGTACGGCGGCGTTTGCGGCGAGGAGGGGCGGGACGGTGTGCGTGATTGGGGTGGGGAAGGATGTCATGAATAATTTGCCGTTCATGCATATGAGCTTGGCTGAGGTGGGTTGGAGTCTTGAATATTTTCTTTTTTTGGGGGGAGGCGGCATTGGGAGGAGGAGGAGACGGAGGTGGCGCAAAAGAAAAGGGAGAGGGATGCCGCAGCATGCTCCTTTGTTCCCTCCCCTGGAGATTGTTCTATTCACTGACCAGATGTTTGGAGAATAGATCAACCTCAAGTTCATCAACCGCTACCGCGACACCTGGCCCGCCGGCATCTCGGCCCTCAGCGGCGGCATCCTCGACGTCAAGCCGCTCATCTCGCACGTCTTTCCCCTCGCCCAGGCCAAGGAGGCGCTCGAGCTGTGCTCCGATCTCAGCCACGGCAGCATCAAGGTGCAGATCGTCGACGACGTGGAGGTGCCAATACCGTGAGTATTTGATCTTTGAGCTGCTTTCTTCTTTGCCCCATGAGAGAGAGCGACGAAGCATAGATGAAATATCTGGGCCGATTGAACTGAAAAAATGGAGATACAGCGGAGAGAAACCACTTCCGGCGCGATTGTGAAAACATCCCAAGTGGCGGGATGCGAGAAATACGGAAGCGAACCTGGCGTATGGTGTGTAGGGAATGATCATTTGCATCGTGTTTTTCGATTGTTGTACGCATATGCGTTAGCAAGTCTGGCGTAGAAAGCGGTAGAGCGGGAAACAGAGCAATTGCAACTTCCTTTTCTCTTTTACGAATGCCGGCCCGGATGTTAAACTTCTGGTTATATTGTTGTGTTGAAGTCCTTGGGTCTGCACGCAATTGAAAAGGGGGGATTGACGGCCGTTACAGATTCCAACAGAAACTCTAAAAGGAAAAAGAAAATGAAAGATTCGACAAACTGCTCACCGTTACAAATCCCATATGACCTTCTCACATAAAAACACCATAGCCCTTTCAACCAGGTAGATTTCCCATCCTCTTTCCTCTTTCTTTCCCCTCTATTCCTTGGACTATTTCGACGCAGTATATCGATTGGCTACGTCCCTAAAGATATACTCCTTCCTCCCACACATCATAGTCACCATCGTAATCATTATTCAAGCCCGGTCGACGAGGCAGCGAACGGATACAGCGCATCGAACGAGTACCCCATCTCGAAGGCGGAGAACGACGGGTCGAACTGGAACGCGAGCCACTGGCTCCAATCCGCTGGCGCGCCGCCCAGCATATCCGCATCCATCGTCGATGTTGGATCACCACCCGCAAAGCCTTCGGCGCTGCTGTTCGTTCCGCTTACGGCGGCGGCGCCGCTGTACGCGAAAGATGAGGATGCTGTGGCGGTGTTGCTGCCATTTTCCGCCGGCGAGGCTGACATGATGGATGGGGCCATGGAAGTCGTGGCGGTGGTGTTTGCAGAAGATGCTGCTGCTACTGGTGTGTGACCACTAGTGGCTTCGGCGGCAAAGGTGGAAGCCGGGTTGCTGCTGGGGGCGGGTGAAACGATGGACGAGTATCTGGCGTGGGTGGTAACGGACGGGTCGGGTTGTTGCTGGTCCGCTTGGTCTGTGGATTCGACGCCGGCTCTGGCGCGGACGGGTCGTGCGTTTTCAACCTTCACTATTAGGGTGCGCAGAGTCTCGGCGTAAATGGGGCCGAGATCGAGGTCATCTATGGCGGAGACGTCGATAATGTGGACGACCTCTTTCAGTAAGGGAATCATGTCTTGCCTCGGTTCTATGTTGAGTCCGGCAATCTGTTGGATAAGAGGTCTTGTCAGTCTTCCGAGGAATACGCGGGTACAGTAGATAGATAAGTAAACCGGTCATATGCTTGAAGTAAGCCCACCCGAGGAGTTAGTTCATCACAATCCGTGTGACTAACCTTCAAGGCAAAAATAACAAGGGAGATGACGCTACCCCGCACTTGCTCTGTCGTGTTTCTGAACGCATCCACCTGGTGTAGCTCAATTACTTTTTGCATGCCTTGACGGCATGCCGTAGCAATCTTTTTCGATGAACAATCCGAATCAGTATGCCGTATAGAGGCTCAAAGAAGTGTTCTGACTGGGTCCGGCTTACCACTCTGATCAACTCCAAATCCCGCGCCGTCTCTGGTAGCCGCATAACTTCTGCCATGTTCTGTTCATCAAACACTCTGACGCGGCCAGGCTGGATATCCGGATACGAAAGCGAAAGTGATCTCTCCATGATTGCCTGTATGGCAATGAGATGGATGTAAGATCGAGTGGCATGAAACATGATTTCAGCTTGAATTGTTAGGTTCGGGAGAAGCGCTGGCATATGTTAACATGTCTTCAGACATGAGGCAAGGTAAATGAGACCCACAAGGGATGCGACCTGCATTCTCGAGCCAACTCCCGAGTAAGGTATCATAATGCGTCACAGCACTAATGTATTTCTTTGATGTGATCATGGCCTTGGTTTGCGCCGGGCTCGAGTACAAAGTTGTTGTCGCCAGATGTGCAAGCTGTACGCATTCGATACCACAATCCAAGAATCTGTGGATGAATTTGCGCGTCTCGTCGAGCTCGATTACTGTATTCGGCGGCTGTACGTCGAAGGATAGGCCAAAAGGCTGCTGCATTGTGGCACCTTTCCCCAGCCGAAAATGTGCCTCAACACAGTTGAGAAGGAGGTGTTTCTTTATTCGGAGCTTGCGTTCTTCCTTTGCGGTGGTAATTCGGTTGGGTGTGGTGTCCGGTTCCCATAACCCGATCTCGTGAGTAAGTGTTGAGGCAAGACCAATAAGCATCCTGTAAGGAGAATCAGTCCTGTAGGTTCAGGAACAGGTGAAGGTGTAAACCCACCAAATCATTCGATTTGACTGTCTATTTAGTCTTATAATCACATGCGCATGGATACCTGCGGTCTGTCAGTCTACCGGTTTCGAGTTGTCCATATACACATACCTTGGATACTGTTCTCGAAGAAATACTTGCCGTGCGACTCGGTTTCAAAGTCCGTCGGCGGTGCTAGCTCGCTGGACTCGACCAGCATATGCAAAGCTCTCGGGTGCTAACCGAAGGTCAGATTGAATGCCATACCACTCTAGAGTCTACTCTCTTACCCAACACACGAAGACCATGAGGCTCTCGATGAAGCCAACGATGCGGCCAACGCCCATCTCCTCTTCTCCAATACCCCAAAGAATTCGCTGTGTGCAGGATTGGACATGTCGAAGGAGACTGTTGTGTAGCAAGTTTCCTCGTGTCACGGCGGCATGCCCTGGTAACCGAGTATATCTCGCGGCAGTCGCAATGATGGTGCATGCCAGTGTTGGCTCTTCCCTGAGCAGCTCAAAGTGATTTTTCGGATCATGGTAATAGTCAGAAAGAATCGGACTCATGGGATTCATCTGCTCAAAGAAACTGGAGTCTGCTCAGTACTTGAGCCCAGGGTTGATCTGGGCGTGACTCACTAGTTGATGAGGAACAGTGCTTCGTTTGGGCTGATGACTTTGTCTTTGCACATTCGAAAATGCATCCAGGTGGAAAAGGTTTGGTCATCACCCCGAGGGTTGTCGTCCATACGCTCCGGAAACTCGCTTGGCCGGTATCTGCGACGGGATTCGGATTCGGATTCCATGTCGCGGCAGAATATGTCACCATCAGCAGGGACCTTGTCCCTCGGAGTGGAATAGTACGGCCGCTCGGTTGATACAGGATCGGTCAATCTCGCAGTTTGGGAAAGCAACCGCATGGCCTCTGTTGGGTTGCTGACTGTAGCACTCATCAGATGATCACGAATGTTTCCCTCGTCCCGATTAGACGCCTGTGACGTCACGCCTTCCTGATTGGTACTCTCGCTGTTGCTAGATGTCTGAGGGAAATACGGGGGAAAAGCATTGCTGCGCGCAGAAAACGGCACTCCAGCTGCTGTCCAGGCACGCTCGGTGTTCTCGCGCATGCGGGAGGACAGACTTGGGATGATGGAAGGAGCCGCATCACTCGTTCCTATCGTCATGCGTTAAAGTGTGTCCATACACAGCAACCGACACGTGCTCTGGATTCGTACCACTCGGGTCGGCGGTGGGACTGGTGCTGCTGTTCGCATTGTTGCCTCGCGAAGTGAACCGGCTCGGGCCGAAGACGCACTCTTTCCTGGCCCGACGGCAGCGTGTGCACGGGGGTTGTGGGTTGTCGGGCGAACCCAGGTCACAGCGTCCCTTTTGCTTCTTGCAAGCCTCACAGGCCTGGTAATTCCTGCGATAGCCGCGCCGCCGAGGCTGCGTACGCTCAGCCATGCCTCAGAAGGGGCCAGGTGTCCGTTGCGATGGGAAAAACGGGAAGCGTGCTTTGAGAAGAAGGAGGCGCTCGCTGAACGCCGGAAACTGGCGGAAAGAGCGCGCGGCTGGTCGATTTTCCGGCTGCCCTCTTGCCGCTTCGGGTTGGCGTCCGCTTGTAGCCGGTTAGACCCGGAAGGGAGACAGATTGGAGCGTGCAGACCTAAGCACCATCAACACGGCGGTCGATTGATCGATTATTTCTCTGGAGCGAGGTGCCCTACGAGCCCCTCACAAGCAATATGCGTTCGCCGGCCTGGACTAGGATCCGGGATATCTCTGTCATTGGCTACCATTCACGCTACTGATAGTGAATGCACGCAATATCTGTGGAAGTTTCAGGCTGGGTCCCGGTAGACAGATAACGCATGCCATTGGCTGCTGACAAGGGACCTATGGCTTGGGTGGAAGGGCGGCTGATCACCGCGCGGTGGGTAGCAAGACATGTCTACAGCCAAGCATATATACAGTCACATTGCTCATTGCGAACAGGCAAAACGATCAGGAAAGGTCAAGTTGAGAAAAGTGCATAATTGCTGCTATGACCTTCCGTCTATCATTATATCGTGAATTCTACTTTCTTTTTCGTTCGCACATCTCCTAAGCGAAGATCCTGAGCGGCTTGTCGAGGTAGTAGCCAGGGTCGTTGAATCTCAGGCCCTTGTTGATGCCTGAAATGCTCTCAATCTCCTCCTTGGTCAGGTCGAAGCCGTTGACCTCGAGGTTCTGCTTGAGGCGGTCCTTGCTGTTCGACTTGGGGATGATGGCAACGCCACGCTGCGTGGACCAGCGGAGCAGAACCTGGGCGGGGGTAACCTTGTGCTTGGAGGCGATGCTCTTGATGACGTCGTGGTCGAAGAGGAGGGGAGCATCCTCAGCGCGCTGCATCTTCAGCTCCAAGAAGCTCTGGGGACCGAAGCTGGAGTAGGCGGTCACGGCGATCTTGCTCTCCTGAGCGACCTTGATGAGCTCGGGCTGGACCAAGTAGGGGTGGTGCTCGATCTGCAGCGACGAGAGAGGGTGGCGGTTGTAGGTCAAGAGATCCATGATGAGCTGTGCGGAGAAGTTGCTGACGCCGATGCTCTTGGCAATGCCCTCGTCGACAATCTGCTCGAGAGCCTCCCACGTATCGCGGACGGGGACCCTGTCGAGCTCAATGGTGCCGGCCTCATCCATCCACCAGCCCTACTTTTGTCAGCGAGGCGCTTCGAGGACTATGCGACGCAGTCCTACTTACGGGGTATTGACGCTTCTCGGGCTCGATGTACTTGAGCGGGACGGGGAAGTGAATGAGGAAGAGGTCGATGTAGCCCAGGTCCCAGACCTCGTTCTGCTTGCGCATCATGTCGATGGCAATATCCTTGCGGTGGTAGTTGTTCCAGAGCTTGGTGGTGACGAAGATGTCCTCGCGCTTGACCAGGCCGTCGGCGATGGCCCTCTTGATGCCCTCGCCGGCCTCCTTCTCATTCTGGTAGTCGTACGCGCCGTCGAACAGCCTGTAGCCGGTCTTGATGGCCTGTTCAAAGCGCGTGAGCAGATGCGCCTCCAATGCCATGTGGCGGGGCAGCGTACGTTGTAGACGGTGTCGGCGCAAGTCTCCTTGGGGACCTTCCACAGGCCGAAGCCGACCAGCGGCATCTGCTTGCCAGAGGCCAAAGTGATGGTTTCCTGACCCATTTTGGTTGAATTGAGTGCGGTGTTGTGTGAATTGGAGAGAGATGATGAAGTTGCGAAGCTGTTGGACGAGCGCGGAGGAAATTTTGTTGTTAAGAAAGAGCCGTCAGCTGTCACGCCGCAGCGTCAACCCACCATTGCGCATAGCGTGCCCAGCATAGCTCCCGCCAACAGAGCCTTCTCGAATAGCCCCGCCACGGCGCATTCAGGCAAAATGGCAAGGCTACCCACTCGCGCCTTCCCCGCCGCGCCTGACGCGAGTGGGATGGTGGGGCAGGCGCATTTATCCTGAGGGCTAGTGCGTCATGACTGGCACGGACCAGGAGGGGCTGCTAATTTTGCCGCCGAGAAAAGCAGCCGGTGCCAGCGCTTTCCTGGTCCGGTAACTCCACCGCCGAACCAGATTCCACCCTCCGCTGCGGAGAAAAATTGGAGCGTCAAGTGAGAGTGAGCCGCCAGTCGGCAGTTCTCCAGACTTCAGCCCGGCGGATGAATGCACAAGCCGTCATGTGTCTCGACAGGACTGAACTTCTTTGCTACGGCGCCAGAACTCGGTCGACGTTGTATCATTACCAAAAAGTTGCTCTTCGGTGCCGTACTTCAGAGCTCTTCGTGCCTTGGGGAGCCACAGCTCTGCGCTTCTTGCTCCGGCAGTCGCACCTTTAAAATCACGCGTCGGTACCGTGTCATCGGTGGAGCCCCCGGCCCGGAGACCTCCAAAATGACATGGTAGACCTGGCACTCAGCCTTCACCTCGTCCGCCATGTGCAGCGCCCTCGGTGCTCTGCAGCTCTCATCGGCCGATGGAATCTCAACAACAACCTTGCTTCCGCCGGGAACAGCTGGATCGCGACGTGTCGCGAGCTCAGGCACCTCCCACCGGACCTGCCACTGCGTCGCCGTGATCTCGCGATACATCCACCACGAAAAAGTTAGAGCCGTGTTTTTCCCGGAGTCTGCATCGTACGACTCTGTCGCGTCCAGCACAACCGAAGACCCTGCGTCGACCTCCAGCTCGACCGGCTGGCTTCCACAGGACCCGTTGACCACGACGACTGGCGGGTGGCTCGTCCGCGCGTCCCTTTCATCATACAGCGTCCATTGCATGCGCGCCGCAAACTCGTTCTGATACGCCTGTCTCCACCGCCAGATCGTTGCATGGTTGCTCATGTACGTTTTTCCACTCTTCCCACGGACGTGGTCAGCTGTGTCTGCAAAATGCCTGCCTCCATGGGAAGAAGGCGCATATCGACCGCCCCAACCACCCCATTCAGGATGTTCCGGGGCGTTGAGGCCGTTCTGCATGGTAAAAAGCATGGCGGGCGAATCGCCCTCCATGATGAAGACGATATCTGGGTAGGATTTTCCCAATGCACCTAGCTGAATATTGGTCTTTATCCACTCGTCGCTCGTTAGGTCACTGTTCGGTCCGCCGTCATCGAAGCCGTAGAAACCCTCGCCAGACATACCAGACCACGCGGCCAAGCCATAGGCATTCCACGAATGGACAGAAGCGATGTACCGTATCTGAGGGAACTCGTGGCGGACCCAGGCACCGGCGTTATCCTGGTCGGAAATGGCGTAGACGCGCATCTTTTCACAGAATTGAACCAGCTCAGCGTGTTGTCTCTTCGATTGGACATATCGCAAAGCTTCGGCGATGGTGTTGGCTCCTCCCCATGCTTGAACATAAAGCGGCTCCGAGGAAGCGTCCACGGCATCAATGAGTAACTGTGCACCATCGGATATCTGCTCGCCGGCATCGATAGCGTCTACAGCTGCCAAGCCGTAACTCTTTGGCCCGCTCTTGATGACGGAGAGCAGATGCTCTTCGGTTGGGTATTGTCCATGGCCGTGAACTTGCAGATTGTCCAGGACCGATCCGTAGCTTTTCACAATCTTCACGATCTCGTCGGGGACGGTGGTATCGTTCAGCCAGTAGCTTGTGGTGGCCACTAGTCCTCGGATGTCATACTGGTCAGCGTGCGTAAGGAGTCGGACCATGGACTGAGCGTCGTCAGGCTCGTTACAGATGTCGGATAGGATGAAAACTCGAGGCTTCCTGTCGACTTCCCAAGGCCTGCATCGCTGAGTCTCATGGGCTGCGAGCGTGCTCAAGCTTGCAGAAAGGATCGGCAGCACGGTAAGCCATTGAGACGTGGATTTCATAGTAGGGGGTAATGGTGGTGGTCCGAATGCCAATGTCGCAAATGCCGTCAGCCAGATGCCGCATCGGAAGTCGGGTAAACGGTGCTGGGCTTCATCCCTGGGTGAAGCGGTTGCTGACTCGCGGGGTGAAAAGTCAAGGACTGCGGATGACGTGGGGAATGAATGCACAGGCCCGGCGCCACGCGGGCTGCGCTTCGGCTTCCCGCTTTGGGCGATTTGCGAGCTCATGCTTCGCGCTCTTCCCCATTTCCCCAGCCGGCCGTGACACACAAGCCTGCAGCGTCGGGTTTCTGTTGCGCGGAGCCTGCGTGCCTGATGCCAAAAACGATGCGCATCTAGCTGTTGTGCCGTTCTCCGTACCGCTTCCCTTCCGCAGCCCTCTCGCACGTCCACACGAAAACGGCAGCTTTTGGCTGCAATACTCTCCCGCGGTGCTTATCCGCACGTCACTGACACACAGCTGCCAGACCCTTACATGATGCACAATGCCGACAGGACCCCAGGCCAACGCTACGGAAGATCGGCCGATTCGACGGCGCGTCCGCACCGGCTGCCAGCGATGCCGCATCAGGAGACGGAAATGTTCGTCCTGCTCCCCTCCCTGCCGATCTTATCTATGTCTCCCTGCCGCCCTGTGGTTGCTGGCTGTTATGTCTACATGATGAGCTAACAGCTTCGTCGCTTCTTCCCCGACAGGCGACGAGCGCAAGCCTGTCTGCTCAAACTGCGCCGAACGCAGTTTCGAATGCCAGTACGGCCTGCAGCTGCGGTTCCCCTCAACCGCCACGCGCACGGGGCCACAAGTCGAGACGACATCGACGGCAAGATACACGCAGATCAGGGTAAGCTTCAGCACTTCAGCCCTCACACCCGGCATCCACGACAGATCTTTGACCCGTATCAGTTTGTCGGCGACTCTGAAGAGGGCACAGATTCGCGTCAATCTGATGGCGGCATTGCGGGCTTGCACCACACTCCAGCCGCGTCGTCACACACCCGGTCAGATAGCCAACTGTCCACGCACAGCGGTCCATTATTGTCGCGAGGGATATTACACACGCCGGACAATTCCAGCGAAGAAGCAGTCAGCCATCAGCAGCATCATCAACAACAACGATACACCACCGAATTCACGAGCCCGGTCTACCCGGACCCGGACCACTTCCAGTTCCGCATATTCCCAGATCACTCTCCGTACGACCACGCGCTCCGCCCCACCACATCCTCCACCGAGCAGCAGCAGCAGCAGCAGCAGCACCTGGAGGCGGGCAGTGCGGAGCACGGTGCCGTAGAGAGTCTCGTTTCGTTGGCCACGTCGGTCCAATCGCCCTTCGTTTTCCAACACGATGGCTCTTCTTCCTTGAACCACCACCAGCACGACAATCGGGTGGTGGTGGTATCCAGACACCACGGACACGAAGACCATTCCAACAATCAGCAAGATGCAGCAGCAGCAGCAGCAGCAGATCTTGCGGCGGCCCCTACACCGGCGCCGGCGGCATCGAACAGTGCTGCTGCTATGACGAGCAACACCACGTCAGCTCAACTCCCACCAACAACGGCTTCTTCTTCCGCGGATGAAATCACCGAGGAGCGCGGGCTGGAACTACTGCGATATTACCGCTATCACGTAGCACCATGGGTAACAATCCCTCAAAAGTCTTTTCATATTTCCTGTAACGAAAACGTTCTTCCTCTCTGACACCGGGCTCGCAGCTCGACATGCTCGATCTAAGCCACCATCTCGGTCTCTACCTCCCCACCATCGGCGCCGAGTCCCCACCCACCACCTACGCAATATACGCGCTGTCCGCCCGCCACAGGGAGCTCGCGTGCGGCGTGCCGGACATGGCCCAATTCGAGAGCGAGCGCTACTACAACATCTCCAAATGGGGCACCAAAGACGTGTACCGCGCTCCAGAAAGCAGCAGCGACGACACCGGCTCGTCGGACGTGCTGGAGGCCCGGATGATCCGGCTCATCGTCGACCTGATCTCCGCCCCCTTTAGTAGCTGGACGTCGACGCTGGGCCAGACGGTCAACTCGCTGACGCCGCTGTACACGTACGCGCTCACGCCCGGGCTGGCGGCGTCGCTGTTCTGGTGCGTATTCCGGTTCGATCTGGCGGCCGCTTTGGCCAACGAGTCGCACATGACTACGGATCTGGACGCGCTCGTCGCGCTCGACAGGCCGCCGTCGGGTGGCGGCGGCGGCGGCGGCGCCATGTCTGCCGTCTTTTTTGGCGACGTCGAGCAGCCCGACGAGAGCGCCGACCCCGCTTGCGTGGACCGGTACGCGCTGCGCGCGCTGCTTCTGTGCGGCGAGGCCGTCCGCGTCCTGCAAGACCACCGCCAAAGGGAAGCCGGAGACGAGCGGCCTGGCGGCGGCGGTCGGGCGGGACGCCATCAGAACCATTTGGGGCAGTGGCAGAACAAGTGGACGGAGCTGTCGGCATGGTACGCGAACCGCCGTCGATTCGTCAAGCCACTTCTCGAACTGTCATCGTCGTCATCAATATCATCATCATCACCATCGACAGGTGAGAGGTCGATGATGGAAGCAAACAACAACGCATTCCCAACCATCATCTTCAGCACGGCGGCAGCCACGCTCGCGAACCTGGTGTACCACACCGCCGCCATGATCCTCCTGGACTGCAAGCCCAAGACTCTCAAAATCCCCGGGCAGCACTCGCCGACGGCGTCGCTGCACTGGCACGCGCAGCGCACGTGCGCCATCGCCGTCGGCAACCACGACGCCGGCTTCGAGAACTGGGACCTCTGCATGATCGCCTGCGTCCTGCGCGCCGCGCGCAAGATGACGCATCGCGACCAGCAGGCCGCCGTGCTGGCGACGCTGAAGCTCGCCCAGGCGACGACGGGCTGGAAGATCGACGGCGACGTGCGGACGCTGCAGGAGTTCTGGCGCCTGGCCGAACACTCGTGATGAAGACGCACCGCGGGAAAGAAAAGAAAAAAAAAACAAGCCTCTTCTGTTCATCCGAAACGAACCCTTTGAGAAAAGGAAGACTTTTTAGCGGGTCCGATAACCCCAAGCTTCTTCCAGATCTCGGATTCTCCAGTACATGCCCCATCCGGTTTGAGCCTCGATGTTGCGGATCAGCTCGATGACGGCGGCGTGCTCGGAATGATGACCGAGCATGCGCCCGGCTATCCACAGCGGCTGGCACGCGTTGTTCAGGCACCCCTCGTGCGGGTTCGACAGCGATATCCCGCACACGCGCCGGGCGTGCCAGAGCGGGTTGTGCACTGGCAGCGGGTCTAGCTTCAAGCTCTTGGGCATGGAGTTGAGGAGCAAGATGCACGCCGTGTGGTACAGCTGGTTCGAGCTGATGGCTGCCCAGTGGATGAACAGGATCTCCGGGAACGGCTTGTCGCTCTTCTGCCGGATCGTCTTGGCGGGCAGCAGCTCGGCCGGCCGTTCGTCGAGCCACAGGGACAGCTCGTGCCAGAGCCGCTTCCAGCGCAGCGCGTAGGCCGGGCCGGTGCAGCCGTTGTCGACGCCCAGCTCGGCGTACTTGGTCCGGTCGGACAGAAGCTCGCACGCCTTGGAGCAGAGATACACGGCGTAGTTGGCGTGCATGTCCGGGCTGCGGTGGGACGCGAAGAGGTCGTGGATACCGTTCTCGGAGGACACGCTTGCGGGAACCCATTTGCGGAGAGCGAGGAGCGTGCTTTCCGTGCCATCGGATATCAGCGCGCCGCAGAGATCTAGGCACCAATCTGTTAATATAAATCTTTGAAGGCCTGGATGAAACATCATCCTCTGAGTTAGAGAGGGGGAAGGACTGACCCATGCGCGTGTAGCACCAAAACACGGCCTGCATCAAGCCTCCGCTGAAGCCGTTGACGTCGAATGAATCGAACAGCGTCGCGCAGCCCTCAAGGTGTCGGCGCCAGTCCTGCGGGCTAGCCGACATCATCTCGAGGCAGCAGAGGATGACACAGCAGGTCAGAATATGCGGGGAGCGCTCGGGGAGCTTGGGGGTAAGCAGCCGGATGGCTTCTTGGTAGAGTTCCAGGGACTCGAATGAGGAGGTGGTTGGGTAGTGCTTGCCGCCGCCACTTCTGCCGCCGCCGCCGCCGCCGCCGCCGCCGCCACGGCGTCCAGACCCACTGCTGAGACGCTCCATCTGACGGGCTGAAAGAGCGAGGATGGCGTAGAGGAGGGGCGGTTGGGCTTGCGCGAGAGCGGGCACGGTGATGCCAAAGTGCCGAGATGTGTCGAACATGTCGAGCTAATTGGTGAAATGAGTAAGTGAACACCACTGTCATTTCTAGTATAGAGGATCATGTAGATGAAGGGGGATTTAAGTGTCATTGGTCGAAGTATGTTCGTGCATATGCGTGCCTCCTTCGAGATTTGTAATGAACCTGGGGCAGGATGTTGGGCGGCCTTGATGCATATATTGCAGGCAGAGAAGTGGTACGAGGACGAACAAAAGCTCAATAGAGGAAAACTCACCCAAGGCGCCACTTTGGCAAGGTAGTTCTTGAGGTACTCGACTCTTTTGCGCGTGCCTAAAATCTGCTTCATCTGAGTCCGGCCCGAGAGGGAGGACGACGATCCTCCTACCGCTCCCCCCCTCTCTCCCCCTCCTCCTTCGATAAATTCGTCCACGTACCTACCGCAATCCGCCGTTGCCGCAGGGCTCGGCGCTCGCGTGGGGTGAGTCGACTGCGCGGTGTTGAAGAGGAGGCTGCGCAGCTCTTCCTGCGAGGCCAGGAACATGGGGTTGCAGTTGTAGTCATCCGGGCTTCTCGGGGGCAATAGCCCGCCGGCGGTGGCGCCGCAACCGCCCTGGCAGCATCGCGCATGGTGGGCCCCGCCACAGCCTGTGCAACAGCCACTGCCAGGCGATGAAGCGAGCAGGGGATCCATTAGTAGTTCCGGGGAGAAGCCAGACACAGATGAAGCGGAGTAGTCTGCTACTGTTAATGCTGCCGATTCGGAGACCATGGTAGTAGAGCTGGGGGCCTGCGTGAAGGCGGCGCTGCTGTGGCGGCTGTAGGCCGATGGGGAGGCTGTGCGCTGGTGGAGGTGCGACGACGGTGAGAACAGGTGCCTACTGATGTTGTTGTTGCCATCGCCGCCGCCGCCGCCTCCGAACGCGGCCGGTGGTGATTGGGATTGGTGGTGATCATTTCTTCCTGCGGCTTCGCGGTGGGTTTTGCTGGTTGCATCGTCGTCTAGTCTTCTCCGCTTGCCGGTGTTCGCGGGGGGCGATGGCCGGCGGCGCTGAGATTCGAGCTGCTCAGTCATGACAGGGCTAGGTCAGTTCGACATAGGGTGCGCGGCAGCCCTCGTGATCACGAAACGAGAATTGGACGCGTGAGTTGGGGTAATGAGGTATGTCTCGATTGGGGAGGTCTGGGGGAAATCCCCGCCACTGCCTGACGAATCGATCCTCGGCTGTGCCGACTTTTTGTCGTGGCCGCTCCTTCCAGCTCCCCTCGGGCTGCCTCCTCTGACTCGCCCGATCCCGTCGGTGCTACAGTCTGCTAGCCCTTCCCATGGCCGATCACCATGCCCCACGAGTTGACGATGTCGAGTTTCTGGAAACTTCCTGTTGAGGCTAGTATTAGCTGTCTGTTTTATCGACTGCGCCTGGGTGTGGGGGCCGTCACTCACCGAATGCTTGCTCTTCGCGTCCCAGCTGTCTTCATCTGCAGTGGCCACGAGGTTCTCCGTCGACCTGCTGCTCTTCTTCGAAAAGTCCGACCTGGTGGATCCGTTGCTGCCGCTGCGACTGCGCACCGTCGCCGTCTGGCGCTGCACGCCGTCGCACAGCCTGCGGAAGCTCGACATGATGCCCTGCACCTTGATCGAGCTGCGCCGGCGCCGTTGCAGCACTATTTCGCCGTTGTCGGTGTTGGCTGCCTCGCTCCTATCGCCGGCTCCGTTGCCAGCCTTGTTGCCGAATCCGCCAAACACGACGCTGTTCCGGGCCATTTTCTCTTCTGTTTTTTGCTCGTTCCGTCCTTGGTCTGCTCCTTGTTCTCAGCTCGGGGCTGCGGAGCCCTTTTCCTCTTTTTCAGGCTTCTCCGATCACTACCGTCCTGGGCTCGCTTTTGTGGAGGTCCCCTGCGGTGGTGACATGTACTGTTTCGAGAATGCGACTGTCGTGTTCACTCTACAGCCAATGTTCTTGAAGCCATGCTCTCTCAAATGTCAACACTGAACATGGCAGACGCTTGCGGCTTTTCTTCCGACCAACCACGAATACAAGGTCTGCACATAGCCACAGATTGTTGCGCCACGCGACACTAGCAAAATAAGTTCCAAAAACGTCCGAGTCAAGCTGCGACATTGCTACCCGTGGTCTTTCCGTGGTCGCCACGCAGCAGCCGCTTCCCCACCCTGGAATGGCGACCTTTATACCCTACAAGCAAATCGAAGGCTTGGCGGGCCTGGAGCCGGGGATCGCCTTCTCTTGCTGGTTTCTTTAGATACGTAGCCTATCTTATACAACACAAAGCTTGAATAGCATATCGTCGGGATACTGCGGATCGCTCGTATCTGGATGAAGCGCCAGTCTCGCGTACAATGAAGCTCTTACACGCCACAGCTTCGAAATGAAATAGGGGAACGCCTCGCGCGCGGGCCTACCTTGTAACACCACGGCAGCCCTGCTATACATGAAACCTCTCGGACTCCACACCATCTCCACCTGTTCCATTTGGGCTCCCCATCTCCTTCTCGCCCGCATTTCTGCCATAGAAAACTCCTTGCGGTTAGGCCAATTTAGAGTTAATAACGGGAGTGCCGCCGCCGCACAGCCAACGGCGTCGCCTTGTTACACGCGTACGTAGGTGACGGTGATCCAAGGCCGCTCTGTTCCTCTCTAACCTGCACACATCCAGCCTTATGCCCATCAGTCATTTCTATGGGCGGCCTGGCGGGTTTACATATCTGTAGGGCGGCTTGAGGAGGATGATGGTGCCGAGCTTCACCACTCACGGATCGCCATAGCGCTCGAGGCCTTGGCCGAGCTTAAAATATTCCCAAACCTGGTCGCCAATCACCCCATGCTCGAGTTCTTCCGAGGTGTAGAACAGCTCTAGAGCTCTAGCGTTCAACTCCAAAGTCCTATATAAACACCCATCGGCCAAACAGACTTGGGGTTCTCCAGCTCCACCCAGCCCAGCCGCAACCAACCCCAGTCCCTCGTTTCTCACCAAAAGTCCTTCGTTTCAGCTCCAACGTCTTGCCGGTCTAAGACATTTCCAAACAAACGATCATCATGCGCTTCACCACCTTCTTCGCCGTGCTCGCGACCGCCGCCACCGTCTCGGCGACGCTCGACCCGTGCACGACCAACACCAAGGGCAAGGTGCCCAAGAGCCCGGCGTGCTCGCCGACCAAGCAGTCGACCAACATCCAGGCGGCCGAGTGCTCGCACAACACGCGCGTCAGCGGCAAGCAGACCTTCGCCGTCTGGACCCGCACCAAGACCAACTCCAACGGCATCTCCTACGGCACCTGCAAGGCCTATACCTGCACCGCCCCCACCTCCGGCCAGCTCACCACCAACGTCGACGGCTGGACCTTCTTCTGGAAGTGAGTTTGGATGCCTCGAAGATTGTTTGAGAGATCTAGATTGCTGACTGGTTTTTTTTGTAGCGATAACGGTTCGTCCTCTGGTGTCGGCACCGGCTGCGTCAGGGAGCCCAACACCACTGAGTGCGGCTGCCAGAACTCCACCGGCGAGTTCGTCGTTGGCAGCACCTCTTGCAAATAGAGCAAGATTCGCATCAACTGCTAGTTATCCCCTGGATGCCGAGCATTCCGTGGACTGTAGGAGCATTTTGAGTTCTTTTCAGTTGTATGATACATTTTTTGCATGGGTAAAAAAAACAAAGAGGGGCATCTGGAAAACGAAATAGCGATTACGGCGGCTTGCACGGAAACCAAGAGTTTAGAAAACAAATGCCAAGTTCAATGACATAAATCATTTTAGTAAAGGGTGTCTCTCCCCTCTATCCCACTCTTATTTCATCACTGAGGCAAAGGTACGAAACAAAACGCCTGTGCCGTAGTGAACACGCACGTAAAAGTACACACTGACTCCGCCCTTGCGTTCCAATACCCCTGCCCGGACGAATCCTCCAAAAAAAAAAAACATGGAACGAATCCAATTTTACCTCCGTACCACGTTGCATGTGAATCTTCCTCTCTCCTCACCATATACAGACAGCCACCATCGACCAATGCAACAGAGCTACGACGCTGCACTCAGTTATCCTTATCGAACCACCTTCCCCAACTGCTTCCCTTCCTCCTCTCCGCGCCAGCAAAGTCGCTCTCCTCCTCCTCCCACACCAACCGCTCCATGCGCCTGCGCGCCGAGAAGGCCCTCGCGAACCGCCACGCCTCGGCGTCGGCAATGTTCCACGCCTCGACCGCCTCCTTGACGCGGACCATCTCCTTGACCTTGCTCTTGATGGCGTCGCGGGCCTTGCGGAGGAGCTCGCGCTCGCGGCCGAGCTCCTGCTCGGTGGGGACGGGCCCGTCGGGCTTGGGCGGCGGGGGCCGGCGCTCGGGGCCGGGCACGGGCGTCTCCGACTTGCCGTCGTCCGGGGGCGAGTTGGGCAGGTTGAAGCCGAAGATCCAGTTGAGGTCCTTTTGGGACTCGCGCTCGGCCGTGAGCCAGAGCGAGCGCTGCGCGTTGCGCTCCGCGGCGACGGCCTCCTTGAAGTGCGTGATGCGCATCGAGGCGCTCTTGCCCGAGCCGAGGAGCTCCTTGGTGGCTGACGTGAGCCAGAGGTTGCGTTCTTTGACTTCGCGGCGGAGGAAGCGCGCGTCGAGGGAGTCGCGCTGGTGGTTGAGCGAGAGGAAGGTGTAGGGATGCGGGACGGTGCCGATGTTGAAGAGCTTGCTGGTGTTGCGGTAGGTGGGCAGGATCTTGACCTTCATGGGCGTCGAGGCGATGCAGGGCTTGTAGTTGCGGTTGGGCGGATGGGAGGCTGGCATGGGTGATTCGGAACACTGCGTCAGGTTGCGCGCGATGTCAATGGCTTCTTCGGTCAAGGCGGTCATGTGCGCTGGAACGGGCTTGACGACGACGACGCCATCTTCAAAGGTGCTCTGCCATGTGTTGTGGAGGTGCGAATTCATCAACTGCGCCAAAGCCTTGAGACCCTCGGCGTTTGCCTTGCCTTCGAGTTTCTGGGCGACATCTTTGTATTTCTCCTTGATGGTTACACGGTCGTAGAGCGCGATGGCATCACCCTGCTTCTCTACGGTCCACATCTCCTGGGGAATCGCATCGACGATGTCCGAAGCCTTCTTCAACTTCACAGGATCGTTCAGAGCGGCTTGGGCTGCGGCATTGATCGCATCCTTCTCGCCGACAAACAGACCGTTCCGCAGAGACTCGTAACGTGTGAGTTTGGGGTACTCTCCACGGCGAAGCATAACAAGGAAGGGATCGTCGTAAGGAGCCATAGGGAGGGTGAGCCAATTGGTCATGATGCCCGAACCCATGTTTCCCCATGCCAACCAACGGGCAACTTCAAGCTCGAGCTTCTCCAGCTCAGGCGACTCCTTGAGGTTGGCAAGCTGCAGGGTCTTGTACAGAGGGTTGTTCATGGCCTCGCCGCGTCCCAGAACCACGGGCTTGAAACCTTTGGCCCACCAAGCACGGCGCCACTGCAAAAGCAGCTGCTCTTCAGCCTCCCGAATGGCTGGGTTCTGCTTCACATCCCCATCGTAAAACGTATAGATGGGCTGGCGAGGCCTCAGAGGCGGCAGAACGGCCCTGTTCTCGTCCAGGGTAATGGATGACGAAAAGGGATTCTGCCACTTCCAGTCACTGAACCATGTTGTCTCGCCGCTGGAACTATTGGCCTGGACGGGTGGCTCGTGCGCTACCGGAGCAAACGGATTGTACGAGTTCGGGAGATGTGGCAGGTTGGGATTCTTGATCTTCTCGGAGACCTCTTGATAGGTGGGTACGTGATCGATGTTGGTCGGGGAGCCGAAGAGCATCAGGCTGATCAAGAAGAAGACAACGATGGCGAGCACCACCTTGTAGCGGGGAGGAATAAAGATGCGGGCCATTGTGGAGCGGGGTACGATCGACGACTAGAGCGACATTCGGAGGGATGGGACGGATACGAAGTCTCGCGGCCCCTATACACAGGGCGGCAGCAAGGAACGGTCTCGGGGTGCCGATTGAAGGAGCGACGATGGGGGCGAATGGTGCGAAACGGGTCGAATCGAGGCGGGAGTGTGGAGCGCTCGCAGAGAGCACGCCAAGAGGGGATAGCAGGCGTGGTGAAGTTTGCTGGAGGCGGCACACCTGGGCAGAGTTGGTGTTGCGCGTCCTGCGGTCGGCGCGCGCGAATCAGGGCGATGATGTTCGTCGGGCCGGATCGGTGTAGCCCTGCCAAGAGCAGCTGCGGCGCCACTGCAAGGGCCCCGCCCGCCGGCTTCGGACGTCATTCCCCAGGTTTTTCTGCGACGGCGCTCACGGTTGCTGTTGACTCATGCCGCTGCTGCTGCCCGCCGCATCCCACCTCTAGACGGCCGGCCCTTTTTCAACACCGCCTTCTCTCTCGTTTTCTGCGTTTCTCTTCTTCCGGCCACGCCCCCTCACAGCAATGGCTCAGACCGGTACCGCTTCGGTCCTCCCAGACCCCGCCGCCGACCTTCACTGGAGCGACTACCGCGGAGGTAAACATGCTTCTCACTCCTCCATGTAGCCAATCGCTCAATCACGCCCAGCAATCCACGAAATATTCGCCGCCAACGCCGAGAAGCACCCCGAGAGACCATGCGTTGTCGAAACCCCGAGTGCCCGCACTCCCGAGCGCGCCTTCACCTACAAGCAGATCAATGAGAGCTCCAATCAGCTTGCCCACCACTTCCTGGCGCATGGCTGTGAGCGCGGAGACGTCGTCATGGTCTACGCCCACCGTGGGTCAGTAGACTACCTGCCATCGTTCTCCTAATACGCTTCTGACCCGCCGCAGTGTGGACCTCGTCGTTGCATACATGGGTGCTCTGAAGGCCGGTGCCACCGTCAGCGTGCTGGATCCCCAGTACCCTCCCGACCGTCAGACCATATACCTGGAAGTTGCAAGCCCTAGGTTCCTCGTCCAGATCGAGCGCGCGACTGAGGAGGCCGGCAAGCTGCCAGACAAGGTTAGAGATTTCATCACCCAAAACTTGAGCATCAAGGCCGAAGTGCCTGCTCTCAAGCTTCAGGACGATGGTTCTCTGGCAGGTGGTGAGGTCGACGGCAAGGATTGTCTGGAGGCGCAAGAGTCCCTCAAGAGCCAGTTGCCTGGTGTCTTGGTTGGTCCTGACTCTATTCCGACCCTGTCATTCACCAGTGGCTCCGAGGGCAGGCCCAAGGGTGTGCAGGGTCGCCACTTCTCTCTGGCATACTACTTCCCTTGGATGGCGCAAAGGTTCAATCTGTCCGAGAATGACAGGTTTACCATGCTGTCTGGCATTGCCCATGATCCTATCCAGGTGCGCAATCACGATCTATGCGGATAGTCCGCATCATGCTAACCGGTGCAGAGAGACATCTTCACCCCACTCTTCCTTGGTGCACAACTCCTTGTTCCCAGCCGCGACGATATTGCACATGAGCTTCTCGCCGAATGGATGCGCAACTACAAGGCTACCGTTACCCACCTCACCCCTGCCATGGGTCAGATCCTCGTCGGAGGCGCCAGCGCCCAGTTTCCTTCTCTGCACCACTCCTTCTTTGTAGGTGATGTCTTGATCAAGAGAGATTGCAAGAGGCTCCAGGAGCTGGCACACAACGTTCGCATCGTCAACATGTACGGAACCACCGAAACTCAGCGCGCCGTGTCCTATTACGAGGTGCCGAGCAAGAACGACGACCCGAACTTCCTGGACACCATGGGCGATATCATCCCTGCCGGGAAGGGTATGCTCGACGTCCAATTGCTGGTCGTTGACCGCGAGAACAGGAATCGCATCTGCGACGTTGGCGAGCAGGGAGAAATCTTTACCAGAGCAGGCGGTTTGGCAGAGGGATACCTTGGCAACGATGAGACTACTGCCAAGCTGAACGAGTCCAAGTTCATTTCCAACTGGTTCATTGATAATGCCAAGTGGGTTAAGCAGGACGAAGAGAAGGTCACATCTTCCGGAGTCAAGGAGCCTTGGCGCCAACTCTACAAGGGTCCTCGGGACCGTCTCTACCGGACCGGTGACTTGGGTCGTTACACTGCTGACGGAAATGTTGAGTGCACTGGCCGCATCGACAACCAAGTCAAGATCAGAGGCTTCCGTATCGAGCTCGGCGAAATTGACACTCACTTGTCCCGCCACCCGCTCATCCGTGAGAACGTCACTCTGGTCCGCAGGAACAAGGATGAGGAGCCGACGTTGGTCAGCTACATTGTTCCCGAGATGAAGCGCTGGCTTCAGTGGCTGGAGGAGAAGGGTCTTGCTGCGGACGACTCCCAGGACGACTCCATGGTTGGCATGTTGAAGAAATTCAAGCCCTTGTCGGACGACTGCAGGAGCTTCCTCAAGACCAAAGTGCCTTCTTACGCAGTCCCCAGCGTTCTTGTCCCTCTCTCCCGCATGCCGCTCAACCCCAACGGCAAAATCGACAAGCCGGCGTTGCCGTTCCCTGAGCCTACAGATCTTCTCCTTGCCGCTGGTAGGAGACCATCTCAAGTGGCTGCCTCCATGACTGAGACTCAGAAGAAGGTTGCCGAGATCTGGGGCAAGCTACTGCCGAACACGTCGGCCCGCATGTTGACTCCTGAGTCCAACTTCTTCGAGGAGGGTGGCCACTCCATCCTAGCTCAGCAGATGCTTCTACAGGTCAGGAGGACGTGGAAGGGTATCGATGTTCCCATGAGCGTCATCTTCCAGTCGCAAACGTTGGAGGCTTTCTCCACTGAAATTGACCGCGCTCAGGATCCAGCTGGTCTGCGTCTGGAGCACGCTCCCGCTCCCGACGATGTCACAGATGAGGCCTACTCTGCCGATGCTCGCGAGCTTGCGCAACAACTGCCGAAATCCATCCCAACTGCCACACTTGACTTCTCGGAGTCCAAGACGGTATTCCTTACTGGCGCCACTGGTTTCTTGGGATCTTACCTCCTGAGGGATCTTTTTAGCCGTAACTTGCGCGTCATTGCGCACGTCCGTGCCAAGGACCCTGCTGCTGGTCTCGAGCGTATTACCTCTACCTGTCAAGCATACGGCATCTGGTCCGAGGCCTGGCGCTCCCAGCTGGAGGTTGTCATTGGTGACCTTTCCAAACCCAATCTTGGGCTTGAGAAGGAGGCTTGGGAGCGCGTCGCTAACGAGGCGGATGTTATCATTCACAACGGCGCGTTGGTCAACTGGATGCAGCCGTACTCCAGCCTCCGCTCTCCCAACGTCCTCTCCACGATGAATGCCATCTCGCTATGCACGAGTGGCAAGCCCAAGCAGCTTGGGTTTGTCAGCTCTACCTCTACCCTGGACAGCGATCACTATGTCAAGCTGTCCCAGGAGAGCGTGGCTGCTGGCGGCAAGGGTGTGTTGGAGGCTGACGATATGGAGGGCAGCCGCAAGGGTCTCGGAACTGGATATGGCCAGTCCAAGTGGGCCAGCGAGTACATTGTCCGTGAGGCAGGCAAGCGAGGTCTCAAAGGAGCCGTTATCCGTCCCGGATACGTCACTGGCGATCCTGTCACCGGCACCTCGATCACGGATGACTTCCTTGTCCGTCTCCTGAAGGGATGCCTCCAGCTCAATGCTCGCCCCGACATCAAGAACACGGTCAACCAGGTCCCCGTCACTCACGTCGCCCGCGTTGTTATCGCGTCGACCCTCAACCCACCGGTTGAGCCCCTCGGCGTCGCACAAGTCACCAGCCATCCCCGCCTCTCTTTCAACGAGTTCGTCGGCGCGCTCGAGACTTATGGCTACGACGTTCCGCAGGTTTCGTATGACGAATGGCGGACGAAGATGGAAGACTACGTGGCGGCCTCGATCGACGGCGAGAAGGAAGAGCACGCTCTCCTCCCACTTTTCCATTTCGTCACGGGCAACCTCCCCGCCGACACGATTGCGCCCGAGCTCGATGACGCGCAGTCTGCGGCCGCGCTTCGGGCCGACGCCAAGTGGACGGGCGAGGACGTGTCGGGCGGCAGCGCCGTCACGGTCGAGACGCTGGGTGCATACCTTGCGTACCTGGTCGCGGTGGGCTTTTTGCCGTCGCCGACGAAGAAGGGCGAGAGAGAGCTGCCGACGTGCGAGCTGAACGCGGATCAGAAGGCGGCGCTGGGTAAGATCGGCGGTCGTGGTGGTGGCGCCGCTTAAGTGGGTTGTGGATATCTCGGACGGAAGTAGTGGAATCTGCTTGATACATATTATGGGTCTGGTTGCAATCGGTTTGTGAAAAGGATAAAAGAGATTTGGCGTCTGACTATCTTAGATCAATGAGTTATGTGTTGATTCTGGAGTCATCTCGGTGTTCAGTCCGTGCTCTATCAATTTTCATACATGCCCTCACACAGGTAGCTACATTTCAGTTGTCCGAGGGGTTTGGCTGGGTGAAAGGGGATCGAGATTGTGGCTGGTGTGAATGCGGGGTTGGCAGCTGAAAAAGCGAAGACGGATAACACCGTGGGGGAACCCGAGTCGAAAGCCACCTCAAGGATAGCTGCGCAGGTGGCTCTAAGCCGCTATGCGCTTTCTCCGCGGCCGTTCGGTTGTGAGTGGGTCTCGCCATTGGCACTCTTGCAGTCCGCTGGAGCCTCCATGACACGAAAAAAAAGAAAAATAATAACGGCGGAGCATCAATTATAGTGCAACGACTTCACGCGAAGGCTCGTAGCCAGGATTACGCATTCTCGAAAGTCTTTGACGCTTTGGAAGCACCGAGGAACCAATTGTGGATGCGGTTAATTATAGCATTGCATAAAAAGGCAGAGTGTCTCAGCTCGAACCGAATGGCGTTCCTCTGCTCCACATTATGATGCACTCAGCCAGCCACGACATGCAAGGCAGACATTCTATGGGCCTTCATGTCTTTTATTTCCCACCTCACTTGCCTGGCCCTTTATTCCCGTTCTTGGAACCTTGGACGAAAGGGTGAGAAGGCATTCAGGAAGGAACATCTAGATGAGTGCCAAGGGTGTAGTAGTAGACCAAATCCTACATGGCCTTGGTCCTTTTGGGACCGCTCAACATGTATCCACCGCATGCACAATAAAAATAGAAATAAAACCGGACAGAAGCTGTCTAGAGAGTCCACCTGATTCTTCAGTTCTACATACTCGCTGCTCGGTGTTGAGAAGTTGTTGTGCTATCCTGGATCATATTACCATCTCGTTCCTTAGCACGTCCACACCTGAGATAATGTGAGTGGTCGAAGTATATGTCCGAGCACAGATGCTGATTTTACATTCGTACACATGCGTCTAGATATATGTTGCAATATGAGCGTTGTAGCAGTAGGTCAATAAATCGAGCGGACCGAGGCAATGAAGATGGCCCATTGGCGATCCTACCGAGTTTCGACCTGGCGTACATGAGGCTTGCGTGAAGACACACGCGAGTCGATAAGGATATTGCGACATTCAAAGTCCAGCGGGCCAATCAATCGTAGTACAGTCCGCCTCTAGCTGTTGAGAAAACGAGCCACGGAAACCCCTGCACAGAGCTGAAAGCTCAGCCCGAGAGGCTGATGTCAGTCGACAGTCACCTGTGCTGAGTAATTGGAACTGCCGATCTGCGGCTCCAAAAGCTTGAGAAAAGTAGTTCGGCGTAATAAATAGGAGCCCTGCCTAATGCTCTCAATGTCTTGAACCCCGTTTTCGTCTCTCAAGAATCTCATGGCAGCACCCTGAAATGTGGATTGAGCTGCCGCCTCTTTTGCAGCGTGCCGGTGGAGCGACGCCACAGCGCTCGGTTAATGCGGAGACGGCAAAGCAGGTATTGAGCCCTTTCCACATGAATAATCCTTGACGTTCACGTGAACAGGTGGTAGCCGTGTGACGGCCTCCCGGAACCGAGCCTGGCCCAACTTTCAGAAGCATCCGACGTTCGATTGGGACTTACTAACCCATAACAATAGCTATGGGAAACGCATCGAGGCCCCACTCACCGCCACCTATTCTGCCGCACCAACGTGTCACGACAAAGGAGGCGGAGCCAGCCGTCATACGGATTACCCATGCCGAACAAGGCTCACATTCCTGCTCCTGCTCTTGCAAAGCCAAGGCGCAATCCTACACATTCAACGGGGGCTGTTACCGGTATCAAAGTGCAGAGAAAAGCCAACCAGGTTAATGACTTGGCGCATATGTTATGCAAGTTTGATCCCACGGATTTACTGGATCACAGTCGTCAAGAAGCCACTACCACTCATTCGCAAGGCATCCAACAGGCAAACGGTCAATCTGCTTACTTTGCTTGGCTTGTTCCCAGTTCCAGGAACTCGTAACCCAGTCTTGCGGGACCCATTACAAGCCGTGAACCTGCACCATATCACATTTCACGGACCTCCGATGGTGCCGAAATAAGCCTTGGTCATGAATACCGCACAGCACCGCTTTCCGTACTACAGTGGGCTGTTGCTGCGAGACGCTTCTTTCTCTATTTTTAGTCTCTGATAACTCCCCCAACCCCCGAATTCTCCGCCCACTAGAGACGTAACAACCCTACGTATCATACATCATTGCACATTCTGATTCTGTCGTACATGCTGATCAACCCCGCAACTGGTTCAATTTTGGATACCTTACAACGCTAAAGCTGGTAGGGTGTACCTCAATACAATCAAATTCGCCTATATACTTCTTGCTGACAAGCAGATACCGATAGCGACTGCATGTTCTGACAACGGCAGCCTTTTGGCACGTTTCTATCGCGAACGACATCACACCATCACCAATATATCTACTTCTGTTCGAAGACTTTCCGACCGAGGGGCGCAACGCCAGCCGCTGTTGTTCGGGTGCAAACACGAGAGACGATTGTGGGCGGAGTTACAGAGCCGACATACCCGGAAACCTTGAGAGGACTGGGAGAGCCCATTGGCGTGGCACAGTTCGGTTACGAAAGATCGAACAGTGATCCGAGCAATTCGACCAAGCTCTTCGGCTGAATCTTTCGAGCCGGCGCATACGAATAGCACTACCATGGAGTATCCTTACCTCGCAATCGCATCCGAGTCGACCGAAGACGTCCGTTTCGAGGACCTACAAAACAGTATGCCGGTTGAGCTCAATCAGATATTGATGCCACCTCCACTGGAGGGCCGCCAGTCGAGCGCGAGCTTTCCCTTCATTCCGGAGGCTGTGTTGAAAAGAGGCTTGCCATCGACAGTCAACCACATAACAGTACCCTCACCGCAGCCCAATGGATCGTCCCCACGTCTATCAGCACCGACATACAACAGCACTCCAAGCGCACCATCCGCATTCACAAGTGATCCTTCTCCAGCGCAATTCCAGTTGATCCCAGAGATGCCAGTCCATGCTATCAGGCGAGTTCCAAATCATCCCGTTGCGGATCCTCTCCTCGACATCACGCTCTTCGATCTAAGTCTACCTGCCGACATCACCATGCCAACAGGATACGGGCAGTCTCACAATCTGATGGACCACGACTCCATCGCGTATCCCATCTTAGGAAGCCACATCTTCGACTACGCCTACCAGGGACGGCATACGTACGGCAACGTTGACGACGACGGAGGACATGTGGCCGAACTCTCGCCTGCACCCAACCGATGCCCCGACTGTGGAGTCACTTTCCGCGGCGGAAAGCACCAGTTCCAGCGCAATCTGAGGAGGCATCGCATCCACCATTGCCAGGTGGGCGCGACAGAAAAGTATCCCTGCCGTTTTGGGGGGTGCGAGGCCTCGTTTACCCGGACAGACGGGCGGAAGTATCACGAAAAGACGCAGCACCGTCTCTACATTACCGGAAATCCTGCAAGTACTTGACTGGGACTGAATTCCTTCTTGACGAATTTTCTTCTCTTCGATAGACTTCCACCTTTTGTTTTGCCGTTATTGGAGTTGCAGGGGCTGAGTATGAGCAATCATCGTCAAGCATCCAAGACAGTAGTGCGCAAGTACATAAGACCCAAGAGCGCGTTATCTCATTGTTGTACCACGTGTTTGATTTGCCGTAGTGCTGAGATCCGGATGTGTGTTCTTGCGGCGGGCGCTGAATAGATATCGACTGGACCTTTTGGCGGGCTTTGTGATGGGTTCAAGCGTCGTCGTAAGGTTTCCGCTAGACTTAACAACAACAATGAAATCCGAAAACGGTATTCGAGGCTGTAAATTGTTCTGCTACCTCTGTTGATGCCCCCGATCCAATCATTCCTGGGTCGTAACGTGTCCGGAACGTCAGCGCACATATATTCGGGGGATTGTCCCTCTCAATGGCTCTTCGAGCGCGTTAGGTTGGGAAGGCGGAAAGGGGGTATGAGGATAGGTGGGTGCTGAGGGCGTGGGAGAGAGAGGTGAAGGGGAAGGAGAGGGGGAGAGCGTAGGGCGGGTGGGAGTGAAGTGTCGTGCGGAGTGGAAAGGGATGTGTGTGTTGGATGGCGGCCTCGCTTTTACTCTTGAGCAGCCTTTTTCGATGGACCTCCTTGCGTTACTAAAATATACCTTCTTTTGTAACACTAACCTTCAAGGAGTTGTCTGAGGTCCGCTCTGTCCGAAACAGTGGGGTCTGTGGAGACAATCGTCCGTGATCGTCGCTGTGCCACGCCGACGCCGCACTCCCACCTGCCTCTCTGGTCTCCTGAGGCAGCCGATATTATCGCTTATATGATGCATGGGCGCAGCATTTAAATAATTGGCCCGCCCCGGCCAGAATGACCGCTAAAGCGGGGTTACGACGAATTTGTTTTCTTCAGCACTTTTCCATGTCGAAACGCGCATGATTCAACATCCACGAGCCTGTTGATCCGTACATCGAGAGCGACATGTGTAACCCAGAAGCACAGACTACAGTACAGGAAGAAGGCCTGCAGGACATTGAAGTAGACCCAGGCGTACGTGGGAAGATATCGTTCTGCTTCCTGATCTAACCCGGCGATTTTGACAGCTCGACTCCGACTCTGCCATCGGAAGCGTTGATGACCAGCTGTACGATTGCATTTCTTCTATCAGTAGCCCAGGGAAATACCGCTTACACAGCCAGCTCCGCATACACCCAGTCTCTGACTTCCAGCGTAACTGCATATCCGGTCGAACACGGTCGCCGGTACCACGCCTACAAGGATGGTTCCTACTTCATGCCCAACGACGAGGTCAGCGAATCAGCAAATCGTGCGTACGAAACGAGTCTTTTGACTGATGTCTGCAGAATGAGCAAGACCGTCTTGATTTGATGCACCACCTCATAATGGTGCTCACGGATGGGAAGGACTTTCTCGCGCCCATCAAGAACGAGGACTTGAAGCGTGTTCTGGACGCTGGCTGCGGAACTGTGAGGGCTTCATGATACACAAACCTATTGGCCATGGGAGTACTGACATGTGACAGGGAATATGGTCCATCGGGATGGGTGCGAGCAAGCTCATTTCTTGACATTTCATGCTGTTGAGCTGACGCATTGGTCCAGGGGATAAGTACCCCGAAGCAGAAGTAAGGCTTACCCAAAGTGACGCCTCCCCAGATCAAAGCTCTAACTGTTCAAGATACTCGGAAACGATCTCAGCCCGGTGCAGCCGGCGTGGGTGGTACGTATATGCGATATCGACCTCTCCCTGAAATGGCTGACTTGGACCCGGCTGCACAGCCTCCCAACGTCAAGTTCGAGGTCGATGATCTCGAAGCGCCGTGGAATCATCCGAAGCCGTTTGACCTGATCTTTTGCCGCTATCTCGACGGCGCTATTTCCGACTGGCCCACTCTCGTCTCCAACATGTTTGACCATACCAGGCCAGGCGGTTGGGTTGAGTATGAAGACCATCTGAGTGCCACTGAAACTCCTGCTAAACCGCTTTCTCCAGGCTTCAAGGCTACGACGCCCAGTTCAGATCCGATGATGGCACCCTGAAGTCGGATGCGTACCTTAAACGCTACTTTGAAACCATCGAGAAAGGAATCTCCAAGATGGGCAAAGTGCTGTCTACCGGGCCGCTCTTTGAGGGATTGCTGAAAGATGCAGGTTTTTCCAACATCCACGTCCACAAGTATAAGCTCCCAATCGGCACTTGGCCTAAAGATAAGAAGATGGTATGTCGTGGCTATGTGCAAACCTGTGGAGAGTTCAGTGACTGACATGGAGTACAGAAAGAAGCTGGGACCATCAATACGCTGCAGTACCTCGACGGCATGGAGGCCTTCTCCTACCGCTTGTTGACTGGCGTCTTGGACTGGAAGCTTGAGGAGGTGCAAGTATTCAATGCCAAAGTTGCCGAGGAGATCAAGAGCAACAAGATTCATGCATACTACACACTGTAAGTGACAACACAACTACCTGCATTTATTTAGGCTAACCTGTCTTGTCTGTAGCTATGTTGTGTACGGTCAGAAACCAGAGAAAGACGAAGAGTAAAGGCTCATCATAGCTGTAGCATAATATCGAGGAGTTGAAGGATGGTCAGATATGTCTGTTCCTGAGTTCAATTTACTCAGTCGAGACAATATACGACAATAAGACTTTCTTGATTCAAGCTTATAAAATGCTAGATAGAGCCATCGACGTGTTAGTACTGTATCGATATGTCTCCAATCCAGCCCACGTTCAACGATCCTATGTGGCTGAGAATGGCAATAGTTTCGAGGAATGAACATGGAGGATTGCATAAAAGCTTATGCAAAGAACATACTCCCGGAACGCCGCAATCTCACCCTTGTCGCGGCAGATCCATCAAACGACAGCGTTGACCCTTCTGATTGGCACACAGTGAGGACGACTTGCGCCTCTACTTCCGAAAGTTCAGTCACAACAAACCACCTTGGTCTAGTCAGCTGCGGAAACTCATCTCTGTTCGCAGTGATGGGCTGCGACATGGGTCTCATGTCAGCACTCACTCCAGGCGTATCCAACTGGTTCTTCTGGATCTGCTCGCAGAAGTACAACTACGACTCTACCAAAGAGGGTGTGTCCAGCCTCTGCAGCGATGTGGTGGGGTGTTTTTGCGGAGGGAGCAGGTGGTGGTGTTGGGAATTATGCTTTTTCGAATGAGAAGGTGGGGGAGATGGTGCCGGGTAGGTTGTATGCGTAGCAACTGAGAAATCTGGGGGAAGGAAAGCCGGATGTGTATGTGTGTGTGTGTGTGTGTGTGTGTGTGTGTGGGGCTCCGCGGGGGTGGGTTGTTGAGATCGGAGAAAGCGGCGCTCTGGGGAGATACACTACGGCGTGGAGGCTGCATGGAGGTCATACTTGGATGAAGGATGAGAGAGCTATGCGTACGGCAGCATCGAAATGGGATTTCGAGACATTCTACTCATCTGATGCGTATGGTCTGTTCCCTCTGGTCCCCTTTCTGAAGCGCGTTCTGCCCTTTTGCATCAGCGTAGTTTGAGAGTTTTGTCAGTCCGATCCGCTTGAAGTTTCTGTCATCGTCCAGCTTCTGCAGCAGAAGACACATGAGATATCGTGATGTCTTCTTGACAGTCCGCTCTCCAAACGCGGCAGGCATGCAGTACAACTCTGCTTTGTCGGAGAAGATGTCCACGTCCGAGTCGGGAGCGTCCAGGTACACGTTGGTATGCTCTCTTCTCGTCGGGTCAAATGGCCGGAACGGACCGCTGTCGTCCAGCCACCAACCATAGGGAACCCTGCGAGGCAGCTCGAGCTTTCGCAGATGTATCTTCCGGAGATATTTCACCTTGAGCTCGATGAAGCCGGCATTGTTCTCGTTCTTGAGCAGGCCGAATCGGTCATACTTGCCATTCTCATCCGTGTACGGCAGGTGCCAGCTGATGACTTTGAACAGAAGCTCGTCATTGCATCCGTTGTAGTCTGTTGCTTCGCCGTATACAATGCCCTGAGGAACATCGAGAGTTGCCCACGAAAACGATGGAGCCCTTGTGGGATCACGGGTCGAGTGGTTCTCGAACAAGCCGTCTTTGAAGACGGGCTCGACGCGCCACAAGAGCTGGCTCTCGAGATATTGGTCCCACATGCCGGCAACGTATTCGACGTTTTGAAGGTACGTGGTGTGGATCAACTTGGCGATTCCGGAGAGGGCAATCAGCTTGTCCCTCGACATGGTCAGCTTAGTTTTCGAATAGGCCTCGACGATGCGTTTCCACAGCTCATAGACGTAAACGTTTTCCAACCCCTCGTCGGGGTCTTTGAAGCCATTCAGTCGGATCTCACGTAGGGCCAGGCCGTCCTTGTCCGGGTCCAGGCTCTTGAATCTGCCCTCTTGCACGATTTCTCCGAGTTTGACCTTGTATGGCGGAACGCACTCGGAATGGCCTTCGGTACGATCGAACTCGGCGCACTCCCAAGCGATCTGGTTGGCGCAAAAGTGAAGAACGCGCGGAGCCATCAGCCTTTCCTGCAGGACCCAGGCTCGCTTGTTGACCGGAGCATTGTCGACCAAGTCTTCCCAGAAGGCAACGTCGATAATGGTGCAGCGCCTCAGATGGTCTTTTCCGGATTCCTTTTTTTGCAGAGGCATGTCGGGATAGTAGTCTCCCTCGTTTGATTTTGGGGGCGATGGTTCATGGCCGGGAAGGCCAACGAGGTTCAGGTTGATCTCGTCTTCCCAAAGGTGGTCGGGGTGGCGAGGGAAGAAGAGCCCCTTGTCTCCGTCTACAGCAGCAGTGGCGGAGATGTTGAGATACGACTCGCGGTAGACATCGCCCATGACGCGAGACTGCTCCAGCCAATCCCTCTCGGCGTCCTTTGGGTCGTCGCCCGGAAACGAGCTCGGCTGTTTGATGCAGAGGGAGTCGATCCAGACGTAGCCAACTCCTTCAAGACGGCAGGCAAACAGGATTGCGTCGCGAAAGCTCTTGGTGAAGGCTCCGAGCTCTATTCCCTCGCCCTTGAACTTCTTCTCGGTCCGGCTGGTGAGCTTGAGCTGGCCTTGGACGCTTTTCGGGCGGCCCCAGCAATGGCTCAAGGTCACGAATCTGTTGTACCTCTGGGCCTTTAGTGTTTCGGCATCCTCCTCGACAAGCTTGACTTTGAAGTGGTCGAGGATGGAAGTCTTGGACAGAAAAGTAAAGTCCTGGCCGATCTTCACTCCGTTTGCCTCTCTCAGCTCCTGGATATCGATGAGCCTTTTCGGGTAGCGTTTGTGCCGAATTGCTCCTGGCTCCCAAGAGCTTGCGCATTTGCAGCCCGCAATCCAACTGTGGGCCAGCTCAAAGACCTCGTCTGACGAGGTGTGATAGGACTTTGGAGTCCTCAAAGAGAACTCCTGTGAGACTGGGGTGGCCGACATGTCAGATGCACGGGGCTGTCGGACTGTGAAGGAGGGTTACTCGCCTGTGGGCCGCAGCACAAATGTGCGGGTGCGGCGCTTCTCCAGGATGAAGTCCAAGCGATAGACGCCGCCGTCCTTCCACTGGCCACCCTTGAGCTCGGAAAGATTGGCGTCGATGGAGATGTCCTGGTCGTCGAGCAGGTCCATTTCGTGGCGCAGCTCATTGGCAAGGGCAATGCATATGGAGCAGCCGGCTTCTCTCGACCTGCGGAGGGACTCTGTCCTGGCGTGGTGCTTGAAAGTGAGGTCGTAGGTGCCGTTCCATTGCTGCCCCGTGCCGCCGCGGAGCATACACGCGCATGTCCTGCAAAGCATGGCTCAGTGGGGCCACAGTTGTGGTGGTGAGGCAGGGCGGGAGGCGTTGCGGAGCCCGGGGCCGCATGCCCAGGCCAAACGCCTTTATAGCGGGAGGTCCGATGAGCCAAACAGTGGGGTCGGGGGTGCATCTCGCTGGCGGCGTGCCATTGGCGGCAGAGCGTAGCACACGAAAAGAAGCAAAATAGAGTGGGAATTGGGGGCGGAATGGGGCACGTGGGGCGGGCGCGTCGCTTGCACCTTAGCTTTGACGTCTCCTCAGTCGCACCTTCCCGTGCACCAGGTACCACAGCACTTACCACCACCCCGTCTTGCTGCGCCCACCCTCGCCGTGCGCATGGCACACCGTCCCAGGCACCCGAGGACCCGCCCCTGCAAACCCCTCTTGGCCCTGCATGCATAGCCTGCCTTGCTGCGCCTCAACCCTGCCCCGCTTTTGGCGCTGACCCAGCCCAGCCTGACGCCTTTCGATACTCGCCATTGCTGCCAAAACCCAGGCCCGCCCCGCTCTCTTTCCCGTCCCCCAGCCATGGAAAACGACGCACGAAAGATGGACATCCGCTTCCACCTCCGGAACGACTGGCCCGAGCCGGCCAAGGACGACTGGCCCGCGCCGGTCCAAGTCACCATCGCGCCCGACGCCGCCGCCGCCGGCCTGACCGAGGACCTCGCCCTCAACTTCACAGCCTTCCGCGACTGGAGCCGCACGCTGCGCAAGAACCTCTCGCTGCAGGCCTCCAAATCCGGCCACACCTTCTCCCAGGACCCGTGGACCCTCGACCGCATCAACATCCACGCCGCCACCTTCTTCGGCCCGCGCGTCGGCTTCATGCAGATCGAGGCCAAGCTGCGCCGCGACAACGAAGAGCCGCGCCGGCTCGAGCGCGTCGTCTTCCTGCGCGGCGGCAGCGTGGCCATGCTCATGATCCTGCGCCCGCGCGACTCGCGCAACGAGCGCTACGTCATCATGACGGAGCAGCCGCGCGTGGGCGCCGGCTCCATGTGCTTCCTCGAGATCCCCGCGGGCATGCTCGACGACTCGCCCGAGGTGCGCGGCAAGGTGCTCGAGGAGATCAAGGAGGAGACGGGCTTCGCCATCCAGAAGGACGAGCTCATCGACCTCACCGAGCTCGCCCTGCGCGACGACGTCACCCCGGACGACGTGCGCGCCGCAATGTACCCCAGCCCCGCCAACCTGGACGAGTTCATCCCGCTGTTCGTGTGGGAGAAGGAGCTGGACCGCCAGGAGATCGAGGAGCTGAAGGGGAAGCTGACGGGGCTGAGGAAGCACCAGGAGATGATCACCCTCGTCATCTGCCACTACGAGGAGATTTGGCGCAAGGGCGCGAGGGATGCGAAGACGTTGGCTGCTTGGGCGCTGTATGAGGGGTTGAGCCGGGAGGGGAAGATTCAGAAGGAGTTGCTGAGAATACGCACGGGGCGTATCGAATAGAGGAGAGGGGGGAGGGGGTAGACGGGTTTGGTTTTTTTTTTTTTTTGTCTTGAGGGGTCATGGTTCACGACGTTGGCTTGCGATCATCACAATACCCTTTTGCGTCGAGAGAAGAGAGGGATCGGGATCGGGATCGGGTCGGGATAAGGAGTCAAGGGTTTGGGCTTCCTCGATAACGTCACTCACGTCGTTTTGAGATATCTATCGTGTGGACTCTTGTCTAGTCTGCCGGTTCATCAATTTTATTTTTCTTACATCCCGGAAGCTCATCTTGTTCCCCACAAGAGTGCCGAGCCTGCTGGGTAGCGAAAAGCTTGGGTTTGGCTGGCATAAGCATCTGCGGGGCCGGCCGACACCGCCGAAAAGCTGCTGGTTTCGAACAAGAAAAATGGTTTTCGGGCGCCTCGGAAGAAGAGCCGCATGTATGGAATGATCCCTGTACAGAATTTGACTGTACGACGGCCACAAGGTCTGGGGGCTGTGCAGCGAGGCAGACAGCACGAAGTATCACACAGCGCCGGACTCGCTCGCCGAGAGCCTCATGTCTCGGCGAGAGATGGACTGGCTAATGCTTTGGCGATCGATCGCATGCGTCATGTGCTCCGAAAAGGGCTCTGCGTTCATGCATGAGGAGGCACTTCACGCTCTTGCGCGCTTGCGCGCTACGTCACATGCGGAATACGCAAACCGTGTAAGTCATCATTCATTCATGGTTCATGGCTCGTTGGCATGCATGAAGCCCTTCAGAACCGGCGGAGCTGAAGCACTAGATTAAAGTAGGAAATTAAGTGAGAAATGATGGGAAATCGAGAGGTGACCCTGAACCAGCCCATAGGAAAATTAGGAAATGGTAGGAAATAAGCCTGCTTAAGTAGTGAAGAAAAAAAGTGAAAAAGGGTAAAGGGTCCTCGATTCCTTGTATTCTCCTTCAACCCCAAGGGGGTTACAGAAATTCAAGATTTCTTGCGATCGGAAGCAACGTAACCGTGCGCCTTCTTTTCGTGTTTGTTTCTTCCATCCGATCTGGCGAAGCGGGATTCGCAACCTTCCACGCGGCATGGTAGCTTCTCCCTGGGGTTTTTGGGGCAACTGAAATCGCAATGCCTCTTCAAGTTGCGTTTCGAATCGTGGCGGCTTCCAGTGAAGGACATTTTGCAGTCCGGACAGATCATCTGGCTATCTGGAATGTGTTCTTTGTACTCCTCGTTGAAATTGCACGGTATCTTCTCCTTGGGACTCTCGGGGAAACTGGAATCGCGAGTCCTCTTCAAGTTGCATTTCGAACGCTGGAGGCATCCAGTGAAGGGCGTTTTGTAGTCCGAATAGATTATCTGGGTATCTGGAATTTGTTCTTTGCGCTCCTCGATGAGAGTGGCCGACAACATTATGTCCAAGCATAGTAGCGGGCAGTCCATCACTGGACATTTGTGGTTGAGACACTCGAACAAAACAAGTTCCGTCCCACCAGCCAACGCATCATCTCCTGGAACGAGGCCGTCTTGATGGGACAGCCCATTGTGAAGGGGAGATGTCGCACTGTGGCATCCGGAATCGCCGCCACAGGATAGCGCAGGAGTTGCCGGGGTCGATAATTCCGAAGGGAAGTTGCTATTGGAGAACGGCGATACAGAACTTTGGTCGCTGCCATACGCGGATGCTGATGAAAGGGGGGTTAATTGGACTTGTTGAAACTGTGACGAGCGGAAATGATAGGGCGGCATGACGTTGAGTGTAAGAGAAGCACCTCTTCTAAGTGCGGGTTGGTGACGGGGATTGGGATAAGCCATCATGCTTGAGGGACGATCGACTGGCAGGTTTGGTGTGTGTACCACGTGAGAAACGGGCGCGGGTTGGATGGGATGAAGGTTGGATGCATCAGAGCGGCTTGGTAAGGGTTGCTGGCTCGAGTCCCGTGGCGGCAAAAATGAAAAGCCCGTGTTCCAGAAAGTTGAAGGTGACTGATGAGGTTCAGGAACCCAAGAATAAGAAGCTTCGGGCTCCTGGTGAGCTTGACCTGCCATGATGCTGTGCTCGAGATCTTTTTCCCCCGCTTGAGCGTCTGTTGTGGAAGTCTCGGCTATAGGTTCGTTGGTGGGAAGTTCCACGAGCTCGGTGGCGGAAAGCTCATGAACTGGGTGGTTGTTCGCGCAAAGCTCGGCTGGGAGCTCTTTGGTGGTTGGAAGCTCAAGTACGCGTTCGGGGGTGGGGGTGGGAAGCTCAACCACGGCGGTAGTGGGGAGTTCAGCTATGGATTCAGCCGCGATGGCCTCGTGAGACTCGGATGTTGTATTCTGAGGATAACGCTTCCCTTCCGTGTCGATGTGCCCGTGTGTGGATTTCCGTTCCCGGTTGAATCTTATCATGAAGCTGCCGTGTTTGGACCAGGCAATCACTATGGGTACCCGTCTGTCAGTTGATGATATATCAGCGATGCGGTCCCAGCACGGGGTCGTCCGTACCAACTTGAATTCTTTCCAGTGGTCAAAGACGGAGCAATGACGGCAAGAAGTACCATGCATGGTGGTGAAAAGAGCGCAAATGATAGACTGGCGAGTGATGCAGCCGATTTTGAGCTTCAAAGCGACTGGCAGTGCCCGAATGCTGAAGCCACATTGTAGTGACAGGACGGACGTGAGAAGATATAAGGGAACAAGCGATCGAAAGAGCCGCCGCGCTCTTCCAAGCAACAAAAGAAGATGAGGCCGTGGGACTCCATTGCCCCATGGCCGCATGGCCGCACTCGCCTCCCGCATGTATGGCATCCATGAGCGATCGAGTCCCTCGGTAGTCGGGGTATCGTAGCGACGCGCGAAGCACGGATTTGCGCAACTGCGAGATATTGTTCAATGGACTCTACCGGCCATGTATCCTTGTCGACGCCTAACGTGCAGAGAGTCCCTGAGCTCCATTATTCGCTACCGATTGGCAGCCCATGAAGCGGCGAGACTGACCATGCAGCCGGCGTGCAACATTTCAGAAACCATAACGTCCGTGTTCGCTACGGTTTGTTGACCGGTGCACTGGCGGGGCAGGTTTCGTAGTTTCAGCCTTGTGCGTTGGCGGAGTGGCAAAATGAGGGGGTGGAGGTTCGCTTGATGCCGGCGAGCCCGCGAAGGATGTCGGCGAGCCCGCGAAGTTGAGGCTCTACAAGTCCTTCCTCGGGTGGATCGGAGGAGATTGTGATTGATTGCACTGTCGTGGGACACAGGCGAGGCTACGCCAAGGGGTGTAACGCATCTAGAGAGCCAAAGCCATGTCATCTGGAGTCCGGATCAGTTCCGAGCTTCGGATGAGGAGGAGGGCACTACCAGGTGCGGTGCGTAGGACTCGGACGTGCGTCATAGAAGGTGTTTTTCGCAGGTATCGATATTGAAACGGGCAAGCTTGAGTCCCGGGGTGCTGTAGAAGGGCCCTTGGGCGATCAAAAGAGCGATCGGGACTCAAGCGGCTCCCGGGAAAAGCCTTCTTTTATCAACGCAGGCCAGTTTCGCTAGATCTGCTCGAGCTGAAAACCTCCAGCTTAGAACGGCAACATGCAAGTATCCACCACTCAGCTCCTGGGGGCCGAGCCTTCAGCTTGCTGCAGCTGTTTACGTGTGGCTGTTGCTCGAAAGTCGACGGGGGTGTAGTGGACTTGCACTTCATTGGCTGGCTACGCTCTAGATGTAGCACGATCGGCGGGCACCACCCGCTTTCATAAGGTCCCGTGACATGACATGGATCCCAAACATGACTCGGCTCAGTATATTCGTGGACAAACAGGAATGGAATTGTTTGTTGACAGTACAGAACGAAACACCATGATCTCCTTCTACAGATCAATTTCGCTTCCAGGCCGAGCGATATTCTGGCGCCAATGGTGGGCGTTAAAAGGATCCTTCTCATACACATTGACTTCGAAAAACTTGTTGTGGTTCGAGCACTTGAAGTTTTTGTACCTTCGGAGACCAATAAGCATTGAGAACGATGCAATCCGACACTGCGGATTTACTTACGCATTCAGCTTCTTGTAGTTTGCTGCAATCAGGTCGGATTCGGTGACTTCAACAAAGGCATCCTCTTCATCTCCCTTGTTGGTGGCAGCGAAGTACCTCTTGGCCTCAAGAGGACCGAAGTTGACCTGCTTGACCAATTGAATGACGTGGGGATAGCCAAGGGCTGCGAGCTTGTCGTCTTGCTCCCCAGCAGACTGCGCTGTCGCCTCCCTCGGGAAGGCAGCCCACTTCATGAAGACGGTGAACTTGGGTTCATGGCTGAGGGCTCGGGGCCGGTAAGGCCGGGTGTCTGGACAGCAGAAGAGAGTGGACATGTTGAAGAAGACAAGGTCGATGTACGGCTGCAGAGGGTGAGGGTGGAAAGAGAGGGCATCCGATGACATTTGAACGCCTGCAACGGCTCGCGCTATTTATGCTCCGTCGTGCTCGATGGCCGGAATGTCCATTTTCCGTAGCGGGCTGTGTTTATTGGGTGGTGCACTGACGTCGGATTGCTGTGAGGCCTACCCTGGGGGCCCTGGGGAGATGGCGTGGCATCCCATGATTCCGAGCATCATCTTCGATGGCGGCACCCGAGCTATGCCATGCCTTGACAAGAATCCGCAAGAATGGCAATAGACCAATAGCAATGGGCATGCTGGCGCTTGTGTTGCTTCTCTGGTGCTGCAAGCCAAGTCAGGCCTCGTCATCTTCCTGTGAGGCCTACCCCCGCCTTCCAGCCAATCAGGTAAGCGAGCGAGGTCTGATCGCCAGAAGTCAAAAAGGAGGCCTCGGGCGTCTGCTACTCCATTTCCTCTTCTTTGCGGACACAACCCAAGGCCGCTGGCCGTGTCGCTCCTTCGTTGGTCTGCCCTTCGTTTCGTTTTTGGCCTCGAGTGTTCCTTGACGTTCGGGATTCTGTGCCAAATCTCCACCAGAGCCCGGAGCGCAACAGCGACAAGTGACATCTATTAAGCCTCAAGACTTCGCCTGTTCATCTGACCATCGATATCAACACGAAGACACCATCGACCCGCGTCTTTTGGACAAGCGATATTTTGACCCAGAATCAGCTTGTGCTGAACCTCCAGATCCCAACGTTGAATCCCGACACCCCGAGGCCTTTGTTTCTGAATTCCCCGTCAACCTTTCACCGCAACCACCACCTCCAACCACCCAAGACCTTGTTTCGCACCTCCGGCAGCAGCAACGTTCAGCTTCACCGTTTGCTTGTCCATCGTGTCTTGCAACGTTCAAAAGAAAAGGAGACCTCACGTAAGACTCGATCCAATTCCTTCATGTGCTCATTTGATTGTTGACTTTCACCCCAGGCGACACGAGAAGACGCACTCCAGGCCCTTCAAATGCACGGCTGAGGGTTGTACCCACGACTTTTCGCTGAGAAAGGACCTTAGCCGGCACGTTGCGCAAAAGCATTCGGATAGGATACCAGACTTTGAGGGGTTTCGCTGCACTGTCGCTGGATGCAAACGGACTGAGCCGTTTGCTCGGAAGGACAATTTCAGGAGGCATATGGAGAGCCAACACCCTGGTTGCTAGCCCGTCAAATGGTACGAATGTGTTGAAGTTTTGTCGCTTTGGACCGTCTGTGAACTGTGCCACTTCGGGTAGTGTATAACACTGTTCCCGCGCCGATGTTGGTGAGTGATTGGTCAATTGCATAGCCGGCTCCCGAGGGGGCGCGGGGTAGGGGGTAGTGCTCACCTCAACCATCAACACTACAAACCTATCTCCACGGACTTGGCGCGTAAGCTTCCTTATTACCCGTACGAGCTTTGTATAAATGCCACTCACGCCCAGATGATTCAAGACATGGCACATCCCACGATGCTGATCAGCCTCGATATCCGCACCTTTCAAGCCTTTGCAACTCCCCATGTCAGATCAGCAATGCGTCGAAGCAGCCACGCCGCCTCAAGACTCTCTTAGCAGCGTCGAAGACGGCGTCACAAACCCGACGCCCAGCAACGTGCCCTCGACCGTCCCACCGCCTCCCGCGCCCGACGGCGGCGTCAAAGCATGGTCGCAGGCCGCCGCCGCGCACCTGGTCATCTTCAACTGCTGGGTATGATCAATCTTCCAACTCAAACGCAACGGGAGCTCACCGCGTCACAGGGCTACATCTCCTCCTTCGGCCTCTTCCAGTCCTACTACACAGCCACCTTCTCCGTCTCGGGCTCGGCCGTCAGCTGGATCGGCTCCGTCCAGATCCTGCTCATCTACGCCGTCGGCACCCTCTCCGGGCGCGCGCTGGACGCCGGCCGCTTCCGGCCGTGCGTGACGGCGGGCTGCGCGCTGCAGGTGCTCGGCGTCTTCGCCACGGCGTCCGCGACGCGCTACTGGCACGTCTTCCTCGCGCAGGGCGTCTGCAAGGGGCTCGGCGACGGCCTCGTCTTCTGCCCCGCCGTCGCCCTCGTCGCCACCTACTTCTCCGCCCGCCGCAGCCTCGCTATTGGCGTCATGGCCGCCGGCGGCGCCACCGGCGGCGTCGTCTTCCCCCTCGTCGCACGCCAGCTGCTGCCCGCCGTCGGCTTCGCTTGGACCGTGCGCGTCATGGGCTTCGTGGTGCTGTTCAACGCGTGCGTCTTCTCTGCCGTGGCGCGCGTGCGCGTCGTGAAGGTGGCGGTGCGGGTCGAGTCGAGGCGGGAGAGGAAGGAGGGGGAGGAGAAGAAGAATACGAAGACGAAGACGAAGACGAAGAAGAAGGAGCAGCGCCAGCGCCCGCGCCAGCGCCGGCCGTACGTCGAATGGGCCGCCTTCGCGGAGCCGGCATACTCGCTCTTCTGCGCCGCCATGTTCCTCGTGCTCTGGGCCGTCTTCATCGCCTACTTCTACCTCGACGCCTACGCGCGCGACGTCGTCCTGCGCCGCGCAGCAGCACCCTCCGCCGACGCCGACGACGACAACAACAACAACAACAACTCCTCGGACGCCGCCACGACGACGCTGACGCTCCTCCTCACCCTCAACGCCGTCGGCCTCCCCGCGCGGCTGGGCTGCGGCTTCGTCGCCGACCGCCTCGGCCCCGTCAACACGCTGCTTCCCGCCGTCGCCGCGGCAGGCACTCTCTTCTTCTGCTGGATCGCCGTGCAGCGTTCGCTTGGCGGGCTGTACGCCTTCGCGGCCGTGTACGGCTTCTTCGCCGGCGGCATCCAGAGCCTGTTCCCCGCCGCCGCCGCCAGCCTGACCGCCGACATCGATAAGATGGGCGTCCGCACCGGCATGTGCTTTTCCGTCGTGTCGGTGGCGTGCTTGACGGGGCCGCCGATCGCTGGCGCGCTGATCGAGAGGGCGGATGGGGGTTATTTGTATGCGCAGGTTTTTGGGGGGGTGGCGTTGATGGCTGGTGCGGCGACGCTGGTGGCGGCGAGGTGGGCGAGGTATGGGTGGGATTGGAGGAAGAAGATGTGAGGGTGAGAAGAAGAGCGGTGGGGTTGAGAAAGAGAAATGTTTATACGATAAGACGGCTGGAGCTGCCGTCGAGTGCGGTTTTCAAACGTCTTGGAGGCACCCCTGCAGTCAGCCAATCGACTTGTCCTCTACCGCCATGTCATGTACGTATAAGCCACTGATTCGGTTGGATGAAGAGGGGAGAGCACGTGGGCCTGCATATCTCACCTGGCTGGAAACCCCTCGGAATAGACGCGGTCCCTGCTTAACAGTCAGCTGTAGGCTGCCGAGATCGACAAGGCTGGGGAGAATTGAAGCAGTTGGCTCCGCTGTTTCTTGCAGTTTGACAAGTTTCAGTTCAGCTGAACGAACCATGCCTTCCTTTATGCACTGTGGCAAAGTGCCGCAGTAGTGGTACGCGAAAGGCTTGCGTCGATTGTCGGCACGAAGGCGATGGTAGGTACTTGGAAGAACTCGGTCTTCTTGGCCGATACTCAAGTCGATCGCGAACTCGTTGAGACTTTCGGGGCTGGGAGAGACTTGAAAGTCCTCGCCGAAAAGGGAGAAAAGAAGAGATAAATGACGTGAACTGTCAGCCTTTCGGAGAAAGATGCACGCAGCGTGTGGGAAATGCGTGTGGACAAATTCATGTCGTTCGTCCGGCAAGGCAACGGCTTTTTTGGCAGCCTACCAGCCTTTGGGGCTGACGAAGCACGCCCAAACGCCACAGCTGAAACTCCGCCTTCCAACAAAAACAACATGATGTGATGGCCAAGCCTCAAACGGCCTCTAGTCTTGGCTTTTCTGCAAGCCTCATCGTACCAGCCATCAGGTGGGGACCCGCAGAACTCGACCCCAGTCCATGGAACAAGGCTGTTAAGTAGTGAAATAGTATCCACAATCCCTCGAAAATTCCGCACCCTCCGCCAGCTCACGCTTTCAGCAAGTCTCAAGATATGGCTGCATGCTTGATTAACGCCTTTCTGGCGCTTCTCTTGCTGAGCCCCACTTCCAACGGGCAATCTGTTGACCCCATCGCTGACCACTGTGCGCGTTGGCACCATCAGTGTAGGTAAAAGGGAGTGAGTTTGGGTACACATCCTCCAGCTGACATCCAGTTCTAAGCCACGATAAAGGACGGCTTTCTCTACATTGATGGTGGAGTAGAGACATTCTACTACGGCGAAGGGAAAATTTTAGGGTATAGTAAGTGTTCTTCAATAAGTTGGATTTGGCAATCAAACTGATATCCAAAGACCAGAAACTGCTGCGTATTGACATGAGAGATAGCTGGGACTGGAAAACAAACATTACTATCCAAGCAATCCAGAAGAATGAGAACGAGAAAACAGGATCCAGCCCTCCAAGCCTCGTCCGATGCATCGAAGATATACACATATGGAGGAACCACCTTTCTTGGCAACACTTCATTCCCGGGATGGACCCCCGCAGAGAGCGACACATATTCACTATGGAGCTACGACACCTCAACACATGCATGGGACCAGTATGATATCACAAAAGTCCGTCAAAAGAGCACAAATTCCCTCACGTGCATGTCGCTGATGATTGTAAAAAGAGCAGTCCACTCCGACCAAACCGAGGATCTTCAGCTGAAGCGCCAGCACTGGGCCTGTCATTTTATCTAAATGGCCAAATAGATGCTGGCTCTTCCGCCGTAGCAGGAGCCTCAATGAACAATGATACAGAGTTCCTTGATGGTATGATTGTGCTGGATACGGTTAATGTCAGCTCCCAAAACCTTTCCACTGCAACGCTTGGCAACCCTCGAGTCGCAGGGGGGCTGCAATTCATCGAAGCCATTGGGGAAAGAGGCGCACTTGTTGCTATCGGAGGGCTGCAGCGCAGCGGAAACCAAACAGACCTGGTAAGCGTACTCCGACTCCGCCCCAAGGGACACCGGTGACCGTCCGTACAGATCGCATTCGATCACGCCGGTCTCTGTGACGATTTCACAGCGACTTCGACCTGGCACCGACAGTCCGTCACAGGCGACATCCCGCCTCCCCGCTCCGACTTCTGCATCGTCGCCGCCTCGGCGCCCGACAACTCCAGCCACAACATGTACAGTGCCAGTCTCATGCGCCCTCACTTTTACCAAACGACCTCTTTGCCTACCCCTGTATCCTACTCGACAGCAGTGCTGACACAACCACCAAACCAAACCCAGCTACCTCTACGGCGGCATCGACCCCTCCAACGCCACCGCCCCCACCCTCTACGACGACATCCACATCCTCTCCCTCCCCTCCTTCACCTGGACCCGCGTCTACGCCGGCGAGAGCCCCCGCTGGGGCCACACCTGCCACCTTGCCGGCCCCCGCCAGATGCTGACCGTCGGCGGCACGATCGACTCGTCCGTCTACGACATCGAGACGCAACAGGCTCCTCAGAACATCAACACGAGCGCGCTGGCGTGCGACTGGGAAGCCAAGGGCGTCGCCGTCCTGGACATGTCGACCTTGAAGTGGGGGTCCGTGTTCGACTTCTACGGCGCCGCGTACCGGGTCCCGCGGGATGTGGTCGCGGTGGTGGGGGGCGGCGAGGATGGCGGGGCGACGGCGACGGCGCCGGCGGGTGGGTTTGCGGAGGGTGCGGTCGCGAGTATGTTCTCGTCGGGGAGGGTTGGTGGTGGCGCCGCTGCGACGACGACTTCTGCTGCTGCTACGCGTTCGGGATCTGCGGGGCGAGGCTCGTCCGCGGGGACTGTTGCTGGCGCTGTTGTGGGCGGGGTTGTGGGTGTTGGGATCTTGTTGGGCGGGTGGCGTTTTTGCGTTCGACTCCGCAAAAGAAGGAGGGAGGTGCGGGGACCGATGGCCGGCCCGGCGGAGGGAGGAGGAGGAGGAGGAGAAGAAGAGGGCGTTCAAGGCGCGCGGGGACATCGGCCTGGCGTGGGGACGTATGTTGCCGAGGCTCCCGATGCAGCCAGATACGAGCTGTATGGCCGAAGTCGTATACCAGAAATGACTGGGGGATCAGCCCTGGCTCATGAACTACAAGCGATCGAAGAGCCCGGAGAGTTGGCAGGCTCACACGGGACTTTCGAGCTCTCGACTGGGACCGGCTGTAGGTAGGAACTTCCTTGGCGAAGGGCTGTTCTCTTGAAATGGCTTTGGCGTTGCAGACTGCATGGTCAGTTTCGAGCATATTGCAACATCAGACCAGCGACTGGCCTTATATCAAGCGCGATTCTATGAGATCCATATTCATGACTTTTTTTTTTTTCAAAAGGCTATCTCCACGCCCTTCCAAAGACGTTAGTCTGCATGCTCCGCACAGCATGAAGCTCCACCCCTCTCGCTATCCGACGATATTCATCACTGAAGACATTTCTTGATGTCGTAGAAAACGCCTTTTTTCTTCCCCCCCCTTCTCTTTTTTTCTTTTTTGTGTACAACGGCCTCAGGAAAAGAGACCAAACAAATTTCGCTATGAGCTGTACCCGCTTGAGCTTCTTCTGTGCTAGGATAAGGCACGGAGAAGAGGATATGCGGGCAGGATCGGGCTGGGGGGTAGTGATTAGTCGGTATGGGAGGAGCCATGGATGGAATGGGGATCAGTTTGGGGGGTTGGGGGGTTCGGGAGACTGTTACGTGCTACGGGCGGCATATCGGTGATGATGGGGGTGAGGAGGATGAAAGAGAGGAAGAAAAGGTACTCGAGGTACAATGCTGCGGGGATGGGTGGGGACGCTGAACGGCTGTCAAAGGCCGGCGCAGGAGGCGTGAGCAGCAAGCAGGCTGCAAGGCGCCTTTTCTTTCCTGGATGGCACGAGATCTGATGAGGACGGTCAATATTCTCATTTTAATATTGCTTCCCTCTCAGCCAATGGGGACCTGCTGTGGCACAGTTGAGTACGAGGCGTTCCGCATGTGGCGCGTGGGGTCCTGGGGCCAGTGGCTGTGCAGTTTTGTGGGGGCGGGCGGCTATGCATGCGTGAACTCCTGCGGCGCGGGAGATTGTGGGGCCAGACCCGGCAGGCTGGACATCATCAGGGAGCATGTTTGACCGACGTTATTGTTGGAGTCGGAAGTGCCGAGCAATGTGTGTAGGCAGCTGCTCGGGTACACCGAGAAAGCAGACCCCTTGACACTTTGGATTTCCTCTTCAGATTGCAAGTGATGGCAGGCGCATACTGGAGATCTGATGCGAATCATGAGATAATAAGCTGCGAGTTGGAATCAGACAGCCGGCTGCCTGTGTACTCTTGCAAAAGGGCAAAGCTCTTGCGCAGTCCGGAGGAAACACGGACGACAGGATTACTTTTGCTAGTACATACATCAGAAGAAGGTAGAAAAACGAAATATAAGCCGCCCGATTAGTCTCCCCCGGCAGCCTACCATCCGGCAACCCATCCGGTAAACCACCCTTTCTTTGAATTACCACCCTCCGAGGAAAAGGAAACAGACATTAGATCACTCATCACAATCATGACTCATCCATCCACAAAGCCGACCCCACCCCCACCCCGCCGCCCTCCCACTCCCGCTCCCGCTCCCGCTCCCCCCCTCAACCCCCCCCTCTCCCTCTCCCTCGCCACCACCCTCCCAACAACAGCCCCATGCTGCCTCCTCTCATGCACCCTCCTCGCGCAGTCCCTCGCAAACGTCTTGCCGCACACGCCGTGAAACGAGCACGGCAGCCGCGGCGGCCGCTGCACATGCGCAACATACTGCCCGTCTGATTGCCCGTTTTGTCCATCCGCATCCGCCCCGACGTCGCGCTGCGCGGGGCACGCGAGAGAGAGGTGGCGCCGGATGTTGCGGCCGAGGTCGCGGGGTTTGCTGGTGAAGCGGCGGTTGCAGCGGGGGCAGAAGGGGTTGGGGGTGGGGGTTTTTTTGGGTGTGGGTGTGGGTGTGTGGAGGGGGGGTGGTGCGGTGGGGGAGGTGGTGGTGGGGGCGTCGGAGTTGAGGGTGGCGCTAGGATCGTGAGGCGGTGATGATGACGATGTTGACGATGTGAGATGTTGTTGTTGATGGTGTTGCGTCGGAGCTTGAGGTGGACGGGTCGGGGCGGGTGGAGCGGAGGAGTGCGGGGTTGGGGCGAGGATGCGGAGGGGGGGCGGGGCGAGGGTTTCGGCGCGGTTGGTGGGTGGTTGCTGAGCGTTGGCGCCAGTTGTTGTCGGGGATGGATTGGCGTTAAAGGGGGAGGTGTCGGGGAAGAAGTCCAGGTACGAGGGCATCTCTCCGAACGATCGGAACCCAGTCATCCGAGAGGGTTCCGGCGACAAGGCGTAGTTGTCGTTCTGCTTGTAAGACACTGCACTTTCCGATGACCAAAGGTTTGCGCTGCGGCCGAAGCTTGCACTTGAGGGATTGAGCCCGCTTGGTGGATGGGAAGAGTGGGGCGTGTCGAACGATGACTGGATCGAACTGAACGGGGTGCTGAGGTAGCCGGATGAAGGTGTCGTGCCAGTGAACTGGCTTTGCACGGCTGAAGATCTGCCGCTCTGCCAGGATTGCCGCCTTGAAGACGGGATGCTTCTCCCTTGAAATCCGTCCGTCTGCAGAGTGAGCGTAGGAAGGTCTGGAATCCTTGATATGGTGTTGTGCGGAAGAGGGCGATAGGCGTTAGTGGCGTTCGGGGGCTGCGCAGGAGTTGTGTGACTCCCCTGAGGCTGGCTGTGGGCTTCGGATAGATTGAGTGCGCAGTCCTGAGCCGATGGTGTAAAGAGCTCGTGGGTACCTGCTTGGGCTGATCCAGGGAAGTCATTTGCACCGCCGAGGAAGGGGCCGTCGAAACGGTTCATCATTCCCACCGCGGGAGAGCCCATGTAGTCATTGAAATTACCTAGTTGACCAGGGCTTGGATCGGTCGGCAACTCAACTGGAAAGATGGAGCCGACACCAACAAGAGATTCCATCGCATACTCGCACCCGAAGGTGTGTGACGCGGATGGTTGAAATGTATGGCTGGCGTCGAGTTCGGCGGCATAACTATATTGGCTGGGGAGTTCATGCCGGATAGACTCTTGACCGCTCATCTCAACCGGAAGATGACCCCTCGATCCCCTCTGACCATCAAAGCCACGAAAAGGATGACGCATCTTTACTTTGAGTCTCCCAAAAAGATCGTGACAGCGTCGGCGGAGCAGTTTCGGGGTGGCGCGGGCACAGTCGTCGTGGGCAGATGGTGTCTGTAGTTGAACGGATCCTTGCTCGGCAGAAATGCGTTGCGACGAGGGGGAGTAAGATGGGAGATGATCCGGATTTTGTTCCCGTTTAGCTGCGAGATCCCAGGGTGTGCAGATGACTTTCTCGTCCGGTAAGGCTGAAGCGGGTGAGGAACAGCTTGACGGAAGGTAGGGCGAAGACGTGTTGTGCTGTGAGTGGCTCCCTGGTGCAACGAGTGTTGGTTCGGAGGAGTCGGCTGAAAGAGATCGAGGGCTCGTCGGCGAGCTGTTCTGACTTTGGGCTTCCTTGGAGCAAATGCGGATGAGCGAGTGCTTGTGTTCGATGGCCGTGCAATCGCAAGCACAGTTACGACTTCGGTCGACAAGACTAAGGCTATGGTCAGCCCAGACCATTAGTCGGAGCCAAGGCAAAAGACGGTTCGTACCTACTGCACGGAGAACAGTGCGGTAGTGCCTTTTTTATGCATTCTGTATTAGAGTGGGAGCGGTTGCAGGCGACTTGTACAGTGGGATAGTACCTTGTGAAAAGCGAGAGGACTCGGGTGAGGAGCAAACGAATGTCGTGATTTATTGTATATGAGTCCGGGGTGGCTCAGGTCATCTGTGCCGGTGTACTGTTTGGGTCCGTCAACGACAGGCAGGGCGGCGGCGGGACGGCGTGGGCGGGTGCCAAGTGAAGGGCGACAGCGTCGGGACGGAATGGATGGAAGACGAGTTTACAGGACAAGGCCCTCGCCGCCCTTCGACCATGGTCTGCAGCCCTTCAGGACAACGGCACGGGCCGGCGACGATCCAATCAGAAGGTGGTGAGGCGCTAGTCCCAGCAGCCTGAACGGACATGATCGGAAGAACCGAGAACCGTCCTCGAGCAATGTGGGACTATATGGATCACACCTGAAGGCTGAAACTTGTTCCCCGACGTGCGAGGCTGAGGCAGTTGCCTTATTGTGCGGGTGGTGATGTGGCGGCGCCGTTGCACCGCCTCGGAGGGGTTCGGGGGCGGGTGTTGCCTGGGGCCCATCAGCAGGGGGCCGAGCCGAAGTATGCCTTGGAGACAGGCATGGTCAGGTGCGAGCGGTGCGACATGCGATGCAGGCGATGAAGGACTGCAGTGGAGTATCAGCTGGCCTGGTGGATCGTGTTCAATTTGGCAAATGGACGGCGCAGTGCAAGTCCGCCTGGAGCAGACCAGCACCGAAGGCGGCATTTGATCTATCACTCGGTGAGCGAGCTAGGTTCGGCATTCAGCATTCGGGGATGCCGCCTCACTATTCTCTTCTGCATCTTGGCGGGATCTACAGGCCAGTGAACCGGTGGATTAGAACAGTTGACAACGCGCATGGCTCGGCTCGAGGGGATCGGTCAGCAATGGGACGGTGTGAATGTCGAAGCTCGGGAGCCGGCTCCTGTTATACTGCACCAGCTGGGCCGGCCCCTCACCATGCTATGAATAGCATCGGCGACTGGGCAACGCTCAGCTTCCCTATCGATCGAGACACCACACCTTTGTGGGCAGCATGTGGATCCATTTCCGCTGCTGAGGCTGCTTGCACCCGTGGTAATTGGCTCGCTTGGAGCATGGGCAATCACAGCGCCTGAGATTATGCGAGCGCTGGGCGTCATGGTGGGACGAGCCAATCAGAATAAGACGTTGGCCATGCCGACCGTGAACGCACTTCACATCCAAAGATACGTGTCTGTGCTCCTGATGAAGGTATTCGATTGACAGTCCGTGCTTCCTTGCCTCGTGCTGTCAAGTGAAATCCAGGAAGGACTGCGTTCCGTTCAGCGTTCAGCGTTCAGCTCGCGTGCAACTACCCCGCTCGATCGGCACAGGGTTTTTGATTGACCCAAGACCGCCATGCTCACGCAAGGGGCTTAGGCTGGTGGCGAAACGGTGGGGGGGGGGGTCCAAGGCAGTCTTCATCAGTCCCTCTCCGCCTTCTTTTTTAGCCGCTGCCTCGCCGCGTCATCCTGCTGGAATGCGGTTTCTGTCAGTCTTAGAGCCCAGCTGCCCCTGAGCTCAAGCCTGCAGAGCAGCCACAGTCTGTGCCATGTCGGTGAGTCCAGCGGTCTGAGGACAAGTCTGCCATGTTGCAGGCCGGAAGCTTGTTGGCTGCGCACATGCCAGGATCATTGTCGTCGCCCGAATATGCCACAAGAAAAAGCAGTCGAGGGGATTGTCTTCAATTGAACTAACTCTGCGACGCTGGCCCGATTCGACACACAGCGCCGAGGCACCACGGCACCGCAGCACCAGTGGCCAAACCGCCGATCCGGCTCGCGCCGATGTCATCTGCTCCTGCCGTGCCGACCACTCCTCTTTTTGATTGACCCTCCCTTGAGCCAACCGCCGATCGAGCCGGCGAGGGTAGATCCGAAAGTTCCTCAAGGCCAATAATAGAGCCCTCCGATGAGCGGGCCTTCTGCATCCGCTTACGTGTATTGACTCCGGGTACAACACAGCTCATGAGCTTTTAGGATCTGAGCGCTGGCCAGGGTGCCATGGTTGTTGATTCGGCTTCTCGTTCCACCACCTTCGAAGGCTGTACGAGCCCCCGCCTTCCGGAATATCTTCAAGTGGTGTGTTGTTTGTCCCCAACGAGCCGGTCTGGGCGCTGTATTGTTGGGACCCAGGCAGTCTCGAAGGGTTCGAGGAGTGCGAGTTTGACTGCTCAACGCTTAGCTGTTATTGACAAACCTCACCCTTCCAGCTCCAATCACATGCTCACCCTTTCCGTGCTGTTGCTGTTGCTGTTGCTGCTGCTGTTGTTGTAAGACATGGTAGAGACTACAAGTCTGGTGGAAGCAGGTCGGTTGGAAGTGATGCTCGGTGTGATGCAGTTCAAGACCAATGTTGGATACCGGGAGGCGGGCGTCTTAAAATACATGCGGAGAACGCAGACGATACGTCCTTCTGCGGTTGTGGGCGATGGTGCAGTGGAACAGCTGGAGCTGATGAGGACGCTGACGAATGGACAGACAGCGCACGAGGGGCGCCATCGATCGTTACATGATGGACTTGGACCGCCGTTTGCTCGATGGACACGTATCCGAGCTGTCGAAGGAGGTCACCGGACAGGTTCGAGATGAATGTGCATGGAGTTGTGGCTGCAAGAAGGCATTGGGTTTCATCCGCTTACCAAGGCTGTCCGAGGGCCTGAGGTTCGGATAGCCAGACGCACCAGGCAAGGGTCTGGCAGAGCGAGCTGGGTGTCCTTTGGCGACCGAGTGGTCAACAGCTAGCTGACCACACGTAGCTGTGCATGGGGCGGCATGGCCAAGTGTTCATGAATTGACAAGATGGTCGGTGATTGCGCCAGAAATCGAGGTACGGGTCGGCAATGCAGGGACAAGGAGGTGAAACGTCAGCATGGTCGTCTGCGATTACAGAGCAAGCGATTTCCGGTGAGAGTTGCGGCTCTGCTGCTGCCGAGATGTACCGGAGTGGCCGATCTCTTGACAGGTACCCGTGTCTTGCCGGTGCCAAGTGTCGCCTTGTGCTGCGAACCACGCCCTTCGTGCCCCGCATCGCCCTTCGCTTGGCCCAGACACCACGAAGGGCGCAGCATCGGAAACGTGGAGCGCACCATCGTCAGGCTCCGACATGCCAAGAAGAGGGCGACAGAGGCAGCAAGGCCAGGAGCCGTCTGTCCAGCGGTGACATGCACGGTTACGCCATCGTCCTGATCAGCCGATTGAAGTTCCAGGCAACAGTCGACGCTGACAGGATCCAGGCATCGCGCGAGCTGATGGAGTGTTGATGGAAGCAGCAGAGATGTGCGTGTGGGCTCGTCGATGGCCCGGCGCGCCTGTTGACTCGCCGGTGTTGGCGCTTGCGTTGTGCATGTGCATGACGCAGCCAACGCGGCGTGACAGTCGCCAGCATGGTCGTGGCTCCTCTCTGCCGATAGGTGTATGACCGTCACACGTGAAAAGGTACGGAGTAGAGAGCAGGTGAGAGCGGCCGGCTCCCGAGCCTGCCCGATCCTGCCCCATTCGCTTCCATGACAACATGCCTACCCAACGATCGCTCCTCCCCAGGAATGCGCCTAACAAGGCTGGCAAGAACGCCGACAGGCCCGACCGCTACCTAGGTAGGTATCGATCTCTTCTTACTCGCCAACTTTTCGCCGAGTTTCCTGCCTCGCACAGCCTCTTGACTACATATTCGCCCGCAGACATCGGGCTCGACGACGAACTTCACCCGCTATTCGTCCGCCGTCCGTCCTATATCCGCTCCATCCACCCAACCACTACTAAGACTCAATTCTTCCAATAAGGGGAATATGGCCCCCACCATGCTTTGAACGGACGAAATGTCTTCGAACAAGCTGGCTGTGTAGTACTAAATCCATATCCACAGCTTAACTCCGTGTTTGTCTTGATATATAGATTCCATCCATCAACCCATACCAATGACCATATCTCGATACTCAACCATGTCTGGACGCATCACTCCTTACGCACCCCTTCATGCCACGCCCAATGGGCCTGGAGATCAGAGACCGACCGCTCTCCAAATCGTCCAAGACGAACACCTCGTTGACAAATGGGCCGATAAAGCCATCTTCATCACCGGCGCCAACCAGGGCCTTGGCCTCGAGACCGCTCGCGCACTGCACGCAACCGGCGCAACCCTCTACCTTGGCGTACGCACCCTCGCCAAAGGCGAAACCGCCCGCTCCTCCATCCTCGCCACTTCGCCCAGCCAAACCCTAATCCACCTAGTCCAACTCTCCCTCGACTCGCTCGACTCCGTCCGCGCCGCCGCCGCCGCCTTCCTGTCACAGTCACCCACCCTCAACATCCTCATCAACAACGCCGGCATCATGGCCTGCCCGCAGCACTCCCTCACCGCCGACGGCCACGAATCGCAGTTCGGCACCAACCACCTCGGCCACTTCTTGCTGACCTCCCTCCTCATGCCCGCCCTCATCGCAGGATCATCGCCGGGATTCGCCAGCCGCGTCGTCAACCTCTCGTCCGCCGGCCACAAGGCGCACGGTGGCGCCTCCGCCTCCGCCTCCCCGCTCGACCTGTCCGACCTATCCTTTTCGCGTCGCGCCTACCATCCCTGGCGCGCGTACGGCGCCGCCAAGACGGCCAACGTCCTGCACGCGAACCGCGTCGACGCGCTGTACGGAACCGCCAACGTCGCCGCTGGATCACATGGAAAGCCCGTCCACGCGTTCAGCGTCAATCCCGGCGGCATCTTCACGGCGCTGTTCAAGTATGTGAGCGACGAGGAGAAGAAGCGGTATCAGGCCTATCGGCAGATATTCAAGAGCCCGGAGCAGGGCGCCGCGACGACGGTGTGGTGCGCGACGGCGGCGGTGCTGGAGGGGAAGGGCGGGTTTTATTGTGAGAATTGTGGGGAGGCGGAGCCAGGGGAAGTGGATGGGGCCACCGGGGGGTGGAAGAGGCTGGATATCACGTATGCGCCGTGGGTGAGGGGGGACGTGGAGGCGGAAGAGCGGCTTTGGAAGGTTAGTGAGGAGCTTGTTGGGCTAGTGCGGGAATGAGTGGGGGTGAGAGGAGCCAGTGATAGGAGGCGATGACGAGGTGAGGTCAGTCCAGTCTCTAAGTACCGTGGCATGAAACTCTTCGGTTCTTGATCCATACAAATTATGGTTATGGGTGAAAAATCTCATAGTACCGAAGATCCCTCTACCGCCAGTCACGCAATCTAGCAAACTATATAAACCCCAGCATCTTCCGCCCCTATCGCCATTTCTTCTGTCCCACTCCACACCTGAACAAGTTCAAGAGCCCCTTTACAGTCAAGACTCCTCAGCATTCGCATCACCTAAATCGGCTCGCTACTAGTTCTCCTGTAACCATGGAAGACTTTCAAGACCAGCTCCACGCAGTTACACTATCAACTCCAGATACGGATCCGGCCATGCCAACATGGAACTCGGTGCCCACTCAGCCCCCTGTCATCAACCGTGGCTCTCCCGCCCACTACGAGACACAACTGTGGAGCGACCAACAAACTCAATCCGAACCCAACCCCCTTTCGCCATTTTCCAGTTCCTTACACGAAGCTCTAGAGCGCCAGCTCGTCGAACTCAACAAACCCGACCAGCGCGTCCAACCCGCAGCGGCTCGACCCACCGACCCCCCGACACCACCGCCCGACTCCCCCCAAGAATCCCGCAAGCGAGGAGGAGTAGTCGTCACCACCACCACCACCCAGCCCCATCACGTGCACCACCACCCTCGCATCGCCGCCGCCAACCACCTCACCATCGGCGGTACCTCACCACCGTCGCCGCCGCATGAGCCGCCGCTACAGCCGCAGCAGCATACGCCCCCTCTCCATCACCCTAAACCCATCTCCTCGGCTCGTGCTCACTTCCTCTTCCTCATCTCACCCTCGCCCTCACCCTCCCCGCCCTTTCTCTCTCCAACCTCGTCGTCGTCGGCACCTTGCTCCCCGTCGTACCCGCCGTGGCAGGATGGTGGCGGAGTGGGGGGGAAGAAGCGGGCGAGAGATGAGGGAGAAGAGGGGATGGAGCGCGAGTACGAGGGAAAAGGGGGGAGGGGAGAAGAATGGAGTGGTGGCGGCGCCGGCGCCGGAAGGAGGTGGTGGGGGGAAGGGGGAAGGGGGAACGTGGGTGAGACGACGATGACGAAGAGGAGGAGGAGGGAAGCGTCCGTGCGGAGGACGGAGAAGAAGAGGGTGAAGCGGGTGGAGGATCCGCTGGGTCAGATACCGGGGTTGATGCCGACGGATAATCTGGTGGTGTTGGGGGCTGGGCCGAGGAGGGCGTATGGGACGTTCGTGTCGCCGTTTGATCCGGCGTATCGGTCGCCGTATTATTCGGTGCCGCTGCCGCATGCGCACAACTGGGGCGTGCCCCTGTATCTGGAGGGTGAGAGAGCTCAGGTGAAGGAAGCCGAGACGACTGGTCTGGAACGAGTCACTATGAGGGGGTGAGGCAGGAGAGAAATGAGAGACGTGAGGGGTTGATCAATCGGGCGGTTAAGCATCAGCGGTGAGCCAGCATCGTAGAGAAGTGAGGTGAAATTTAGACTCGTTCCAAGAAACGGCACAAAACACCACTCCAAGCCCCCAGCACCTCCTTCCCCTCTTATACCCTCAGCCACGTCCACCCGCCTTCCACCCCCCTGCCTTCCCGGCAACATCACGCCTCACACCAACCCCCAGGCGGCGCCTCGCCCCCCTCATCATTCCCCCCACACTGCACCGCCACCCCGTCGACCCCTCCTCCGCTCACGTCGTCCTGATACGTCACTCCGTTGCAGCGGTACCCCACGTCGCGGCCCCCGCGGCAGAAGAGCGCGCAGCAGACGCTGCCCCGCTGGTCCCAGACGTAGCTGCGTGCGCTCCACGGGAGCGAGACGTTGGCGGAGCCGGTGGTGGGCGAGACGGTGTGCGCGGAGCCGGCGAACGAGGGGGAGGCGTAGAGGGTGAAGTGGAAGGGCTGGCTGGCAGAGGGAGAGAGGGTGGTGGTGGGGGCTGTGGTGGTGTTGGTGGGGCGGCGGGAGGCGCCGATGGTGCTGGTGGTGGGGGTGGGGGTGGGGTTTCTGTGGGTTGGGTTAGTTGGGTTTGGTGCGGGTTTTGTACGGATTTGCAGGTGAGATAGGGGGGGCTGGGGGAGTTGGAAGGTGGAGAGGAAGAAGTGGTGGTGCTCACGGTTGCGCTGTCACGGTGGCGGTGATGGTTGCCGTGGGCTTGTTTGCTGCTGCGAGATGCCCCCCTACGCCGCCGCCAATCGCGGCGCCGATGAGAAGGATGACCAGGAGGGTGAGGAGGGCGAAGGTGATGGGAGCACAGCCAAGGATGAGTTTGCGGTGTGCCATGTGATTGGGCTGTCGGCTCGAGGAGACTTCTTTGTCGTCCGAAGTGATGGCCTCGGGGGCGGTGGTATACCGGGTGTGAGCGGCAGGGTATTTGGGCTCCTCGACGTAGAGTTCAGGGGCGTCAAGCGCACGCCGTTCATGGTTTCTGTTGGCACGAACAGGGTCATTTGATTTGCCTTCTGCTGCGAGTGAAGCATGATGATTGGGATGATCTAAATTGTCGTCCATATCCCAAAGGTGGCGTAAATACGGAGGGTTTGAGCCGGTGTGCGGTTTCGAGGGAAACGAGAAGTGCGGATGAGTGCGACGAATGCGTTAAAAACGATTTGATATGGCTTCTGGGGAACAGCTAAATTAAGCATACAACAAGGCGCTGCATTGCGCTAAGCAAAGAAGCACCCAGATGTATTTCTATCTTGACGTCGTGCCGCATTTACGAGCTTTGTTGTTTCACAAGCATCCCCGCAAGACGGCCAACTGTTGCTCTTGCTCATCAGAAGGAGCTAGCAATATAACACTGCAAAATCGCAATGGCGTCAAGTGCCACTCTTCGTATGGAAAGAGTAGAGGCCGATTTGATATCCCATAGCGAAGGTCTGGCGATCTACTGGCAAAGTTCAAGTTTAGGGACCGAAGCCTCGAAGCCTGGAATTGGGGGCCAAACGATCCAGATCTAGTTGCGGCAAACTCAACTCCAAAAACCTGCCTGCAATGTTCGGGATGATTGGATGTTCAGCCCACAGCTGCAAGTGGTGCTTTGAAGTACTAGCGCAAAGGGGGCAACAAGCCGACTGGTTAGGTTTGGCGTTGGACTTCACCTGGCCCGTTGGCGGCGCCTTGGCTTTCCGATGACCGATGGTAGCACAGCATGCAGGGACGTGTCCGCGGCCTATCAAGTGGTTGGGTTTGGTCGAGCGAAGACCAATGCCAAGGTAACTTCGCCAAACGAAACCAATAGACCACTCCGGGGCCAGGGATCCAACGAGATGAGCCTATCATGGAGCAATGTTGGAGGGGACCGTTGGACTTCTCGGTGAAGGAAGGCGTCGGCTTGTTTGCACCGATACCACGTAGCAGGTGGTACAATGGGCCCAGGCCTGACAGATTTCCCCCAATTGAGATGAGGGTTGTGTTTCAAAAGCCTCTGTTGGCACCATATCAGCACATTTGCATGGAGCGCGTATAGCAGCAAGGTCCACCCACCGATTCAGTCGACTTTGAATTCGATTAATCGTCCTTGTGGGGGTTCACTGGAAGGAGGCCGGCGGCAAGGGAAGCGGCGACGGCAATGGTAACACCCAAGGCAAGGGAAAGCCAGAAAACAGTGCGTGTGCATCCGCATATCCGCTTCTGCTTTTCTTTCTTCGATTTGCTTTTTTCAAGGTCGATGGTTGAGGCATCGAAGGTCAGCGCCCTTGTCAGTGAAATGCCGTCGTCGCTCACACGGTTGACTGGGTATGTCCGATAAGTCGGGGCCGGAGTTGTCGGAGTGTTCGGCGATGTCAGGTTGATGGCACTGAAGTCGCCATCTTCGGCAAGGTACTTGGGCTCCTCCTGGATGAAGACTTGGGGGGCTTCGTGCCAGTTGTTGTCGGTGGAATACTTGGGCTCTTGTGCGACGGGCTGGAGGCCCTCGGTTATCTTCCGGTCGTAGATTGAGGCAAGCTGAAGACCCTCGTGAACACTGGGGTCGTAATTGGGAAAGGCGGGCTTTGCGGTCGACATGGTGAATCAGGTGGATGTCTGTCTCTTAGGGGCTGTTTGCGGGCGGATATCATGGGGGTGGAAGAGGGGAGACATTTGTATGGGAGCATTCGTCTAACGACTCGCAAGCCATGGCGCAGCAAGGGTCTACCGTGTAGGTTTGCGCACGATGGCAGGCGATGAGTTCGGGGCTAGGCGGTCCGGGGGGGTGTTGTGCCGCTAAAGGTAATTAAGCAGTGCGCATGGATACTGGATTGAGTAAGTGCACAGGCTAATTCGGGAAGCGATAACGTACCACCCTCGAAATCTTAACGTACCACCCTCCCCACTTTTTAGCGATTAGTATAGCACGTTCGGTAATAACGAATATAATAATAATACTTACTACTATAATTATAGTATTTTAAACGTATATACTACGCTATAAATTCTTCTACTCTACTTCGGTGCGACCGAAGCTATAGTCCTTATAGCTTATAATTATTAAATAACGTAACCCGTAAGCCTTAAGCCTTAAGCCTCTAGTAATAATACTTCGTTTATACCGACTAGTATATCCGACTACGTTCTAAACGAAGCGATATACTATATTATACGTATTAGACGAGAACCGCCTAGATAGAAACGTATACGTATCTTAAGTATATACGTCGCCCGCTAATTACTACTACCGCCTAATCCGCTCGGTTCTAACGAACGCGAAGACGCGCCTCCTATCTATACTACTATAGAGATTATCGATTTCGGATTTACTAGCGAGTTCGATAATAGATACTAGCTCGTTAATAATAAAGCTAGTATTACTAGTAATAATATCTTCGCTAAAAACGAGCCGGAGTCTAGATTTAAGTCTAAGAAGAATATTATAGCCCTTAGTAAAATCGAAGAGAATTCTAATACCGCTATTAAGAATAATAGAGTTCTATTCTAGCTTCTTTATCCTTCGTTTATAATAGACGAGAGCGAATAGATCTTTATTATTAAGCCTCTACCGATAGAGACGTTCGAGTCCTTCGCTAATAGCGAAAGGGCTTATTATAACTAGGGCCTTACGTATAGTATAGACTTCCGTAAGCGTAAGTAGAAGAAGATAAATAAAGCCGTCTATTAGATACGTATTATCTATAATCGTAAGGGGCGAAAGAATAGCACCCGTAATAACTTTAATCCGGACGATAACGATTATCTAGACGAATACTATTCGTCTAGACCGAATTAGCTAAATAGTCGCCGTTCTAGAAGAGGTTCTATCCGTATAGATTATAAGATAGGCTTTCTCTTCGTTACTACTAACCGTAATAACGTTAATAGCGAATAGAAGATTTATTATTAATAAGAAAATCTAAGCTTCTATTATAATTACTCGTCTAGTATTAATGGCCGTATCTTCGCCTCTTAGCGTCGTTAGTAACGAGCCGAGATACTATAGCTTACTAAGCTTATTTAAGAGTAGTAGCTTAGTAGTATTTAAGCGAATTAGTCTCTTACGTTTATTATAAATAGATATTCTACTACGCTCGTAACGTAATAGGATGTCTATAACCTTCGGTAGGCTAATTATAAGGTATAAGGCACGAATAGAGAGCTTAAGATAGATATAAAAAGAGAGCTTATAATTAATAGACGAATTCTTAGAGAATTCGGCCTTCGCCCGTAGGCCGAAGGGCTTTTATATATAGCTAAGCGAGAGTTACGTAACTAGTACGTAACTTCTATAGGTTTCGTATACGAAGCGTATACGAGACGCGGCTATAGGTTCTTATACTACCCCCTCTACTATAGGGGTCGACTACGACCCCGTAAAGGATAAAAAAACTCGAGGATCTTATATACCTTCTACGAGGAAAACCTTTCTTATTAGAAAGAAAAAAGCTCGTAGCTAGGATCGTTAAGAAAATCCCTAGGCGCGAAAGCCGTAGCCTATATTTCTTAGAATATCCGCTTTTATCTATATTATAAGTAGATGCGCGGAGTATACTTAACGCGTACGACTATTATACGCGGGTCGGATATATAGCGCTATACGCTAGAATAGTAGAAAAGTTTAGCTACTCTAGGCCGTTACGCGGCTTAGAGTATTCGAAAGTAGAACTCTATTAGGGGTTTAGTTCTACGTAAAGGAAGTAGTAATTACTTTCTACGTAATAGCGGTTATTCCGTCTTTTATCTTTTTAGGTTTCTAATCGCGAGTCTCGTATATAGCTTAAGCGTTTTAGAACTATTATTTATACGTTCTAAGTACGTATAGTATACGCGGCGCGTACTTCTCCCCCGATATCCCTTCGTAGTAATTATATTAGGCGTATTTATCTTTATAGAGTTTACTACTACTACTCGTAATTTTTAGTCTACGGCTAGGTTTAGTAGCTAGTATTATTATACCTATATCTATTAGCTAGATAATAGGTTCTTACCCCTTTACGAGTAGTACTTAGGCGTTAGATAGATATAGTTTCTCCTATTAGATAGGTATATTTTTATAGAATCCGGGCCTATGCGTTTTACGTACGCGTGCCGTAGGAGGAGCTAGTAAGAAGCCTTCGTATATTAGAATTCTCTTACGCGATCGTTTTCCGACTCTACGCTATATCTATTTTCTAATATAGCTTTATCTTTAACTCTCTCCCGCGGCTCTACCGCTCGTTCTTCGACGTCTCTTATTACTCTAGAAGCTAGTCCTATAGGTAGTATAAGTAAGAAAGAGAAGAAGCTATCTCGTATAAGCTAGCTCGGTCTTAAATTAGCTTAAAATAAAGATAAAGATAAGGCTCGGGCTTACTATAAGCCGTTTAGTATACGGAACGTCTCTCGACGTCGTCTCGTTAGTATCCGCGGTCTAGCTCCTTATTAAGAGCTAATTCCGTCTTATTATAAGGCCTTCTATAAACGTTATCTTTTATACTAGGCTTCCGCTTCTTAGATTAATAATAACGTAAAGAATATTATTAAGTAAGACTATATACGTAAGATACCGCTCTTAAAGTACTAGAGGTATACTAGAGCGCGGTACGATTATACTTAGATAAGTTTTATCCTACGATTTATATACGCGTCGTATTTTTAGCTAACTCTTTTCGCCTATCTAGCCGTCTTTCGAGTTTCGCCGCGCTATAAACGTATTATCGTTTATACGCTAGTAGGCTATTCGTTATAATACTTCTAAGAAGTAGAATCTAGTCCGTAGCTACGCCTTTAAGTATCTTAACTACGTTAAGAACTTTCGCCGGCTCGAGAAGGCTCGCGTTACGAACGCTAACGATTTTAAGAAGTACTTATACGCTCGATAGATCTCTCGCGACTATAATCTCTAACGTAAGTAGATAAGGGCTTTCTTAACCGTCCGCTTTTACTTTTACTAACCCTTAGTATAGCTTAGTATAGGCGGTATCGGTTTAATACTCTCTACGAACTAACGTATCGACGTAACTACTAAGAACCGCCTTTTACGTAGCTAGAATAATCTCTTTAAGAAGGATAGCCTCGACCCGAACCGCGATAAGTCTCTTAACGAGAGTAATAGCTAGAAGAGTATACGGTAGTACTAATACGGGCCCTTAGTAAAGTAAGAAGTAGAGGATAGGTAAAATTTAGTTTTAATATTTAGCGAGGTTTTAGGGTTCTTTATAAGTTAGGCTAGGCTTAGAGTTTTATACGAATTAGATACGCTTCTCGTACGCGGCGCTTACGCCTAGTAATAAAAATCTATTCTTCTTATATTATAGTTATTAACCCGAAAGTTTTCGTAAGTTAATCGGTTCTATAGAATTTCCTAACTACGAAAAAAACTACGGTTTTTATTCCGGGTGCCTTTTAGCGACGTATCGATCTCGGCCGTAGTATAACGATATATTTAGTAGCTTTCGCCCTTTAACTCTAAATTTCGAAGACTAAGCTTTTACCGCTTCGTCTTATTTCTTAAGCTAGGAGGCCTTTCCCGCCCGCGTTTTATAGGTTTTTCGCCTACTTATAGTAGGTCTCCGCGTACTCTTCGCACGCTCTTCGTACTCTTAGAGTTATTCCCTAATAGGTCTTTTTAAGGTTTTTCGCCTCGTTACGAAGATTCTCCGCGTACTCTTCGCACGCGTTTCGTACCCGATAGGTTTATTCCTCTAGAGTATCGTCGACGGTATTCGTTAAGTAGTTTCTAGTAGTTTTCGAGTTCGTACTCGTACTTCTACTTATTATATTTATTTAGCTAGCCTAGCTATTTAATAAGGTATTACGAACCGTAGAGGCCGTCTTTATAGTTAACGACGGTCTTAACCTTCTATATATTCTCTAACTCTATAGCGGGCGGTTAGAAACCGGGCTTTACGGAGTATAGCTCTAGAAGAGATATATAGAAGATAAAATAGAGCCGCGCTATTAAGGCTAGTAGCTTAAGCTAGTAGGCGGAGTTTCTAATCTCCTTAATAATTTTAAAGAAACTAAGAAATCGGCCGTCTAATTTCTTATAAGGTCGCTTCGTATAAATATTCTTCGTAAATAGTAGAACCTCGTCTTCTATTTTAAAGTAGCGATCTAGGCGGCCTTTATTATAGTACTAAGCCTAGAGCTACTATACGTATAGAATTATCTAGTATATACGTACGTATACGCTACGTATACGTTCGATATACGCTTTAGCTACGTCGGGCGCGAGAGTAATATTCTTAATACTCGAGAATACTACTACGAGGCTTCTTATCTAGTTAGATCTAAGAATACCGTTTAACGTCTCGTTATCTATACCGTAGCTTAGAATATTAGGAGTATATTCGATAGTAGAGTATAACTTATTATTATACGCGAATGCTACTTATAGTAGTAGTTTAGCCTAATTAGATTACTTCTAGTTAGAGTATATTCTTAAATACGTCTTAATCTCTTAGTTTTAACGTTTTATTTACCCGTCCGTTTACGGATAGAATGCCGTACTAAGACGTCGTTTAATACCTAGTTCGTAGTATAGGGTAGACTAGTATTCGCTAGTAAATACTAACCCTCTATCTAAGACGATAGAGTCCGAGACGATCGTCTAT